CAGCCCACCAACCGCCACCACCGTAGCCGGAAAGCAAACAGAGGGGCATTGTGTCCCCATTTGCAGTCACGCTCCGCAGGGCACCGACCCATCCCCAGGAACGAGCAGCTTTCTGCCGTGTGAAGGGGCTGGGGCTGACAGTGGCCGTGTGACTCGGCCGCAGCTCTGAGCCCAGCACTTGGGCCTCATCAAACACAAGCCGCCTTCTAAATGCCCCGCTTGCTCTGATTAGGGCACCTACCCTGATTCCCAGCAGCTACCAAGGCTGTGCCCTCCTGCTGGGAGCTGGGCAGAGCTGACCAAACCCACGCCCAGGTCCCATGGGGAGCAGGACCAGGCCAAAGAGCAGGGCTCAGGTGGTGGCCGCATCCCACTCAGGGCTGTGGGGACCTGGGCGGTGAGTCTGCCTCTCTGAGCCTCAGGCTCCTCACCGGTGAAACGGACCAGCGCGCAGTAACCACAGGCTGGCCGCCATGCCTGGCCCGAGCAGGCACTTGGTACATGAATATGAGGGTCCCCAACCGTCTACAACCATAACAGCCTGATGGCGGTCCGGCAGGAGCCTCCGTGGGGACCCAGCAGGCTGGGTGACAAGGTCATCGGGCGAAGACGGCAGAGGGGCCTGAGGGACAGAGTCCAAAGTGCCAGGAGCCAAGACCCCAGTTCCCGCTAGTTCTACCCATGGCCAGAGGGCTTGTAGGGGCTCTGGGTCCACCCACTGGTGTCCCCGTAAACTTGTTACCGGAGTTAACTCTGGTCCTGTCGCAGCCGTCCAGCCCTGCCGGCCTCCCTGTTTCCCCCGTCAGTTCCACCAGTTTCCGGAGCCACGGACACTCATGAGCTCATGGACAGCGCAGAGACGTGCACAGGTGTGAGAGCCCGAGTGGGCGAGGTGAGCTGGCAGAGGTGCCGGGCCGGCCTGGACTGGGTGCTCCGAATGCCGCCTGCCACTTTCTCTCCCAGAGGAGAGCCCCCCGCCCCTCTCCACGCCCGTCACTGTTCCTGCTCTTTCCTCTCATCGAAGTCAGCTGTCACCTGGAAATCATTCCTCTCACGCTCGTGCGGTGGTCCTGGAGGCCCCCCCCACCCCCGAGCTTAGTGCCTGGACCTGTTTGCCTGGGATGTGGGCCATGCTGCCAGTCGAGGACCCAGCAAGTCCGCCCCCTCCCTGCACCCCACCGTCCCAGGACAGAGGGGCGGAGCACACCCCAAAGCCCTGAAACTGGCAAAGGGCCACAGATGAGGCCCTGGCTGGTGCAGCCCCAGGCCCTCAGCACAGATCCCTCCTGGGCTGGGCTTCGGTGCTCTCAGGGGGCAAGAAGGCCCCCCACGCCCTGAGCTGCAGGAAGCCAGCTCTGCACCTGGGCAAAACTTGGAGCCACTCCAGGCTTGTCCAGGAGGCCAAGGGGGCGAGCTGGCAGCACACACGCCCGGGCCAGGCTCTGAGATGGGACGACAGACAACGGCGGGTGAAGGAGGAACAGCCCCCAGGGCGGGGGCGGGGACTGCAGAGCCTCGGAAACTGAAACAACCACCGGGACCAAACAGGCGTCACTGTGCAGCGGACTCACGTGCAGGCGAGGCCAGCGGGGGCGCGGGCCACGTGCGGGTGTGTGCCGCAGCCGGATGGCTGTCCCAGCAGCTGGGAGGCGAGGCGACACGGTGCCTCAGGGCTCCTCTGCTCGGCTGTGGTTCCTCTGGGCGCAGCACACCAGCAGCACTGGCCACCAGACCCGGAGCCTTGACCGTGCGGTTCAGGGCTTTCCCCCACATCAACAGACAGGCGAGGAGACTGGCCTGCGGCCCCACGGCAGCGCTGGGCGCCCCAGAGCCCTGGAGCATCCCCACACCCCACTGCCCACCTCTGAAGGAGGACACACAGGTCTGCTTAGTCCGGGAAATGCATGCTTCCTACCGCATCCTCAGGCACAGGCCCCCGAGGATCTTGGGGACCGGGCGAGGGAGCTGGCTCACACGCCCAAACCACCTGATACACCCTGGTCCTCCTGGGCCTCCCCGCACTGGTGCACTCTCACTCACGAGGGGCTCAGGGAGCCAAGCAGGTCCGGGTCTTCGTTCTGCTCTGCCTGTCTTGGCTGCAAGAACCCAGGCAGGCTCCTGGCCTCTCTGTACCCCAGTTTACTCATCTGGGAAAGGGGGCGCCCCCAGTCACATGGGACGGCAGCGGCAGTCGGTAGAGCACCAGCTTCAATGGGCCCTCGGGAAAAGTTGCTCCTCATCCCCCGCCCTGTTCAGAGGCTGCCCTGCTCCATCTGCTGCACCTGAGCCACAGACTCAGTCGTCAGAGGGGGAGAGGGCCCAGGTGGCCAAGAGAAGCCAGAGGAGTGAGTCCGAGGCTTGCCCCCAGGGGAACAGTCGGCAGGCGGGGGGCTCCAGGGGCTCAGCCCCGGGCTCATCTTGTCCCTGATGGGGATCTAGGCCCCACGGGATGGACGGTGCACACACTGCTGCGCCCTCGGTACCAGCTTGGGGCGCCGCCACGCAGACACTGAGGCCTCGAGGGGGGCGATGAGTGGACCGCTGAGCCCCGCACACTGGTGGATGCCTGACTCCCCGAAGGCGAGTCCCTTCCTCTGGGGCCGGCCCCCACCTGTAAGGTGCCAACACCACCCCCTGGCCTGCAGGGTGTCTCAGCAAACACGGCTGGAGGAAGGGGAGGGGTCTGGGGGAGAAGGGGCCACCCGGCCTGCTGCTCAGACCCTAACGGTCCCAAACTCGAAAAGCGGGGTGCCAGGAGAGGCGCGAGCCCCCGGACTGCCAGAGGCTGCAGCGAGTCTAGAAGGCGGTGGCCTCTCTGCTCCAGCCTTAGAGCTGAACGCAGACTTCCGGGGCTTAAAACCTGTGGCCATCGTTAGGCATAGCTCAGTCTGGCACCCTCCGAGTTCCCCAGCTGGAGCTGCCTGCTGAGAGAGACAGGGACCCAAAGTGGCAATGGGCCCCTACATGGCTCGGGACGGAAGGCGCTGGGCTTCTCCTTCGTCATGAGTCCTGGGCTCAGGAGGCGGAGTTGCCTCCCGAGACCACCAGCTCCTACTCCTGCCCAGCCCTGCCTCAGCCGCCACCGGGGGACCTGTCACAGACCTGCGGGCCACCCATCAGCAGCAGCCTGTGTGGGGCTGCAGAGACCATGGGAAGTGATCGTGTGGACGCTAGGAAAAGCTGTGACCGTGAAAAGAAGAGGCTTGATGTATTTGGGCAGGAGTCACATTTCTCCGAGGCTTTTGCGAGATAAACAGAGGGCAGGGAAGAAACAGGCCGAGCCCTCGTCGTGAGCTTTGGTGACTGCAGCCTTGCAGGCCCAAGGCGCCAGTCCGCAGTCAGGCTTCCAAAGGTGCCTTGTCGACACTCGGTGCCCTGAGGTGTCGCTTTGAACATGGCTCAGCCTACCGTGGCGCCGGGCGGAACAGCAAGCCAACACCTGGGGAGCAGGCACAACCCTGTTTACACCGCACCTTCCCTCCTGGCCGCCCGGTCTCCTTGCCGCCAGCACGTTGTGTAGTAGCTGTCCTGCGTGCTAACAGGTACCTGCAGGGGTCTCATGGGGAGACCACAGCAGGTGGGGGGACGAGGGACCCACAAGAAGGAACGAACTTGCTGTGTTCAGTGTGCGAAGCCAGGGTCCCTGAAAACAAGGTCCTCACCCGCTTTCACTAGACAAGCCTGACCTCACCTGAGACATGAAGCTTTGGTAAAGAAAACGTCAAAATCTTGTAGACTGGAAGTAAATTCATTAGTAGTTCAGAGAAGGTATTTCCTCGCTACATGGCAGGTGAATAATCTCACGGAAGCCTGGCGACCACCCTGCCCCGCAGACCCGACACTCCCATCTACGGGCGGGGAGCCTGGCGGCACAGGAGGTGGCAGAGCTGAGATTTGAACAGTCAGCACCTGACGCAGCTCTGGTGATGCTGCGCCGTCTCCCCGGCCAAGCCGGGCCCTCAGAAGGCCTCCCGCCCAACGCCGACGTGCACGTGAGCACTTGCACGCTCATCTGCCAGGGCCGCGGGCCAGGCGCCTGCAACAAGCCGCTCCTCTTCCTGGCTAGCCCAAGCTCAGCACTCACACCTGCTCACGGCCACCCCACCAGGAGCTCTGCGGCAGGGCCACCGAGTCCTGGCTGTGAGAGTCTTTGAAAGGTGCCCAGAGGCACTTCCTGTCCCCAGTAGTCTGGCCTGAGGACTGAGCCACAGGCTGGACATCGAGGTAAGGAAGGCATTGGGGAGTGCAGCCTCCCCAAGAGGCTGGGTCAGCCGTGCCCTAAAATCTGTGAGAGGCTCTCGAGAGTCTTGCTGCTTCACTGGCAAGAGGGCTGCTGCCCACGAACCTGGGAAGCAGGTCTCATAGCCCCCGGGGACAAGAGCCACAGTGGTTGAGAACACGGTTTCCAAGGTGCAAACCTGCGGCCCTGGCAGCAACTGGCTGGCGACCTTCGGCCAGTGAGGCTGGGTCAGCAGCCCTCCCCGTGGGACCAGCAGAGACAAGCAGAGCATACACGCCGGCCAAGAGGAGGCGTGCGGCCAGGGCAGCCGCTGACTGTGCTGTGAGCCTGCCCTGGGCCCCCTCCTAATGCATAACCCCAAAGAACAGTCTCGAGAGGTCCCTGATCCGCGGTGGGCAGGCGGGTGTCCGAGGCCTTGGCTGCAGAAAGACCAGAGCCCCAGTGCACTGAGCCTGCCTTTGGCCGAGGACCAGAAAAGCACCGGGCTCCGCGTGTCTTTGGGTTCCAGCTCTTTAGGCCAAAACACTGAGAGGCCTAGCGATTTTTTTAGGAAAGATCATGTTCATTGAACGCAGCGCCCCGACTCGCTGGCCGGAAGCAGATGGGCTCCACTTGGTGCCAACAAGAGGCCCCAAGACAGTGCTCCTGACATGTCAGTCTTCCGGTGCTGACATCGGGAAGGGCTGGGCGGCCAGGGAGGAGCACTTGGCCCGTATCACTAAGGAGGAGTTTAAGCAGCAGTCGACACCTTCTTGTTCAATGTGGATTAAGTCATTCGTTTATTTCTCAAGATGTGCACACTCAAGTATTAAGTCGGCCAGGACAGCTCATGGCTCCTGGGTATGTACAGGTCCTTCGACGGCTCGGGTTACAGACAACTTCATAGCTAGTGCACCACACACACGAGATAAAACAGGAAGCCTAAAAACCCCAAGCCACTCCAAGAAAAGGTGAGGGAGGGGAGGGGGGAGTAATGACGCAGCATCCTGTGGGGAGTTGATGCACAGGAGGGAAGAGCCCAAGGGGTGGGAGGCCAGCCAGCTCCGGTCGGCAGCAGCGGTCCTGTGGGGCGGTCAGGGGACTGAGTTCAACAGGTCCTTCAGGAAGCTCTCCGGGTCGGTGATCTCGGCGAGCAGACCTGGAGCAGAGACAGAGGCTGGTCGGGAGCAGGAACACACAGCCCCTCTGAGTCACGGCTGCCGCCCTGGAGAGAACACACTGTACTCCGACAAGCCCCGACGGCGGCTGCCAGCAGGGCGGCGGTGACGGGGCAGATGGTCGCCAAGCAGACACTCCCGCTCTGTGGGAGGAGGCCTGCTCTCAGCCAGACCCTGCAGCTCGTTGGAGGTGTTACAGTGGCAGGGTCCCCCTCATGCCCTTCCCCTTAACCCGAGGGGAGCCTTCAGGAAAGGAACGTGTCCACAGCCTCCAGCACGTTCTCAGAGGGACCTGGAAGGCTGGAGGAGCAGAGAAGGGCAGTCGGACCCTGGGCTCATCTGAGCTTTGGCAGCGAGTCCTGGGGCCTTGAGTGCGCTGCTGACACTCAGGAACTGTTTCTTCAATTATGACATGGGGACAGTGACAAGTCCTTGTTTCAACACTGTGGGGATTCGATTAGGCCACATGTATGGAAGCGTCCAGTGCACAGAAGGAGCTCGGTTAGCATCAGGGCCCTTGTTGTCCACCCCTCACCAAGCAGGGGGTGCTCATTTTATTTTATTCAGTACCTGTCCAAGGGCACTTTTCCACTGTTTTCAGAGAGCAGGGGAAGGCAGGGAGGGAGGGAGGGAGGGAGGGAGGGAGAAGGAGGGAAACACGTTGATGTGAAAAAGAAACACCGGTGGGCTGCCTTCTCGTCCTGCGACCTGGGTGCGCGCCCCGACCAGAAACCGAACCCATGACCCTTGGGTCTACGGACGATGCTCCAAGCAACCGAGCCCCACCAGCCGGAGCAGGGCGCTCACGCTGAACAAACGGGCGCTGTCAAGCCCGAGGCCGGCACCAGGAGAGCTGCAGTCCTCTCTCCAAATCTGCACGAGGCAGAGAGCACTGGTGCCGATCATCACCTCCTGGTTCTGGAAGGTGTTTTTGTCCTTGCATTCAAATGGGGTGTGTCTAATGCTCTGGAATTTTCTACTAGTGTAAACAAAGTCATAAAGTCACACTGTGAAAACCCGGCCTCAGAGTGCTGGTCCCAGAGCCTCTCCGCCGACAGGCTCTCGCTCTCCCTGCTTCAGGCGGGGGCGCCGCCACGGCTGCGGGGCACCGCAAAGCCCTGCACTGAGGCGAACGCCACCCCGCCCTGCCCACCTCCCTTCTCGTGTTCACACTGACAGTCCCTGTTCAGACATCCACCAGACTCCGGGGTGACACACTCACTTGGCACTGCGGACACACACACGTGGGCTACCTGCTCCCTGGTAGGGGTCACCCCCTGGGAAGAAAGCAAGGGCGGTGGCTATGGGAAAAGTCAGGGCTGAGAAGACGCGCGTGGGGCATCCAGCGAGGCTAACAGAGCCACCTTGGGGAGCGGCGCGAGCTGCCGTGATCCAGAGAACGGGGGAGGCAGCAGGCTGCCAAAGGCCCACCCAGGACACGGTTCCCACCTAGGCCACCGCAAAGGACCGGGGCAGAAGCCCCGTCGGTCGTGGCTGAGCTGGGGAAATAGACCTCACACAGAGCACCACTCCAGACCTGTGAAAGCCCAGTCCCTAAACGACAAGCGGGACCCATGAGAAACGTCTCCCTGCCTCCTCACACGTCCCCATTGCCCCACAGCGAACGTGAGGGGAGAATGAAACAAGCCCCCAAAGAGCCAGGTGGGGGGCGTGGCCACTCTACCTCCACCCGGAGCCCACTTGGCTCAGACAGCAGTGCCGGCCCAAGAAGGCGCTGCACCCACCGTCCGAGGCAGGTGTTCCCAGGTGGCTGCCCAAGTCACCTCCCCTTGTGGCCGTGTGATGCTTGCTTATGAAAGCCAAACAGTTTTTAATGCGTCTGCAACGACCAGGTCACATCTGTCATGTGAGGAGCCTGTGTGCAGGGGACAATGGTGACCTCACCGGCTGCGGGACAAGGGGCCATCGGAGGGCGGCTCACAGGACAGGGGCTCTGAGTGCGGCCCTGCCGTGCGATCAGAGGTGCTCTGATGGTTGTCGCTGACTTTAAGAACAAGAGCTGAGATCTTGCCCGTGTCCCTGGGGCAGCTGTGACGTGAAAGGCAGGAGGGCCTGACCCCGTGGCCTGGACTGCAGGGGGTGGCCCCGCAAAGCACAAGGTCGCCGGTTTGACTCCTGGTCAGGGCACGTCAATGCCCTGGGCTGCCGGTTCAGCCAACTGATTGAAGAGGCAACGGGTCGATGTCTCCCTGCCTCTCTTTCTCCCTTTTTCCTTCTAAAAATAAGTAACTAAAACCTTTAAAAAAGAGAAGAGGCGGGAGGAAGACGAGTAAGCTCCACGTTCCTTCCCTGAACTTCCATCGAAAGCGAGGGACCAGGAGGGGCTCTGCCAATGTTCCAGCTGTGCTCCACTGGAAGCTTCAGAGCCTGTCACCCCACCACAAAGTGGGGTGACCACGCTCCCTACCTCACCCAGGGCTGCCTGGCAGACGATGAGCGCAGGCCTGGAGCGCAGCGAGGCCCCAGTGCGCGCCAGAGCAGCCGCTGTCATTGCGAGAGGCTCCGTGTTTACCTCTCCCAGGCCCTCTGGTGGCTGACAGGCTAGTTCTCACCGGTGCTTCTGACAGGTGAAGGGAAAAGCTACAGCCAACCCCACGGAGACAAACGGGTTCTGCTGCGGATCTCTGAGAGACAAAACCTCGCCACTGACCAGCCACGTCGAGGAACTCCGAGAAGGTCTCCACCGGCATGAACTCCTCCTGGAAGGTCTTCAGGGCTTTGTCAGCAGCCTCGCAGATAGGCATGTCGTTGTGGCGGATGTACTCCGCCAGAGAGCAGGACCAGCCTCCCTCGGTGTTGCTGGTGGGCACCTTCTGCAAGAAGCAGCAGGAGACGGGCCCGGGGGTGGAGGGCACCGCCTCCGGCCGGGCTCATCAGCTCTGCAGAGCAGACAAAAGGCCTCCCCACTCCCTGGCTCTGCAGAGGTCCCCCTGGAGGGTGTCTTGCCCCAGAACAATGAAATTTCACCTCGCCCTTCTCTCGGCCCCTTCGTCACACACCACGCTGCTCGAACCTACAAGCCACAGCAAGTGGCTGCATTCCTTCCTCCCCACACACGTCACACGTGCGTTCCCCAAAGAGGAGGGAATCGTCAGGATGCCTTAACCGAGCCGTTTCGTTCGGATTACAAAAAAGGAACCAGCCCACGCCCTCTGACTCCTTCCAGGAAGAGAGGAGTGTCCCGTTGTAAGCTGGGCTGGTGTAAGTCACACTTGACAGGGCAATGAAGTTTATCAAAACTGCGGGAACAGGAGCAAGCAAAGGGCGACTCAGGAGGGAGGACTCGCTTGCAGCAGGGCCCAGGAGCGGGCAGGGACAGCCCAGGTCTGGGCTGGTGTGAGCCCCCCCACAGTGGGGGCAGCCACTGCCGGCCCAGGCAGGGTCAAAGCCAGCAGCACAGGTCACGGACACCCTTGCAGCCGCCCACCAAGCCTCTGATGGTGTCCTTACCTTGAACATGTTGTAAGTGAGATCGACGAGGGCCCAGAAGAGGAGGGAAGAGCGATACACAGAGTAGTCCTTCACGGTCTTGTCCGTCAGCCTGGAAAAGAAGGGCCGGCTGCCTGCGTGTCCATGTGCACATGGAAGGGAACTCACAGGGCAGGGCGAGGGACGTCACAGTCATCTGTGTCACTCCGCTCCAGCCACTCGTCTGTCTTCTCCAAAACAAGGGGCTGAGGGCAGCTTCTCAGCCCCTTCACGTGAGCCTGGATGTGGTGGTTTATTTACTACGAACGTGTCCCCTGAAAGACTCACCTTAACACGGACTCTTCCAAATCAGGGTGAGTTGGAAGAAAGGGGGACCTAGGCTGGGACACAGCAGCCAAAAGCCTAGGGCCTCCGGGCGAGGCCGAGGGCTCACGTGTTCCCCCAAGCTCAGCCCCCACACGAGCTCGTGGACTCGACAGGATCTAAGAAATGGAGCAGGAACCACGGCCCTCCCAGTCTTCACATTCCCACCACGAGAATTTCAGTCAGCAGACCTAAAGCCACCGGACAGAGCGACTGGTCCGCCACGTGCTGCATTGAGAACAGTGCGCTGGTGGCAAAGTGGCGATGAGCAGTGGCACCCTCGGTGTCCCTGTCCGGGACGGAGCGCACAACCGCCCACGCCTCCCAGCCCGGATAATCCTGAGCTGCTGACCACACCCACTGGTTTCTACCCAGTATCGATTGCTTCTACTTAATCCCTGATGCAGCCGAGGATTAAGGCCAGCCAGTCCCTGGGAACCTGGGGCTGTCTGCCCCCCTCAACAGACACCCCTGCTGTGAGGGATGGTCACACCAGGCACAGCCACCGGGAAACACAGACCAGACCAGACTCCTCTCTGCCCAGGGAGTGACGAATCAGGGCTAGAATTTGGTTTCTACCACCCAAGTCTACAAGAGGTGTCGCCTGCAACCTGGCTTCACCAGGTGGTGAGTACAGGCCAGACAGACCCTTGTCACAGACCCTTGCCCTGGAGCACCCTAGAGCGTGAGCCAACAGCGGACTGAAACTTAGTACCGTGTGCACGTGTGCTCACGTGTGTAAGCATCACAGAGAACAAGTGCAGCTGCGCTCTAACACGGCAGCTGAAACCGTGCTGTGTGGGCCCTGCGTGCCAGGTCGCTGCTGCACGGGACCGCCATCTGCTCCCGGTCGGTGCTCGCACTTCTTTCCCAAAAGTAAAGTAGCAGTAAGACAAGAGAGAGCTCCATTGCTGAAATATGCTTCCTGCGCCCTCCCTCCCCCTGAAGCCCTCCAAAGCACCCACTTTCTCCCCTGCCTGCCAAGCACAGGGGGGTGCCGCTGCCTGAGGTGAAAATGACTGTGAGGTGGGCCTGGGGGTCAGGGTGATGATCTGTTTCCATGTAAACAGGATGACAAGAAAGTCCCAGGCTCCGGTACACAAGTTCCTGGCAGAGGGACCCCTTCTCTGCGAATGTGGGACACACAGAAGAGGTCCACTTCTCTGGGGCAGGTCCCTGGAGCTCCACCACTGAGTGTCTGCCACTGCCTCCCTGCCCGTGATGCACGAAGCCTGCGCGGGCAACACTGCCCAACCAGGGGATGGCGCCTCCCAAGGCCCTTCCAGCCCGGCCTCTCCCTGGGGGGCGTCCCCACGTCGTGCCGACGCCCAGCCCCTCCACCAGTGTTTCAGGGGCCCCGCTCGGACTCCACGCCACACCAGGGCAGCCCCCCGCGGTGACTGTTTTGCCTCGGTGAGCAGCCGTCCTGAACGACCCTGCCCAACTTAATCATTTAAGGCTAATTAGTACAGGAAACTAACTGCTGCAGAGAAGAGGGCGGCTCGGGAGTGCAGCTCGCGTTGGGTTTCCTGACTGAGCTGTGACCAAACTGGCCTCTGTAACCTCCTGGGACAGTGAGGAGCCCTGGGCTCCTAACTGAAGAAACAGCTCCTGTGGGCTCAGATTCACACCTGCCACCGAGAGCCTGTGCCCAGCGGTACCCACCGTACGCGCGGCGGAAGCAGGCCAGCCTGGCTCACCAACGCCGTAGCACCCACCAGATGGAACCTGCGACTCTAGTGGTTAGTTGCCGACTAATGTTTGGAACGAGGGGTGGGTAGTCGGGAACCCAACAGGACGCGCCCCTCCTGCTCCCCACGCGGGCACTGACTGACGCGGGCCTGATGCAACTGCAGAGCGCCACCCGGTCCCCTGTGGGCTCGGGGCGCCCACGACGAGCACCCTCTGGTGAATGCCAGCTGATGGACGTGAGGAGACCAGGGTGCCAATTCAGGCACACGGCGGCCACCGCCGCCTGGACACTGCCCCATGGCCTGTCACCATCAGGGGCCTGAAAACCTGAGCTCCCTCGTTGGCCAACAAATGTGGGAATGTTCTCTTGGGTCCGGGAGAAAGCAGACTCCCAAGGACAGATCTTCCAGGAGGGAAGGTTTCCCCTGAGTGTCAGAAGCAAAGGGGCAAACGCCCCGCTGCTCTGCAGCCTGGGGTAGGCAGAGACTGCACGGGGCCACCGTGAGCGAGGGTGGTGCCCCCGGGGCCTGCCGCGCGTGCGGCCGTCGCGTGGGCATCTCGGGGGCCGCCCGCCGTTGTTCGCAGGCGCCTCTCCCCAGGCACCTCCCGTCTGACCCAACCCCCAGCACAAGGTCATGAAAACAAAGAGTACTTCCTTCTTTAGGAGGCATCCAGGTCACTGAGAAAGAGGAGAACAGCTCATGGAATGTGACAAGGACAGGACAGGAATGTGACCAAGAAGGGAGAAAACAGCTTTTAGTGATCGGAAAAGAAAAGCCCCAACCGCAGCCACACAGAGGCTTTCCTAGTCTGTGCCCCAACCAGGTGACCGGGAGACCTGTTGCCTGTCTGAGCCCAACGCCCAGATGCTCTTCCCTGCTGCCCTGCGCCTGACTGGCTTCCCCCTGAAATTTCCCAGAGATGAGCCCGGCTCTCCTTCCAGGGGCTGAGTGCCAGACTCGAAGGCAGCCAGGCACCTGCCAGCCATCGGGCCTGGACTCCTGACGGCACAAACTGAGATGGGTCGGGACTGACGACTGAGCCCAACGAGCACGCCTGCCCTCCCTCGGCACATGCACGTTGCCAGGCAGCTCTCGAACACTGGGCACACACAGTCCAGGCCACGGGGGCAGGAGGCGGCTTCCCGAAGTCAGCACTTGCTGAAGCAGGCACTAACCTGGTGGCTCCTCCCGGAGCCACTGCCCGGGCCTGAGAGGTCACCAGCAGCCTCCGCAGGATTTCCACTCGCGTGGTTCTCCACTTCTCGGGGGGCAGGATGTGCAGGGCCAGGACTGTGAAATAGTGGGGCCCGTCCACTTCAAAGGCACTCTCCACCCACTTCTCCTTGGGCTGCTCCAAAAAGCCCTGGAGGTTCTTCTCTTCTCGGGAAGTTGCTCGGGTTCTGGAACAAAAGGGGATGATGGAACCAGGGTAGACGCGAGGGACCAGCAAGAGCGGAGGAGGAGGCTGTGCTCAATTTCTCAAACGCTTGGGTCGTAGACCACTCCCACCCACCCCGACTCCCTTCCCCTCCTCCCCGAGTGCCACTGCTGCCCATCCAAGTCCATCCTGGTGGCATCTCCGCCCCCACCCCGGCTCGGCTCCCACACAAGTCCAAACCAGGGGCTCCTGCGTGCCCTGTGTATCAGGCACATCCATTAACATGCCACTGTCAGCGACTGCGTAACTCTGGAAGTAACAGCCAGCATGTTTTTACCACGGAACCTGAAGCCCAGAGAAATGAAGTGATTTTCCCAAAGTCACAAGCCAGTGAGTGGCGGCAGCCGATGCGAACCCAGAGTCCGTGACTCCCAGCCCACACTGCCTGCACCCTCCCTGACCCTGTGCAGTCTCACTAGAGCTAAGGGGTTCACACTCGGTTGGTGTCCGGTGGCTTTCCGTGGCTTGCTATTTTGTCTGTTTTCTTATGTGCCTGTGCCCTGTCTCCTCCATCAGAACCACTTCCAGGGAAGCACCACTTCTTGTTCTCACTCTTGCCTAAACTACAATGAGAATGATGATCATGAACCTGAGTGCCAGGTACCACTCTTAAGAGCTCCAGGCGAACCGTCTCATTTAACCCTCACAATGACCCTGAAACAGGCGCCAGCACTGTCCCAACCTTACAGACAAGGAAACTGCATGCAGTACAGTGAGAGTAAACAGCCTGCCCGAAGTCACGCACGGGGACAGGGAAGACCTGGACTGCGAACCCAGGCCACCGGGCTCCAGAGCCTGTCCAGCTAAGCGAACTCTGTCTTCCCTGCGTGATGGAGCCTTGGCACGTGCTCCCTGACCTGCACTGACCAGGCGTTTCTGGCTACTCTCTCTTCAAAGACCCTAGATGGTGCTCTCAGGACAAGAGTGCTGGATGCCCTGCCCAATTCTATGGTGGCGGGGGTGGGGGGACAGGGCAGGGTCCAGAATGGGAAGAGAATAAACAAACTCAGCACCAGCAGCCACGAGGATCCGTCGCCAGACGCGCAGAGGGCACTGCCAGACACGGCATCGTGGGGAAGCCGGAGCAGCGGTGCCAGGACACCTGCTCCCTGAGGAACGGCACCCATGCAACTGGGAAATGTGATCAACCTGATTTCCCACAGCTGGGGGTCAGAGGCTCGCTGTCATCGCAAGTCCCACTCAGCTCTGCTCTGGACCACGGTGTCACATACTCGCCTCAACAAAGGCAGCCACGGCCCTCTCCTGGGTCCCCTGGGACCAAGCTCACAGCAACCGGGAATGACCAGCTAGGAAAGCAGTCCATGGCGAGAAACAGGGCCTCCGTGAAGGCTGCGGGTCGGCCCCAAGCTGGCCAAGACAACCGTGACTGGCCCCCCCTCCAACTCGGGAACTTGAGCAGGAGTTAGAATGCCTAGCATTCGAGAACCTCTGACGCCTGATATCACCAGCTCCTTTCTGCTGGGCAAATCGCGCCAGCCCTATGGGTCTGCTCTCTGCCCTGGAGAACCGGGCAGTCCACTCTCCCTCCCAGCCGCCAAGAACAGACATGTCTCTGCAAAAGCCGAGGGCTCAGTCAGAGGCTGCAAGCAGGTAATTAGCACTGCTCGGCCCGAGGCAGGGTTTGGACAGTGCGAACGTCTGTGCTGTCAGCAGTGCGGTGCTTCTCCCGACAGTCTGTCTGAACAGCTGGGCAGATGATGCAATGTGCCCAGGGAGACCCGCCCGTGCGTCTTTTTAACCACGAGGCCTGCGGTCTGGAGGTCAGTCAGCCTTTTAACCCACACGGACGTGGGAGGGAAGCTGAAGACAACACCGTGGCGGAGAGAAGACCAGAAGGGACCAGAGGCAGGCTGCCCTGTGCCTGAGCTGAACTGCAGCCGCCCCGGGGGGCTGCACACGGCCTGTCGACTCTCTGCCCACTGGGTCTGGAGGACTTGCTAGAAGAGAGGGGCCTAAAACGTGAGACCATTTAATAAATCAAATCTAAGAGCTAAAGCATATTACATCTCTTCATCGGAAATCTGGGAGTGGAATGAAAACATATTCTCTACCCCTAAGTGCGTCTTTAAAATCACACTTTTACACATCCACCTACTCCACAGTGCACGTGTGGAAAAAACCTAAACCCTTCCTGGCCGCCTTCCTTCTCAGCTGACTTTCCAGATAACCTTTAACACGCCCGCCTCTCGCTCACACTTGCCAGAAACGTGGCTTAGCAGAGAGGAAACGGGGGAAGCAACTCCAGTTCCCACTCACGGACGGGTTCTTGGCTCTGCTGCGTCACCAGGATGTGAACCCTCACCTGTAACACCCGTGTGCCCCTGAAGTGACTGCACGCAGCTCCGACCCATGGCCGCCCCCATCCGAGAGAAGGGAGTCCAGCGAGGGGAAGCAGAGGCTGCATCGAAGCAGAAGCTTCACCGGTCTGGCTTCTCCCAGTTTCTGTCCCCTCTGTGCCCAGGCAGGAGACGGGACAGTTTGGGAAGGGAGTCACCTAAAAGCCACAGACGACCACTCCTACTTTGGCAAAGGCTGCCTCAGACATTCGCTCTGACGCTAACTAGGGCAAACACGGGACAGCGGGAGGTCCCGCTGGGCCAGCTGGACGCTGCCCGGGGTGGGGGGAGGTACTGACGTGTTCAGGACATAAAGCACAGTGTGAACGATGTATGGGATCAGGTGGATGTTGCTCTCCCGGCCGCCACCGCCAGTGTCTGCGCTGAACGACTGCTCCATGGCGAAGCGCAGGAAGAGCAGCTTGATGTCGTGGATGTTCAGCTGGTACGTGGGCTCCCGCTGGCCTGTGCATTCCTGGAGGTAAGTGTTGTGCCTGGGGGAAGGGGGGGCAGGACAAACGCTGACGTGGAAGCGAGCTTCCTGGCAAAAGCCCCGTTGGGAGAGCCCCCCTTGGCACCCCCTTCCCTGAGGGCTGCACCGGTCGCACACACAGACAGTGGGGCAGAAGGGAGCAGTGAGGACAAGGACTGGGGCTACCAGGAAGGGACAGCAGAGGACATTCCTTCTGCTGGGACTGAAAGTGATGTCTCCAAGCTTTAACAAGAACCCACTGGTTCTGAGGGACCCACTTCTTGATGGGTCACTGTCACAGGACAAATTGTGGCCACGTCCAAAAGTACATTTTGGAAGAAAAAAATAGAACTTACTCCTTCTGACTAATAAGGAAATCTAGCCACGAGAATCATTTCCTCAACCTCCAAACAGAAGTTCTTTCTATGTCAATTTATATTACAATCTATTACGTTTATTAACCGTGTGCCCGAGTAAGTTCCCCAACCTCTCTGTGCCCCAGTCGTCGCCTGTGGAGTGTGTGTAGCAGTGAGACACGGTGAGCAGCTCCGTATTGCCTACAGCTCCTCCCGTCACCACCACCGCCAGGCGGCTGTTCTGCGGGGAGGGCCTGGGGGGCGGCACCACCTCGGGGCCAAAACCTCACGGAAGCTTCGGCTCCTCTGCTCTGGATTTTAGGACAAGGAAGGCCTCCAAACGGCCTGACCTTCCCCATGTAACTAAGCTATTACTTTTCATTATTTAAACCTCAAAGGCACACGCTGTAGAAGGGAATGCCGGGAAATGCTGGCCTCGAGAACCAAGTCGGGCACCCCGTGTCTCATGTCCTCGGGCCAGCCAAGGAGGAGAGGCAGTGAGCAACTGGACATTCTCCGCGGTGCACCAGATGCCGAGGTGCCAGTTTCTCTCAGCAGAGTTGCTCTCCATTCCGAACAGCCCCCTCGCCAGCAAGCAGAGAGAGATGGATTCCCACTGATTCACCACTGATTCCCATCTCCTGGGAATCCCCTTCCCTACCACGCAAAATACTCAACACTCACCTTGCTAAGCAGGTGGCAAAAGCTGATTCAGGGACGTGAGGTCCCCAGACCGGAAGGAGCCCATTGCACTTGGTGTTGGCGTTCTGGAGGGCGGCACTTTCCCACTCTTCCCGGCCTCGAGCCAACCTGGGTGGGGAGGGGAGCAGGGACGCATGGCTGCTGGAGCTCATTCGGCAACCAGGCACCTGGGCAAGTGAGGTGGAGGAGGGTTTGCCACCGCTAAGGAAGCCAACCTGTGCCCCGACCCTGGGCAGAGAATTAACCATTTGTGACCCTGATATAGCAACTACAGCTTCACTACTTCAGGTAAGTAACACTGCTTTCCCCAGCCGTGGGCTAAAGCCATGAATACTTTCCCAGTCATATGGCAAGAATGACTCTGCAGCCTACATGGTTTAAGGTCGAACACCCTAGCCCTGGAGACTAAGAAATAGCATGAAAACTCCAGAGCTGGCAGTCCTGCCCCTACAAGTCCAAGGCCTTAGACAAGCAGCCCTCCTCAGTGAAGAAACAGAGGTCTGCAGCTGAAGCCGTGGGAGGGAGCGGCCCACTGAAGGAGCCAGTTCGCGAGAGCCGGGCCCACCTGACGGCTGCCAGGTGGCAGTCGTAGTGCACGATGTTGAAGTGGGACACGGTGCTGTAGCCCTGCTGCTTCCGGGGCTTGTTCTCCATCTCCTCCAAGGCTACCCGCTTGGTGAAGGTGTAAATGCCCAGGACCTTCGTGGGCTACCAGGACGACAGAAAGAGGAGGAGAGGTGAGGAGAGACTCAGGCAGGCTCTGGAAGTAGGCGAAGCAAAGCAGAAGGGACTCGGAAGTCTGCCCTTCTAGGAGGGGATAACCCAGGAGAAGGGGTGACAGCCAGCACCCCCTCTTGGCCAAGCTCTGGGCTGGGCACAGCGAAGCAACCAAACTAAGCAGATGCTATGCAGATGGAAAGGCAGAAATTTAAGTTTAAATTGCACTTTTGGCTTTGCTTTATTTATCTAAAAATAGAGAGTAAAGTGTCTCTTGATAAATTGCTTGCTCTTCCAGAACGACCAGGCAGCCTTCAAGGGCCCGGGTTACATACAGCAGGACTCACAGGGCTTGTGGCTTGCCCTTCAACAGTGTGGGTGCCGGGTAGTAAATTCAAGCTGGAGAGAAAGCGGGACCCCCCCTTTAGGCCTTCAGGGGAACAAGCAGGCCCTGAAGCGCAGAGGTCCTTGCTGCTCTGCTCCTCTCAGGTGTAACTCTGGTTGGGGAGCTGACTGCCCAGGTGTCCTGAATGGAAGCAGTGTGGTGTATTTCTAAAAGCCCAGGGCTCTGGCTCTGTGCCGTGACCTCTGCTCTCTCATCCATGAACTGGGACCTTTTACAAGTTGAAAGACAAAACCACGCAGTTGACATTAAGCGCTGGGCACAGGACCTAGCAGAGACGGGATCCAATGAGTGGCTGCTGTCTGCTGTCACAGTGACGGGGAAGACTAACGTTCCTGCCTGTAAAGAACAGTGGCCAAGAGCAGGTCTCGGCCACTCTCAGAGCAGAAAGGCCCGGGGGCGAGGGCCGCCAGCGCAGGGAGGCAGCAGGCTGCGCCACCTGGCCCAGGCCCGCACCTGGAACTTGTACCCCTCCCTGCAGATGCAGCATGTGAGGCCCGGCTCCTCGATCAGCTCCTCCATCTGCTTCAGGAGCGCCGTCTTGGTCACCACCTGGCCCTTTTCATTTGTCTGTTGGGGGAACCCCAGATGACATGTCAGGAGGGGATTTCCACAAACCCTCCCGCCCCAGCTTGGGGACACTTGGGGACAGGGCTGACCCTCCACGTACACTAAAAGGACTGTTGCACCAAAGGAAATCCCCACGGCTTCTGACGAGCGTGAAGACCCAGACCCTTTTGCCACCCTCTTCCCACAGGAACCACAGAGGCAGAGGGGCCATCCAGCTGGAAGCCTGGCAAGCTGCCACTCGCCACCAAAAGAGCCCCTCCTTTGTGCCAGCAACACCAGCTCTCAGCGGCCAAGGCTGCTTCATCACGAGTCATTTACTGTTCCCACGGGAGCCCCAACTGCCGGCAGGAAAGTGTGCTGCCTGGAGGGGCCCTCGGAGGGCTGTGCTCCCTGCGGGGCCTCAGGACAGTGAAAATGGCACAGCCCTCATGTGCAGACCTGGCTCAAAATCCCATCACCCACCTACTAGTTATGTGCCCTGGCCTGTTTATGTCACCTCTCCACCTCGGTCACTGCGTCCGGAACGGGTATGATTAATACCTCACAGAATGACACAAAGGCTTAAACAAAATCTTGCAAGTAAGGTGCCTAAGTGTAGCGTGTGGTGTACAGTACATCTTCAAGGGTTATCCTCACCACTTTTACTTTTTTGTGAACTTAAGTCCCTACCCCAAGTCTCATCTATAGAGCAGAACGGTAACAGCCACAGCCCTGAGGGCTGTTGGGAAGATTAAGGAAAGTGACGAGCCCAGCACACCCTGGTCCCTCCTTTCTCTGTCCAGCCTTCGAGCTCACCCTCCCCAGCCCCAGCTCCGCCCAACACACGAACGACTCTGCGGTGGCCATCTCCTCAACAGCAGGGCAAGAGTGAGGGCACTCGGGCGCGGGCTCACCGTCATGCCCAGGGTGCCCAGAGCCTTCTGCCGCATCGCCATGGCCATGCGCTTCTTCTCCGCCCGGGTCTCCCTGCGGGCGGCGTCGATCTTCTTGTTCACGTCGGGGTGCTCCCGCAGCGCCTCCAGCAGGTTCTCTGCCAGGGTCCCGATGCCCTCGTCACTGGACACCTGCTCCAGTTTGTGCAGGTTTGTGATGGAGTCGGTTCCAATCAGAACCTGCCAAGAAAGGACCAGAGAGACGCAGGCCCCCAGTTATCCCACCAGTGTTCTTCTGGGAGTGTAAAGGTTCAGGGAAATAGAAGGTGCACAATCTCATGTCATCTGGTCAAATTCCAACCAGACCCTTTGACTCTACACTTTGAAAGGGATGGACAAACAGGAGAGAGTTTGGCTCCACCAATGACCTTTGACCCATCACTGCGGTCTTTAGCTTCAGCACCTCCGTCCATAAGAGGTCACGCCAGGGTTCCTGCGACAATCGAGTCGGGTACCATGTAAATCGTCCAGGCACAGGGAAGGGGCTCAGGGCAGGCCCCCTGGAGAAGCAGCACCCACGGAGAGGCCTGAGCGGTGGCCTCGGGGCTGGTGCAGAGCAGAGCAGGCCCAGGACATTCACAGAGCCTCTGCTGCAGGCTCCACCAAAGGCCCTCTGGGTTCACCGAACTAAGGAGCATGGGAGTTTTCTTAACCTCCGGGTCTAGAGGTACAACTGCAAATGGGACTTGGAGCAAAAAAACACTTTAAAACATATAGCAACAGGAAACCGCTGTGCCCCAAAACACGCTCTGCACTGGTGTCGGAGGGTCCCGGGACACCGAAGGCAGGTGTGGTCTGAAAAAGCTCTCCGGGCAAGCTCGCTGGGAACAGCACCAGCTCACTGAGACCCGCACCGCCCACGCCACAGGTGAATCAATGACAGGCTCTACATGTTTGACGATAAACTGAACACAACAAAGTCAACTTGCAATGTGAAAGCTCAGCACGCAACTCAGACCACTCACTGGAGCCCGTAAATCTGTCCTCACACCTTCAAACCTGTGGCTCAGCAAAAGTATGGGGAGCCCCGTGTCTCCAGCTCCTAGACCCTGGCGGGCTGCACTCAGCACTCTGGGTGTGCGCTGAGTGTGGAGCAGCGTTCCAGGTGCTGGGGAGGTAAATCCGTACTGTCCTAGGGCTTACAGTCTCGTTAGGAGGGCAGACCGGGCATTAGGAGAAAACCCGAGGAACTCTCCCCTACCTTACTTCAAACCTCCCAGGTGCTCCCGCTCCTTCCAGCACCACCATTCACCTTGTCACCCAATCCAGAGACCAAACGGAGCCCTCATTCATCCACTTCTTCACTCCTACATGTAGTCAACCTCCGGGTCCGTTTATCCCGCCTCCCAGATCTCTGTGGAATACATTCACTCTCCACCTCGCTAACTGGTTGCCTCTGCCTAGCACAGCACAGGTACACGCTAGGAGCTCAATAAGTAAGTGTTGAAATAAAAGTGAATGACCAGAAGTGTGAATGCCAAGTACCTACCTAGATAAGCCTTATTCTAAAGAAAGTAATTCAATTTAGTAACTAATAATAAGACTGGCTACCAGCAGATCTGTTCTAAATGTACGTGTTGCCACCTCAGTCCTTTGATTTATCCATATTTAAAAGAGATGTTGCATGGGTAAGAAAAATAAGGTAAGACTCTTATGTAGGAAAAATTATTACCACAAAGATGTATTAATTACGACCATCTCCACTGAACTGAAGTTCAGAACAACAGAGATTTGGGTAAGACAGATGAAAATCTTGTCTGCAACCAAATTATTAATACCACGTTTGAGATGAGTTATCAAAACTGATACCAAGTAAGAATGCAGACCTATATTCAAGGTAGAACACTATAAACAGAGAAAACATCCAGCCCTGAGGACTCTTAAAAACTGCACATTAAAAAAAAAGAACAAAAGAAAAGACATGAACAGACATTTCACGGAAGATACACGCAGACGAAGCAAACGAAGAGACAGATACGCAGGCTCATTGGCCGCCAGCAAAATACAAATGAAAACCGCGATAACGTGTCACTACCCGGCTATGAGAACGGCTGAAAGAGAGAACAGTGACCCCCAGTGCCGGCGAGGACTCAGAGAAAGCGGCTCACGTGTGCACTGCTGTGGGGAACGCAACGTGCCGCCACCACTCTGGAAAACAGTGTGGCAGCTTCCCGTGAAGCTAAGCCTGCAACTGGCAGTTGTCCTCTTGGGCCTTCATCCTAGGGAAATGAAAGCTTACGTCCACATATAAACCTGCACACAAACATTCGGAGCAGCTTTGCTTGTAACCGCCCCACACTGGAAACAGCCCAGAAGCCCTTTAACAGGTGAACGGTCAGACAGGCTGTGGTGCATCCGCACCACGGACACCACTCGGCCATGGAAGGAACAAACGCTGCATACCACCCGGACAGATCTCCAGAAAATTATCCTAAGTGAAAAAAGCCAGCCCTGCAAAGGTTCCATGCTGCATGATTCCCTTTACATAACGTTCTTGAAATGGCAAAATTACAGAAATGGAGAACAGACCCGGGGTCAGTGGTGGTGGTGGTGGGGGATGGAGAGCGTGGGTGCGGCTCTAACGGTGCAACAGGAGGGGCCCCTGTAGTGCTGAGATTGTCCCGGAGCTGGGCTACACCGATGTCAGTACCCTGTCTGAGAGATCTGCCAGCTTTCCAAAATGTTACCACTGAGACAAACTGGGCAATGGGTACACGTAGGTATGATTTCTCTCTATTATTCCTTAACAACTGCATGTGAATCTACAATGACATCAACATAAAAAGTTTTCAGAAATCCAGCCCTGGCTGGTGTGCCTCAGTGGATTGACCTCTGGACTGCGAAGCGAAGGGTCGCTGGTTTGACTCCCCATCAGGGCACATGCCTGGGCTGCGGGCCTAATCCCCAGTAGGGGGTGCATGAGAGGCAACCACACACTGATGCTTCTCTCCCTCTCTTTCTCTCTCCCTTCCCCTCTCTCAAAAAACAAAGTCTTTAAAAAAATAAATAAATAAATATCCAGCCTGGCCACCTTCACAGACCAGTTAGGATCTACAAGGGCTAACAGGTGCCTCGGCCCCACGGGGGGCTGACAGGAAGAGCAGCAGAGGGCCTCTCTCACCGCCACGTCTTCAGCTGCCCGATGCAGAGCAGAAATTGGCGGTGATGAGGTTCCCGATGTCATGGGAACCTCAGCAAAGTGACAGGAGGGCCAGTTTCTGGCTGTACCCTTGCAGTCCCACTGCGGCTCAGCTGCCCCATGAGATAATAAAGCCCCACGTGAGCAGGAGCTGAATGAGGAAATCATAAACAGCACTCAATCCGCTGGGCCAGGTGACCCCTAAGAGTCTCTGCCCTCTAGGAGCTGCGTGCATGTGCTAGGGGAGGTCATGTCTCAAGGCTAATCCCAGCATCACTATCACTCAGTCCTGGGAGAGGGGGGGAGACAGTGTGTGGTTTCCTCACTCTGCATGTCCTGTCTGCAGAATAAGGTCTACGTGCAGGCTGGCTACTCACCTGGGTGGCAGGGTGCTGGATGGCCAAACCCCGGAGAAGCCTCAAGATGAACGGCAGGGCTGGACGAGACAAAAACTTCTTCCAGATGTCAGCATCCAAACTGCAAAGCAAAGGAAGACTCCTCAGCAGGCCGGAGAGGCAAAGGCTCCCTGGAAACCAGATGTTGACTCTGGCTCGTTTAAACGTGACCCTCAAGAGTGCCACAAAGGACCACAAAGGACCACAAAGGACCATGCAGCTCAGCTGGGAAGCAAGAGAGAGGGGTCCTCTACACAGAAACCAAAGGCTGCCGTTCAGGGACCCTGCGGCAGCTAAGGGGTCACCTTGGTAGTTTTCAGAAGAGGAGGGAGCCGTCCAAGGAGGGCAAAAGGGAACGATTATGTCAAGATGATGGAGAAGAAAAGGAACTGGGAAAGGGGAAGGAAAGCAGTCACTCTGCTGGAGCCGCCTCTTACTTCTTGGCACTGGGAATGTGCTTTTTCATGTAGTCAAGTGCATTCTGGGTGATTCCCTTCTGCAGAATCAGATCCTTCAGCTGGTGCCCGTTGCTGTTGTTCTTGATGCCGGCTGCTATTTTACAGAAGCAGTCCAGGAAGACTTTATCGTCGCCGCTGTGGTCTTCATCGTACCTAGGCGGAAGGAGGGGAGAGTCTGACGGTGTGGAAATAATCACAGGGCTGAACAACCCTCCACAGTCTGCAGGATCAACTCTAAACTCCTCGGCCTGGCATAGAGAACCTGCTCATCTGGTTCCTGTCGCTCTCCTGCCACCTGCTCCGTCGCCCAGACTCCAACATTCCCTGTGTTTTCACGCTTTCGCACACACGACGTCTGCCCGGCTTCGTCATACCCTCCTCCCACCCTACGTCCACTCACCAATTTAACACAATATACAGGGTCCAGCACAAACAACACCCCCTTTCTTTATTACAAAGCCATCAGCACGTAACTCTGTAACATAGCAACAGCACACTCAAGCACACCATATGACATTTTAGGTGAAATGTTCAAATTAAAACTATAAATGATTACACCTGTATTATTACCCTACCGACCACACTCAAGCAGGCCTTACTTCCACCAGACCCTGTATTTTAATTACAGAATCTCCAACTCAATCGAGCCCCTTAAAGACCAGCCAGACTGGCAGGAGAAACCTAACAGAAATCCCAGGGGCGCCTCCTCGGTCTCCCAGAACTAGTTCGGCGCTTTCGTGGGGGCTCTCCCTTTGCTGCATGAAATCCGAGCAACATACTTATCGAAGCTGCAGTAGGGTTTGAACCGCTCCACCAGGATCTGCATCTTCTCCAGCTCCCCGAAGGACAGGTACGGGATGATGCGCAGCAGGCCCTGGAGCACGCTGGGGTTGGAGCGCACGAAGGTGCTGTTGATCTGGTCCAGGAGCATCACGAGCTGATCTTTGTCCCCGGTCAGGAGGAGGTTGCCCTGCAATGAGAAAGAGGGGGGAAGGACAGAGGGGCCCGTAATCGGGTCAGGACTTCGGCTGTAGCACCTCCAGGGGTCACAAAGCAGCCCTAAAAGAACGGTGTCTCGGCACTTTCTGGAGAACAAAGAGTGTGAGTTCCACTTGATAAATTAATGTCTCAATTTCTGTGATGGCTCTGTTAGTAGTCTCAAGTGCTCAAAATAAACCAAAGCAGTCTCTCCCTCCCCCAGAGAATGTTACTACCTGAAACTCATCTAGTCATCTTTCTAGCCAAAACATTAGCATCCACCAGAATGGAGGAAGGTAATGGTGCAGTCGGCAGAGAGAAACTGAACTGGGAGCTGGAGACCTGGGTTCTAGGCCTCCGACTATGTAACACCAAAGAGCTCACTTCATCTTTCTAGGCCGAGTTTCCTCAACTGTAAAACAAGGGGCTGGACTAGGGCCATGTCTATCAGCTGGAACATGCCAGAACTTCATTAATGAACGCTTCTGAGTGAAAGAACACCCTTAGCAGCTTTGTTTCTTTTGAATCCTCCACTTTCAGGCTTCAATGCAATGATGTCATCATTAACTAGCTGAGCCTTGCCATTCCTGCGAGCTGAGCAGGTTCAAGTGTTCTTGTTGACACAGACACAAGCGAGCCCGCTGCTGGCAATGGGACAGGGCAGATCCTCAGTGTCTACAGATCCACGGGCCAGGCCCACTCACCTTGTCCTCACTCAGGGGCTCGGCATTGGACTCATCCAGAATGATCTCCATAATGCTCAGCACCTGCTCGGCCACAGCTGCCCCACCACTGTCCTTGCTCTCCTGCTCAGCAACCAGGGCCTGGGGGAGGAGACACAGTCACTCTGGGGCAACAACAGAGCCACTCACTGCTGATGCTGCCTGCTCCTCAGACACCCTTCATGGCCTCGTTTCCCAGACCAGAGCCTGTCCAAGTGTGCATGTGTGTGCGTGTCCTCAGAGTGACACCAGTACGCAGGCCTTTGAGGAGGGTGAAAGTGCCAGGTTCCAGAGTGCTCTCTGGTTGCCCCGAGGTGAGCAGCACTACTTTCCACTGGTGTATGGTCTGGAGTGTTTTAAGAACTAACTTCCTCTGCCTGTGATCTAAACCCAGAAAGGGGACAAGGAAGATCTTGGGTGTCATGGCAGCAGCATGGGGGTGAGCCGGCAGGAAGAGGAGGGACAGGATCTGAACGATCCTGAATGAGCCTCTGCACCAGTCGGACAGATAAACGACGGGCTTGGAGGCCACAGACCCATTTCGTCTGTGTCCAGAATGAGCTGTTTTTCTCCCACCCAGGACCCCAAGACTCAGTCTTTATCTCTTGCAGCCCACACTCTTTACCAAGTTTAGCGTCCCCAGCATGACGTTCAAAGTGTTCATTTCCAGCTTGACCAGCTGCTGCCGGTTGACTTTCACCTTCACACAGTAACTGAACAATTTCAGGAGCACCTGACAAGAAAAGCCAGTCAAAACCCAGGAGACCATCTGAGAGTGTAGGTGTGGGGACAAGCAGGAAGGGATGTTTGCAAGAGGCTATGTATTGTCAGCAGGTCCTCCCAAAACCCAGGAGACACAGAGGGACATAATCCTTAAGGGGACATGGTAAGGTGGCTGGGACCTCACGCCAGCTAGGTATTTTAAACAGCAGTGTTCTCTAGCAGTCGCCCTTGTGGGCTTGGTGAATCTCTTACCACCTCTAAACCTACAGCAGACACCAAATTCCTAATGGAGCAGGTGATGCTCCGCTGTCTTGGGGGAAATCCTGGTACTAACTCTGAACTAACAGTCAACAGGGAGACTCCAAAGCTCATGGCCTATGGGGGCTCAGAACCATGTAGGTCATTTAAAACGTGGGCACAGTGATGTGTGACCTCGCTCACACCCACTGGAGGTAATAATCGTAGTGTGATACTTGTACTGCCATTGGAATCCTCTGCTCTTTAGTAATGAAACAGACGAGTAAGCAAACAGAATCCTACAAGAAGTGAAAGGGTTACTTATAAATCCATTTAAAAAGAAATAATAATTACAGACCCAGTACGGTCTTTTGTAGGGAAAGACCATTAGAAAGGGTTTCACAGGTCACTACAGGGACATGGCAGAAGGCTGCCATCACGCTGGTGTTTTGGCCCATCACACGTGGGCCAGGAAGAGGGGGGCGGCGGGGGGAGAACCTGGGACGCAGAGGGCTCAGGGAAGCTGCCAGGTCCTTCACTGGCTTGCACTGGTCCATGGCACCATGCTGCCCTCTAGGGTTAAATGGCGCAATGACCATGAACTTCTTTCCACAGGGGCCTCTCCCACAGCAGAAAGCTGGTCCCACTGTACTGCCTCCAACTCACTGTTAGAAGGTGGCGTCCCTGCTTGAAATCTCGGATCCCTGCCAGCCTGTTCAGCATGCACTCCAGGCCCCCACACTGGGCCATCACGCCAGCCATCTTATACACTTCTTCTTCATCTTCTTCTTCATCTGCAGCAGAAGGGAAGCCGAGCGGAAACAGAAAAACGTGGGGACAGGAATAAACCTGACAGCCCCCCCCACCAGCTGATGGCTATTTCCCTTTTTTGTATCTCTGGTAAAGATACAGCCAATAAAAGGGGCTGATACTAGACACTAAACTACACTATCTCACTCTAGTAGCTTTTTAAAACATTCCAGTCAAGTAAAATTATTTATTCAAATATGTGAAAATACAAGTACCACAACCACTATTATAGGGGGATGCAGCGAAGTAAGCTAAAAATAAATCTGACCTCGGATCTGTTGCTAATTTGCATTCTTTTCCCCGAGGTTGGCTTTTTTCCTCCCCAATCCCAGAGGTCTGTGAATCAGACCGTAGATACCTGTTTTCTTCCTCAGTTGCGGCAGTAATCTCCCTTCAATTCTGATCAGATGTACAAGAGAGTATCTGCCCAGAACACCCCTAATCCCGGGACATGAACTGCTGACTGGTGCCAACCCCCAAATCCAGCCTGCAGCGGTTATCTGCGAAAGGGCCGTACCTGTGGTGGAGTCCAGGGACTCGATAAACTCCTCGGTGGCATCACCAAGCAGCCCCCGCATTCGATAAACAATCCTCATGGGCTCTCCCTGAGCAGAGAAAGTTGGAGAACGGTACTTGTAATCAGGCCCAGAAAAGGCAAAGAAACAGCACCTGGTCTTGGTTAACGCCTCGGCAACACGACAACTCCTATTTCTCTACAAGATGTGGACCACAGAACCTGGAATCCAAATGCGCTGCATTTCACTTAGGACACAGGTAGCAAACACAAGGCCCATGGGCTGCACCTGTTTTATCCAGCTGGGCACCTTGTTTCTCCTGGCGGCAGTGCAGAGCTCCTCGCCGCTGGTTAAGGAGTAGTTACACAGAGTCCTAAATGACATTCAGCCCTGTGAAGGGAACTGTGAAGCTGATGTGGCCCCTGGTGAAAATGAGTTTGACACCCCCAACTTAGGGGAAAGAAGGCTAACTCATTTAGCATCTGTTTAGGCCAGGAACAGCAGGAAGCCTCCTACGGACACTATCTCATTTAATAACATTAAAACTCTAGGTAACAACTCCAACAACTACTACTCATTGTTTTACTCTGTGCTAAGTCCTATGCTAATTGAGAACTTCACATTAAGCATGGATAGAACTGGAAAGCATTATGCTGAGTGAAATAAGCCAGGCGGTGAAAAACAAATACCATATGATCTCACCTTTAACAGGAACCTAATCAACAAAACAAACGAACAAGCAAAATATAACCAAAGACATTGAAAATAGAGAACAGGCTGACAGGGACCAGAGGGGAGAAGGGAGAGAATTTCAGGGGAAAAGGGGAAGGATTCACAGGAACAAGTAAAGAGGACATATGGACAAAAACTAAGGTAGGTGGAAATGGGAGGGAGGTGGGGAGCACTGGGGGGATGGGCTGGGATGGGAGTAAAAGAGAAAACTGTACTTGAATAACAATTAAAACTTTAAAAAAATGCTAACAACAACAAAAAAGAACTTCAAATTACCCTTCTGTACAAGGTTAAAGCAGCCCATTTAAAGTTACTCAGCTATCAGGCTGGGACTAATGTCAGGCCTGCATCTTTAGGACAAACTCTAACCCAGAAGGACCACTACTCAAAGAATCAAGACAAGGGAGGTCAACAGGATCAAAGAACTTTGATTCACGTCTCAGGAACCAAAAGCAAGAAAAGACGATACATCAATCTTTGCCTACGGAGAGACGAATGTCTACATGTAACCATCTGGCAAGGTGCAAATTCATGTAAACTTCCTCAGTCTAGAACCTCCCCGCTGACGGGTTAACAAGGAGGACGTCTCCGGTAATTAGAAGGTTGCAGCGCTCAGTGAACTGGAGGGTTGTGAGTGTTCACTGCACGCCAGGCAACGAGGCAGGCACTCCGCATGTCCACTGTTCTCACGTGGAGATGAGAAATGGGCACCTGAGGCCGCACTATGTGAAACGATGCCACCGCCGAGCCCATGTTCGGCATCAGGAGGAAAAAGGTCCTGGAGAGAACTTGTTAGGAAGGCTTCTCAGCTACGGATGCTCAGCGGGAGCTGAGAGGGGGGCAGCCACAGACCATGGACAGACTTAGAAGAGAGGACAGGCTTCAGTCAGTGGCTAAGGAGATGGGCTGTTCATTGGGACGTAAGAAGGGGAGTTGACGAAGCCCCAGATAATAGCTGCCATAAACCCTGGACTCGGTCAGAATAACCCCTCAGTGAATTAGGCACACTAATGTGGGGGTCGAATGATCTCAATTTCCACCTTGCCTCATGGCTCAAAAGGGGAGGTGCCCATGTGAATTCTTTGGGTTCCACGCCACCATTTACAAGAAGGCCCACAAAAGCCTGATCTGAATTTCTTATGTGCATTGGGAATTAAGTCTGTATCGTTCTGTTTTGATGCTAAAATGTCAGTGACAAGATGCACTGGAGGGGCAAGCTTCTGCAAGTCCCAGCGCCGCAGCACCAGATCTACCCGCTGGCAGCCGCCCGACAGTAAACGCTGTCCAGGACTCCCGGCACAGTGGGGAAAGGGGAGGAGCAAAAATATGTGTACGTTAAAGGCCGACAGCACACTGCCAATCTGGTTTCTTAAAATCTACAGAAATATTTGGGAGTAAGTCTAGAAAAGTGTGCAGTGCTCACTGGGACCCTAGTTTGCTGGAACTATTTCTTTGATTCGTTTACTAAATGTCTCCTTAACAGAAACAAGAGATGAAAAGAAATGGGAAAGTGAGGAAGAAAAGCAGGAGAAAGGCAGGAAGGAACAGACAGGTTAGGAAAAGAGGGAAGGGACAGGAACCATCTAGGGCAGGCTTTCATGAGCAGGGTACTGAGGGGACCAAGAGGACCAGAGAGCTGGGCTTCCTTCACCTCCCTGCTCCCTCCGCAGGAATAACCGCCTGTGTGAGTCTAAACTCCCCAACTAGTAAGACAGAGATCACGCCTCCCTGGCGCAGCCACTGGGAATGTGTTCAGATAAGTAAGCAGGCCCCCAAAAGCTGGGGGTCAACCTCGATCACAAGATGCCTGTCCTTAATGGGTATGAGGCAGCAGGCGTCCCCACTGCGGTGCTCCTGAGACGCGCCCCGCCCGCTGCACACCTCCAGAACGCACTAGCCCGCCCTCTCTGGAAGCTCTGCACGAGCCAGCTGCCTCAGAGGAGGGCACGGGGACTGGTTTCCCCACACAAGCACGATCGGGGGAAGACAGACGCCCCAGAAGAGCTGCTGCGAGCTGGGGAAGTGTCGGCTGACAGCGGCTCCTCCGGGTTCAAGCCTGCACACATCAGCAAAGTCAAGCCGCACCTCCAAGCATGAAGAAACAAGCACCTACCTCATTCGTGGTGCACCAGACCTTCTTGTAAACCTCAGCCACAGGAAGGTCCAAACTAATGATTTTGTTGTTCACTAGAAGCTGAACAGAAAGGTAGATGAGGCTGTTACTCGGGGTAATTGTAAGGCAAGCCACACTTCAAGATCAAAGGGCACTTTACAGCAGAGGCTCAATTCATGACTTTTATGTGTTGAGGGTCAATCGAGTCTCCCCCTCTTAAAAAATGCACATGTGTGCAAGACACGCAGAATTTTGTGTATAATCTCATGGGTTACAAACATGCTTTAACCCAAACCATGGATTCCAGGCTACAAATCCCTGATGAGGACCTCTTAGCCTGAGCCCATTTCAGCCTCAGCACCAGAAAAAGCAATTTTCTGTTTCACCCAACATGCTTTTCACCATGTACATAATAACAACACCAATGTACCAGACACAGAGCTGGATATCTGCATGAGGGCTGAAGTGCCAGTAGTTACAGAGACCAGCTGGGAATCAGCAGGCCTCTGCCAGAGCAACGAGAAGAGTAGGTCTACACCACGATAAGCATGGCAGGCAGGGTCAGGGCCTCTGACAAGTTATTAACCTTTACATCCAGCCAGTGGGAATCATGAGCCCCATTTATAGATGAGAAAGCTGGGGCAAGCTGGCTGTCCAAGGTTAATCAGCTCTTAAGGGCAGGAACCTGGATTTGGTCCCAGCCCATTCTCTTAACCATGGTGGCACTGTCCCATGCTTGTTACCTCCATCCCACTGTCATCCTCCAGGAGAGCCACCAAGTCACAGTCCTGGCAGATCTTGTTCTTTATATCCCTCATAAGTGGCCCAATGCCCGGCTCGTTGCTGCTGTAAGGGTTGCCAGGCATCCTGCCCTGTAAGAAGTCTTCTTGTTGGGGGTCCTTCTCCAGGGTCACAAAGAACTCAGTGACCTCATTCTCCTCCTGAAGGACAGAGAGAAGTATGCATCAGAACGGACGGCATAAAGATATACGCAGAGGGACGGCCAAGGCCTTTTAGATTTATCATGTTCCATGACCACTCTGAGGGACACACCAGACTCATGCAGCCCCTTACACATTTAAAGATATAAAGAATAGGGAGCTTGGGGTGATTAAAAAATCCAAATATAATTCAAACAGCGTTACTTATCGAGCACGTCCCCTCAGGGTGGGTTAGGAGAGAAAGCCTAACAAAATGAGCAGATGAGGAGTGACCTGTGAAAGCCATACACCAAAATAAGCGCGCGGGGGCTGAGGGGGGGGGGGGGTTTGCTCTCCTCTGCCTGATCGTCTCGTGGATGCTGACCAAGCCGGGGCCAGGTGACTTTGTCACTGGTGGCCCTCAAGTCACAGACAGCATCAGGCATGCCCGACCCCAGTGACCTCTCATCAGTAACTGAGGACCCTGGCGCCCCTCGTCCTCATCCTTGCTCGGGAACAGGAAGGGTCTTCGGACCACGCTTCTCTACAGCAAGGCCAGGGAAACAGGCACGAATGCACGTGCACCCAAAATGGGGAGGCGGGTGTGGTGAAAATGTCCTTAGACTGCAGCTCGACGTTGTTCTTTCATATCACAGTGGATTGATAAGCAGTGGGATTTTGGCAATGGAAGATTAGACCTAGTTTAACAACAACAACAACAAGGCTGACCTTGACTTTGTATTTAGCAAATAAGACCAAGGAAGGTCTTGAGTTTTCCATCATCAGGAACAGGAAAATTATGAGGCTGCTTCTGGTTTTATGCCTGCCAATGGTGTGTTCTAAAATGCTGACTGGCCCTGTCTGGTGTGGCTCGGTGGACTGAGCACCAGCCTGTGGACCGAAAGGCTGCTGGCTCGATTCCCAGTCAGGGCACACGCCTGGGTTAAGGCTGGGTCCCTGGTTGGCGGCCTGCAAGAGGCAACTGATCGATGTTTCTCTCTCACACTGATGTTTCTTTCCCTTTCTCCCTCCTTTCCCTCTCTTTAAAAATAAATATTTAAAAATAAAGTAAAATAAAATGGTAACTAGAAGGCCCACAGGTGGTAAGACTGCTGATGACTATAACGCGTCACCGAGAGGTTCACAGCAGAAAGGCCCACGCAACCCGCAGAGGGGCGTGGGAAGCACGGCCACTTACAGGGTAGATGATGCTGCAGAGCCTCTCGAAGATGAAGACAGGAGTTCGGTAGTCGTCCAGGCTGTAGCGCTTGGCTGTCTCGATGCACACAGCCATGAAGGCCTTGGTTTCCGATTCTGTTCCTGCCCGGAACCAAAGTGGCCAAGTCAGTTAGGGAAGCGATTCACACCCAGAAACCAAGGTGAAGCTTTGTTAAGCATCGTCACTAACGGCCTCTCTCTGCCTGGCCAGTTACTACCGACGCAGCAGCACCAACAGTCCCACCAGAGACGTGGAGCTGACTGCGTTTTATACTCAGGCCTCATTCCAGTGGAAAGCCTCAACGTCCGAGTCTGCACCACGTGTCGTGGTTAGTGGGAACCATGACCTCTCACTCTCCTGACCAACACAGGTGCTCCAAAATGTCAAGTATTTGACATTTTGATATGATCTTAATGGTATTCAAATCTAAGAGAAGTTATAAGCTTCATTCTAAAAGGCCATGTAGACTGTCTTCTGCAAGCCAAAGGCATAACTTCAAACTGCATGAGGAAGGAGAAATATCCTCTTGAAAAGGGTCCAACCGACAAGGTCACAAACCGTCTGAGTGTGGCCGAATGAAAATGGCAACAGAAGGACGTCCGTGTTTGGCAACATAGCAGACTGTGTTCCCTGACTGACTTCCCACTTCTCACCACTTAGAAACTACTTAAAATATTGAATAAAAACGTATCAGTGAACTGTCACATTAGCCAAGAATGAAAAGCCAGGTTTAAGAGTAACCGGGGAAGTTAGAGACACACAGAGGTACCCTGGCTGGTGTGGCTCAGTGGATGAGCACTGGCCTGAGAACAGAAGGGTCACTGGTTCGATTCCTAGTTAGGGCACATGCCTGGGTTTCATTCAGTCCAGGCCCCCAGTTGGGGGTGTGAGAGAGGCAACCGGTCAACGTATCTCTCGCACATCGGTATTTCTCTCCCTCTCTTTCTCCCTCCCTTCCCCTCTTCTAAAAATAAATAAAATCTGAAAGAAAGAAAAAGAAATGAAAAGAAAAGACAAACACGGAGGCTGCTTTTGCCCTGAGCTTTGGTTTCTACAACCTGCCAAGGTTTCCGAGCCGGACACAAAGCCCCAAGTCTGCTGGGTGGGAAGTCTGGCAGGAACGCGACGCACACTCGTTGAGTCTGGTACCCTAAAAGAGCTGCACACCTTGGTGCACAGGTCACCCAGAAGTGACTCTCCCTTCCCCCGGGCAGGTAAGAGGATACTGTCTTCTCGTAAGACGTGGCAATGAGTAGAGGGGGTGGAAGTCTCTGAGAACTCAGGTGCTCACAGAGGTCTGTGACCCCAACACCTAAGACGTGTGAAAGCCCCAGGTCAGAACTCTGCTGCAGGGGCCCTGGGAGGGCGGTGCCCCCGGAGGCCTCGTGGAAGCAGCTACAACTCCTCTCTGGAAAACCCCACCTTTGACTCAGGTCCTGAAGAATTTCCATGGATAAATATCCCCCCAACACAGTCAAGAATCACAAAATACAAAGAAAAACAAAACAAAAAAAACAAATTAAGGCACAAGAAACATGAGCGAAAATAACAACCGCAGAATGAAATCAACAAACATTTCCGCTTTTAGAATGATCAGGCGCAGAAACACGTTTGTTGTTGGAAGATTATCGAAGGGGTGGGAAATGTCAATAGAAGGGACGCGATGGGTGGATGACACAGGCAGCACGGAGAACAGAGAAAACCGACGAGCTGAACGACGAAACGGAGAAATCGGCGCAGAGGTATGGTGAGAGGAACACCACGGAAGGGCGGCGGGGAGATGAGGATGACGGGGTGAGTGGCTCAGGGTTCCCAGAACCGGCGACAGACCCCAGTCCGAGACCCTTGACCTCTTCCTGCTCTGAGCACGACCCAGAAAGCCCACACCAGACCGAGCCCCTTCTACAGCTCCACAAACCGGTCTTCCCTCGGAGAGGTTCCTCCCCTTCCTCATGCGAAAGCACGGACGCGCCGCCCCTCCACCGCCTCAGCAGAACTCGGGAGATCAGACCGGTGTCCCAGGCAGACCCGGAAGGGATGCGGGGCCTTGGGCTCCGGCCGCCGGGCAGCGCTACCTGTGGTCATGTCCTCCAGCATCTCCAGCAGCATGTCCTGCGTCTCATCGATCAGCTTGGTCCTCTGCACCACCAGCTTCCTCAGGCACAGGTAGCCATTCAGCACAGTGCCCACCAAGCGGCTCTTAAAGTGCCTTTTGATGGATTCCACCTCGACGAAGGAGGAAAGAAGGCCTGTGGGGACAGGGAAAGTTGCTGCAAGAACTCTGAATGAGAATGTAAGTGAGGAAGGGCCGTGTCTTCAAAAGATTATGAGCAACTCAAAGGCAGGAAAAAGCCGTCTCCATGCTTGGCACAGAGCAGGTGCTCCACGAAGCTCACCAGTCAGCAGAGAGCAAGAGCTGGAACACGCCAACCCGCAGGTGAGGAGAGGACTGCAGAGCTTAACGTGCACTACGGCCAACACGCGAGGGAAGAGAGCCAACTCCACACCCCAGAACTAAGGACCGGTCCCCAAATTACAACCGGGGCTCCCGAAGGAAGGGCTCGGCGGCTCTCTACCTGTGAGACTCTTGAGGGCGTAGCCCTGCTGCAGGTCGGTGCTCAGGGAGGCCTCCTCCAGGGCGAGCAGGCGGGCTATCTCCTGAGCAGGACGAGAGGCACAGTGAGTGTGGCGGCGCCGCTGATGATGCCCGCCGGTCGCCTCCACTGCCGGGCCGGGAGCTTGCAGCACCAACCGAAGACACTGTGTAGTCCTCACGCTTTATTTACTCTAATGGACCCTGAGCCCAAATCTCTGCAAACCTCCTTCCCAAGAAGCCAAGGACAGCTGCGCTGCTGGTACGGGACTGCTTAAAAACTGGAAGGGCCTAAGTGCCCCCAGCAGGTTGCTATGTCCTTTTGACAAATATAACGGAGCGATAAAAATAGTATTTCCAACAAACACTTCTCAGCACAACAGAATATTGCACAGTGTGTATCAGAGAAAGAGTTCGCTGGTAGAGCTAGGAAAGGGCTCTCCTGGGCCGCAGGGGGTACCTTGGTGATGAGGTTGCCCACGTAGGGCAGGACTCCCCGGGCTGCCAGGTAGACCTTCCAGTGAGCAGAGGCGATGAGCTTCTGGTAGAGAGCCAAGTACTCAGCGGCACACTCGCCGGCCGTGCTCAGTTCATCCAGGTAACTGCCACCGAGACAGACAGGCTCCGTGAGAGAACTCAAGTAGTTCCTACGGCCTTCTAGTTCCTTACGCTCCTTCCATCTTCCACTGTGCTGTCCTTCGGTCCCCCTTCCTTGAGAAAACCTGCACTTCCCACGCGGGAACCCCCCAAACTAGGGAAGAGCCCAGAGCACACAATAGGAAATGGCATACGATAACCATACTCATTTAGAATGAACACTAAAGTATGAACAGTGATTATTTGGGCAGCAAGACTGTGTTTCTGACCGAACCCCTTGGAAGGTGAGTGTACCACAGGGTGGCCAACAACAATGGCCTTGGGATTAGACCACCTGAACTCAAATGCTGCCTTCCCGTGGACAAGCTGATCAGTTCCTTTAAGCCCAGGTTGCTGTGAGGATTAAATGAGATAATGCATGCCAAGCATTTATATGCTCGTAAGCTGGTGCCCACACCGTATCACTACCGCTACTGCCACCACTGAAACCCAGCTTTCCATCCTTTTTGGTCTCTGTGGTCCTCCACACGGAATGAGAGGGTTAGAGCACGGGCGCGCCTCCCACCACCCTGAGCTACGGGTCCCCCTGGGAAAGCTGAAAAGGCTCTGGATGAGGTCTGACCACTCTCCCCATCCCACCCGCACATGGTACCTGGTGAGGAGGTCAAGGACCTGCTGCTTGCGGCTGGGAATGGTGGCTAGAGCTTCCACAATGGTACAGGCCGCCTGCCGGGCAGCCTGCGTCGCCGGAGTAAAGAGGACCTGCAGGGCACAGGAGGGGAGCCCCTGGCTCAGATGGTGGCCTCCCATCAGGCCCCTCCGCAGGGCCATCAACCACCACCTACCCCCAAGGCCTCTGGGCAACTCTCCAGGAAAAGGTTAAAGGCAAAAATCACATGTTACCCCAGGTCGGACCACCACAGACTGGGAAAGCGGCTGCTAGGGAGTGTTCTGCACGAGACTCTCCGTAAAGTACTTTGGAGAACGTACCTAAGACCACTGAACTGCAAGACAAGTGGGTATTTTCCTCAGCAAAGATTTCTACAATCCTGTTCTGGGGACCCCTACATGCCAAACAGTCCTCATTCTACATACCAGTGGACAAATGGGTTCTGGAAATATAATGACTTAGACGTCAGCTAGAAGGAAGAGGGAGACGACAGCAGGAGATGCGCAGGACCGAAGGGGAGAAGGGGACTGAGGGGAGAAGGGGACCGCAGGCCCCGCGGCTCAGTCCCTCTAAGTGGTCGGAGAGGAGAGCAGGAGCAAGACAAGCGTGATGAGAGAGAGGGCACCGAAGTCCTGCTCTGGCCGGTCCACCACGCTGCTGGCTGCAACCAAGAACCTCGACCCGCCCTCCCTTCCTCTTGAAAGGAAGCAGGAGAGCAAAGGGAAAGGAGAGGAAGTGCGGCCCACACGGGAAGGCGCTTGCTCTCCAGAGCTGCCACAGCAGAGTGGGGGCCCAGGGGAGGCGGTCACTCACTTGCCGCAGCCAGTTGTTGTGGCCCAATTTGAGATCCAAGGGGGGGGTCCTCTTGCCCCGCCGGCTCAGGAACTGCTTCCACCTCCACACGTACTTCTCGGTCAAATAGAGATGGTGGAGCTCTGATTTGCTTGGGGACTTCCCATTGCCATCTATCCCTGGCAGACAAAGGGGTGCAGGGGGGTAAGGAACAGAAAGTGAGAGCAAAGGGCGGATTCTGGAGCTGTCAGGACACGGGTAGGAAGGACTGATCTCCCAAATCTTCAAGACATAAACAGACCTCTGATAGGAAGACACTTCTTCCAGGCCTCATAGGATGCTTTGGGGTCTCTCTTGAGCCACAGCTGAGCCTGGGCGTGGATCTCATTGCTGTACGGCTTAACCGTAGTGAGGGCCTCCACGGGAACATCCTGCAGGAGTGCACAGAACAAGGGGAGAGTGCGTGAGGGCACACCTGAGCCACGGCTCTGACACAAGGGCACTGACACTCCACGGGGACACTCGCAAAGGCAAGAAGATCAGAAGGATCGATAATAGTATCTTCCACGCCCAAATACACGTTCTGTTAGAGCATTCTGATCCAGTCTGGCAGCAGCACCTCCACACTGAGCCCGAGGTCACTGACTTTGTGCAGGATGAGAGGGAGCCGGCTCCCTGCAGACACTCCTGTGACCACACACACTAATTCCTATCCCCAGGCCGATGTGCAGTTTCCCAAGCGTGAATCTTCAAGAGGTCCCCGAATTTAAAGCCTCCAGAATTTAAAGAGCCATTACTAATCCGAACTCGAAGCCAGCGGTTCTCAAACTCTTTGGCCTCAGGACCCCATCACACTCTTAAAAACCACCAAGCACTCAGAAGAGCTTTTCCATGTGTGGTTCTATGTATATCTACCATGTTCAAAATCAAAACTGAGACATCTGTAAGATATTTATCACCTCATTTAAAAATAAGATTAAGTCTATTTTCCAAAGCAAAAATAATCTAGAGAAAGGAAGGGGACAGTTTTACATTTTGAAAATAATTTAATGACTGCCTTAATAAGACAGCTGGATTCCCATAGCTGCTTGTGCTTTTGAACAGTGGTAGCAATATGCTGTTTGGTCAAGTATATGAGAAACCTCTAGCCCCACACAGGTATATAACTGGAAGAGAGAAGAGTATTTTTCTATTGGACCGAGTACCTTGTTCTTCTTGCTGGTTGGAGCAGGGGGTTTGATCAGCTTCTGCAGGATCCGCAGGCACATGAGCGTGATATTCTCAACGACCACGGGTGTCTTGATGTTCACAGCCATGAGGAAGAGGCTGAGAGCTGGGGTGGGAGGCAGCAGAGTCAGGATCACAAAGCGCCCCCTCCGCCTCCCACGGGCCGTGCGAGCAGTTTCCCCACCTCTCCCCTCTGGGGCTAGGACTGCACCGCCTGCCTCCTTTCCTTCCTCAGGAAAGCGCCCGAGGAGCCGCTGCCCAAACTCACCGCAGCGCAGCCGGAGCTCCCAGCAGCTGTCCTCCTTGGAGATGGAGTCTGTCAGCAGCAGCATTTCGTACTGGAGGCCACTGGCCTGGAAGGCCGACCAAAGGGGCATGAGATGACAAGGGTCTGAGGGGTCAATCCCAGGGATGGCTTATGTCCACGCTCTGACCCAGGACTCAGAACTAAACTTTTGGTCACAAGTGGCATCATAAGAGGAAGGACAGATGGAGGCCCCTGTACTCCCCACAGCCGGCCGCCCACTTCCCTGCCCCTGTGGAGCCGGGTCTGACCAGGGAACAGCACTCTGGGACATGAGCTTGGCAAGCAACCATGTTGCTCGGTCATCACGATGGGGCCGGCGGGAGAAGTCAGAGGGGACACTTGTCCTGCTCACCAGGTCGGGATTGGCCCAGTGGCCCTTCAGAGCTGTGGAGACTTTGCCAATAATCAGGTCGTTCATTTGCTGGGTGGCTTCTGGATTGTCTCTGCAGAAGCAAAAACAGGGTCTCATTACCCACCACTGGTTGTGCCCCCCATTCTACTTGGAGGAGCCCAGAGACACGAAGTCCATGTCGGGGGCCACATGGCCTTCCAGGGGCGAGACTGCAGTGCTGGCTCACAGCCTCTGGTGTGCAGTGACACCGCCGGTCACAGCCCCTGACGGGGGAAGGGCAGCATCAAACAGGGGAGCCTCCCTCTGGTCCCCGTCCCTGGCTGCACGGCCCTCGGGTGCCCCGGGGTATGTCACAGTCCCCCGATCCAGGTGCTCACGCTCAGTATTGGCCACAACTCTCTCATCTGCCCCAGCTGCCCCCACTTCGCTTCCCACAGGGCACTGGCACTTTCCGCCCACGCCCCTCTGTAACCATGTCCACACCAACAATAACAAAAACCAGAAATTCTACCATATCACTTTCTTGCTTTCCAACACTTTTTGAATAAAGCCCAAAGTCCTCACAATGGCCTACAAGACCCACCAGGATGCGGCCCCATGTCCCGCTCCCGAATTCCAGTGCCCGTTTTCCCCAGGCGTCCCTTGCTGCAGTGGCGCGGGCCTCCATGCTGCACACCCACCACTCCCGGCACAGCCCACCTCGCAGCCTTCCACGCACACTCCCTGTGCATGCGGCGCACGCCTCACGCATCTGTGCAGCTTGCTCCCACTTCACATGGCTCTCGCTCAAGCATCACCCCCCCCCAAGGCCTTCCTGGACGCAACCCCTCCCACAGACGGGGTCCCGCCCCCTTTACTTCCCTTCACTGTCTAACTCCCTGACATGGTACTGTGGAGTTAGCTGTGCACTGCGGTCCTCCCACCTGGAATGGGAGCTACGGGAAGGCAGGGACTTTGTTTCATTTACCGCTGTGCCCTCTGAGTCTGGCACGTGCCTGGCATTCAACAGATGCTCAAGAAGTATTAGCTGAGAGAGTAAGATTTCTCAGCCACCCGACAGGTTCCAAAGTTTAAGCCACATGCCCCGTAGACAGCCACAGGCAGCTCTGGGTCCTCTATGGGCATTAACTAGACACTCAACAGATATGAGTTATTATTCACGTGAATTATTTTGCTTCATCCTCACCATGAGCCTTTTAAGGGATTTACTATTATCAGTATTTTTCAGATGAGAAAAGTCTGGGCTCAAGGAGTTAAGGAATTTGCCTGAGACCCACAGTACAAAAGGACTGGATACCAAGGCTGGGTCTTTTAGACCCAGAGTCCAAGCCCCTAATCACTAGGCTCCACTGCTCCGCTGTCTTCTTGTGGGCAAGTCTTGAGTCTAACTGCCCAGTCACTGCCTTCTCCTCTTCCCCCAGAACCCAAGACCATTTCCTCAGGAAATCTCACTGGAACTAACAAAGCACAGCACAATCCAAAGAGACTATTTCCATGGGGTTTCAAACGCTCCCTAAGTTCACTCCTCACCACCTGGGATGGCTTCCCATTTTCTTCTCTGCGGTAAGCTAGCCAACCTGTCTGGCGATGAGAAGCATGATGCTCTGCACCCTCTAGTGCTCCTGGCATCGCTGCTGCCACCAACCCCCGAGCTGCAGGCATTACTAGCCCCACGATGATGCAGGCTCTGACCGAGTTAGGAGGCACATGAGCTGGCGGACCTCCTCCCGCATGGCCGCGGAGCCTCGGCGAAGATTGTAATCGAAGAGCTCCCGGATGAGGCCCTGGGAGACGAGGATGTGCCTCAGGGCTGGGTTGGAGGCCAGGGCCCGGAGCAGTGTGATGCAGTGTTCGGTGACAGCTGAGGCGCAGCCATAGCACTTGGTGGAGGACGTGTGGCCGCAGCCCAGCACGGATAAGGCGCGGTACTGGCTGGCAGTGAAGGTGGGCTGCACGGAGGTCCGGGACGATTTGGTGGCCGCCTCCCTCTGCTGCAGGTCATATTCCAACAACTCTTTACGCGAAGCAAAGACTTTCTAAGAAAAAAGACAAAGAAATAAATTAGCCATTGAAATAAGGAGGAAGAAGACGTTAACTAGAAATCAACTTTGGTTTATACTATATCCCCATTTCACTGAGGAGACAGGCTGAGGGGCTGGTGTGACCGAGGTGAGCGGCAGAGTCAGAAGAGCCTCTGATCGCAGGCCCACGCCCTTCACTTTCCTGTGACAGTCTTGTAATGGACAAAACAACGGTCAGAGCTGTAGGTACAAGTAGCAAAGACGACACACCAGTGACTTGGGGTCAAGGATACTGGCTGCCCTCCTCATCCGCAGGCAGCCTCGCATCCCATGGAGATCAATATTCCATCCGCTGTAAGGCCCACCCTGGTTGAAGGGAGTTGGTATGCCCTACCCATCCAGCCTGCCAATATTTCATATATCAGAAAAAAGAAACAGATTCTCGGCACCCAATTTTTTTAAAACCAGTAACCCCTCCACTAAAAGACGGGTTGTGAATGGTCAAGAAAAATAGATGTATCGTCATCTCCATTTTCAGTCTCCTGGAATGAACTCGTGCTCTGCCAAGCACCAGAAGCTGCAATGGGAGGGAAGCAGGGAAGGAAGCAGTGAGGGCGGCTGCTCGGACTCTGCTCTCAGCTGCGCTGGGCAAGGGCCGCCCCAGGCCGGATGAGTGCAACGGGGCTGCTTTGACAACAACTGGCCACGCACTCCAAAGTCACCCCCTTTTCTCTACCTGAATGATTTTGGAGAGTTCATCGAAAGAGTTCTTGCAGTCTCCGCAGTACTCCTGAGCCAACTGCAGGATGTAGCGATTCACGCTGGCTGAGGTGGAGCCGACACCCCCCGCGGAGCCCGAGTCGTCCTGCAACCCAAGAGGGAAGCGGTCAGCCTCCACCGGGAGGTGGCCTCCTGGTTGTGATCTGTCCACTTTGGGATTACCTGCGGCTTCTCAGGAGCTGCCTCATTCACTTTGCAGAGCAGGTTCTCCAGCTGTGGCCGATGTCCCATCAGCTGATGATACACCCGATCCGCTTTGTCCAGAAGAGTATTGATGTTGGAAACAGCCTAGAGGGGAAAAGATGGGCACCCATGAAGGCTTTCCAGCACGACGACCTTCCTGAGTGATCTGAATGAGTAAACCGTCACTGAAACATTCCCTATAGGTATATCATAGGCTCCATGCATTATTTCTAGTCTTTGCAATAACCCTGTGGGGGAGACATACATATAAAGTACAGTGTTGATAAGTAATTTATGGCGGGTCCTGCAGTATTAAAATGCAGAGCCAAAACGGAAACTTTGGTCCTTCTGACTCCAAAGCTGAAAGACCTTTGCTTCCCCCGACACTTCTAGTAGCTGCCCCAATAGTCTGCGTCTTCTCACCCCACATCCAGTCACATTGTGCTGGCCGAGAAGTGGCCCCCGAATAAGCTGACACTGAGGGACGAACAGCAGCTGCGATATGAAGCAGTCCGTGGAGAAAACGCAGGGCTGGCCAGCCGACTCCCTTCCACCTTTCCAGATCTAAAGTTGTTTGCCCCTCGAGGTATTTTAGTCCACTACCAGCAGTTCTCCAAAACCCCACACAAACTCCGTGCTCCAGTACACCTTAAACCGTTATCTTCTCCCACCCACAGACTCGGTCCTGGAAACAGTGCTGAGTTAAAGACGACCAGGGCTACAAGGAAAAGCACACAGCCCTGCCCCGCTGTGGCCGAAGCCATGGTCCTGAGTCTAGGACGGGTGTGGCCTCACCTTCTTCCGGTCTTCTTCGTTCTCGATAGGATCCACCGCACAGCAAGGCTTGGCATAGAGCATGAAGTCGAAACGCGCGTATTTACAGAAGCCACAGGCATTGCAGAGGAAGGGGTCCTTTTCATCGTAATTGATGGATCTGAAGAATCAAAGTGTCGGGTCAGGGGTGACCCGTGAGGAAATGGATTGCGCCACACCTACACTCTGTCAACCACTGCTAGGACTAGTGGAGGGACAGGAACAAGTAGGTGAGGGTGACTTAAGCAACCAGGTAACAACAACAGAAGATCCAGAAGTAAACTTACGGACCCCCGCCCACACAGGAGGGGCAGATACGCACGCCCCACTCTCCCCCCACTTCTCTCTCTACCCTAGGACTCCACACTCTACATACCGTAACCCCCTAACTATTATGAGGGCCCAGACACTGAAATTGCCCACCCTGAGGTGATGCGGAAACATATAAGAGTGTACGTGGTCCTGGCCAGGGTGACGACTGCTCGCTTACCTGCATTTGTGACACTGGTAGACATTCTCTCCACAGTTGCCACAGACCCCGGGGTTGGCAGGGACCGAGGCACTGCAGCGCGGGCACTGCAGGGTCTCTGTGGAGGCCTGGTAGTTTTCGTAGAAGTCGGCAAACTCGATCATCAGGTTGGAGGCGACGATGGGCAAGGGCAGGTCGATCTTCACTTCCGTCTGCCCAGGGGTCAGCTGCACCTTCTTGGCTTTGTGCCAGCGAGCCGGCCTATGAGAGACAGTGTCAGACAGCGGGACAGAGGGCCCCAGAGCCTCTCCTTTAACCTTCAGCGAGGGCGTGCTGATGAGATGAAGGCTGTCCATGTGTATTTTTCTAACACAATGAAGTAGTTTCTCTAAAAGCAGGAAATCTGACAAATAACAGCACTCTAATTTTAAAAGTATTTCTCTACTATTCTTTCTCTAATAAAAAAGAACATACAAGGGCTTTAAGATGTTCCATACAACTAAGCGAAATAAGCCAGGTGGTGAAAGACAAATACCATATGATCCCACTTTAACAGGAACCTAAACAGCAAAATATAACCAAAGACACTGAAATAGAGAACAGGCTGACAGTGACCAGAGGGGAGAAGAGAGGGAATTTCTGGGGAAAAGGGGAAGGGTTTGCAGGAACAAGTATAAAGGACACATGGACAAAAACTAAAGGGGGTGGAAACGTGAGGGAGGTGGGCTGGGATGGAAGTAAAAGACAGAAAACTGTACTTGAACAACAACTTAAAAAAATGTGTTCCACATGATAATTTTTGAGACTCCAGAAAAACAGAAGTCTTTGTCAATGAAAGACACCCCTCCAAAATCCTGGTGCACTGAAGCCTGTAATCCCAGGACTACCGGGGTGACGGCCGCCGGGCCCCCCACCCCAACAACTGCCTCGGAAGGGCAAAGCTCAGGTCGCTCTGGCGAGGCAGAAGGGCGCACCAGGATCTGGACCGAGTGCCAAGCCAAGTCAGAGAGAGAAAAGGCATGTAATAATTTAAGGGTAATTATATTAGTATAACTAGAAGCAGTATTTACTGAGCACTCCCCATGCGCTAGGTAGGCTCTGTTCTCAGCACTTTACGTACGTGTATAATACACACACACACACACACACATACGCACACACACACTCTAACTCAGTTAATCCTTAAAACAACACCCTGAAAGTGAGCTTACCTCTCTTTACTTTCAAGTCAAGCAACCTGAGGCTACATAGCTCCTCCAAGGTCAAAGACATGGGCAACAGAGCTGAGATGTGAATCCACAGTCTCATTCCAGAGCCTAAGAGCTTTACCGGCAGCTGCACTGACTCCACACAGAGAAAGTCAAACCCCTTCCCGCAGAAGGGACTCGGGCCATCCCAGCGAGTAGCTGCTACGCACAGGTCACCAGTGTTAACTCTGCTTTGCAAAGGAGACCAGAAAGCCTCCTTCAGGCAGAGCTCCTGGTGGCCGTCTGTTGACATGTTACACTCCAGCTTTACTCTGTCTCTTAAAATAATACCAATACTTCCACTCTATGTGCAGAACAGCATGGTAAGTCTTAATATTCAGGTACCATCATGTCCTCTGCCTGACAGCAAAGCCTGCAACCTCACCCACACAGGGTCTGTCTCTGTAAGAGTCAGCCCCGCAAGGTGCCCTCTGAGCGCAGTAGGCAGCGTGTCGGTCTCAGAGAAGTCAGCACTATGACCTGCGGGCACCTCCTGTAGCCGTAGATAGCACGCCCTGATTCAAACACTGGCGCCGTGAGCTACAAAGATCCAACACCAGCAGATACTGGGGGAAGGCACTATGCAGAAATGGAAGGACCACATACTAGAGAAACTTCCGGAGAAATACTGCCTGCTCTGTGAGCTAGAGAATAGCGTCCAAATCCAAGAAATGACAACTGCTTTCCAATACATGGAGGTGCTTTTATATGAAAATGGAATTGCTCTAGTTTGTATGGGTGTGAGAAGGCTGGAGTCCCCCTCACTCAGCTTCGCCTGCCTAGACAAGCTGTTGAGGGGCTTCCATAGCCCCCAAGGCTCCACTGGACATGATTTTAAAATAGCCTTTGTCGACATCCTTAGAAACTGGTATTTCACTCTGTCCCCCAGCCACGACTTCGGGGTAAGAGGACACACTGGATCCCTAGGGAGGTGCTGCTTTACCGGATTCCGGCCACCGAAGCCAACGCCAGGTGCTAGGCCTTACCAGCCCCCTGCCCCTCCCCAAGCGCAAAGGGCCCGTACTTGTTTTTCAGCTCCACGATGGCCTGCACGGTTCGGTTGTTGTAATAGAGGTTGATCGTTCGCACCATCTTGGTCCGCTTCAGGTCTCCGATTTTCACCGTCACCTTGCTGATGGTGTGGCTGCCAATGAGCTTCACGACCTGCTGGGTGGTGGTGTACCGCGTATCCACTTTAATGGAAGACAGCTTGATATACTGAATGCAAGAGAGCACACAAAACACTGTATTAGTTCAAGGCGAGCGGCTCATCCTTTCCTCTTCAACATTCACCAAAGTAACCCACTCTCCATCCACAGATGAAATTGCTATTTACGGTAACGAGCATGGCAGGTGAGGGTTCAGACCACTGCTGACTGAGCATTAGGAGAGGAATGCCTATGTGGGAGCAACCAGGCTCTGGAAATGAGAAACCCACTGGCCCTGCAAGCCTCAGGACTGTCCACGTGGAAGAGGTCACTTACACAAAACGGCACTTCTGGATTATTACACACCAGGCAGGGGTCACTCTCCAGGTAATAGCCATCAAACTCCACTAAGCCAGACAAGGTGCTAAAGAAGAAACCAGTCTCAGCATAAAGACATTTCATCTCAGAAAGCACTGAGCTTCGTAAAGAAGCCATGAAAAGGCCACGGCTCAATATCCCCAGGCGGTCCCCAACCTCGTGAGAACACAAGGACGCGTGAGAAATGCCAGCAGGGTTTGGCAGTCACAGGAAGGAATGGCGGCTAATCGACCGTAGATGCTTCCTGTTTCTGAGCTGTCCTGAGGTCAGGGGGTCCTAGAACATTACGTTAAAGTTCAACTCAAAGAGTCACAATTAAATATACTAAGAGTCATTAAACTGTGTACTTAAAAGGTGACTTTTATAAGTAGGGAAACTGTACCTCAATAAAGTTTGGAGAAAAAGAAAAGAATAGTCACTATTAAACCATGGAAGTAATAAACTGTCAATTTAACCAACAGTCTCTTTCAAAAATGTTTTTAAATGCAGCCATTTTCTGTGAATTTCTCTTATTTGATTTAGACTCAGACCCTTGAAACTAGAGACCTTCTTAAATCACTGATTACCGAGCCCAAATCCAGCCAGCACAGTTCGTGTAATTCCCATGGACCAGGCCCCAGCTCTGCAGGAGGGGCTGCAAGACCAACCAGACGGGGGCATGTTGACCCATACGGAGGAGCCAGACAGCGCGGAGAAAGCCACTCGGCTGCTGGCTGAGCTTCAAGGAGGGAGAGAGCAGAACAAAGCTCACTTGTAAATGTTGGAGTTGGGATGGTTGGTAAGAATGTGGTTTTGAGTCCGCAGAATCTCCACTGCCTTCTGTGAATATTCCTTCAACTGAAACAGAAGTCAACAAAGAGACACAGTTAAAGTGCAAAGGAAAGTCTTGCTGGAAAAGACTTCCATCTGCAGAAGTACCAGACCCCTCAGCCCCCAATGCAAAGCCGGGCCCAACACCTAACTGTTTAAAGGACTCTATCTGCTTTAGAAGCTTCCACAACCTTATGACAGTCCATCTTTTTAGACCTTGTGGGTGGAAGAAGATAAATTTCACTCTTATGGGGAAGCCACAAAAAGGCTGTCTAACTTCAGAAACACTCGGGGGATGCAGTCAGGGTTGCTGGGAAAACCAGAGGAGCACTGTCATTCCCAAACAACTTGAGTTACATTTTCTCCCCACCAGATCTACTTCTATTGGCTAAGCCACTTTCAGACTGTACTTACATGCTGGTGTGTGTTACCTATGTAGCATACACACTGGGAGTGTGTGTATATGTATGTATATACATATGTACATGCATGTATATGTATTTATGTACTACCTTTGGGTTGGTCGTAAGGTTCTTAACTCAAGAGAAAAAAGGTTAAAAATGGCAAGTTGGCTTCTCTGACCATAAAGAAGCAGTCTACCTTCTTCTCTGTCTGTGGCGTTTTCAAGGAGAAATAGCCGAGTAGGTCCACGAACTGGGCAGCCTTCCGACCGTAGGCCGGCAGTTCCGGCCATATGGACCACATCAGATCCAGCAGGAGCTCCTGTTGGGATTTGCTGGAGTTTCTGTAGAGAGATGACAGCTCACATCACCAAGCACCAGAAAACCCCAAGGTTCTTCATCGGCAAGGCCCAACACTGTTTCTGTGGACACATCTATTTCTCCACAAGGAATGGTTTTGTTGCTCTTCTGACAATCGACCCTAACCAATGTAGCACGGTCCCTTCCTATCTTCAGGAGGTGGCCTATTACCAACATCCAACATTACTCAATGGCAGTAATGAGCTTTGTTAGCGTAAAGAGCCAGGCCCAGTCATTTTACAAACTTCTAAACACAGCCTTCTTAGTGGGAAAGATCATCTTTTGCTTATGACATCACTTTGATAGCTAAAAAGCAGAGTAACTAGAAGAAGAAACCTGTAATAGTTAAGAGGATTTTTCAGGCTGCGGTAAATACTGATACGGTGACCAGGAACATGTAACATCAAGTCAAGGCTGAACTGTAACACCCACTCTGGTCGCCGACCCAGGAGACTGTCAAACAGCCCTGGACCTCACCTGTAGATGTGCAGTGTCAGGCAGTGGGCCTGCCAGCGCACTGAGGAAGAGTTGGACTCTAATAGGAAGCAACGCAGAAACTGGACCAAAGTCTCCTTATCTGCAAATTTGTTCAGCTGGTTCACCAGAGCTGTGCACAGCTGGTCCTCCTGGCTGCCTGAGCTCTCGCCTGCAAGAGTGGGGCACAAAGAACAGAAAGAAGTGGTCTAGAGTCCCAGAGCTGGTGCTACCATGTAGAGAGGGAGGGAAGGCTGTCCGTGCCTAAAAATTTGAACGAAATGGTTAAATCTGAAGATAATTTTCAGTTGCTTCCTGGGGGAGAAAAGGTCAACCCCAAATGAGACAGACAGTGATGCCCCCCCAAGAAAAGCATGGAATAAAGTGCCCACATTAGCCTGGCACTAGACACACACAGTTCCACTGGAGGAAAAACTCCTTTTAGATGTTTTCTGCCTAAAACAGTCAATATTACCACACGCCTGCACAGAGAAATCCGAATAATTAGTTGGGAGAACCACCTTCCTTGCTTTCCACCCCGATCACCTGTCTCAGGCCTCCAAGGACCATGAAGCACAATAAAACAGAGAGGCATCTGCCTTTCTGATGGTAAGAAGTCGGGTAAAAAGGCTTACATTCATAGAGCGTTTAACAGTTTACAAGGCCCATTTAAAAACATCCCTCCATTAAACATTGACAAGCTGGCCACAGAGCAAGTGCTACTGTTTCACAGAAGAAGAAACCTGGCCTAGCAAAAAATGCTCAGTGTACTGTGACCTTTCCTATCACTGTCACCTGAAATGGGGAGTCACACTGTTGAAGGTGTCATCTTCAATGTAACTGAAAATGAGGCCAAACGGACATGAGAGGCATTCGGGTTTCAGGTCGCCTGTCGGTCAGGATAAAAACCACTTCAGGAGAGAACAAACCTTGTGCTCCAAGAGAGATCGGAACACACTGCCCTTGCGACCAAGACAAGAGAGTGACTCTTACCCTCCTTCTCCTTCTCCTTTTCTTCTTTCTTGCTCTTTTTAGTGGACGACTTGGACTGTGTCGTGGCTTGTCCAGAGCTGGCAGCGGCAGGGGCCGAGGAGGAAGCTGCACCGGAGGACCCCGCCGAAGCAGCCAGGGCGGCGAGCACTTTGCTGCCACACAGCGCACAGGAGAGCAGCTGCAGCAGCACCGGAGACACACCCTCATCCACCAGGAAGCTGACTTGGAGGAGGAAGTACAGGACAGCTGCGGGGACAGGAGACAGTGGCTCAACTCTAAGATGACAGCTCGACTCACATGCGAGAACAGGAGTAACTCTGCCCCGTGGTCAGGACTGCCCGGTTGGCACCAGCCCCTTCTCCAAGTCCTTGCTGCTGAATGCCACCAAGGGTTTACACCCTCTGCGAGTACCCGACAAGCTGCGAAGAGACTGGCTCCCTGTCCCTACTTCTTTGAGTGAGATGGCTCTCTAAACTCCACACACCCCTCTTTAGCTTCACTGTCACATGAGGGAGGTCAGATCCCCCTCCTTCGTGTAGCACCCCACATCTGTCTACTGACCCTCATCACCCTTCAAGCTCTCGTGTGCCTTCTCCGCTCGGCAGGGCTGTCTGTGCAGTTGCGCGCCGCATAATGACAATCTGGGCAACAGCGGACCAACACGTACAACGCTGGCGTGCCACACTGCCTAGGTGTGTATGGGCTACACCGTCTAGATTTGCACAGTGTGTTCTACGATGTTTGCACAACAGAGAAATGGCCAAAGACACATTTCTCAGGAGATATCCCCATTGTCAGGCGGCGCGTGACTATCCTGCTCATGGCTGTATCTCCAGCACCCAGCTTAGTGCGTGGTATATAGGAGCGTCAGTAATAGTTCTTGAAGGAATGAATAATAACCGCAACCAAAAGGAACAGCACTGCTTACAGTCGTCTTTGATGCAGAATTTCTGCCAGTTGATGGTTCGCTGGGCAGCGATCTCTGCACAAGCTTTCAGGTGCTCCATCTGAAATGACAGCCAACCACCGAAAATGAGCTACTCTGACCAGCAGCCCGGCCAGTACCACACCTGCTGCCTTGAGGGGCCTTCATCCTGGCTTTGGATGCGCCTGAACACGGTGCTCTCTGCAAGGGGGATCCAGTGCCCTGTGACCCTGGGACAAGGCCCACATACAAGGCTCTTACAGAGCCTCCCACGGTCAACTCCCCACCATACAAAGGCCCTTTGCTTTCAGGCTTCCTTCAGCCCACTCAGCACTGCAGCAAGAGAGACCGGCCGTGACTCGGAAACCCTCCATCCAGTCTGTTTTTCTTACTAAATGCACAATAGTAAGGACGTTAGATTAGGAGTCTGTAATACTGAAGGTGTTCTTTCTGCATGCTCCTGTGCAATATATGCAGTTTAGTCCCCAAAATACAAACAGTTCATCTTCAGGTACAAGACATCACGTCTTTAGCATCCAAGGACAAAAATCAGAGGAGCACGAACATCAGGTTGCTCCTATCCATGACATGAACAAATGACACTGGTAAAAACCCAAGTCCCCCCTCTTTCTAATGCAGAAGCCAAGCCAGGTGGGGGTGGGAACATGAGGGGGGAATCGCAGACCCCAAAGCCAGTACACATGGTGTGGAACCCAGTCAGGGATTTGGGCTTTACCCTGATCCTGGCCAGGATGCCCTCCATGTGTCTGCAAGCCCTGTGCAGCTCCATTCAGATTACCTACTCAGCTGAGCCTCATCCCACGCCCCTCCCCACCCTACCATTTCCACCCCCTCGTACCAGGCTGATGAGTGTGTCATACTGCAAGGCGGAGCCTGAGCTGGCTGTCACCACACTTGCCCGGAGGAATATCCCCTGTTCCTCCAGCAGCTTCTTGATTCCACGCACGTGGGAGTCCAGGGTGTGCAAATCCCGGAGCTGGCGGTATTTGTCCTTGGACCCACAGATGAAGAGCAGGAGTTTGCGGACTTGCCGGCGCACGAATGGTGTCTGCTGGATCATCAGGTACTTGAGGGGAGAAACAGCGCGGTCAAGGACTCTGGGACTGTCTGTCCCAGCCCAGGCGCCTTGGGTTTTGTGAACTGTTACTGAAAACCGGTGAGAGCAAACCTTACTCTCCAAAGCATTTGAGCTCTTGTTTCCCATCATGTCATCAGTCTGGTTCACATAAACTAAAAAATTCTCAAAAAAAAAAAAAATCATACAAAATTAAAAAAAAAAAAAAAGTGGCGAGAAACACAAACCAAACCAAGCTATTTCCTCTCAGCCGAGCTGGCCTCTGGTGAACTTTAGTCTTCCTTGCAGAGGCCAGGAGAAAGGCACAGGAAGAAAGAAGTCAAAGAGGGGAAAAGAGCAATATTCCCGCTTCCTTCCTGGGATACTTAGGAGTGTCCAGGGAAGACTGGCCTCCACCGTGGCCCACACAGAGTTAAAACATATTAAAGAAAAATTCAGAATCTCTCCTTCAGGTAAAGGAGGTAGGGAAACAGGTAAGACTGTTACAGCTACACGCCTTGAAGTGGTCACCTGGAGTTTACTAGCAGATTATTCTCCCCAGAATTAATCTCATGCCTTCCGTCGTTGCTAAGCGGTTGTTTCTCGGCTGGCTCCAAACCCAGCCCACCACACACCCTGCTCCGTGGTGTCGGCCCAGAATTACGCTAACCGCATTGCATCTTTGCAACCGGCCCCGCCTGGGTCCTGCACTGGGGAGCACCAGAGGGACACTGGAAGGCAGGAGGGAAAGGAGGGAGCTGCTTCCTCCTGTCTGCCTGCTATCCAAGCAAGAGCCCTTCACCCTGGCAGGCCTGCCACTTCCGTACGCAAGGACAGACCAGCTACAGCTGGCTCTAACCGTCAGCTCCTCTCGGTGCTTCTGGAGTTGTCCATGTCCCAGCCCCCCTCTTCAGAGCTCCGGAGGGCCAGCAGCTGCACCCTTCCCCAGATCCCTGGGCCTCCCTCTTCATTCTCGAGGCTGCTGGCAGCGCTCGCAGTTACCCTCTCTGTGCACCTCTGCGTTCCCTTCTAACCTTTAGCTGCTTCAGTGCTCTGTAACCAATTCCCTTTGCTGGAATCTCTGTTAATTTAACTATACTGCTTTCTGGGCCGCGTGCGAAGTATTAAATCTGTCTACTGTCATTACGTGTGGGGGAAGTCAGGCAGACGGCTTGCTCTAAGGCACATCTTCCACAGCTTCGCCGCTTATGGGGGCGGGGCAAAGGAGGTTTACAGTTTGGTGCAGAAGGTAATACAATGATCAATAAGTGACAATACATGAAAAACTCTGTGTTTCACGTACTCGCAGCTGCAAACCTGCATTTGCCCTGCCCTGTAGTACATGCCGAAAAGGGGCGAGGCCCAGGGGGATACTGCAGGAGCGTCAGGATGGAAGGGGGCCGCCAAGGTGGTCACTGAGGCTGATGTGTCCACCCCTCAGTGGGCACCGCTCCCCTCACTTACCTCTGAGAGGAAGTAAAACCACGAATGGTCAAAGACAGGAGGCGGGATCCGAGAACTGGTGTCGGCGATCTTTTTGATTTGGTAGGGGAGCCTCAGCACCATCTCTGTTAGAAGCTGCGTGTAGGCCTCAAACACATCAGCAGCATGACCCTGGGAGGAGAACATGTGTAAGAACCCATGATCGACAGTCTCCACAGCCACACTCAGAAAAAGACTGGCTTCCTGCTTACTCGGCACACCTTATGCTAGCACTGGTCACTGCGCTTTCTGCAGCTGGAGCTGCCACTGGCTGACAGTTTAATGTACAGACAAGCAACGTCCCAGGCTCCTGGGCAATTGCATTACATGCAAAGATTACAGTGGAGAGGATCTCACTGCTCTTAAAAGTTCTAATATTTCGCTCTGTAGTTTTGGACACTGTACTGATTGTGTTCAACTCATGCAAAACTTAGAATGGGAAAACACTGAAGAAACAGTAGCAGGGGAAGATTTCTTACTTTCTGTTAGATGTGTATTCCATTCCCTAGAAGTAAAACTTTCATAACAACACGACATAGTCCAATAAGCCCAGGGGCCCGGAGCCACTAAACTCAGTTGAGATCTGGGTTCACATCACTCAGAGAGGCAGGGGTACAGAGAAATCGGAGGGTGTAGGGGACCGGTTTGTTTTGGTCTGGCAAATGTGACTCAGCCCTGTAGGGAAAACCTACAGAAGCGAAGTGGTGGGCAGGAGCCAGACCTTCAAACCGAGTGTTCCCATGGGAATCAGGCCTGGAAAGTGCATACAGACTGTCATGGCTTGCTCTTGCTAAAACTCCATCGCCCTGGTCTAATACAACAAATGTGTATTGTCTGTCTTCAAGGTGATTTTCCAAAGCCTGTATAAACTTTCCCAAGGGCAGAGCTAATCAGCTCATCACCATTTCCCTCTGCATGTTTTCATTTCCTTGATTGTACCTAAAACGTAGACAATAATATTCTATGTAACAGATAATAAATCTTCCTCTGTTGTAAGACCCGAGGAAAACAATAAAAGCCTGTCTAGGGCAGGGTCAGGGTGCTCTCCCCTTGAGAGAGTGGCCGAGGCACCATAGACACTCTACCCCTGAGAGTGGCAGTGCTGTTCCCTTTTTCTCCACAGGATTGCTGTCGCCTGTGCATTCATTCTCGTCGTCAGCCGCAATAGGCAGACTCTGCTGGCTGGAGTCCGCCACAGGAGGGCAGTGGACAATGAGGCCAGTGGACAACGGCTATACTGCAAGCCACCTGGTGCCCAAGAAGAGCCTGTACAACGTGGCTCATATATTTAATCCCCAGGTATTTGTTGGTTTTATGCCAAGTGCTGGGAGCATAAATAGGAAGAAAATATGGTCTTTGCAACAGTGTGAAGGGAAGACTCCACATGTGTGCACGGGGAGCCCGGAAGAACATCATCTCAATCACGTGATAGCAGGGAAGTGTGTGTCGGGAAAGGTCTTCCTAGGATCCAGTGTTTGAGCTGGGTCTTGAAGAAACAGGCATCAGCTAATAAGGGGAAGGAAGGGACGCAGAGGGAAAGGAAAGAATCTCAGGAGGGACGGCAGGCACGAAGGCAACGTCGCACGTGGGGAAAGGCACAAGTTAGGAGGGCTGCATGCAGAGGTGTTGTGGGTGAGTGAGGTAGAGAGTAAGGGAGATAGCTGGACACTCGAGGTAATGTTTGGTCAAACTAATTAAAGAAAACCCCAAAGGGTTACTAAAAAGAGAAGGATTCCTACTGCATGCCTGTTATGCTCCCACACTAGTCAAAGTAGTTCTGAGCACACAGTAAGAAGCAGAGCTAGTCCAACCCATTTTGCTCCAACACATGGCCTCGGTGGAGGAGAGACGGTGACAATGGACATTTACTGAGTCTTGGTAGGTGCCAGACACTGTGCTTTACAAACACCACCTCATTCAATGCTCACGACCGCCCACACAGCAGACATTCTTGTACCCTCCTATTCCAGGTATTCAAACTGAGGCTTACTTACTGGGGTCAGACGGAAATTCTGCAAGCCTCACGGCTAGTGAGACAACTGTTCCTAGACACTTGTTCCCAGACACACATGATCAAAAAGCCCATCTTCTAACCTAGAGCACACAGCGCCTCTGATGACAGCAGGGGGAGCATGTGACAAACACTTGTGGATGTGATCTACACTGAAAACATGACCTTATACCGTGTCATCTTTTTCTCAGGAGCTCAATGTGAAAGGACCTTGAATGTCTGGTGTCATTCAGTTCCTCAGGTTCATCAAGTGGCAGGACTCAGGACCCCGGCCGCAGGTTATTCATTAAATTGCGCTGAGTCAACCCCACCGGGGAATGCAGGCTCCCTCCTGCAGCTCCCTCAGCTCTGCTGAGTGTCCCTCACTGGATGAGGGACAGCAGTGGCTCTGGTCTGGGAAAGCCCTCACCTTCACATACTGGCGGAGGAAGAACGGGCTCATGTCGGGTGGGGAGGAAGTAGTATGTGGTTTCAGCAACTGGCTGGCAGCCACGGGCTCCTCATCGTTCTGTTGGCTCTTCCAGTACTCCAGCAGGGACTTGAGCACGTGCAGGCAGTAGTCCACGGCCCCAGAGCTCAGCAGGGCCGCTGCCGTGGCACTGGAGATGAGGGACGAGGACTGGAGGGAGGAGGTGAGAAGGGCTTGTAAATGCAGCTGTGTGCCAGGGGGTGGGGTGGGGGACACACTCACAACAGAATCAGTTGTCCTGAAGGGGGTTAGTCAGTCTCTTGAGCTAAAAGTTTTCCAACCAGCTCAAACACTGCCCCAACTCTTTTGAATAAGGGCACGGTTGAAGAAAAGACAAGAACACAGCTCTAAGCGAAAATCTCCCTACATACGCCCCCTCCGGCCAGGAGGCAAGGATTAGATCTTTCCAGCTGGAGGGCACGAACTGCCTCTTTTTCCTTGGCTAACCAGAAAAGAAGACCATTTTGATGAGAGAAAACTTTCCACTAGAGGCATGTTTTTAGCAACCCCACCCCCCAGTAGGGGCTCTTCTCATAGAACCAGCTTCCAAAGAAGATAGGGTGTGCGATCACATGAATAAAAAAGTAGGAGAAAAGCTACTGTAAATAAAACCATTAGGAGAGCCTTGCAAATCCCAGCAAGCCCCACAGCTCCTAAGCTCATTAAGATTGGACGCAGTTCAGCCTCCATTCCCACCTTCTCCGCTTTGTGTTAATCTCCCTGCCACCATGCACACCCCGCTTTCTCTCTGCTTTATTACTGCACTTATAAGCACTTATAAGCAACACAGTGCGAATCCTCTTAGCTATTCCACGCCTGCAGAACAGTCCCCTGCTTTTCAATGATGGAGCGTCCAAACCCTTTAACCCCGCCGATGGGGGGATTGTTGGCAAAAATCAGGATTTGTCAGGGATTTTGAAAAAAGTGGAGGCCCTGTTCTGAAAGAGGTAACAGCTTAGAATCTAACTTCCCTCAGGCAACAAGGGCCCCACTCTAACCTAGGACTGTCGCCTCTGCCCGCAGCCCTAGCACCGAGCAGACAACGCCTCCCCTTTCCCCACACCCAGAAGCTCGAAGGGAAGGTACCTCACATATGGAAGACTTGGACCCGGACTTGGTCCGGGACATGAAGACACTCAGGAGTCTCATCACCACCAGATGGACCTCATTCAGGGCACTGCGCTCATTCTTCTTGGAGACGTCCTGCAAGCAGAAGCAGAACCCAGACGCTCACACCAGCTTTTCAGCTTGAGGTATCTGAGTGAGATTCCCTCAGGCCTCTCAGTGCTAAATGTTTCTCAGGTGGAACTGGAGAGAAAACAAGCTCAAGCACCTGTGGGTTATACCTGGATTACTGCAAGCCTGATGCTCTTAAGAGGCCACATTAAGACAGAAACAACCAATTCACTGTCTTCACCTTGCAGGACTACAGAGGCTCCATGAGGGCAGGGACTTGGTCTTATTCCCCACTTATGCCTGGATCCGAAAGGACGCCTGGGCTGCAGCAGGCACTGCAGACAGTTTCGCTGGCTCAACAGACCGAGAGCCCTCCCCCCTTCCCCCCAAAACTTGGGGACAGTCTCTGGAGAGGAACAAAAACTGAGAACTGGTCTTAGCCGACCCCTATTCCCACACAGTGCGACTCAGATGTTACCTTTTTGTCCATGCCCAGTTCAGCAATGAGCTGGGAGAGCAGGTTGTCTAGGGCCCCCTTGTCCTTCTCATCTTCCCCATCCAGGTCTGCCGTGAGCATCAGAATGACCTAGGAGCCAACAGAGGAGAAACGGGAGGGCCACTTCCTTGGAGAACAATGCCTTCTAACACCAGGTGTTTCTGAAGAAACCCCAATCTTCTTCTCTGTCCATTAAAACAGTTACCCACGAGGAAGTTCCAAATCCCCAGATATCCAAAGTTGAAGTCTCCAGAGTCAGAAGAGTCCATTTTTGATATATACCACACTTGGCATCACAGAAAACATTTTTGCAAAAAGTTTGCAAAACTAAATGACTAAGCCATGTTACATCCATCCGCAGTGGGCTGAGACAAGGCATTGTGCTTGCTAAGAATCAAAGGGCAGTTCTGCCCAAGACAAAGGCAGCCAGTGGGAGAACAGCTGTCACAGACCACACTCTACTACTAACCTCAGTGAAGAGTCACTGCAGACTAAGAATCTCTGGGGCAGACTCCGCTCCTGGCTCTGTCAGTAACTTAGCTGGGTAATTGGGGACATTAAAAAAAAAACTCTGACCCCAGGCTTCTCATCTCTAAATTGAAGGACTATGACTTAAGCTCAAAATTGTATTCCATTTTTTTAATGACCTAATTCCAAAGCCTTATGGAGCCCCTGGAAGAGAGACGTCAGCACACCTAAGGACAATCCAAGTACAAAGCGATCGACCCTGTGAACTGAGGGATACCTGCATGTACGGGATGGCCCGGACACCTCCGACATTGCGTAACTGGGGCAAGGTCTGCAGTAGTCTCTCCAGCAGCATCAGACGGACCATGTGCAGCCTGAAGGCCAAGAAAAATACATGAAACATGAGCCAGTGTACAACCACTTACCAAGTGACCCCAGGCCTTCCCTCCTGCCACCAAGGTAAACAAGGCGTCTGCTGCTTAAGAACAAGCCCAGTATTCAAAAAATGTTAATAAATGCGTATCTGTTACACCAGCAACATAAGAGAAATCTCACTCTGTTAAAAGGGAGCAAAACTACTGCAAAATACAATGAATGGTACTGAAAACCTATACAGGAAAGTTAAATACTACTAAAGCAATCAGGTCCTGGCCGTTCTCAGTACCAGAATCAGGCCAAACCGTCCACAGTGAGCGCTATGGCTCTTCTCCAGCCGTGGCCCTATCCTGCCTCTCGGCGCTCTTCTCTGGCGTTCTCCTACCTGCGCATCCTGTATCATCCAGTTGCACAGTGACCCGGCTCTTTTATTCTCACGCTTCCCAAGTCCTTTGGAAAGCCAGTCACTGCTTTACCCTCTCCTCCCACACCTCGTCCACAATTTCTCCACGTGCAAAATTCAATCTCAACACCACCCTTCCTATACTGGACCCACAGACTCCCTCCTACACTCGGGTGCCCACCATCGAAGCCTTCCTCATCTGCAGCTTTGCAGCTGGGCTCCCACACTGAGTGTGTGCCTTGGACCCTGGTGACTACACTGACTCAGAAGGACCAATGTGAAGATCCACTAGTTAGGGCCTTGGCAACGAGCTGGGTGGCAGTCTCGCCTCACACACTGTCTCACGCAGACTTCAGAGTGCATCTGCTGAGTGAATGAATGGGTTCACGTCACACAGTGAATCAGTTTTCATTGTACTCCGTGGACTATTTAACATAAGAAACCACATGCCTATAATTTTTAAATGTGACTTCATTATATTACAACTCAAAGTAATAAAAGTTTGAATGAAAGTAGAGTGTCTTATTCGATAATGATTATCGTTCTAAAAAGAACTTGAATAAGGAGCTAAATGTCCTTTAGCACTAACACACAGAAGCCCACACACGCATAAGAACTGATCAGACAAAGCACAGGACGGGACGGCAGCCGGGAGCGGACGGGGCACAGGATGGGATGGCGGCAGCAGTTCAGCACTTTTGGGATAAATCTAAGCTTTGAGATGGAGTAAAATCTTCTGACGTGGAGAACATGCGTGTGAATGAACAGACATACACAAAGGAAAGAGTCGGCCAAACGAGCAGGGTCTGGACCTGGACCGAGATCACACCAGGTTACTCTTGAAACAATACCAAAAAACTCAACACTACCAAAGACTGCTACTTCCTTTCCTTGTGACTTAAATGAAAACAATTCCATCATACTATTCAAAACAAGTCACTGGACTGTTTAACTTATTCCTGGAAAAATGTTAAAACCACTTTGGAGACTCCCATTACCAATATGGCGAGGTTCCTAAATTGCCCTGCTAAAAAACTAAAAAAATCCAAAGACATAAAATCATTTTAGAAGCAATGCTGAATCTCAAAACGTTTCAAAGAATTAAAATCACACAATATGTTCCCCAACCACAGTAAATTAGACTATAAATCAATAACAGAAAAATAATTACAAAATCACCCCCAATGTTTGGAAATTTAGCAACACACTTCTAAATACCCCTGGATCCACCTCCTGCAATGGATCCTGTTCCTAGAATGTCCCCCACAGGAAACCCCTCGACTGAGAACGCGCAGGCCCTGACCTGTTGCTGGTGTGCACATCTCCTTCTCCGTCCCCTTCCCCTTCTCCCTCGGAGCCCTCTCCCTCCTGGTGCCCGGTGGTGGTGCTGATGGCGCCCGTGCTCGAGCTGACACTCCCAGGTCCCGCTGGATGCCCCTCCGCTGTGGCATCACCGTAAGCACTGCTCCGGCCAGACACTGGAGGAAAGTGGTTAAAAGCACAAGTCAGCCCCCAAAGCACGACGGAATCCAATGCAGTCTGAAGTCAGCAATAGTTAAAAGATGACTGGTAAGCTTACGAATTTTTTATTCTGTGTGAAGCTAAATAAGGATGGAATGCACAATTCTGGCCCCACAGCACTGTGACCCCCAGTGACTCTTGGGGTGGCCACACGTCCCTGTACAGAACATAATCTCCACCTATAGGACCGACCTCTGTCTCAGCTACTGACACATTTCCATCCCACACTCCAGAGAACACACACTCATTTGGGAGTCTAGGCATTACCTTTTACTCTTAATCTACTCCACACAAAAAATTTTCATATCTGTGGCCTGATTTATAAGATCGACCCCACTGGCTTTGTCACGCGTCCTCATTCTAGAGCCCCACCCTATCGTCCAGTACCCTGTGAAGACGACCTACTGTATTAACACACCAGACCATCAGCAGTAATTGCCCAAAGTATCTTCCCCCAACAAGAGGAGCAAACCCAGTGTGATGGATTCCAAGGTCACACCGTAAGTGTTTTAGATGCATCCCGATTCAGGGTTGGGTGTGTCCCTGCTTTCTCCACTACCAATAAGTGAAAGCTGCCTGGGAGCTACTTTAGGACCAGACTCCCTGGGTTTAAGCCATTATCACCAAACACATGAAACCCCAGGGCTGAGGTCAGGTGATTCCCTGAGACTTCCAACGAGCCCCCAGAGCTTCCTTCTGCTGAGGCCAATCCCAGAACCCAGGCAGAGATTCCAGTTTTGTCCCCACCCTCTGCCCAGGAGATCAGGACCCCAGGACCCTTTACCACTGTGCTCGCCAGCCACTGAGTCCACGGCACTGCCCCCGCTCTCTGAGCCCACACTCCCACCGTGGTCAGCGGGAGAGGTCCGAAGGGTGGAGCCATCAGTCGCTGCCGTGCTGCCCTCGTCGTCCGAGGCTGGAGCTGAGAGAGGAACGAGAGCTGTTACAGGTAAGAACCACACAGTATCTGTCCCACTGTCAAAGGAAAAAGGGAGAGAGGTGCTTTGCTGGTTAACCACTAGCAGGAGCAAACACTATGTACGCACCGAGTGTTGAGAACAGTACTAGGAGTGAAGACCCAGTTCCCTGGGCACTTCCTTCACTGTCACGCTACAGCACAAGAGGAACAGTGCAGAGTTCAATAGGTTCTGTGACATGGACACTCAGTTTTCTAATGTAAGTGCTTTGTAGTCACCATTGTGGAGGTGTTACTGACACCAGCTGAGGCTGGAAAGCAGCCATTACCATTCCAAGCACAGAACTCAATTTTAATGAGATTTGTTTCATAATCGGTCAATTCGTGCTTATGTCAGGAAATCACTAACATGAACTCTTTAATCAATCCTGTTTGTTTTCTTTTTAATCAGGTGGTCCGGAGGAGTGCTCACTGGGAAATTTCACGCCTCCTAATCATCCTCATCAGATGCTAACAATGAAGCAAGGAAATTCCCCGGAGACCCCACAGCATCCAGGATCAGGGCTGAGCGGGACAGGATGAGGCTCAGGGGGAGGAAAGCCAACACGCCACAGAGCACAGCGGGGGTACAGCTGGCACAGCATGACAGTGACCGCCAAGCCTGAAATGACAGCCACTAAAGGGACCGAGGGAAGCAACAAGCATGGCAGCAGGGGAGACGGGACAGACAATTTCTCCCTTCCTCACCTACCCAGAGTAAAACTCCCGAAAGGAAAATACAAAAGAAAGAAACAAATATAGGGAAGCATCTGCCTGAAAACCTCCAAGTCAACCCTTAAATTACTCGGGCACATTTCCCAGCAGCTGGGTCAGATGTTGCATCCTCTTCTCTTGGTCCAACTCTCTACTTAGGGAATTTTTTTTCTTTCCAAGTTAGGAAAGAGACTGCAAGTGAAGACAAAATGAGGTTTGAAAATTTCCTCTGCATTTGAATTGTACACAAAACCCCTGGCTCCGAAGCTCACAAATCCCCGACAATTAGCCACACTGACCTCCAGCTACCTCGGCTTCTTACAACTTCACTTTTACTTGCAAATGAAGAGAAAAATGTTAAAAGGTATAACCCCTATTTCTTGTCTTTCTTTAATGCTGTCCAAAGTGTCAGCACTCTGATGAAGAACTGGAAAGCTGCGATTTAAGCCCAGAGCCGATCGACCTGCAGGCTGCTCTCTAGGCCCTTCCTCGGCAAGTGAGTGGGAGCCAGGCGGCATGCAAAGTGCAGGAGGCGAAGCCACGAGCGCCCCCGCCAAGCTGCATGGTATGCCTCCCGCACCCGTCTTTCCAAAGCGAAGGCAGAAGCGGGAAGTCCAGAATGGCCTGTCAAAGCAGCTGCCCGGTACACTCTCACAGCACAGAGAACACGGCCTGGGGCCTGGGGGTCCTGGGCCATGCTCCTTGCTATGGACAGTTACCTGATGCTGTGGTGTCAGAGAGGGTTCCTGCATCCAGTGAGGAAGAGCTGGGTGCCTGGCCCGACAGCCCCAGACTCTGCAGGCCCAGAGCACTGCTGCTGCTGCCTGGGGAACAAGTGGAGAGTGAGCTAAACACCCCCTCCAGACCCCGTCCACAGCGCTGCTGTGGCCACCTGCTGTCCTCAGGAACCTAAACTCGCCAGTGTGTGACCCCCTCTGCCCCTCTGGCCTGGAGGAAGTTAACAGCCATTGCTGCCCAGCCACCCTGTTTGGCTACACAAGTGGTGGAAGACTCCCTCCAACTCAGGCTGGACCCAGCAGGGAGAGATCTAACACATGTGGGGGGGAATAGTCCAAATGCCCCAACAAACAGAAACAAGGAGACTGGCTCCCAGCTGAACATGTGCCCACAGTGCCTCTCACTCTCCACTTGCGTCTCTGAATGGCTCTCACCCAGATTGACCTCTCCCCAGATCTGGGGACGAGCTAAGTGAGCGGCACGTCAGTAACTGCCGTCCCTCTCTCCGGGGCAAGGCCAGCGGGCCACCGCGCTCCTGGCATCTGCCTTCTACCTTGCTGGTCCTGCTGCAGGCTCAGGGCGATGGCCAGTTCGACCATGGTCTCGTCATCGGCGTCAGGCGGAATGTCCAGCATAGGGGGGAAGCCCTCTGCACCGGCCAGCAGGGCCTCCAGGGGCGAGGGGTTGCCATTGTTGACATTCTCAGCAGTCTCCAGGACCATCGACTCGGACTGCAGAGAGGACGCGCGGTCAGCGGCCCATGGCTCATGGTTGCTTTTGGAAGTCCACTGAATAAGAGCTAGAGGAAAGTTAGAGGCCCCTACGCCCCTCTCCAGCTCCAGACTCACCACCATCTCAAAATCTCCATGGTCCACCTCGCTCTGTTCCTGGCTTTCCTGCCGGATGTGGCCACCATTCGGGATCCCTGATGACTGCATTTTCTCATCTGCATCATCATCGTCATCATCATCCTTGTCTCCTGAGTCAAAGAAACCCCTGTCAGCTGACAATACTTAAAAACCTCCCCCGCCTCAGCAGCGTGACTCACAGAGCAAACAAAAGCCCAGACGACGAGCTACCCGCCGGCATCTGTGCCCCAGAGAGAGACCCCAGAGCGCTGTGCCTAGCCTGGCAGGGTCTAAGAAGATAGGTTGGTAAGGGAGAGCTTGCCCCCACCTAGGACAAGACCTTTTCCAGCTGATGAAGAGTGTGAGTGAGTGAGTGAGTGAGTGTGTGTGTGGCGGGGGGAGGGGGCCATGATGGGGGGAACCTTGAATTACAAAGGGATTTCCACAACGCAGTGAAACTGAAGCCCAGTAAGTCCACAGGCTCCCACCAACTCTCAAGAGACCTTGGACAAGACAGGGAAAATAAATAATCTAATATCTGTTATCTGTTATCTGTCATGGCAGCTTGAAGTGGTACTATGCTTTTCCAAAACAACTGGGCCAGTGAGGTCTCACACTGCAGGAGCATTAGGAGAACCTGGCCCAGCCAGTTCCTGTGTGAAGGGAGAGGCCTCCTAGTGTGAGGGGGGCCAGACCCCTGGTGTGAGAAGACGGAGAACGTGCCTCTCGCCAGGCGGGCTGTGGAAGCGTGTGCACATGGCCTCGACTGGAAACATGAACCGACTGCCCTCTTGCTTCTCACCGGAGATGCACCGACTGTGGCCTAACTCCTGAGAAGCTCGGCTAAGATCAGTACCATTCAATACCTTGAATGGTGTTCAAGGCGGATGGAAGGCCACAAAGTCACATGCACCCCTGCAGCCCTGCACCGTGCGTGTGGCTCCGGGGCACTCGCAGCGGGCCCGGTCCACGTGGAAATGTGACACTAGCGCACACTTCACACTAGATGAAGACCTCACAAAGACATGTTGCAGATATTCGAAGCACTGCGCTAACAATCTACATTGACATGTTGAAATACTTGTATGCACTAGACTGATTAGCAAGTTAACTTCAACATACTTCCTATCACTCTTTTTAAAACCTGACTAATAGAAAACTTAAAATTATGCACGTGACTTTCATCGGAAATGTCCTTCTGAGGCAAACCAAGTAACCAGAGACTTACACAATGTAGTGCTGATACTTAGATGCTTTGAGAACAGCTTTCACTACAATGTTACACGTTACCCGACTTGTGTCCAAGTGTATGGCGAGGGAAGCCTCTCGTGACACCTGCTGTCAAACAGTGTAGGTGCGGCCTCTGCGGAGGCAGCGACCCAGACCCTCACTGCAGGGCTTCCATGCTCGGAAGTCTGTTTTCACTGGAAAATGGCTACACTTTTCCTTAGTCGTGTGACTTGCATAACTGTTCTTAGGTGACTTGGTTGTGGCTCTGAGGAAGCATTCATCCAGATGTAAGGTCTTCACTTAACAACTATGCAGGACCTCACGACGCAGATTTTTTTTTTTGCATCTTGGGCTTGATTTGACTACTGTACCTTTATTTTCCCATGGCTTTGATTTTCTTTATTTTTATCCCATTTTTAGCATACGCATTTTTATCTGCCACCTGACGGCCTTTGCGGAACAAGGCAGGACAACAACGACGGACCCACAGACCACAGGCCCTGGGCCCTTGGCCCACGGGGGCAGCACCGCCCTCCCACAGCCACGTGAGCCCAGGTCGAGACCCCATGTTACCCATCGGAGTGTTGCTTCGAGGGGAGGATGGCAGTGTCACATGTCTCCGCTTGTTCCTGGGCCTCAGGACTCGAATCAGAGCTTGTTTACAGGAGAAGCTCACCGCAGGGTCCTGAGGTTGAAGGACACTGTCACACTTAAGTTTCACATTATTCAAGACACTGTCTACAAACACCTTCCTCTCTCAGTCAACCGTTTCCATGCATGGAGAAGACCTACCTGCTCTCGCCCACAACCCTGCTGACCGAGCTCAGCAGTTAACCTCATCTCCTGACCTGGCAGAGTAAGACCCCTTCACCCCCACTCTTGCATCATGGTCCCTGCTGGCAGACCGGCAGGCCACCTGGCTCTCTACAGGGGGGTTTGGCTTCTCATCAGATCATCGGGCTCAACTTAGCTCTGTGCTACAATCAGCACTTCAAACACTGAGCTTCTGTGACAGAGTCACGAGAACCAGAGCTTAGTGGTGGTCATTCATCTAGCCCTTCTGATTAATACTCAGCACTAAATAGCAACCACCAGGATATTCCCTGGGTATCAGCCCTAAACAAGACAAAGTCCATCACCTCTTCAAACCTTTTTTCCCCCCAAGGAATGAATAAATCTTAAAGCTTTTATCGATATTCAAAACTCTTCATTCTCATGATCTCCTTTAAGAGTGTCCTCGCTCATTAGTGGATTTACTGCAGTTCTCCCGCCCGTGCCTGGGCGGTGCAGGGGTACGTACGGGGCACAGCAGCATCTGCATGTAGATCCCGGACGCCGTGCTGATGCAGTCCAGCTCACACGTGCAGTAGCCGTGGACGATGTCCACCAGCGCATTGACAGTGGCTTCGATGTGAGTCAGGCCTGAAGGGGAGAAGAGGACAACAGAAAAACTTCTACCTACTCAAGAGTCCAAGAAAAAAGTCTTCTAATCTCCCACACTGTCCTTAAAAGCCATCCCAGACTTCCCGAGTCACAGCAGTAAGTGCTGTCTGCTCTCCTGGACATCAAACCAGGGTAGAGAAGTGTTTAGAGCTGGCAGATTCCAAATGTCCCCACTAACCCCAAGCCTTTGGTAACAACAAACATGACCTTGGCACGCCTTCAGGTTTGCTGCCCCAGCAAACTCCCACCACGAGTGAGCACCAGGGGCGGTTTTGCTTTCCCAGGCTGCCGTTCAGATCTGGCTCTTCCCCCCCAACTCAGGATGATGTGAGAGGTCAGACACTGAAGGCAGTGGCAGCTTCGGAACAACCCGGTTCTCCAGGCTGACACCTAACTGCTACCTTGTGAAGTGGCTATCAGTCAGTCTCCCAAAGATTTCTGAAATAATTCCAAACACAACTGAGGGCACACACATGCCCCGTGTGAAACAGCCAACCCGACATGGAGAGCTACGCGAGAAGCTCCCTCGCTGCCCCTCCTGCCTTCCTGTGTCAGGAACACGGACGGACCCCCAGCCTTCTGTCCCTGACTACTCATCTGGAAGAGGGAGCGACGAGGGACAAGGCTGGGGGCTGGGCCTGTTCAAAGACAGGACTCGCGTCGGGCTTCGCCAGCTACCAACACGCAGGTGCCCCTGCCCACGCGATACCTGGCAGGCAGGCAGGCGCCAAGAAGGCGTTCTTGGGTTTGGAGGCATGGAGTTTCCAGAAGTGGTTCACCAGCTGGGTGATGAAACTGCAGCAATCCCCGTCCACCTGCTTCTGAGGCTCTCGCCCCTCCTCCACTCCTTCTACACAGAAAGAAAGTTAGTAACGACGGTAAATCGGGGATGGAATTTAATTTGTGTCAAGTTTAACTCAGGTCAAGGAAGCTTGCCTGGGGAGGGAGTTTCAAGTGGGGCCCCAATCAACATGCCAACTATCCCTAGATTCCAGCAGGCACATCTAGGAGGAAAGCAGTCTGGGAAAGGAACATCACAGAAGACATCGCATGTTAGAGAGTTAAGTAGAAGGGGGAGCATTCAGGATCTTCGCAGCAGATTCAGAGGTCTCAGGTCCCACTGCTCAACTCCCCACTGTAAAAGCTGGGAGAACCTCTGAGATTTTCTGGAACGATTCCTGGGTGACAGTATTAGGAGGAGGCACAGGATGACGACAGTACGTGGGTGCATGTGACAAAGGACTGTAAAAGCATCAATGAACTGTATCTGATAAAAGCAAAACAAGTGTGGTGCCCAGACAAAGTGAGGAGGAGGGGGAAACAGAATGGGCACCAAGAAGGGCCACCACACGGACCAACAGGAGAACAGCATGAAAGCAGAAGACAGGACCCTAGCAGTTTAAAGTGAATGGGGCCCTGAAGTTGCTCTAACTTTAACTTTAACCTGAAAATCATAAGACATAGTGACAGATTAGACTGATGTCTAGAGCACTAAATAAACCCAAAAATAACCCGGGGAATAAGCAGTGGAAGGAGTATTTACTTAAAATGGTACAATCTTAATGTCACAAACCCTCCACGAGGTGTAAAGACACGAGGGTAAAATCCCGCCAGAGCATGCAGTCAGTCGGAGGCCAGTGAGCACAGCGAAGGGAGGAAAGGCTGAAGAAAATGTAGCTGCAGATTTCAGGACCACGGCCACGTAGGCCAAGTTCACCTGTTTCCATCTGGGGCAGCTTTGACTCCGTGAAGTGGACGAGGTTGTTAGGGCGCATGATGGCGATGGAGCGAGCTGTGATCACCAGCCTCTGGAAGACCTCGGGGTCCAAATCCTTGCCTTCTTTGCTGGAGGTGTTGAGACACTGCACAGCTTTGCTCAACAAGGCCTGGTCCTGCAACAGAGGGGCCACAGGGGTAACCCACAGCAAAGGCCGCACTAACGTGGAGAGCGGAGGACAGCTGGCAGGCTGGCCACCTCCCTCCAGAGAACAGGCTGATCACCACCCAGCTAACTGGAACAAATCTTCAAAGTTAAACTTCTTCTTTTTTATTTTATTTTATTTATTTATCTTTAGAGGGGAAGGGAAGGAGAGAGGGAGAGAAACATCAACGTATGGTTGCCTCTCGTGCGTCCCCTGCTGGGAACTGGCCTGAAACCCAGGCACGTGCCCTGACTGGGAATTGAACTGCGATCCTTTGGTTTGCAGGTCTGCACTCAATCCACTGAGCTACACCAGCCAGGGCTCAAAGTTAAACTTCTTCACACATAAAAAACTAAAGGCACTACACAAAATTTAAGTCACAAAATCAGTATGATGGGAAAATCAGAAACCACTCAGTTCTCCAGGACTGTAACACCCAGATCGCTTTCCTACAATGAAGGAACCGTTCTCCTGTAAGTGCGCATCACACAAACTGTTCCCAAAATTGTCTCTCCTTGAGAGACAATGTGCTGGTTCTCTGGGCTGGAGGCACGAAGCTAACCCAGGAGTCTGGGTCTGAACTGTCGTCTTTCCCATCTACTGAAACCAGAAACCAGCCTGACTGGCCGCCTTCAGCCCCGCCGACTTCCACAGGTGAGGACCCCCCCCCCCCACTGCCCGCAGGCTCGCCCAGTCAGGCCGCAGCCGGTGGAAAGGCAAAGGCCAGCCATCCTGCTCTCCTGAGGGAGCCCCCTCCTCCCTCCCTTCCAGTACGAGGGACACTCACACGTGGATGCCCTTCCCTTCTCTTTTGTGAATCTTGCTGGTGCTGTTACAGTGACAGGAGGAACAAACGTACAGCCTGCTGTTGGCTTGTCCTCGGTTGCAGAGACTTCCACTAATTTCTCAGGAGACATCTTGGATGGCGGGGGTCTAATCTCAATGCTATGCTGCCCACCTTACTTAACCATGCCCCTGCTTTACACATGAAAAGCCAACTTAGCTCGATGCCCTGTCAGTACTCAGAAAACACTCCTGTGAGGGAACGCTTACCTTGTGGCTGTGATAGGCCGAGCGGCTGGTGTGCAGGCTGGCCAGGAGGCTCTTGGACTGCTGCTGGACACTGGGAGGGGCCGGCAGGGACAGCAGCAAGGTGGCCAGCTCCTGAGCTGCATTCTTGTTTTTCTCCTGACGTGACAGACAGCAGGGTTACCTACCACTGACTTGCCCAGTCCATGCCAAACGCACTGTCTGAACCCCGCCCTCCCCCTCTTCCCTTCTAGACCAGCAAAGCAAGGTCACATGCTCCACGGGCTGCAAAAAGCCAAACAAAGAATTTCAAAACTTATAATCTTCTCACAACATAGGTGTAGAAACTGAGTCCAAGTTCATGACCCCCAGAACAGTGTTCTTTTAGCATCACACCCTACTCTATAAAACACTACAGGCCTCCTAAAAGTAGGACAGAAGGCCCGAAGCTGAAGACTTCCCTGGAGCCTCTCTGCAAATCAAGATTAAGCTATAAATGTTCTTCAGTTTCGAGTCCCCGGGGCCTCCAACGACTCCACTGCCTTCCTGCTTCTCCAGAAAGCCTCCCATGTACTTTGAAAAAGGAACTTGCCTTTTCGATGATTGGGCCAACAGCAAAGCAGCTTTCCAAGGCTTCTAAAGAACTGACAACCAGCCTAGGGAGACAGAAAAGCTGGCTTCAGTCCAGCAGCCCTTCTCTCTGCCTTGTGCTTTAGCCAGTGCAAACTAGAGTCGTGAGGACCCTGGGGACAGCTAAGGAATGCCACACGCCAAATCGGAGCACATAGACCTGCCACGAGCACCATGCACATCGTCCCAGTGGTATGGGCCAGAAGAAACCTGGCGCCTGCTCAGAGATCAACCTGAGGCCATGTTCATTATCCATAACCCAGAGACAGGGCTCTTCTTCCTCAAAGAGGATAAACGTGCTCCTTCGGCTGCCTATGGCTGCGATCACTGAAATGGGCTTAGAAGTCTGGATGTGATGAGGCCCGAAGCTCAGGTGCCCACAGATCACAGGCAAAGGGACACTCACACCAGGGAAAAGGTGAAGTCATCTTCTTACACTGGTAAAGACAGCTTACACTTCACTTACGCCTCTTAGAAAAGGCACATCCTATGAGTCCCTAAGTATGGGAAGAGGGCAAACCGTGTTTTCAGGAGCGTGCCAATGCCAACATTTAAATGATACTTCAGAGTATCATTTCTAAATGATACTTTTAGAAACCTGAGCTAAGGAACAGGAAACCCAACTGCAGGAGGGTACCTCGGAGCATGCTCCCCAGGGCCGGCCCTGGGGGTTTCATGTGCATAGTGTGAAGACCAACACTCTGACGGCCCACGCTCAGACAGGAAAGGAAAGGACTGAAAGGGCAGCTGCAGGGAAAGGTCAAGGGGGAGAGGAAGGCAGTAAAGAGCCCGGGAAGAGGGACCAGAGGCGTAAAACGAAGTGGGACGGAACAAGTTCCCCAGTGGCTTTTCAGACGGTAGGACTCCTCCGCTGTCCTGCCGCCCCTGGCCGCCCTTCTCGCCCACTGCAGAGAGGGCACAGAGAGGAACGGGGTGAGGAAGACAAAGCCAACGAGGTCTGAAGCGGCCAACACCAAGTGCGCACGCACCGCCCTCCCCATTCCCCGCTGGCCCGCGGACAGCTCTGCAGCCATGCAATGACCAGACAGAAAGAAGCAGGGGGGGGGGCTCTACGGAAGCAGGACTGACGCCAAGCCACTTTGGGTCGCACGGCTCTCCGACACACACTCACTCGTGCAGAGAAAGAAGGCATACTAACCGGTCCAGCTTGGTTAGGGACTCAGTTTCAGAACTTTGGGGAGAAGCAAAGGAAAAAAAGGAAAAAAATGTGAAGCTCAGAGAAATCTGGAAACACATCCTAAGCAAACAATATAAGAATAGGGTAGGGGGACAAAGAAAGACAGAGAAAAAAGAAAGAGAAAAAAGGGAGAGAGGGAGGCTGCTGGTGGGAGGCAGTGATTCCAAGCCAGGCTATTCTTCTGACTTACAATGTAGGAAACTCAACATCTCACATCGTGAGTTACTTCTTCTGCCGAGGCAAACCAGCAGCTACCTAGTGCAAAGAAGCCAAGCGCAGTGCTTAAGAAGGCCACTGGAGGGAGCCTAGGAGGCTCTCAGCTCTGCTACAGATGCAGTAGCCAACCTCTGGCAGCAGTGTTACCATGACCTAAGTTGCTGCTGCAGAGAAAGATGAGGAAATGATGGAATTAGAATGAAAGGGAAGATTTTCCCCTACAATTTCAGCAAGACTGGATCTTAATCCATAATCCTGGTTTAAGCTTCTTAGTCAGCATCCTCTGGCTACTCCAAAGGACACCTGAACACTAAGAGAAGACTCAGAAGCCCTGGGCAGAGACTGGAGTTGGAGGGCTCTCTGCACACTTCCAGGCTTTGCCTGCACGCTGAGGAGACAGCGAGTGCCAGGGAGTTGTGTGCAAACGTGAAAATCAAAGGCTAGACTTGGGGCCATTCACAGAGACTGGCTCTTCCAAGACACAGGCTCTGCAAGGAGGGTGAAAACCGGTGAGGACTGCAGCCGGCCCCCACCAGTGCCGGTACCTCTCCAGGACAGTGCCGCTGGTCGTAGTGGGGGCGGCCGGGTCACTCTCTCCAGTGCCATTGCTCTGGTTCAGGTTTGAAGGGCAGATGCTGCTGACGGCGGCAGGCGGGAACTCTTCCGGGGGCTCATCAGGCCAGCCGAACTGCTCCTTCGTCTTGCCATAGATTTTCACAGCGTCGATCATGGTGACTCCTGCCGGATCCACGGAGGCCCCAACTACAACAAGCGAGAGGCGGCCTTAAGGAACACGTTCTCTGAAGGGCTAAGGCCACTGCCTCCGAAGCAGAGACCAGACTAAGCCTGGGCAGAGCAGCACTTCAGGTGCACGCCACAGTCACAACGAACCTCGTCTCCTGAGGTGCCGCAGCACCTCGGCCTTGTACAGATGCTGCATACCTGAAAATACACTCGCACTGACCACAGTCTACGAGGGGGAAGGACAGCCGCTAACCATCGCTGTGAGGATCAGACCCCCTGGTGCTGCCGGGGACCATGCCACCCACCCCCACCCCAAGGGAGTGCAGAGCACTCCCTCTGCTCAAAGCACAGCCTACCATCATCCCACCACAGCATCGGAGGGCGGGCCAGTGAGTGCTGGAGAGAGGTGCCAGCCGAGCGAAAGACTCAGGGATCTGTACTCTGAGGGTTTAAAGGCTTCAACGGCATGGCAGGCAGGGACCACCAAACACCTCCCAGAGACGTGGGGCCTACGGCTCTCATCCATGCTTTAAGACAGCCCTGTGATTACACATGCTAATCTTGCCTCCACTCTGCAGAAACACACAGGCAGCCCCGCAGCAAGGATGACCCATGCCTACAGAAGTGGGCACCGAGGCAGAGTGTGACCCGATGGGTGTCTGTCCCCCTGGGGCCCTTCCCATTCTCAAATACATCCTTTTCCTGTCCCCCTTCCTCTTTTTATCTCAGACGAAGCTCAGAGGTTCATGCCAGTAGAGGCCACAGAGACATCGCTGGAGTACAGGGCTCCCAGAATGTGGGGAGCCAACAGGGAAGTGGCCTGGGTCTGGTGACTCACTGAAGAGGTTCAGTTTCTTATCGGCCTGCAAGGCTTCTTCTCTGGTGAAGGGGAAGTCGAACCAGCGTGAGCGACTCAGGTTAAGCTGCATAGTTCTGCCGAAGATCTCAATATACGACGGAGCCCGTTCAATCGCCTGGGTCCCGATCTGGATCCGCATGCCTGTCATCACCATCGTGCTGTTGTTGTTACTGATCTCAATGGTGAAGCCACCGGGCTGCAGGGTGGAAAGGTGCACATCAGGGAATGAATACAGGTTCTTAAGGGCAAACCTGCAAACTCCTTCCTCTGACAGTCTCTTGGTGTGTGACCCCAGACAAGACCCGTATCCTCTCCGCCCTCCGGTAATCACTTCCTTGAAGATGGGCACGCTGAGGCAGGGAGCAGAGCTCCTCAACGTCAGGCTTCCTCCTCCCCACTCCCCAGTCCTCTGCACGGTAGCCCTGCTGGAAACGTTGTGCAGAAGCCCTTCTGCGCGAGAGTGAAGACATTCACTTACTCTGGGGACCCCTCAACTAGGATCAGGGGAAAAGACCTTGTACTTGCATTCTAAAAAGAGATGTCTTCTCAAACGATACCATTTCTGAGAGACGGAACCCACACGGACGCAGTCCTCACCTTGGTATTGGCCACATACATGCCAGTGGAATTCAGCCGGTGCTTTATCTGTTGTGCATTGTAGACCTGCAGGAGGTCATTACCGCCAAACTCCACATCCGTTAGCTGCTGGTTGTGCTCAAAGAAGTCAATGGGGAAGGTCACCTGGCTGGACGTGCGCGTCGCTGTGGAGAGCAGCACCGGATTGCCAGGGAGCACTGGTGAGTGTGGTCTCTGCCTCCGCCTGCCCACTCCCAGCGGAGCCCACACTCACGTGCCCCAAGCTCTCTAGACAGACTCTGCGCTACAGCGTTGGCACTGGCACGATGCCTACATGTGGGGAGCTGGCCAACAGCCCTCATCCCTGTAACCACAATACTGCCTAGCAGGACAAAGGCACCCGGTGCTGGTTTGGGGGCTGTTTGTTACACAGCAGTAGGTCCTCTCACAGCTGCTCTATGTAAAACCAACGGAAGTATTTCTTCATGGGAAGGTGAGTGGCATCACCATCTCCCATGCAGGTAGTGGGAGGACCCCCGCATCGGTCGTTGCCAAGCAAGATTCCCTCGCTCCTACGTTAAGGCCTTCACTCCCTGAAGAGTCCTTGATCGGTCAGGAGCAAGGCTCCGAGCTCAGAGGCCTGCGAGTGGCTCCTCACTGCTCAGGGAAACTGTCCAACCGAAGAGCCTGCTCCTCCATCAGCTCTGTCCTGCACTTCACAGCGGGCAAGATATTTCCCCCAAACCCAGACAAAACATTCAAGCATGGGCTGAGGGATGTTCTTTCCTGGGCACCGGAGCACGGCTGGCCCGAGGTGGACGCCAGCGGGCATGTCCCACCTGTGCGACGTGCCTCCAGATCCACAGGGAACGCTGGCGGCCTCAGGACACTCACTCTGCTTTTGGAAATCGGCCGGCCCACATCCCTACCTTTACGAAATGTGCAAGCGGGCCCTGGCTGGTGAGGCTCGGTGGACTGAGTGTTAGTAAACGAACCTAAAGGTCACTGGTTCGATTCCCGGTCAGGGCACATGTCTGGGTTGTGAGCCAAGACCCCAGTTGGGGGTGGGCAGAGGCAACCAGTCAATGTTTCTCTCCCTCTTTTTCTCCCTCCCTTCTCCTCTCTCTAAAAATAAGTACATAAAATCTTTAAAAAATAAATAAAAATATTAAAAAAATGTACAAGCGGGAGAGTCGCGGACTCCTCACGGGTGTTCACCCCAGTCCGCACCGAGTTGCAGTCTAGCCGACCGCCGCCCCGTGCCCCACGGGCGTGAGGAGGGCCTTACTGATGGTGGCTGCTTTGCGCTTCCGGACCGGCTTCATTATGCTGATGACGCTGCTGGGCTGCAGGGACGGCTGGAGCCAGTAGGAGGTGTTCTCCACGTTGGCCATGTAAATGCGCAGGCTGCCGTCCTCGCACAGCAGGATCATCGTCGTCCGCTGCTGCTCGTTGCAGGCTGTGTGCCGGATGGCCACCATGTCCTGGATCTAGGGCAAGGGGGCAGAGGAGGGCGTCGGTTCCCGGGCCTACAGATCGGAGCCCCCAGAGAGAACGAGGCAGAGAAGCAGCTACTTTCACGGTCAGTTGCGGGGCTGCATAAGGGTGACACAGACGTGCAGGAAAACCAGGTCCGAACACTTTTCTGGACCTCCCCTGACAAAGCTGGGAAAGGGGTGTAACAGACAAATACAGAACCAGACCGGGCTCAGCCTGTTCGAGTGACAGGAGAATGTGCACTGACCTTTGCTTTGGCAGGAAGAGTCTTTATCTCTTGAATGAGAAAAGTGTCTGGTTTCACCATAACTACCAGTGGCACACCTGTTGTTTGCTGGACACAACACACCAAGCCAGGGTGGTTCATCACCTCGGACCACTGGCAGAGGGCAGGAGACGTCTTACTGCCACCATTGGAACTGCGGGCGACAAAGGTGGCCACAGTTAGGTACCAATCACCGCCTGTTCATGCTTTCCTTGACCTCAAGGCCATCCTCACTACGTTCTGGACTCCCAGAGCAAGACACTTGTGCAGGAACTGAACTCCCCACGAGTCGCAGTCTTCTTCCAAGCCATGTATATGCTTTCACATGCCCCAGCAGGTATCCCCAGTGGGAGTCCTGGTTAGCACCTCCAATGCTGGGTTCCACGGTCTGAGGGCAGAGGTGAGCCCAGGTGCCCAGAGGCTGTCAACTTCACAGGGCCGTGGAGCTGCCTAAGGCTCACGGCCCACTGTCCTAGTGAGAATCTCCAGGTACTTCAAGTTATGTGCGACGCTATCTCTTTTATTTCATCCCAAACCAGGTAATTCACAAAACAGAGACCAGAGACAAAGTGCTAGAATGGCCCTTCAACAACAGGTAAGAAAGACGGGAGAAAGTCCTAAACCTCTTCATTCCCCACCCTAAACGAACACTCACCACTTCACGTACACCACTATTATCTGGAAACCCGACGGAAGCCTCCACCTCCCAAGCCCAACCAGGCCCCCACTACTGATGCCATGTTCCATGACCAGTCAGTCCCCCAGGAGGGCAACCTAAGGGGCTCGAGAGGGCATGCATGTCTAGGAGAGACTCACTTTCCCTTGTCAAAACTCAGTGATCACATTAAAATCGGGTGTGATGCCCTGACCAGTGTGGCTCCGCTGGCTGGAGTGTCGTCTTGCAAATCAAAAGGCTGCAGGTTTGATTCACGGTCAGGGCACACACACAGGCTGTGGGTTGGATCCCCACTCAGGACACATGTGGGAGGCAGCCAATCGACGTCTCTCTCGCACTGGTGTTTCTCTCCCCTTCTCTGCCTCCCTCCCTTCCCCTCCCTCGGGAGAGGATACAAAAAATCCTGTTTGCTGCCATGACCGTAGCTTTTCCTTCTGAGTGACAGTGGCCCCATCCCAAACCGCCTCTTACAGCCTGGGGTCTCCTTGGTGGGGGACAGAATAAGCGGACAGCCAAAACTGCCAATACTGGACACTGCATGACTTCAGAAATACCAAGCAAGGAAGGAAGACGTTTGCTGGACAAAAGGACATTTCACCAAACCCAAAACAGACACCAGGACTTGGGAGGGAGGTGGAGCCCCCTGCTGACCATGGCCATCACGAAGCTGAACACTACGGCCCTTCCCACCTCTTGATGTTGATGGAGAAGAGCTGCAGCACCTCCAGGGTCGTCCTGCTGATGGTGGCTGCGAACGATCTGCCTTGACAGTAGCTGAAGAACAGCATCTGCAACACGTGGGAGTAGTAGACAGACACGCCGCCACCTGCCACCTGGCTGTTAGTGTCCTGTCGGGACAAACACACAACAACCGCATTAACGTCACACGTTGCCTTGGCTACCAGCTTCCCATTTTGCTGGTGATTAGTTTTCAGTCGATATGCTGGGCCCTCACAGTCTAAGCATGAGACCCCACTGGCTAAGTCTGAAACACATGCAGGAATAAAGAAACGTCAAGTTGAATTGGTTTAATCCTAAAGAATAAGAGTTTTAGCTATGAGATAAAAAGTTAGAAGCATAAAGCAAAAAGAAAAAAAGAAAAGAACAGCAGCAGAGTTGCTGAGCTAATTATATCTGGAACAGAAGGAAATGGCAACATCTGCTCTAACCTTCAGGTCCTCGTGGTTGACTTCCAGAACATTAGTAACATAGAAGGGTCCCTGCTGGGCGCTGCTGGCCTCCTCCATGAGCTGAGTATAGATGTAGCCGGCTGAAGACATTATAACAATGATGTTTTTTCCCTCCTCGTTGAAGAGGAAGGTAACATCTCGTATCTTTGAGCTTGGCAGGAGAAAGTAGAAAGTTGGACTCAAGGCATCAACAGACAGGTCATAAATCTGTAGAATGGAAGGAAGAGGAAGGAAATAAGGGAGCTCTACTGCAGCTCCATCCCCAAATGATCCTGATCAATCCAAAGAGCTGCAATGGGTAACTATCTTTCCTCTCCCTCAAGGAATGAGTAAGGGAAAGGTACACATCAACAAATTCTGTATCAAGTACGGTAACAGCTGTGCCCGTGGTACAATGCGGACAGAACCAGAATCAATTTCATGTTGCCTACACACAGAAAGCTGCTGCTCACCAATGTAACAAAAGGCAACAAAACATTAGGGCTTTTTATTTTTAACTTCTGGGAAAAGCTAGCACACACGGGAGATCAGACATTCCAGATTTAAAAGCAAAACTATTCTGGGACCCCATCAGAGCTGACGCAGTACCTTGACGAAGTCTGCGGTGACAATAGCTAACTCGGTCTGTGAACCAGGCAACCACACGGCTTTGATGATGAAGTTCCCCGTTGCCAGCTGGGGGTGCAGCACCAAGTGATCCGAAACAGAGCCTGAGCTACTGAAGGTCAGCACATGGCAGTCCTGGACATGGGTTAAGGGACAGACCGGTTGAAAGATGATTTGGAAACAGGCTAGTGCATTTCAGAGCTCTAATGTTTCCTTTCTTCCTGACACTCCCTGCCCTCAGACAGTATTCAGACAGTCTAGGACACGTTTAGGTTTCAAGAACACAAAGACTATCCCAACATGAAAACAATCTAGAAGGAATTCAGAGAAAGATTTCTTTTGCACTCCAATGGTTTTTAAGTTTACCCTCAACCACCACTAAGTGGTGCTGGGAACAGAAGGGAGCAGGTGATTGGGAACCTGGATCTGGCTGTTACCTTCAGCCCGCACACAGCCAGGTAGTCTTCCTTGCACGGATTCCCAGTGAGGCTCAACACAGTGAAGGGGACTGGAGCAGACGCCAGGCGGGTCAGAGTCAACTTCCTCTTGCTGGAATCTGCCTGCTTCAGGAGTGCAGAAAGCTGCAGAACAGTGATCTGCAAAAGAACGACAAGCAATCTCTTCCTAACCCCAGGCTTCTCAGAGAACAGAGCAATGACACCACGCCCTTCAATAGTTGTTTATTGTAAACGAGCCTCCTTGGAAAACCCTAGAACAATAATATCAGCCTCTACTTCTTGCTGAAAGATATGGGATGTTCTTTCCTTTCTTCCTTCCAGTGAGGACAAATGAGTAATAAGATCGATTTCTCCTTGTATAATCAGTTCATAAGTAAAAAATTTCTATGTACTATATTCTTTATAATCTATTACAAAATGTTTTTGCAAGTACTTCTGAACCCTGGCTGGTGTGGCTCAGTGGATTGAATGCCAATCTGTTGAACCAAAGGGTCTCCCAGTTTGATTCCCAGTCAGGGCACCTGCCTGGGTTGCAGGCCAGTTCCCAGCAGGGGATGCACAAGAGGCAACCACACATTGATGTTTCTCTCCCTCCCTTCCCTTCTCTAAAAATAAATAAATATTTTTTAAAAGTAGAAAAGTATTTTTGAGCTATTTTAAGAACATACATATCTCTAGTTTGTTTCTCACTTCTAAGATGTTAGCTTTACTGGTGATAGAGAAGCCAGAATACAGAAAAACAGGAGTTAAAATAACCACCATTCTCTCACCTTCCGCTGGTCTGTAACACAACGTATAAACTTTCCTGTGTCCTTAGAGGGTTGGGAGGGCAGGAAAGAACTAAATAAGGAAGGCTGAGCCTTCTTATGAAGCTGTTTGCCTCTTGGCTTACGCCTTCCAGAGTGACCAAACTGGGCGAGAATGGGAGCCACACTGCCATAGGTAACTGCTGGCTATCGCCTTTCCCGGAGGCTGGAAGGACGTGTTCGGTGGGAGGTCACTAATTAGAAACAGAAGCTCTGTTCCAGTCATGCTGGGTCTCAGGCTAATCTAGTAACTAAGGGCTCACGAGGAAATGCTCGTTCAGCGCTGTCCCTGACACAGTCCTCCAAACTGATAAACCTTTTCTGAGGACCAATCTGGGCAGTCGTCTACCTGTTATACGTAGCGCTTAAACAAACAGGACCTGAAATGAGTGGGAAGGAAGTGGAGGACCCACCTTGCCTTTCTCGTGGCTGACAGCCAGGTGCTGGCGGCGCCCGTGGGGGGAGGACAGCACACACATAGCCACCCGCCTGAGCACGTGGGCGCTGATGAGCTGTCGGATGGTCTGGCCCTGGTCTCCGCTGTAGTTCATCCGGACATTCTCAAAGGCACCCTCCTGGGAGCCTAAGGTGGGAACCTGGCAAAGAGGGAAGCCGAGGGAGGCAGTAATAAGACAAACAAGGTCAAGTGGACTGGCCCACTGTTCAGGTGATACAGATGCTGCAGCTTGGTCATTCAGAAGCAATGGATTCAATCTCTGACCCATGGACACTGGTACACTTGGGAAGTTATTATCATCTGGTAAGAACAATGTAGTGGGTGCCTCATAAACCTAAGTTTAATTAATAAACACTACTGGCTCTCAAAAAACATATGTCTTTAAAAAAAATAAAATGACAGTGCTATGGAATGTTTTCTCACTGAACCAGCCTAGGAAAACTGAAAGCCAGCAGCTCTGTGGGTCACCGACACCACCCCAGTACTTTTTATCTTCATCTTTAATAGTTACAAGTCTAAAAACAATGCTCTAAAACTGCGACTTTTTTGTTTGTTTCTTTGTTTTGAGAGTGAAGAAAACACACTGAACTACAACAGTGTCTTATACCCTTATATTCAGGTATCTTGGACTTGAACGGACTCAGAACCATCTTTTATGTGCAACTGCTGTGTAAAACTGTAACAAGTTTTTAATAAATACCTTATTATTTGTGTGTGTGTATGTATGCATGTGGATTTCCATATGAATATTTTCCCTTAAAAGCAGTCACCTTGTGAGACCTAGCCACGTACCTCATTCATTTTTGCACTTCCCACTAAAGAGGCCCGGCAGACCCCGCCGGAGGTCCATTCTCAGTGCTGAGCACAGGTTTTAAAGTGGATAATGACTCACAACTTACAACCCATGTCATACAAAGAACTAAAGGAAAGTTCCCTAAAGCAAAAGAGGGCAAATATTTTTGCAAGTCAGATGACTCTTAGCGAAGAAGATACAATACAGAGATTTTCTCTTTCATATACAGAAGAAATTTCTATTCTAATTGCCTCCAAATGAAGATCCTCACACCTTGGTGGACTGAACATGGGACGTACTCCAAACGACTTCTTTACAAGACACACCTCCTGTGCTGATCTGCACACTGGATGTCATGGTACCTTAGGTTCCAAGTTCTAAATGGGCAGCGACTGACCGCTCTACGGATGCTCCTTAGAGCACCTGCCACACTGCAGTGTCTCAGTCCCCAACCCCGACACACTCACCATGAGCTGGTCTGTCATCTCGACTGCCTTGTCCACCGTGTGTAGTTCGCGCAGGGCTTGCTGCGCCCGGCTGCTGCTCCCCACGGCGGAAGCCTGCTGAAAGTTGGTCTGAATGGCGTCCATGAGGAAACTGAGCATGTCTAACACGAGAGGAGCGAAGGAGAAATTGGCCTGAGAAAAATCCAAATACACAAATGAAAAAAAAAAAAGACAAAAAATTATGGGTCATACTCATCATAATCCTGCCAGAATCTACCTTCAGAATCCATTATGGAGAACCGTCCCTTTCTCTCAATACTGGATTTGATCCCAATCAATGTGTTACTGTGCTACTAACTCTATCTAGAGTGACCTTTCTACATGAGGAGTCTCACACAGACACCCTAATGCTCAATCATGTCCGTCACGCACAACCAGTTCACTTCTCTCCTGTGAAACCAGAACGGCTAGTTAGGCACCATCCTTGGGAAATTTGACAAAATAATCACTCAAATCATGCCCTGTATTCTGTGCTTCAGATGAAGAACCCTGGCCATGGAAGGGAGCTCTACTGCATCGAAGAACTAAAACCTGCCCCCCCCCAAAAACCCCATTCACACTCCTCAGTGACACACCCCTCCCTGTGAGGCACAACTGACCACACACCCACTTTGCGTTCACACTGTGGAAAGGAGAAAACCCAGAGAAAGGGGCAACAGCCCCCAGGCCGCCCAGTGGAGCTGCACGGACAGCCTTGTGCATTGCCTGCACGAGAACCACCAGCGGGCTCTGCCCTCCGCCCGCAGTGCCGGGCACCCTGGGAGCCCAACCTGGTTCTGCAGCTCCTCCCGGCAGCCCTCCACTGTGCGGCACAGGCTGCTCTTCTTGGGCTTCTCCTCGTCAGCACCCTTGCCATCGCTGATGGTGACTTTGGCCTTGTCAGCGGGGGACGTGCTGGTATGGCGCACCAGACTCTCCGACACCCTGGGCTCACTCTGAAACGCTGACTCCTTCATGGTGGCGCTCATGCCGCTGCTAGGCGTTCGCTTGACCAGCGCCTGGGACAGAAAACGTCGGGCCCTAAGCTCTTGCCACAGGCACAGATGAAATGAGGCCCCAGGTCTTGGAGACAAATCTGACCCACAGGAGAAACTTGATAGCCACTGAAACAACAGCCAAAGGCCCGAATTCTGCTCTTAGTGGTGATTGCCTAACATCTAAAACTTACACAGAGCAATGGGTCTTGGTTACGACATCGGAAATTATGGAGAGGGTCTCATAAAAAACTCCAAGATCTCAAATGACCCTGTGAGTCCTGACATTCTTATGGCACGATCAGTGACAGAATCAGAATGTACTCTAGACCCAGGTGACATGCAGAGTTCCAGTCTGGTTAAACCTTCTCGTGTCACTAACAAGTCACCCCGTCAGCCCAGCAAGTGTGCCAATCTCTCACCAAACAGCTGCCATCTTCCTTGGCTCCACAGTCACAAAAGAAGGATCCGTACTTGGCATAGGAAATCTCGTGATCCTTGTGGCACACCTTGGCACACACTGTGCACACACCCACCCCATCAACCATCTTGCAGGTGTGGCAGTGGTACCTGTGAGGAACGAGAGCCAGCAAATGAGCCCCGAAGTCCCAACAATCAAAGCCCGGCAAACCCTCACCTAAAAGGGAGAACTCTTCTTACCAGTGCTGGTTCATGAATTCCTTCTGAGTGATGGTGAAAGTGCAAAGTTTATTGCAAAGAGAATCTTCATCCTTCAAAGATAAAAAGTCTTTTTAATTGGAATTACACCCCTCCAGACACCCACAAAAACACAAGCTATGTAAATAAAATGGTTGACTCATAAATGACATGCAGAAACCTGGAAATGGCTTGCAGGCTATAAATGTGCTACAATTTCAGGTGAGACCTTAGCACCTTACGGGTAAGAAAGAGAGAAATCTTATGCTTTCTCTACAAAGGAGCTCACGCCATTCCCACGAAGAACTCATCCCCGAAGCCCCATTTCAGATGCGCGAACTGAAGAACAGCAGGGTGACTGCCCCTGGATGGAAGAGGGCGCCTGCCTATTCAACAGGCCTTTCCCCCGAGGGGCTGGCTCCCTACAGCTTGCTCTGCAGGCCTGGAGACACACTCGGCATTAATCACATTCGAGTGGGAGATGGCAATAAGGACTGTGAGTTCTGAAGCTCACAGGCCTGTGGGGGAGACCCAAGAGCTCGTTAGCATGGGCTCTGCAAGGGCCGGTCAGGGGTCACCCCGTGATCCCCTTGGGTTACGCGGTACTTACTGAATCCTCTGCCTGGGAGTCTTCCTCTTCCACAGCCAGCTCCTCCACCCAGTCTGAGTCCACCTCGATGGCCCGCTCTTCCCCATCCACCGAGAGGTGACTTGGGCCCTGGCCATTACTCTGGCTCAGCGCATTGGTGACGTCGGCCAAGTAGGACATAATGTGGCACGTGCACTCCAGCACCACCACGTGCTACAAGAGAACACCACCGTACCGTGAACACCTTGCTTCTGCACAGGTCATCACGTAACCTATGCTTTCTTAAGTTTTTCCCAATGAAGTTCAATTTCAGAGGAATGGTATAAAAGCAAAACAAAAAAGACAAAAAGAGTTTTTAAAGCCCTGGCTGGTGTAGCTCAGTGGATTGAGCGGGCCTGCGAACCAGACAATCGAGGATCGATTCCCAGTCAGGGCATATGCCTGGGTTGCAGACCAGTTCCCTGCAGGCAGGCCAGCAGGGGACGCACGAAAGGCAACCATACATTGATGTTTCTCTCCCTCTCTCCTTCCCTTCCCCTCTAAAGATAAATAAATAAAATATTTAAAAAAAAAAGAGTTTTAGTTACCCATTTCCCCAACTCCTAGCACCACGACCACGTGGAGCTGGCCAATAAATTGTACTGAATTACTACATATTCCTTTATTCTTAAACACACACATAACGCTTTATAAAATCTTACAAAATGGAATAAAACCGAAATCAGAAAAGGGGACAAAAAGGAAGAAAAATGATTCAAAAAGAGACTGGAATAAAAGTATGAATAGGCTCTAGTCGGCACTTTTTCCACCACTGGCATTTTGTGACCACCAGTGAAAGACATTTAAATTTCTGGGTTTTCAATCGGTGCAGAGGAAGAGAAACAGCTTCAGAGACCACGTGAAAGAGGGTCCACACAACCGCCTGCAGGGAGTCCGTGCCTGCCTGAAAATCCCCCCAGTCTGGCCTCAGAGCCTCAGATTGCTCAGTTCCTCACTCTGCACCTCGACAGTTTGGAGCTGAAAGGACAAAGATTAGCATGAAAGGAGGAGAAATGAATGGCATGGTGGTGGGTCTCAAAGGCCAGTTATCTGTCCTTGGCCACCTCGGTCACGTTCATGAAAGGGGACGGGAGGGTGGGGGATGCCGGGACGCGGGGCTCCTGTCAGCTCGAACCCTCCTCCTCGGCACAGTGACCTGAGCCTCAGGCGAAGGCACCGATTCTAGAACCGAGACTGCGGCTGAGGAGGTAGCCTGCAACCCCACGTAATGCCTGCTCAGGGCGCACGGATCCGATGCAGGGGAAGGGGACGGTTCTCCAGGGCACATCAGCATCTCAACACAGCCGGAGTTCACTATGTTTTAAGAAGGATTCTGGTGGATGTTTACCAGAATATTTCCTTCCACCCACCTCCTGCCACCCAGAAGGCACCAAAGGGCACAGTTAGCAAGTGCACATCTCCAGGTCTGAGATTACAACCTTATCCTCTGTAGACTGGCCAGGGACAGAGGCCAGTAGAAGGGGGAGACTTCACCTGACCACAAACATGGGATCATCACTTCCTGACTGTGGCCGCTTCTCCCTTTCTTACCTTTCCATGCATTACGTTGGCATTCAGTTTTTCAACAACATTCTTCTGTGACAGGTACTTCTTGCTAATCCGAAGACAAAAAGAAGGGAGGGACGTAAAATCAGATGAATCAAAGAAAGAAAGCATCTTCATGAACCTTGCATCAATTTGTGGACACCATGAAGCAAAGGCCTTCTTAGAACACTATGTAGGTAATCAGAGGACTGGGGTGCTACGTATGGCCTTATCAATGACACTTAAGACAGTTCCCCAAGACTTCTCCTAGGAATAACGAATAGGAAACTCTACTAAGAAAACACGGAAGATGAAGTACAAAGTGATCAGAGTTACTGGCTGCTCCTTGATCCCTGATAAAAAGGCAGAGATTCAAATTTCTTTTATACTCACTGTGAGCAACCAAGAAAACAACCTGCAATGACTCACCCCCTATTCTCTAAGGGCAATGTTGTAACCTACAAGTGGGTTCCTCCCATTTCATCCTCTTACCATCTACTTAGCCAGTCCACGGCAGCATTATGAAGCTGAAGATGGCCAGCACCTTGACCTGCACTGGCCAGGGTGGCCATCACAACCATGAGTTCAGGAAAACCAGTTCCATCACCGTTGGCCAGCATCTCTGTTGCCATGGGGATTAGGGTACCCAGAAGCACGGCACACACACCTTCTCCAACTTGGCTGATAGAAAAAAAAAAAAGCAAATTGGTGAGTAATCAACAGGACTTTGACTCCACGTACCTCTAAATTTGTAAGCGTAATTAAAGAAAGTTTCAAATTAAACACTGAATACGTGAGTACATGTACTTTGGAGTTGGGCTACTAGAGCATAAAACTCACAGCCAAGTTACAACAGACAGGTCAAGTCACCGCAAAAGTTTTCCCACAGGAAAGATCAAAGAGCTCTGCTAGACTCCTTGACTCCAGTGAAAGAGCTATGAGGTCACCGAAAATACCATCGACTGATGCCTGAAGGAAAGAGTTTAAAATCCTCAACACATTTCTGGAGTCATTTGGGCCACCTAACACAGACGCAGTTGCTCTACCTGTTTTCCCGGACGATGTAAGTGGTCAGTAACTGCAGCAGCTGCCGGTTCTCCTGAATTATATCCAGCTGATCAGAATCTTTGGGGGGCGCCGTGGTCATGCGGGTGAGCCAGGCTTGGAGACGCACCGGCTCCACACAGGCCAGCTGCGCCAGAGAGCCGCAGAGATGAAGGAGGCTCGGGTTAGGGCTCTTCTCGGCTGGGGACAGACCAAGAGGCCAAGGTCAGTGACAGAGGGCAGGAGGAAAGGAAGGATGGTGCAAACTGTGAGCCGGAAAAGGCTCCGGGCAAGTTTTCAACTCCCTTCCACACTTTCTCTGAGGGATTCTCTTCACTTGTTAGCATTTTCCTGCTACTCTTGGGCCACAGATATGCACAGTATTAGTCAGACATCAAAGTTCCCATAAGGAGATTACTAAAAGCTGTCACTCACTCAGCTGGAAGAGTTTGGTGAAGAATTTCAAAACCCGGTTACAGAACTTGGCAGAGAGGTTCTCATTGGCTGTTGCCATCATGATCTGCACGAGTTCTCCACTGGGAGACAGAAAGGGGAAAAAGAGGGAAGAGCCAAATTAAGCCGCTATTTCCATCTCCCCACAATCTCTAAACCACTATTTCCGTTTCCCCACAATCTGTGTCCTCTGAGGGGCTGGTCATCAGTGAGTCACCACCACAGGTGTTAGGCCACCAGCTCCTCATCAGTACCCTCGAGGCACCCTCCGCCCACCCAAGCCCTCCTGAAACACTGTACGCACACTTAGGCTGCCTGCAGTGTCCCTGGAGAAGGAATACCTAAGCCGGCACAGACGCAGATGGCGCCCTGCTTTTGGAAGTATTCAAACACGGCTCACCGAACGGGAAACAAGGCTCACCTGTCAGAGAAAAACTCCTCCATGGCTTTACGAGCCTGGCTGCTTTCCAGCTGCTTCTCCAGATACTGGAGACACTCCTCCAAGATGGATTCATCCAGTCCGCTGAGGGTCGAAAGGAAAGCTTAACCACCCAAAAGAAGGCCCATTTCACTGCCCTCCTGACACTGAGTTTTAAAATCCTAAAGTTGGTTTATGCCTAAACCTTGAAGGTGATACTCAATTTTTGCCTTGTCAAAAGTTAGCATAAAGTCTGGCACACGATGAGTGCTTAATAAATATTTGATAAGTGAAACTTTAATAAAACAAAAACGAGCCCTAAAATCTGACATAACCAGTGCAGTCAATGGCTAAGAGTCCAAAGGGTCATCACTGTTATGGAAGGACAAGGAAGGACAAAGAAGGGAAAAATAGAAGGCCCAAAATTTAAAAATAAACCAAAAAACCCTGCTCTCCTCACCAACATAAAGAAATCCCAATACATACAGGCCTTGTTTATACAGTGCTCAATGGGGTAAAACTGCAACCCACTCAACTGCGCCTCAGGGCTCGCCCGCACCAGCACGGCCTAGGCAAGCTCTCAAGGGCAAACGACGCTGAGACCACCCAATCCCACTGAGCACCCCTCTCAGTAGTACGATCACAAAAATATTAGAAATGTCATCAGTCTCTTTGTACACGTCATCACATCTAGCAGAGGGCATGAGAAGCATCTGTTGAAATATGTCAGGTTCCACACCTGAACATGTAAGCCTTCCCTTTTCTTAATTTTTATTCCTAAGAATTAACCAGAAATGAAGATTCCCAGCAACCTTTCCTGTACACCCACAAGAACACAAAATGCACACAGGCTCAACAAGAAGCTAGTGATGGGCGATGTGAAGAAGCCGGTGTCGGGCCGTCTCTTGGACCGCAGTAGGTCACGGGCACCCGCTCTCTCGGGCAGGCTCACCTATTGGGATCTGCGTGATTGGCCAGGATGTTGTAACAGCCGGTGATCAGCTTCTCATACACACGAGCCAGGAACTCATCAGACTCCGCCGGGCCCAGGATGCGCTCCAGGGAGTTGCTGCTGATCTCGGCCACGCTCTCGGTGCTCGACTCCAGCAGAAGGGGGAGCAGGGTCCGAATGACCTGCGGTGGGTTCATCTCATCGGACCAGCTTCAACACAGAAAATGGAACCAAGTCAGTGAGTGCGCTCCTCCAAAAGGCTGTGCGATGGGCAGGGGGGAGTGGGGCAGGAAGAAAATAGGGCAATCCAATCATTGTCGAGGGAAGGACTTTTATTCTGGTCTTTTCCCCTTGGTAGTTGCTTTATACATGGGTGCAATCATACAATTTCATATTCTTTTTTTCATTGCTATATCTGTAAGTACAACTCATCTCCATAAGAAAAATTCATTTATTGAAACAGTAAGATATATTTTATAATGTTCGGAAAAGAAAGTTTACTAAAACCTAAGCTAGTATAATCATCCCAGACTTTTCTAGAACTCCCGGGAACCTGGATCACCTCTAAGGCAATGGGACACAGGACTCTGCCCGTGATCCACGTTCGGTCCCTCGGTGGCCTGCCCTCGTCCCCAGGTGGCAAGGTCTAACTCCCACAATGATTCTGGGGAAATGTGACTTCAAATACATCACTGTCACTCTAACATTTAAACCCGAGCCCCTCCAAACCACAGCAGGCCTTAATGAAAAATACTACAGAAAAGGGGAGGAGGTGCTCTGGTGGGCCCCAGAACTAAGTTGCACATCCTCGTAGGCAAATGCTCATACTCTAATCTACAGCAACAGGCTCTCTGCTACCACAGCACGCACAAGAGCACTGTCACGCACTTATGTAGGAAAAAAGCCCACGACCTCCTTTAGCACTGACAGAACACAGGTGCAGGACGCACTCGGGCTACGCAGTCGGCACTCACACGATGAGGTCTCCGGTCAGTCTGACCAGCGAGAGGAGGGTGTGCTTCAGGGAGGCAGCCAGGGGCAGACTTTGGCCACACAGAGTCCCCAGGTGAGCAGCCTGCACGGCACTGATGTAACTCTCCGAAGGGATGGTGTCATTGGCAAAGGCATTTCGCTGAATGGAGGCAAAAAAAGACACGAATGCACAGGCCATCTACCCGCCCAGAATAAAATTCTCAGGTCGAAAGAAAAGATGCTGAGCCCAGAGAAACGAAGGCCCTGCTAAGGATTCGAGACAATGGCTCTCCTCGGTACACGCCGCTGTTCACCCTGGGCAGGAGTGGGGTGGGGCGTAGGAAGCAGCTAACAAGTTTCATTTGGTACAAAGTGAACTTGAAATTTTAAAAGTTAAACTTAAAACGAAGTTAGTACGAAGTTAAGTTAACCAATATCACTTCCTAAAGAATTAGAATATAGCCCTGGCTGGTGTAGCTCAGTGGACTGAGCACGGACCTGGGAACCAAAGGGTTGCCAAGTTTGATTCCCAGTCAGGGCACATGCCTGGGTTGCAGGCACAGTCCCCAGTAGGGGGTGTGTGTGAGAGGCAACCACACATTGGTGTTTCCCTCCCTCTCTCCTCTTTCCCTCTGTCTAAAAATAAATAAATAAAATCTTTTTTTTTTTTTTTAAAGAGTTAGAATATACTGTAGTTGACCCTTAATCAATTTGGAGGTCAGGGGCACTGACTTCCCACGCAGTTGAAATCTGTCTGTAACTGCAGTTGGCGCTCCACAAATACAAGCCCCCAACCCCAGAGCTGACATTTGAACACTGCTGGACTGAACCGCATGGGCCAAGTGAAAAGTCCACCTGTAAGCGGATCCACACATTTCAAACCTGTATTAATCAAGGGTCAACTGTATATTCAATGTGGAAATTATTGTCTCTATTGATTGAAAAGAATCTGGATTTTGCAATGCAGCTGGGTCTCCATTACAAGTATCTTAATTATCCTTGTATTATAGCTCCAGGTGATGTAAGCTGAGGTCACAATTATAAAAAAGGTATAAAGAGATTATAAGAGTTGGCTTTTGCAAAGAACTGTAATACCAGAATAATCTGTTAACAGAGGAAATCAGAATAGAGCACATGCAAAGTTCAAATAAACTGACAGAAGATAAACAGTCTTCTAAAAGCCTAGAAAACCTAAAAGCTGCTCCATAAAACTGCAGCAAGAGGAACACGTTCTTGACATAACCCAGCGAGGAAAGGAAACAGTTAGCATTTACTGAGAATTCATGTGCCAGATAATGTGCCAGGCACTTAACACTTAACAGACCTAGTCTACTCGTCCCAGTATTTAACAGATGAAGAAACTGAGGCTGAGCAGCTGCCCTGCAACACAGTAACACACACTTCTTTGCAAAAAGATCATACGGTACCAGCAGGGTAGTTCAAGGCTTTGATTACTGACTCAGCCACAGCAAATAACACTGCAGCATGCAAATATGTCTCGGGAGCTGCTTTCGGCCCAAAGAATAACAGCAGGACACAGGAGGGCTGTGCTCCACAGCCCGATTCCTGGAAGACAGACACTCACCCAGGACCCAATGTTGGGGAACTCGTTGGTGCTGACGTTGTTCCAGGACTCGCACACACCCTGCACCGACGACGGTAAGTTCGGAACCAGTGTTGGACCTGGCAGCAACAAAAGGATCAGGGATCATCACCAAAGAGAAAGAACAGGTCACAGCATTTAAAAAGTCAAGCTCAAATGCAGTAAAAGAAGCGCCACAGCCCAGGCTGTCAAAATAATTACTAAGGTGGTGTAAATGGACATTTCAATAGCAGTACTATGTCCAAGAATTAGCTAACTGGTTAATAGCCAGCAGCCTAATCATAAGCTATTCATTTCCCACCACATTCACTTTCTAATCTGGCAAGTAAAGTGAATTAAATTAGATTAAACATCAGCTACGCCGTCCATGAGGAAGTATTGCTTTGATCCTTTTTCTTCTTAAGATAAATCTTAAAAGGGCAGAAATCATTAAGAACATTCAAGGAAGTAGTGAAATTTAATTTCTGAAAGTGAAAATATTTGAGTATCAAAAGATTATTTAGAGCTTGAAATTCAGGACAATACAAATGGCTAGAAATTTTAAAGGGTAACTGTTGTACTTAACTGCAGTCATTTTAATTCTCCATCCTACATTTCTACCAGATCACTCCTAACTAAGAGGAGGTTTTCCCCAAGCACGAAGTGTTAGCCCGCTGATCTCCCTAATCTCTATAAATGAAAAAAGGAACAAAGATCTATGTTCACAACAAAAGAGCCTAACCTTTTAGAACCAACTGACCTTGATTTAGATCCCAGCTCTACCACTCACAAGATGCAGTATTAGAGCCCTGGCTAGTGTGGCCCAGCGGACTGAGCGCCGGCCTGCGAACCGAAGGGCTGCTGATCTGACTCCCAGTCAGCATGATTCCCACAAGCCTGAGTTGTGGGCCAGGACCGTGGCTGGAGGCATGTGACAGGCAATGGATCGATGTCTCGTACATCGATGGTTCTCTCCCTCCCTTACCCTCTCTCAAAATCAATAAATAAAATCTTTAAATAAAAAAGCTATCGAATTAGGGGCAAATAACTTCTCTAAGCCTCAGTGTCCTAATGAGTAAAAAGAGATAATACCAATACTTACCCTGTGAGGTTATTCTGAAGATCTAAATAGATAAACCCATCCATGTTCAATGCCCAGAAAGTGTCCAGTAAATGGTAAATGCCAGCAGACAGGTTAATAGGCAGAGAAGCGGTAGCACTGGTCATACTGGCAATAACGGTAAAATGCAAAAGCACATTCACTTACCCAGAGTGTTGGCTTTGCACCTACTAGAGCCAATTGCCAGAACAGCAGCAAAGCCCTGCAATTTCTCCTGGGAAGGTTTTTCAGTGGATCCCTCTTCATTAAAGTTCTGTAGCAAATAGGCTCTGGGGGGAAAAAAAGAAAAGAAGCCCAAAAAACAGGATAAAGTGTAAGAGCCAAAGGACTCCTGTGATAGTTAACAAAAACTAACCCTGGACAAACTGAGAAAACTGTACCTCAGTTTCCTAACCTAGTAGCTATAGGTGACAGTTCCTGCCTTTCTGGTCTCATGAGAATTCCAATGGGTAGCTGTTCCCCAAAGAATACCCCAAGTTCTGACCCGCTCCCAAAGCCCAGTTCCAACATAAATGAGTGTGGGAAACAGTGAACACTGTATTGGTATTTCTTCCCCTGGCCTTGGAAGACTGACGATGTATATAAAGGCTCTGAGAAGTATCATTTATATATATGTATGTTTTAAAACTGTTCACTTTTATTTACCCAGCACTCCCCACACCTGTTTGCCCAGGAACACCTGTCAACAGCTCCGTTCAGAGAGCACTGGCCCCACGGGGCAGATGAGAAACGACAAGCCCCCGGGGCAGGGCCGTAGCTTTGCTACTGCTGCAGCCCTGCACCTGCAAGACCCACCTGGCCCACAGCAAGCCCTCGTATCTATGATCCACCTTTACTTGTTCACGACCTCAAGCAACAGTCCTCTCTCTAGCGGGAGGCACCCACACTAGAAGACATCAGTTAAGTTTTACAGCATCTGAACCCCTGTCAGCGTGGAAGGCCCACGGAGCAGGAGCTGAACGGTGACTGAGCTGAAAGGGCCCCGTGCACCCGGCTCCCAGCTCACGCCCAGCTCAACGTGAGGGGAGTCAGGCCCCGTTCTGTCCGTTTTGCCAACAGGAAGAAAGCCAGAATTTTTGGTTCGTAAATAAACTCTCACTATTATACATGGAAAATGAATTTTAAAATACTCAGACATCATGAAGAACAAACGACTCTATATGGCATATGATTTGCCGTGTTTATTATAGAAAGAGCTGGAATTCAATATACTCTAACTCACTAGGAATTTTTTTTCTCTAGCTAAATACTATAAAATTTAAAGAGCATTAAAGAGCTTCATCTGAGCGAATAACAGAAACAACAGTGTTTGGAAAAATTCCATTCTTTCTTTGTATCTTACAAGTAAAATGCTAGAAAGTATTTAAAGATTTATAAAAATTAAACTCTCTTGACATTTAATGAACTATTTGAAACTTCCTTCATCAGACACCTCTTGATTATGGAGAAGGAAAAAAGAAAAACAACCCTAAGCTAATCTAAATAAATAAATAAGTAAGTAAGTAAGTATGACAAAATTCCGAGTCAGTAGGGATTTGAAGAGTGAATAGTACTTAGAATAACAAAATTCATCCTTAGGAATTTTCAGGCTCCTGAAGGAAGCCAGCCCTTCCTCCCCGCTCCGGGCAGGCGGCCCATCACACCTGGTGAACGACGCATAGGTGTCAATGAGCTGCAGCGTGGCCGGAAGCAGGTTCTTGGTGATCTCGGGTGACTTATGCGGCTCCGTCTCGGCAGCCATCTTAGAAAAGTGCTCATCCAGGGAGACCTGGACCTTCGAGATGGCGGCGTCCAGGGTGTAGATGGACTGGAGACTGGGGATTTCGTGGAGCTGCAGGATGGTGGTGCAGTCGATGCTACAGAACGACGAGATCTTTAAAGACACCAAAATGTTAATTAGACGTGGCAGAAGGCCGTGACATGAGCCAAATTCCGTATTACGGATCCAGAACTAACACACCTGTCGCGCAAAGTATTCCTCCACAATTTCGACATCGTACTTCACTGAGCTGCACTTGCTGGACGCCAGCTCTAGGAGAGAGCCAGCATGCTCGGTCTTCATCCCCTGTTTGATAAGGTGATCCTATCCGGACAGCAAGAGAAAAGTGTTCAGGAGATCAACATAGACCGAGTGTGAAGTTTTCATTACTCTTATATTTAAAATTCCCAGCAGCGCAGAGCACACTGGCCTTGAATACCCCGAGCAGCAAGCGCTGTTACACCGTGGTACCTTTATCCAGTTGACATAGGAGCTGATCCGGAGGCGAGAAGACCACCGCAGAGTGTGCAGGATGTCACATTCACTCATCTCGGGCGAGTTCATGGCCAGCTGGTTCATGTAAGTCTTTGATGGTGGCAAAACCCCTAGGATCCTCCACAGTATCAAGAAGTAATATTGAAGGGCGCAGGCCTCCTGGAAGAAGCAGAAGGCGCAGTCTCAGAGGCAGCAGCACCGCCTCAAGGCCTCCCCAAGAGTGAGGATGGCTCCGAACACAGCCCTCAAAGCACAACAGCATGGAGTCTCGCTCTTCAACTGAGAGGTGGCTCTCGGGTCTTTCTAGAGAACATGGCTGATGATAAAGCAGAACTGTGTGTGAAAACACACGTACAATTCATTCCGTGGCCTGCACACTTCACAGGCCAAAAAAGCTCTTCTAGACAACTCTGACTCCCCAAATAATTTAACAAACACCAGAAGAAAGCAGGACGTTCTCCTTGGCAGGCCCCCCATCAGCGGGCCCCTTCTGTGGCCTGAATTGCTGTTGTGGCTTCTAGAGGCAGAGACACATCCCTGCAAACACAGAAAAAGCTCACGTGTGAGGCTCACGGCATTACCCGTTGGGCACTCACAGGAGATGGAGTACTTAGGTGGCCACTAACTCTCAAAGTCACACTTTCTCCAATGCTAACCAAAGAAGACAAAACTATCTCTAAGATGAACATAACCACCTTAACTACATAAAAATACTGAAGTATCAGTCAGTTTTGCAAACAGATCTGCAGTAAACTGAGTAGGTCCTAGAAGGAAATTTCTGGCTGAACTGCTACCCAGTTATCCAACAAACACCAAACTTTGCCACTAGCCCAGGCCGCCACGGTCTTACCAGAGCCGTTACGCTCTTGTTCTCCTTTCTCCTGACTGTATCCAGCTGGGACCCCGCTGCGAGCAGGGATGTCAGGGCAGTATAAAGATCGTCATACTTGACAAGCTTGGAGAAGAGAACATCACACGCCTAATTGCAAGAGAGAAAGACAATCACTTTTTCTTATTTGAAAACATGCTTCTCCTACTCTCTACCCACTCTCAACCTCAGGATTGACAAACTAGTTCATTTAAATTCTGATGAATTAATTTCTCTGCAGCAATACTGCCACTCAGGGCCCTTGGTCAGTTTCTGAGCCATCGTCAGCACCCAAGTGCAGGCTTTAGGATAAGACAACTCTGTCCATTAAAATAAGGCATATGAAAATGCTGAGTCTTCTCGAATAATGTGTCAGAGGTGGGAACCACCAGGAAGGGTAACCCCTACAGCAAAAGGGGAGCCCAGCAAATGGACCTCAAAATAACAGGTTCCTTTTAGAATAAGCTCAAACCTTAACACAGACCCAAGTCCCTCATTACAAAAATGCACCCCTTTCCTGGGACAGACTGATTTGGGTGGAAACCACCTGATCCGCATGTAAAATGGGGTTTTAAAAATTCCTGGTACCACAGAATCGAGTCGGTTCAGATCGTCCTCGGAGGCTTCTGGGGACAGGACGCAGTAGAATCTGGGCTGCGGCACAGTGTCTGAAAAACAACGCACCAATGAAAAGAGTTACTTTATTCTCAACTCTTACAACTGTGAAGTATAAAACTAAGGAAACACTTTGGAACAGGGTCTCCTGGCTTTGGCACTACCGACGTGCTGGCTCGACGACTTGGCTGTGGGAGGCTGCCCTGTGGACTGCAGGGGGTCTGGCACCCATCTGCCTTCTACCCACTGAGTACCGAGAGCGTCCGCCCACTTGAGACAACTAAATATGTCCGCAGACACTGCCCAACGTCCCCTCTGGGGGTGGGGCCACAATCACCCCCAGCTGAGAACCACTACTCTAGGAGTTAACACGCTCTATGATCAAGTCAGCCAACACAGTTCTACCATTAGACTGACCGCCCTAAACTTAAATGCTGTCCTCCTGGTATCAAAGGGACTAGTGAGAGATGCCAATGATGGTAACTTCATATGAACGCTGGATGAAGTTTCCACAAAACATACTTAACATCTAGCAATCCTCAGGACAGCAGCAAACCCATACTAAAAATGGACACAAGAGGCACCTCATCAAAAGAATGGACAATGAGAAACACGAGAGAAAGTCACGGCTCCTGTTATTTCCTGAGTATCCCCCAAAAGGAAATTTACGCCACAAGTTAGAACATCCTGCCAGACAGAAGATTTCCTAATTCTTGTATCTCAATGCTTTTTGTTTTGAAATAAATGTTGGATATGTGAAACTTATTTCTGAAAAAGTTTTGGATCCACAGGTATCCGCCACCCACGGGAAGCAGAGTAAACCAATGACCAGTGATGCTCAAGGAGTCTCCAAGCTCCAAATTCCGCCCCGCCAAGGAGAACCCGCGAGTCAGTTTCTTATTGGCAGTCTTCCTGACCTGAAGAAAAATGCTTGGACCAGTTTTCCTCTACTTCTTTGAATCCGTGATAGAGGGGGCTGGTCGTCCGGCGGCTGCTGCTATCGTGGGATCCACTTGCCCACCCAAAAGGAGGACTGAGCAGGTTATGCTGCACCTTTGAAAAGAAATACTCAGAGTAAGAAAGCTACACAGTCACCATGCTGCTTCTCACTCCAGGCGCCACGCAGACTAAAGCATCAAAGTTTGGGGAACTCTCAAACTAAAAGAAAATCTTAGATTTTCCTGTGACTTCTGGAAAGTGTCTTTTTTGCTGAAGTATAGAGGGAATAGTACTCGACAACACATTTTAAGAAATGCTGAGTAGAAATCCTGACCTGGCCCTCCCACCCTCACTGTGGACCTCGACAAAGCAAGTCACTAACCCATCAACTCCGCTCCCACCGTCTCTCAACCAGCAACAGAGGCTCCCTGAGGGCTGATGCTCAGGGCATTGTGCTGGACAACACAAGGTCCGTCCAAAGGACAACACCCGGGTTTTAACAAACTCATCGAGTCACATAATCTATACTTATCGCTTCTGGCTAAACAAAGTGTGAGCGCGCAGACTCAGGCCGAGTGGCATCCTAAGGCTACTCGGAAACCTAGCACGAAAACACTCTCCACAACAACCAGTAAAGCAAGAAGAGCACGCCCGTCCACACCTGCTCGAACAGATACATGGGGGCTCTGGAGTACTGGTGGAGCAGGTAATCCAAGATCAACAGAAGGCGAGCCAGGACGAGCGGCACGGAGCGCGTCTGCACGTCCATGCTGGCGCTCAGCTCCTGGATGATCTGCACGACGTGAGTCAGAATGGCCTGCCGGCCCTGCTCGGTGAAGTTGTGGAAAACCAGGAGCAGCAGCTGCAGGTGCTCCACGTTCAAGTCCTCTGTCTCAGCGGGCACCACGCCCTGCAGGGCATTCTGCTTCATGGTCAACAAAAACCTGCCCCAGAGAAAAGGAGAGAATGTCTGATGAGGAAAAGTCAGAACATCCCCCCAAGTGCTACAATGTCCAGTGTTGAACGCAGAAATTAAGACAGCAAACTGAGGAAGACAAAGGGCTACATGCAAATGAAAGAGGAAAACTAAATTTGGGCTACAGAAGAGCCAGGCTCGCCCACGCCCCACCCAGCACTGCCTGTGAACACCCACCAGCCATGCCTGACGGTGGGCAGAACTGCAAGCTCCCAAAAATGGTGCCTTTTTCTAAATTACCAAACCTGGTCAGGTAGAAACAAATATTACTTTTCCCTATACTTTGATTCTAGAGTTCAATTTTTGTTTTGAGAGTTTACAGTACAGGTTAAAGCAGTGCACGATAATAGTCATATACATTATAACTCAATTCTCTGCTATTCAGAGAACTTGTCGGAAGAGCTTTATGCAAAATAAATAAATAAAAATAAAGAAGTAAATGTGGCCAACTGTTCTCACTGCCTTTGGCTGTTAGAGAAGAGGCTTGTGTTTTAATGAGGGCTCCCTCACCACACCCCCACCCTCCTCCTCCTGGCCTTTTTGCAAGATTCCACCAGGAAAAATGAAGGGTCTTTTGCATACGAGAGGGTTTACAATTTCTCAAATCCAGCATTAGAGTTATTTGATCGTAGAATGGAGAAGAGAAAATCAAATTGCTTTGAAGACTCCGAGCCATGTAAACAAAAATGACAAATATAGGTCTTCGTCTAAAGAGGATTTAGATGATTAACCTGAGCTTCCCCCAAGTAAAATAAATCTTTAAAAGTTGTCCAAAAAGGACTGCAAGTCATTCTAAGTGGTTTCATGTTCAAAGCAATATAACCAAAGACAGCGTTGGCTTCTCTGTTCCCTCGCTTCCAAAAAATGAGGTCAGGATAAAATTGGTTATGTTCACAAGTCAGGTACTATCTCATAACTGCTACCAAATCCCTCCTGTGCTGATACTTCCACACCACGTGGTTCTTGTCTTTCAAACAGCACATCTTCCCCCTGCCCCGCCACCAGAAACTCACTTCTCCACCCTCATCACTTTAAATACGATCATCAGAGCACCACCTCAGAGCCACAGATTAACTATAAAGGAGTCAAACATAAAACAAAGTAAGGAACCTTCTCCACAAGGCTTCTCTTGGCAGTTTCTTACCTGTCCCAAACTTTCAGGCATTCGGGGACATCAGGGTCACCTTGAGCACAAGCTTTATGTTGCCAGATGAGCAGGAGGCGTGAAAGTACAGAGAGGCTTTGAGGGTGGATGTACAGGGGCCACGGGCCCTCGGAAAAGGGAGCGACTCCCAGCTGCTGCAGCAGTGTGTTCTGACATGAAAGACACACAAGAGACCGTTAGGAAAAAGACAGCAAGCCAGGCCAAAAGCTTAGTAATGCTCCCTAGTGTCACTTTTTAATGCTGGCAGGGGTATTTAAATGAAGGAGATCAGGTTTATTTCATAAGTAAATAAACATCTGTCACTACTCAGCATCACAAGGGAAGTCCTGAAACAGAAAAAAGGCACTGAGACAGCAGAAACAAGGTAAAGTGCCAAACGGGTGGAACATGAGGAGTCTGCTTTCCAAAAAAACTTGAACCACAGTAGCGGACATCTTCTCCACAATCAGTCACGCACTACAAACGACACTCGGCACAGGGAGCTCCAACACCCCGTAGGTCTGACAACCTACCCTGGCAGCACTGGCAGAGCAATCTGGCCCGCAAGCTGCCGAGGCGCACAGCGGCAGTCGCCGTCTGCCCGGCTGCAGCCTGCCCTTCGTTTGGGCTCTGCTCCCAGCCCAGTGGTCTGGGCTGCAACCTGTCTTCTCCAACACATGCCGACTGCGCAGGACGCCGGTGGAAGCCAGACAAAAGCCTGCTCTCCCACTAGGCTTCAGAAAACACAAATCGTGGGTACCTCAGGACACAGGATAAATTTCTGTCTGCCAGTTAAATTACATTCTTATAAAACATCCTAGAGGACCTCATTCCTTGGGAATAATTACTCATGTCACGAGTGGTTTCACGTGTGGGCAGCCACTGCAGGCTAAGCGCTGTGTGCACACTGTCACACAAACGCTCAGGGCAGTGACGCGGGGTGGGCGTGGGCTGCACTCTACCCATGAGGGAAATGGCTCCGAGTGGTTTAAGATCATGACTAAAGCCAGGTTTACCTCTAAAACCCACATTCTTAATCGCTACGCTCAACACAGCCGTAAATGACTTTTCCATCCCTGACTCAAGGAAACCTTTCAAAAAAATAAATATGCCTTGGCTATACAAAAAATAAATACTGTAGCACTACTGTAATAAAAAATAACTAGAGAAAAAATCTAAATGTTCAAGTGACATGCAGCCATAATGGTGGCCATTATAAAGATCAAGGTAAATGTAAAAAACACAATATATATGAAATTTGAAAAAGTAGACAACAAAAAAATGTATCAGTGTTCTGATTATAACTATAAAATGATGCAAACTATATGGATAGGGACTAGAAGAAAACAGATAAATAATAAAATCATAGGTTTGGTGAAAGGATTATAGTTAATGTACATATATTCCTTATAATGTTCTTTATACGATATTTTTTAGGTGAGGCTTTTACTGTGCGTCAGTTTTCAGGTCTCAGAGCTGTGGAAATGAGCTAACATTCCTCAGGAACCTGTCTTTTTCCTTACCACTTCAACCCCTCTTATCTCTGAGTTAAGAAAAACCGACTTTCTAAGAAGTAAAACCGAGCCAGCCCTGGCCTGACCACCCCTCCCGAGCACCCTCACCCGCCCCTCTCCCGTGCGGACATTCCTGAGGTCTCGGCCTCAGCCTGCGTCTCCCTCACTATCTTTCCACTCCATCTGTTCCTCCTCCCTCCAGCAACTGCCTCACTGAGTCCCGAAGCTATTAGCAACCTTGATTTTTTTAACTCAGTTTCAGACTCACATTTCCAACTGCTTGCTAGATGTTTTCATCCCACTGGCACCTCAAAATATCATATTTGAGATGATCTTTTCCATTGTAATGGCAACTATTTAAACTAAAAATCATTGATAACCTACAATGTACAACTCATATACAAAAACACACAAATTGTTTTCTCGTTTGAATGGAAGGCAACACACCGACAGAGGAAGCAATGCAGTCACAGAAAACGCCTCTGCCAATGGCCTTCAGTCGACTCCTTCGTTAAAGGGGAGCCTCGTACTCAGCTATGCTATTTTCCAGGCCACACAATGGCTTCAAGACTGCCCTACCATAGCGACTGAAAAAAAGTCGTGTCAGTAAGCTGATATCAACTCATTTGTGTTTAAAAACAGAGAAAATGGCAAACAGTGCCTCCCGTAAAACCCAAAGGACCGTTCTGAGTAAATGTGGAATAAGTGAGTAATCCGTGAGTAAATGCAACCTCTGAGCTGACCGACGCCCAGGAACTCACAGGCTGAGCGCCGCCTCCAACTCCTGCTACACCCCAGCCAACTCTCCTTCCTGACTCCATTCCTAGTAAAGACCACAGCATCCTGCCAGCCTGCATCTGAGATGTAAACCCCAGCAACACCTTAAGCTCCTCCTCCCTATGTCCTTCATCCCATGCAAATACTTTCCCATGCTCTCTCTATTAGGTCCGCTACCCACACCAAACCTCCTTTCTCTCCTGACCCCACAGAAATTCAAGCCAACTATTCCTCAGTGTCCACACACAGAAAATGTTCAATGAATACTTATTGAATAAATGAACCTAGATCACCACTAAATATTAAACTATTAGAATTCTATCAGTAACAGTAAATATAATAAAAAATACACTAACAGTAACAAAATAATAAATACAGAGGCTAACAATTAGTAGTCCTAGCAACAAACTAGTACTAAAAGTGCAAGGTAATTTTTTTGTGATAAGATAACAACATAAAATTTACCATTTTAGCTCTGGCTGGTGTGGCTCAGTGGATTGAGTGCTGGCCTGCAAACCAAAGGGTGGCCAGTTCAATTCCCTGTCAGGGCACATGCCTGGGTTGCAGGCCACGTATGCCAGTAGGGGGTGCACAAGAGGCAACCACATATTGATATTTCTCTCCCTCTCTTCCTTCCTCCCTTCTTCCCCCCCTAAAATAAATAAATAAAATCTTTTAAGACCGCCATTTTAGCTGTTTTCAGCGCGCAGTTCTGAGGCATGGAGTCCATGCGCACTGCGCAGCTGTGGTCACCACCTCCACCCCCACCCAGCACTTCATCTTTAAATAGTCATCCTGTCCCGCACCCCACCCTCTGCTGTTGATATGGAGACATATAAAAGGTGCATTTGGTCTTAGTGCCATTCTTAGTGCAGAGGGCCTGAAACTCTGGTAATTTCCTTAGTGGTAGGGGTTAAAGAAGCTTCTTTTGTTCATCATAATAAGCTCTTTTCAGTGATACCGGAGTTTATGCTAATGATGTGAGGCCCTAGATAGGCGGGTCCCAGACAGCTTCAGGATGGGGATTGGCTGCCAAAAAAACCATGTGATTAGAGGACTGGAACTTCCGACCCCATCCCCAACCTCCTCTCTGAAAAGCAGGGCTAGAGACTGAGCTAATCCATCACCCAAGGCCAGTGGAGCAGAACACCAATGGAAAAGTGGACAAAGCCTGCCTTCTCATTGGGCTTCAAGAGACACAAATCACCAGAGCAGATGCTTTATTAGACACACGTGAGAAACCAGAGGGGCCACGCCAACCAAGGACGTCTTCTCCCACAGCCTCTTGGTGAAACGTCTTCTACCCAGTACGTTCAAAGTCGTCGAGAAGCAGATTTCAATGTCTTCTCTAAGTGGAAAACAGGTCTACTAATCTCACTCAGAACCACGGTTCTTTATGTCCCAGACAGCTGAACACAACTTTTCAGGCGCAGCTGACCTCTGTCTGCTCGCACAGACTGAGGCGCATGTCACTCACCTCCCTGAGGGCACACTGTGTGCCTCCTGCAACAGCAGTCACACACCTGGGTGACTGGCCCTGTGCCTGCCCCAGGAAACAGTGTCCTCCGCAGGGCGCCCAGCGGCAGACGGCTAGGTTACACCTCCCCCCCTCGCAGCTGTGAGATCTGGGGGAAGAACCCCAAAGTCCCATGTTTGGAGATGGAAGGAAAAGGGAGGCATGAGGGTTTCCTCTGCACGAAGCCAGCAGCCGCAGGCAACCAGGCTACATGTCCACACAAGGCCTGCGATTAGCTTTGCCAAGAGGACAACACAATTCGAGGAATCCTAAATATTCTCCAGAAAGAAACCTTTCTTCCCCATTACTTCAGCAAGTTTAAGCAGGCAAAGATCTAGTCTACGAACTCTGAAACTTCCCTAAATAAACTCAGATCTGGGCAAGGGACTGGTAAGCAGCAGGACAGCGGCCGTATGCTAACTGACGCATTTCCTCCTTCCTCCTCTTCACCTCGCACGTCAACCACTTCTCTGCTCCATCTGTGTTCCCCTTCTTGCCCCGCCCAAATGTCCTCATGTAACAGTAGGTAAGTATAAACAGCTTTTATCTTTCCAACAGAAGAAAAATTTTAAGAATTTCTTGAATAGGTTGGGGTTATGAGAATCAAGTTTAACCTCCTGAAACAGCGTCCTGGAATATGTCCCTTTGAGGATAAGTGCAAGCCTTTCAACTGTATCTTGATTCTGAGAATCCACTGAAAGAATCTTAAGAATAACAAAAAAAATGTTCAAAACAGTAAAGCAAATTACTGGAGATTACCAAATTCCGCTGGGGGAGGGGAGTGTCACAGTAACTAAAAACCAGCATTTTTACCAAATTCCCCAGGGAATGCTTATGCACGATGAAGATCGAGAAGCCCTGACCTCGAACGTAAGAAAGTTACCAGGCGCACCTGACGCTGGCGAACGCTGGGCGTGAACCTGTGAGCTCTGACACAGTGCCGGTGCAGTAACACTGGGCACAGCTGCTCAGAAGAGCCACTGGGCATTATCTGCCTAAGGCCACATACTCCACAGCCTGTCAACTCTACCCCTGGTCACAGTCCTAACAGGACAGGGGAGACATGCAAGAAAGATCGCTGCAACACCTGGAATTGCGATCTGACCCGACAGGACCCAAAGGCCTGTGGGAGGAGCAGAGGGGAATGAAGAAACTGGGACAGTCATGAAGACAGCGGGATATCATGCAGCAGTCAAAACAAGAACTATAAAAACATGCAAAAATATGGATGGATCTTAGCAACATGGTCTCAACAATACTGAGAAAAGGCCTGAGTGGAAAAGGCCTGAAAGGGCTGTGTAGAACACGACATCATTTGCTATAAAAACTAGAAACGAGCCCTGGCTGGTGTGGCTCAGTGGATTGAGCGCGGGCCTGCAAACCAAAGGATCATGGTTCGATTCCCAGTCAGGGCACATGCCTGGGTTGCGGGCCAGTTCCCAGCAGGGGACACACAAGAGGCAACCATACATTGATGTTTCTCTCCCTCTCTCCTTCCCTTCCCCTCTAAAGATAAATAAAATATTTAAAACAAACAAAAAAACTAGAAACAACAAAATAATTTTTAAAACCTAAGAACTATAAACACAAAAATAAATACATGTAAAACGAATGAAATGAGAAATTTCAAATTTAGAATTCCAAACATCAGCTACTTCAGTGGGGAGAGAAAATCGTAAGATTTACAAGTCCACAAACGAGACCCTGGACTTCCTTTGTGGTGGGTCTGCAGGAGGAATGCGCATGACAGCATCCATCTCCTGTGATTGGTTCCTTTGAAACACGCCTCCTAATCTGCATTTCTCAGATTACTAATGACAAACACTTCCTATGTTTGTTGGGTATTTATGTGTGTGTGTGTGTATCCATATATACATATATGTGTGTATATATATATCCATATATACACATCCTGGATATAATTATATCTTTAAAAATCGCCCACTTATTTTGTCCGTTTTTCTAGTAGCATAGTCATCAGGAGTTGTTTGTTTTTGTAGTTTTTCCTTTTCTTTAAATTCACTGTGACATTTTCTTTCCCTTCGATGATCCTAACTAAGGCAGAGGTCACAGTAGAATATTCTCTCAGCACTCTCTCCACTGTGGGGATCCCATGACAAATGGTGTTGCTTAGCAACAAGAACTGCAGCCTGCTGAGAGCTGATGGAGAGAGCTCCCGGCCTCACTGGACATTGCACATACTAACCTGCAGGTTAGGTGACTGAAGGTCAGAAGTGACCAGAGAGTGGTTGAAATGATAGAGCGCAGCAGCAAACTCTTCATCTGATGAACCTGGAGACACACAGGAAAACCAATCACTCCAGCAGCTACTGAGTGTATCGCACCACCCTGCTTACAGCCAAACTCCACCAGAAAAAACACCCTGTTGACTGACCCTTGAGTCCATCTTTGTCCACCTCCTTAATGATGCTGGCCAGGGTAGCCATATGGTGTTCTGAGAGAGATACACTCAGGTAGTTTCTGATAAAATTGTTCCGAGAGTTCAGCATGGAAGAGGTGATGAAGTTCAGAATGTTGGACGCGAGACCTAAGAACTAAAACACACACACGAAACGCTGACGCCAGGTCCAGAAGTCCAGAGCCCCTACAAACACTGCCTGCAAACAGCAAGTGAAACAGGCCCACAGGCCTCGTGCAGTAAATACAATGAATTTAAAAACCAGATTTTAAGTCACCTACAGCAGGACTAAGTTTGATTAGGACAGCCCTTCCCTTGTAATTCTACCAGTTACACAAAACGGTATGTTGGTTTGGTGCAAGACTTCACAGAACACTGCAGGGCAACGGGAGAGTTCCACACAGAGTGACTCACGTCTTTCTCCTCTAAGGTCCTGTATTTGTCAAGCTCTTGGACATTATTGATACATTCAATTCTGAAGCCTGTATTATCATTATAGAATTCTTTATTAAAATTGAACTGAATTGTTGTGTCAATGTTGACTGTCCAGACCCTTCACGAGGCTAAGCTGTATGAAAGCAAGGACTGCATCTGACCTGTCTGCCGACATGGCTTCAGAACAGGGGCTCCCACAGAGCGTGTCATCAATAAACGCTAGTTGGAAAAATCGTGAGTGAGAACTTAGCATGTACCAAACCTACGCAAAGGGCTCTTAACCCCTCACCACACTTCGAGGCAGGTACAACCCTCAATCCAGTAAAGGACATAACTGAGGCTGAGGTCAGAGTCTTGCCCAGCGTCACAAAGCCAGAACGTGAGAAAAGCAGGACTGAAACTCACCTCTAACTCCACAGGCTATGCTACTAGTAACTCTCAATCAGAGGAACACCAAGAGTACGTGTTCCTCGGTTAAGCATAACCAACACATTGAAGTCCTAAGTAAAAATACCTTTAAATGTTACAGTTATCCATCCTAGAAAATGTTTTAGTTCAAATGATCTGCTTTTTACACACTTTCTCCCAGTTTCTCCTTCCCCTAGGCCTCAGAAATCCCCTCTTACCAACTCGGGATCTTTGCGGCTGGCCAGAATGTTGCCCTTCTCTCCAGGGGCCTGCTTGCTGGGGCTTTTAACTCTAGGAGAGCTCTCCAGTGGAGGGGGCGGGGGCGGAGGCGGAGGGGCCACTTTCTCTTTACTGGGGGAAATGGTCTCTTCAAACCACTGCCCCAAAATGGGCTCACTGTCATCATCTGAACAGAGGAAGAGAAAAGTAACAGACATTAACACATTTTTTAAAAATGTTAGTGCATCCACTTTTAAAAAGTCTAAGGAACACAAGGCTATCTTGATTGTGGTGGCAGTTACACAACTACATAAATTTGTCAAAGCTCATCTATGTTTTTACACCTGAAAGTAATATTGTACGGCAACTGTAACTGAAAAATTTGAAACATAAAATGGAAGCATTTTACTTTATATAAATTAGACCTCAATAAAACTGATACTTTTTTTCTTTGTTACAAACTGATTTTTTTTTTTAAAGAGGACACACACACAAAGGAAGAGAAAGTCTCACTTTATTTTACTGGCAACAAACCAAATATTTTCAAGAGCAAATTTTTTTTTTTTTTGCAAAATACCCTTTTATTATTTTTAACAATAGCATTTGTTTCCTGTTAGGCACTAAAAATATGAGAGGGAGCACTCTGTAAAGTATATGATCATCTAACTACTATACTGTACCCCTGAAATTAATACAAAATAATATTCAGTGTAAACTGTAATTGGAAAAAATACATATATATTTTTTAAATTTTATTGTTATTTTTCAAGTACAGTTTTTTGTCTATTTCTCCCATCCCAGCCCCCACCCTGCCCCGTGCTCCCCACCTCCCTCCCATTTCCTCCCCTCCTAGTCCTCATCCCTGTGTCTTTCATACTTGTTCCTCAAAATCCCTCCCCTTTTTCAAGAGCAAATTTTTTACTTGCCTATTAACTGTAAACCCCAACATAAGAATCGTACCTTTTACAATACTGTACATTGGTCCCAAACACCTGATTATAAAGAATCTGAGATGTTTATCTTTTTCAGTCTCTCGCCAGACTAAGGCAGGAGGGAATGCCAGACCCTCCCGCTGTTCGAGACAACAGTGTGGAGCTTCTCCCTCAGCTTCCCCAGGCCACACACGCACAGCAACAGCCAGACCCGACACCTCGCACACCTCTTCAGTTCAAGTGGGAAAGCTCAGAGCCAAGTTCACAAAACAGGTCAACACAAAAAGAGCCCTGGCTGGTGGCTCAGTGGATTGAGCACCGGACTGCGAAGCAACAGGTCGCCAGTTGATCACCATCAGAGCGCATGCCTTGGGTTGCAGGCCAGGTCCCCAGTAGGGGGCGCATAAGAGGCAACCACACATTGATTTTTCTCTCCCTTTTTTTCTTTCTCTCTCTAATAAAAATAAATATGTAAAATCTTTAGAAAAAGAAACACGAACTGAGATGTATTTGATTTTGGAGGACACGGAATGAAATGCAACCTGGACTCTGCAGACAGTAGTTCCTTTTATTCAGTCCTCAACAGCGCGGCTTACTCTTAAATAATAGGTCACCTTCAGCGCACATAAAATCAAGATCCAGGCTAGGCAGCCGACAGAAAAGGACAAACAGGGAAGCAGAGGAACCGCTGGGAACACTTCCTGCTGCACTCCACGGCTCATCTGCTGGGGGACAGAAAGGAGAGGGCTCTACCTTGGCTGCTGTCCTCCTCCGTGCTGCTGAAATCGTCCTCGTAGTAGGTGTTGGAGTCGGTGGAGGCGCTGGCGTCACTGCTCATGGAGCCCTTCCTCTGCCGCTGCAGGACGCAGGCCTAGGCGAGCAGTGAGAGCGGTGGAGCTGGCGACCACCACCCGGGAACCTTCCTACCTCACCCCATCCACCACTTGGAACGTTTTCTCCATCTTATTCTGTTTTTCTATATCCAACAAGTAGCTCTCCTACTAGCTCCCTTCAGGACTCTCATGGCTTTTTCCTACAAAAGCACTCCAAAACCAGAGATGTGGGCCAGAATTGAAAAGGAGTATCTCCGTGGTGTCTTGTATGATTCTGCTTTGGCACGCCAATTGTCCCAAATCACCAGGCAGTATGTATCACGCTGCTAATGACCAACAGCAGATTCAAATAATTTAAGAATCATTTGGAATCATTTAAGAATTCCTGTCATCTCTAAAATGATTACCACAAATCTGGCATTATAAAGGTCACAGCTTTCAGTCAGTCTTCCTCATTTTGGGAAGTTTCTCTTATACAAGATATTCCCAATTACCCATGGCATCACCCCACCCACCTTCCTGTAGGAAGTTGAGAGCAATGTCAGCAACAAGTTCGTCAGCGGGACAGAGTCGACCAGCCGCTGAACCCTCTGTGTGGAGGTGCTCTGGGCCATAATGCTCAGGGCCGCAGGGGGACCATCTGTCTCCCAACCCTGAAGGTAAACATCAAAAGAGAATCAACGTCTGAGTCACCAGGAAACAACCAACCGATCAAGCCAGCTTACCCAGAGCAGCCGGCCAGCCCTCTGCCGACCCCCGAACACAGCCCCTCACCTTGTGCAGGGCCTCCACCTGCAGGTCTTGGAAGAGGGATGTTAACAGCTTGACAGCGTGGTTTGCCAGTATGACTGAGAGCACCCCGAAGCCCTGATGCCTACACAAAGACGAGGAAAGAACAATCCTTCAGATAAGTCACAATAAAGTACAACCTTAAACACAGAGCATCTTGCCATTTTGGGGGTCCCAGACCCCGTTCAGAATCTGTGGAATTGCCCCCAGGGGGAAAAGCACAGAATCTGCATGTAATTTCAGAAGCACACAATTTCCCTGAAACCCGACCGTGGCCTGCCTAAGGACCCACTGGCTTTAAGAACTCCAGGACTACAGAAACTTCAAAATCCATGGACCTTAAATGGAAACTCTCAGTTCAAGACAACTGGGTCGGTCATGTGAAGATGCTGACATTTAAATGGTACCTGAACTTCTTAAAAGTCATTCTTTTGAGAAGAAAAAGTTAAAAGTTACCAACCTCTATAAAACTTTTTCTTTCTGTCCAAATGATCACATGACAAAGACTGAGTATATCTAACATACAATGAGCTCACGTGAATCAGTAAGAAAAAAGGACAAACACCAAAGAGAAAAGCAGGGCAAAGGACGCAGGCAGTTTACAAAGGAAATGAAGATGAGCAGTAACCACGTGAAGAGGACCACGATCACACCAGTAACCACAGACATATGCAAATAAGAGCGATAGGATGCCGCCTTTCACTTCCGGTGCCAGCGAAGGTGAACACTAACAACTCCCACCGTCGAAGAGAACCTGGGCGAGGGGCACACGCCACACAGCGGAGGGAAGGCAAACCAGAGCGGCGTGGCCACGTTCCAACTTTTCACTTATTTTTTCAAAGGTTTTATTTATTTTTAGAGAGAGGGGAAAGGAAGGAGACAGAGGGAAACATCAATGCATGGTTGCCTCTCATGTGCCCCCTAATGGGGACCTGGCCCACGACCCAGGCATGTGCCCTGACTGGGAATCGAACTGCGATCCTTTGGTTTGCAGGTCTGCACTCAATCCACAGCCACATCAGCCAGGGCTCAAATTTGTAAATAAGGGCACCCTTTGTCCTAACAATTATACTTCTAGGATTTTATCCCAAGGGGATAATTAAACAAGTTCACAAAGATTTGTGTTTTAGAAGGTTTAAAAAACATAGCTAAAAAAACTAAGTGTTTAAGAAGGTAATTAGTTAACTATGGTAATGTTTATACAGTGAAATACAGTCAGCTGTTTAGAACTTACAGAGCTTGTTCACTGAAAAGGTGTCAACAGTATTTTATAAGTGATCCTATTTTTGTAAATATATTTTGTATATGTGCACAGAAAAATGTCTGACGGAATGTTTACTAATTTAGGTGACCTTTTTTTCCTTTTCTTATGGTTTGTAGCTTATAAATTTGTACATGTATTCATTTTAAACCTCAAGAAACAATGACCATATTTTACATGTAAGTGCTACTGCTAAGAACAGAAGAACTTTTTGGAATTCGCCCATTTCTCTTTACAAGGCCAAGACCAAGGACAAACTCCCAACGTCACAAACCACCGCCCTCTCTAGAACGAACTCACCTCTACTCTGCCTGAAGCTCACTGTCATGCACTACTTAAGGACGGGACGCGTTCTGAGAAATGCCGCTGCGTCGTCCTGTGGGCATCACCGAGCGCACTGACACACACTACAGCACACCCAGGCCACACGGTCCACGCACCACCACTGCACGTGCAGTCTGCTGTCGTCCAAAACGTTACGCGTGAGTGTGCTGCCAACCGTCCCAACGCCCAGTTCAGAACACTTCCTCGGGGAAGCCTGCCCTGACCAAGGTCAAATGGCACCATTACAATGCACTCTAGATACAATGTGATACAAGTTGATATTCATACAGATATCTATCAACTTTGTCTCTTGGGAATGTCTACTTTTTGTTCATCAAAGCATTCCAGACTAACACAGAGCCTGGGGCAGAGAAGACACCCAGTGAATAACTTGTTGAATGAGATCCAGAATTGACTTCTTCCTTGAATTCTGTACTCACATACCCTACTGCCTATTCAACGCCTCACATCAAGGTCTGGCATTCATCTCGAAGTCAGCATGGCCAAGATTACACTCTGGTTCTGCCCCTTGCTGCCTCCCAATCTACTCCTGAGCTGGTGTTCCCTAGCTCAGAAAATTACACAACCCAGGTTTTCTCACACCAAAGAAAATGCTGACGTCATATTTTTCACTCAGCACCCCAGCCATCAGCAAATCCCACCTGCTATACCTTCAAAAGGTACCCCGAGTTGACCTCCTCTCTGTCCTCACCACCACCACCCTACCCGAGCCCCTTCCTCTCTTGTTTGGAGTGACGCATTAGCTTTTTAACTGTTCTGCCCCCCTTTTCTCTACTGACCCTGCAGTCTATTCCCCACACAGAAGCTGCATTCCCAAATCACTCATCAATCAGCTCACACCACCTGCTGTTGAAACCCTCGTACCCCTACAGATTACACTTGGCCCTCGGTGATCTGGCCCCTGGCTCACCCTCTGACCTAATATTCTACCACTCTCCCTCCTCAATTTCCCCATCCAAGCCATACTGAACTTGTTGACCATCAAAAATGCCTAGCTATACTTCTACCTCAAAACCTGCACCATTCTACCCAAAATATTTGCATGCCTCACTCTGTCACTTCATACAGGTTCTCCACATCTTGTCTTCAGAGATCTTTCCTGACCACTCTAACTAAAACAACAGCCCCTTGCTCTAGCTTATTTTTCTTTATAACACTCACACGTAATCTATTGTGAACTTAGTATATTTGCTCCAAATATATCATAGATTTCAAGCTGTCCAATAAAAAAACATACAGAGAAACCTGAGCAAGCAGATGTATTGTTCCAGTTGGAAAATAAACTCCATAAAGGCAAGGACATTGCTTTGATTGTGCTGGATCCCCAGCGCCTGAATAAGGGCCTCCGGCGTGGTTGGGACGGAGTGAAGAGGTAAAATCCAGAACTGCCTGTCCTTAGAAAACACACCCTGGAACAGCACACAAGCCACGTCGCTAACCTCCTTTCTAGGAGGCAGCGTTTAATGCCCGGACTTCATCAACACAGCGGCAAATGTTTCGGGAAGCAAGCCAGGAGGACCTGACAGAACCCTCTCTTTATTTTTTTAAATCAGATTTCATTTATTTATTTTTAGACAGAATGGAAGGAGAAAGAGAGGGAGAGAAACATCAATGTGTGGTTGCACCTTGTGCACCCCTCACTGGGGAGCTGGCTCACAACCCAGGCATGTGCCCTGACTGGGAATCGAACTGGCAACGCTTCTTTGTTTCACAGGCCCATGCTCAATCCACTGAGCTATACCAGCCAGGGCTCAGAACCCTTTCTTTACAGGTAAACACGCAAGGGGAGCAATCACCTCCAAATCAACTGAGCCCATTATACAAAAGCTTTTGTTTCCTGATGTGAACCTCACACAAATTCTGAAATATGTATTACACAGGAATTTTCTGCTTCTTACATATAAGGAAACAAGACTGAAAAAAAGAGTGACTCATCCAAAGCCACACAGCTCTGACGTGGACAGAGATAGCAGCCTGTGGTCATCATCGGGCCGTCACGTTCACCCAGGCACGGAGGGACACCTTCCTACTGATGTGGAGATGACCGGGGCCCCGTGGGCAGAGAATGGCGGAAGAGGACACAGCAGAGTGGCGAGCAGAGACACGTACCCTTTGCCAGGCCCCAGTTTAGGAGAGCCCACGCCCTCCTTCGTACGAGAAAGGATGTCTCTGACTCGGAGTGCGGCCAGTGGGTCTTTCTCTTTCCCCTTATCAGCCAAGGCAGTAGGACTGAGGTTCAGTATGAGGAACAGGCTGTTTAACAAGCACCAGGCACCCAGCAACTGGAAGTTCTGATAGCGCTGTTGGGAGAGACACCTGAAATTACTAAAACGTTGAATGTCAGCTGTCACTGAACAAAGGCACAGAAGAAAACTATGAACATACACCTCTTACGGGTTACAAGTGAAGAACACATCTTAGAGGCCACAAGACTTGCACATAGCAGAGACATGCCTCTTACCTCACCACCAGCCCGGCGGGAACTGCAGATTGCTTGTCCAATCATATCATAGATTTCAAGCTGTCCAATATCAAACATACAGAGAAATCTGAGCAGACATATTATAAATGCTAAATCCTACCTAACTTAGCTTCAAGACCAAAATATCTTCAAGTCACTTTCCAATGACACAGTTGTCCCACTTCCCCTCCTCTTCATGTGGCACTGGTTCCCTCTTCTAGCTCAGCTCACATGGCACCCCACAGGTGTCCCCTCCACCCAACCTACAGTGACACACCCAGATTGCTTTCTATCACGGTTATTCATCCTACATACTTATCACTATCTGACATCACTATCTGAAACCACCGTGCGTCTCTACTCTCTATATACTGACACGTGGTAAGCCCTCCAACATACATGCCGACTGAGTGACTCATCTTTCACAAGGTCACTGCCACCACAACACCGCATGCTTTCTGCAGTGCAACCTGCCAGATATACAAACCGAACGCCTACCTCTTAGACCCGCTACCCAGGGGGAGGGGTGTGGAGAGCACGCCATGTCCTTTCCTCTGTCACAGAGGAAAGTACAACTGCCCACGTCCCCCCGTTTGAACCACCAGGGCACCCGGAGGCTTGGCTTACGCATTTCTGGACGATTGTAGCTGCATCACTCTCATAGTCGTCCTCTTTGGAGCTCGCGGACCCCGTCCGCACTTGCTGAGCACAGCCCACGTGAAGGATGGCCATGCAGGTCGCCACACTCACGCCTGAAAAAAAGATGCACAGATTCCAGTCCCGGTACAGTTCCGAGAATCCACCGAAAATGAAACTGAAAACAACCCAATCACAATCTAGTCAGTGAGTTTATCGTTGCTGAAAGTAAATTCCATACGGACAACACTAAACATTGTCTTACCATATGATCCAGCAATCATACTCCTAGGTGTTTACCTAAATGAGCTGAAAACTTCTGTCCACGTAAAAACCTGCCCACAAATATTTACTGTAGCTGTATTCGTAACTGCCAAGAAATAGACGCAATCAAAATGTCCTTCAAAAGTTGAAAGGATAACAAACTGTGGTTCATATACAAATAAAGAGCAGTAAAAAGAGATGAGCTATCCAGCCACAAAGACACAGAGGAAACAAATGCATATTCTAAGGGGAAAAAAAAAGCCAGTCTCAAAAGACTACATACTATATAGCTGATTCTAACTGCAGGGCGTCTTGGAAAAGATAACTACGCAGACAGCAGAAACATCAGTGGGTACTAGAGACTGGGGTGGGGAGAGGGGAGAGGCATTACTAGGTGAAGCAGGAAGGGGTGTGGGGGCAGTGAAACTCTTCTGTAAGAGACAATGAAAATGGATACATAAGATTATGCATCTGTCAAAATACACATAACTACCACACAGAGAGGGAACCCTAATCTAAATTTCAGTTAGTAATGACATATCAATATTGGTTCAATTATAACAAGTGTCTCATATTAATGCGCTAAGTCAACAATGAACACTGTGTATCGGGAAACGAACTGTATGAGAACTCTGTAAAATCTGCTCAATGCTTCTGAAACCTAAAACTGCTTTAAAAGTAAAATTCATTAATTTTTAAATACTTTTTAAAGAACTTCTTAAGATTATGGGGAAAATCCCATATTTAGTTTTTCTTGAAGACATCAAGGACATAAATATAACCCCTTTCTTTAAATATGACCCCAAGTGATCAAATTTCAACAACAAACCAAATCTGGGATCTCAAACCCAACTAAGAATTTTCAAAGAATCTTTAATCCTTACTGACTGAATGCACTGAGATCCATGTGATATTAAGAAAGTCCCTGAAAACCGATGCCCTGACTGATGGGGCTCAGTCAGTTGGGCATCATCCCGCAAAATGAAAAGTCACCAGTTCCATTCCCGGTCGGGGCTCGGGCCTGGGCTGCGGGTCAGTCCCTGGTTGGGGTGCACACAGGAGGCGACCTATCGACGTTTCTCTCTCATGCCAATGTTTCCCTCCCTCTCTTTCTCCCTCCCTTCCCCTTTCTCTAAAAGTAAATAAAACCTTAAAGAATAAAGATGTTACTTAAAAAAAGAAAAATTCCCAGAAAATTGAAATCACTGAATCCCCAATTTAAAAATGCCAAGATCAAAGGTAGAGGACTAAGAAGCAAACACTGGGAACGGGTGTGGAGAGAGCACGTGGTCACACGCGCCCTGAGCTCTCCACTCTCACTGCTGCTGCTCCAGCTCAGGCCATGCGTGTGTCCTTCCGTGTTGGAGCGTCTGTGCCGCCAGCACCTCCCCACACCAAACAGCCTGCATGCGACTGCGCAGACGTTCTTCTCAAAGCGCAGCTCAGACCACGCCGCCCTTCGGCATCTTCAGCTGTCTCTGCTGTCTACAAGGTGTGGTCCCAGGGACTCAGAATGCATTTCTAGGCCTTCGGTGACCGGGCCTACTTTCTCTGCAGTTGTAACACTCGCTAATACACACACAAGTGTTCTATCTCTCCCCAAACCCGAGATAGAACACTTGTGGCCCTGCTTTTGCCTCGGCCTAGAGTTAGCCAAGCTAAAATCCTTCCTGCCCTACAAGACACACCAGAGAAGTCAGTTCCTCATGACTGCTGACTTCCATGGTGGAAAATGCCTTCATCTTTAGATTCCTATTTGAACAGAGAGGTTCAAAATAAGCTGTTCAAAGAATGTAGGAAAATGATTAACTTCACTAATTTCTTGGTGCACCCAAGGTCAGGTTTCCGAGGCTGTTCAAATCCTCACTTACAGAACCAAGTAAACATCAGAAATTGTTATACCTTCCAAGACGTCCTGAACTAGGATATTTAAAACCAGGGGTTAAAAAGTCATGGTAACAATAACTTTAAGAGTAAACACCAGCTGTCAGGCGCCACTGCCATGGACGCATGTTCAACAGAAAGACAGGGGATCCTGTGGAAGCGTGAAGAACATGTGTCATGTGTATAAACAGACGCCCCATGTTCTCCAAAGCCTTCCTCACACCTGCCCCACAGCAAGGCTCAGTCGCCCCCTCTGGTGTGTGCCCCAGTGAGCTGCACCCGTCGCATTGCCTTGGGCATCTCCTGTTTCTCAGGAGATGGGTCCATCACTCATATAGATGGGTCTCTACTACGTGGTCCGTCTGCTCGGGTGCAGGCTCCTTAAGGGCAGTGACGACATACCATTCACCTCGATACCCCAACAGTACTTGGCATTTTGCTTTTCACACAGGAGACACTTACTATCTGCACACACGATGGAGTTAAATATGCTCACAACACAACTCTGGCTGTTGAACAACAGGGCAACTCACAAGATTATCCTATTGGGACCTCCTTTTACCTAGAAGAGATACTAGATGGTCCTTGGGGGAAGGGAGTAAGTAAAGGCAGATGCCCCAGAAGAATCTCATGGTTTCTAGAAAGTATACCTGCGCTGACTGAGAGAATGAGATCAGACATTGTAACTTCTCACCTGCATACAGACAACTCAGGCTGAGGACTGTCACGTCTTGCAGACGAGAAGGATTGAGAGGTTCCAGCACGGGTAGAGAAAGGGTATCCAATGCCATGGTCACATCGATCACTAGTGAATGGAAACTGGAACACAACAGAGAAGACGACAAAAGCATCTCTGTGAATCACTTGCTTCCATAATCTGAAAGTAGGCACGCCGTAAAAATGACCAGCTCATCTCTCTGAGGGCAGCATTGGAATGCACAGTTTAGGTCCCCTGGAGCACCTTACCCATTACGAACAGCAGTGGCATCTGCTACTGTCGCAGGCATAATGAAGAAGGAATTGGCCAACACGGCGTCCTGAAACCGATTGATGTAGCGTAGGAAATATGGCAGGTTCAGACATACACGCAGTAGCTTCTCTGAGCCACCTGAATTAATGAAAAAGCTTGACCTTACAAATGAGCTTCTGTCTGATTCTTTCCCACTCAAGGAATTTTTGAAAGCAGAGGAACCAGCTTTCTGCCAACAACTAGGTATCTTACCAAGCTCTTGAAGACTAGCCACGTTCTGAGCTATGAACACGTTCTTGGTTTTGACAGCAGAGGTTTGGTCTGTGGATGACTGCTCCTCGCTTTCCCCTTCCGCCTGAAGAAAAACAAAGCACGCGGAAGGCCTATCAAGACACCATCGCCTGCTGACGCCGCCCTGGGGTCCGGAACCAAACCGACTGTGCACACTGGGCAGCAGCTGCACGGACCCTCTTCAGACTCCGCAGGTGACGAGCAGAGACTCCTCTCTGACGCTGGAAAGCACGGGTTAATCTTCCCAGAGGACGGGAGAAGCACATAGCTTCAAATATGACTACATCCCACAACTACTAGAGAGTGACGCATTTTACAGAGAGCGTGCTCTTCCATGTTTAGTTACACTGAGAAATGTCACAAAACAGTCACCAAAATAGTAATAATGAGACAGGAGGAGCCTGAGTGAGTTTTACTTTTTTGTTTGTTTGTATTCTTCAATTTTTTTCCTACCATAGGCATGTACATCACTTTATACCACAAATACAAAGTCCAGTTGTTATTTTTTCCTGGAGTTACCTCCTGAACAAGGACATTGGCTGAAGTAACTCACCGGCGTCTGCGGGCCTAAGGATGGTGATGCTATAGTTCTAGGGTTGAAAACTGACGTCAGCTGGTTCAGAAAATTCATCTGGACCTCCTTCTGCCTCAGCTCTGGGCTCACTGGCGAGGCCAGCTCCTTCTGATCTTCCACTGTGAAACACGAAAAGCAGACAGAGGGATGAGGACAGCACTGCCAGAAAGCAAAGCAGGAAAAAGCGGGCCAGGGAACTGGCCAAAGGAACACTCACCATCTGACAGCGTCTTCACCGTCTGCGGCAGTTTGGCCGATTTCATCATTGCCGTAAACGTGATAATTTCAGTTCTGTCTAGGCGGCTACAGCCAGTGCACAGGCCCTTGATGAGAAGGATCAAGTGTTTCTGAAAAGAAAACAAATTCAAATACGTCTTTTAGAAGATTTGACTCTTTAGAGACTTCTAACTGGCACCGGGCCCAATGCAGGTTCCTACCAAGGACTGCAGTCTTAGGAGAAAAAACCGAAGCAGAAATCACAAGCTGATGGGCCCGACCACACTGGTCTGCGCATCTGTCTTACTCTTCTCACACGCTGCTGGTTTTAATTTGAAGTTAATGCTAACTTTTTCAAACATGGGAAGTTTAACATACAAATCCGGACTTCTTATCTCTCAATCATCACGGGTTACGGTAACAAGCTTTTGAGCCTCCGCTGCTGCACAGCAGGAGTGAGCTGGAGCCAGTGACTGGCCTTCAGAGCTGGGCATGCACCCATCTCAGCGAGCACGCTTTACTCAGTCTCACGTGCCTGGCCTTGCGGGCAGTAACTGGAACCCTTTAACAGCCTCTGCAGCCCTCCCTATACCAGAGACCAGGACACCGCAGCCCCCACTCAGCCCACTGCATTTTTGCAAATGAAGTTTACGGAACTGCAACTATATGCTCGGTCATTCACGTGCGGTCTGTGGCTGCTTGCACAGCACAAAGGCAGAGGCGAAAGGCAGAGACTAGCTGCGGCAGGGACCGGATGGTCAGCAAAGTGTTTACTATCTGGCTGATTACAGAGCAAGTTCACCGGCCCCTGCTCCGTGACAGCCCTTCTCCATCACTCCACAATCCTACCTCAAAAGAAGACTGGGAAACAGGCCGTCCCTCTCACCTGGGACACAGCACAAGCCTCATCCGGATTCTCCAGACGCAGGAGCGAAAACTCAATCAGGACTTTACAGGCTGCTGCCACCGACTGAAGCTGGTTCCGCGGGACTGAGAAAGCAACGAGTTATACTTAACCTCAAACATCTGTAACGCACTTGACCCTCACCGTTAATACATCAAACGAGACATGTACTGATGCTCTGGATACATACTCCATATATCCAACAGTTCCAATATTTCTATGATAAGAATTATTCAGAACCAACAACCCGAAGGCTTCTGGTCACTGATAGTCATCAAATACTTACAAATCAATTTATCTTACATTTGCTAGGAACTAAGATAATTCTAATGAGATATACATCACCCTGGGTACCAAGAACTTCAAACATATTAACTCAATCCTTAAACCAATCCTATGATGTTGGTGTTTTTGTTATCCGCTCCCCCTCCTTTTTAAAAACAGCCACAGAGAGGTTAAATGGTTTGCCCACGTGGCACAGCTGGAGTCAGACTCAGGACGTCTGGCTCTAGAGTTCATGCCCTTAACCACCAGCACATACAACTTCTTTTCCCCATAGATTCTAATGCCTTTTTGCAAGCAGCTTCCTACACAAAGTTTCTTCAAGCTAAAAGTGATTCCTTCACCAGGGCCCAGTGCCGGTAATGAACAGCACTGGACACAGAAATTGCTCAGCAACCCTGTGGCTTCCTTTCACTTCACTTGCTTAGAAACTAAACTAAACAAATCATTACAATTTTCAGAACTGTATGAGTTAGGATTTTTTAAAATGTGAAAACGCAAAAATTCAGATAATGGAAAATAGGGGCTTGGTGACTCTTCGATTAGAAAAAGTTTAAAGATGGGGAACTGAAAGTGAAATATTTTCACATACCAGAGAACACAAAAGGAGAGTTCACCTTCTCACCAAAACCAAATAAAATAGACCCTTGATTTGCAGCTGCTTAACCCAGGCTGGTACCCACCTACCCACACATACCCCCCCCCCGGAAATCAGCTCACTGGTAATCACATTTATGAAATCAATACAACGTTTCTGATTAAGAAGGTAAAGAAGGGTAACCGAGTGGGTGATGAAGCAGTGTCCGAATGAAGTCATTTTTCAATCCCTCCTGGCTGGCCCAGGTGGAAAGCTTCTGGAGCCTTACCACACTGACCACTGTCCCCACTCCGGGATGGACGGTCAGAAGTGCGGAAGCAGAGACTTCATCACCAGCCCGTTCAGACGCCCTCCTGGGGAGACGCACAACCCCCACTCCCAGGCCCTCAGAAGAGCACGAGGAGAGTGGAACACTCACTGAGGCCGCACACCGTGGTGATGTAGTGCGTGGACAGGGCGACGAAGGACGAGTAGAACGGCTCGTACTGCTTCTCGTGGTGGAGGATTTCCGACTCGCTGCGAAGGAAACAATTCAGCCAAGATTTACTCCGTGCTTACTGTAGGCCAGATACCTTACCCCTCATTTGTAGGCAGTATCTTACTTAATCCTTGCAGCAACTCTGCTTAGAAGACTCTGTTATCATCCCAATACTCCAGACTGAGAATGTGAAGCTTAGAGAATGAAAATTAAGTAACTTGTCCAAAGTATCTGGCTTAGTGAATGGCAAGGGCTGAAGGAAAACATGAACAGGGCACCATTTGGTGCTATATTACTGATCAGTGAAGACTAAAACCTAACAATACCATGTGCTAGCCAGAAAGGGTAGACAAGAGCACTTAAAATACTGTTGGTAGGAATATAGGTTACTGTGACCCCTTCTGAAGACCAAACAAGGCTGGCCCATCATGTAATAACTTAAAAATGATCAGTTTCTCCAGGGAAGAAATCATCTAACTGGTGACAAAATCCAAAATTCACTAGGTACCAGAGTTCTCTTCCACCCCACCCCGCCTTCCTGGTGGGATACAGCTAGATCACAACTAATTCAGTGATTTTTAACCGCATCCCAATCTTTGGCGGAAAAACCTCTTCTGTGAAAGTCTGGAGCTCAACTAGGTCTACAAGCTGGATACATTTACATCATTCTCTCTATCCAATCAGATGCTAATCTGTAGCCCATGAAATAAGAAGGCAACAAAAAGACTAAAATGTATCCTGTTAAATGGAAAAGGCCAGCAGTACGGCTACATAGTTTCCTCAATGAGTTGATTCTCTAGGCAGAAGTATCAGCCTAGGAAAGGAAAGGTAAACAGTAAGGACTGTATCCACGTGCCAAATCAACACAGGAGCCAAAAAGACAAGCTGAACATTGAGAAGGTGCCAACAAGAATGATGAATCACCTTAAACAGCGCTTAAAAGTCTGGCATTGCAAATGCTTTGTTATTTGGGGATTTACCATGAATAAATAAGGATTTATCAAAGATCAGTTCCTTATGTTGGACCAACTAAGAACAGATATTTATGGAGCACTTCTGATGTTCAGGGATCTTCCTGCCCACGAAATGGTCATTCCTCCCTATTTGTCAGATGAATAAAAAGGAGGAAACAAGAAACTTTAAACCAAGTACCACTCAAAGTTTCCAGTGACCATCAAACACTGATAAGGGTCATAGCATATTCAGCAAAAAATTTCCACTAAACCCCCTTGCTAGGACATTTGTTTAATTGTTCCTTCACTTCCATCCTTATACTTTCCTATTCATTGCTCTAAAGTTTTTCCTCCCCACAGTTAGATGTATTTTACTAAGCTGCATACCTTCTTTACTTTATTGCAAAACTTCAGAGCCACTCACCTCCATGTTTTTCTGCCGAACGGGTTTACCAAAACTAAGAGGAAAAACTGTCCACCCAAAGGATGAACTTATTCCGTTGCTTTCATTCCCAGTCAAATAGTGATATAGATCCAAAATACAGTAATAAACTCATTTAATTGCTTGGTCCAATGTTGTCCCATTGTGATTTAACAAACCATACATCCTGCCCAGAAAAAACACCACCACCACCACCACGATGGCCTTATTTCAATAAAGAAGCAAGGATGCACTTTGGCGAAAGTCGGATACTAGGATGTGGGCCAGTGCACGCAGAAGTCTTGAGCTCCATGTATAATTTGCTTAGGGCAAACTAAGGATAAACCCAAGGAAATTAATTTCATAAGCCCTTGAAGGAGGGAGTAGACCTGTGGCCAAGGACAAGGTCGTATCACTTGATTTTGAAGAAACAAGTGCCTATGAGTCACCTAAGATGCGCCGCCCCACTTCCTGGCCCCACCCTCACACACGGAGACTCTGATGAAGACACCGGAGGATGCAAAGACATGAAAAAAAAAAAGGAACAAGGGCAAGAAGTGAGGTAGGAAGGAAAGAAATAAAGACATTGAAGGCAAATATAACACAGAGAAAAAAAATGAAAAACACTTCAAAAATACCTGCCTTTTCTAACTTGGCAACAGCAGCACCCGAGACTGAAACGCTGTGGGAAGACAGGTGTTCCCACACCACACAGAGCGAAGGGGATGCCGAGGACCACAGGGGGCAGCAACTGGGCAGCCGGGTCAGAGGGATCCACTCTGACAAGTAAGTAAGAAGAACCAGAAGGGTCTGGAAATATATAGTTTGTTTAGGAAGAGGCAGAAATCCAAAAGAGCAAAATAAAAGAGGAAGGATTCACCTCACCTCTCCCTCTTAGATAAGATACCACTCAGATAAGATACCGCCTGCGGTGGACGTGACTCTGAGACAGGGCAACAGCAGCTAGGACCAGAACCGACCTCACAATCATACTCCACCATTTGGTGGTGGGATTTTTCCCCTGCAGAGCAATCACAAAGTTATGTCCTGGAGCATATAAATTCAAAAGATCGCCGTATCAGTGCATCCCTTTCTCCCTTCCAAGGTTTTCACAAAATAGCTGCGTGTTATCTGATGAGGCTGTTGTAACAGCTTCTGCCTTCCCGAGTAGGTCCCTCTGGCCTAAATTTTACCTAATAACTGGGAGGCAGGGACTCAGGCTCGTCACTAAGGAGGCCAGGACAGCCTAGGAAGGACTGACTGGCTCAGGGGAAAGAGAAATGTTTTTGTAATCTACCGGGAGCCAATCAAATTGTCCCCCGAGAGCAGCACTCACCACTATTTTGCACCGAATTAAGAAAGGAACTCTGTGTTTGACAGTTTGTTAACACACCAGGCTACCTTCAGCAATTATACTAATTAACTCCACACAAAGTATGTGCTCCATTAAGCCAGTTCCAGCTCCATCTCTGGGCTGGAAAAGTGATGGTGCTCGAAAGACTTTCGATCTTTACTCCTACAAACGTACCAGCAACAGGGAGTGGAAATAAACTCCCCTTTAAGTAAACTCGGGTACCTTTTTCTTTTCAAAGTCGAACGACACTTTTGAGAGTCCCTTCCCAATTTACCCCTGCCGATCTATGCTTCCTTCGTTTCACAGGCGATTACCAGGCCAAACTCAACAGGGTCTGAACTGAGGAATTTGTTTTTAATCAACCATTTCTTCTAACCAAAAGGTCAATTCCAAGTATGAAAGTCTGAAAGAACAGGGACAAAAAGCATAGTGGTAGAGTACAAAGCAGTCTCTTAAGACATTTGTCACTGACCCCCAGAGTCAAAAAAAAAAAAAGGAATTCAATGGGTTAATTCCAATGGCTGCCAGAGAGAAAGTAAGAGCTGGCACGGACTAGGACATCAAAAAGGGAGGCAGAGGGTAGCAGATCGCTGCAGAGAAACAGAGGACCCCTGGAAGCAAGAAAGAAAAGTGCAGCAGGACACAACAACAGAAAGAAGCACAGGAACCACAGCAGGTGGCAGCGGCAGCGGCAGCAGCAGCCACGGAAGGAAAGCGGCAGCGTGGGCGCCCACGCAGTGCTGGCTCTCACCTGGCCCTGTGCTCAGTGACCACAGCTGCATATTAAAGAATTACTTCCACAATTCTGACACCCTCAATTCCCTTTATATTTTGAAAGGCAAATAAAACTTGAGAAACACAGTACTGATAGCACAGTACTCACTTTTGTGTTACAAATCAGGAGTCGACAAGCTACGGCCTGCAAGTTAAATCCAGCCAACCACCTGTTTGTGCCGTCCACACACTGAGGAATGGCTTTGTGGAATCTAGTGAACAAAGTAAACTAACAAACAAACCAGAAACAGACTGACAGCCCTCAGAGGGGGAAGGGGCTGGGAGGCTGGGAGGAAAAGGTGAAGGGATTGGGCAAAAAGAAAACCAAACCCTCAGAACAGACAACAGTCTGGTGATCATCAGCGGGAGAGGGGGTGGGGAAGTAGAAGAGCGTGAAGGGGCATCAGTGCTGATGGAAGAAGACTTGACTTGGGTGGGGAACACACAATGCAATGTACAGATGTTGTATTAAAGAAGTGTACACTTGAAGCCTGTATAACTTAATTAATCAGTGCCATGCCAATAAATTCAATTAAATTTTGTAAGTGAATTTTAAATTTTTTAATGGCTGCAAAAATCAAAAGCAGAATCTTTTTAACGTAAATATCACATGAGATCCTGAGGTGCCCACAGGTAGGGTTCTGGAACCCAGTCATGCCCACTTGTCTACCACGTATCTATCATGCAGGCTGCTTTCCCAACACAATGGCCAAGTTGACTCGCGCAGACACAGACTACGTGGCTGGGAAATACGTACTTGTCTGACCTCTTACAGAAAATGTGTGCCAACCTCTGCTCTACACCAAACTGCACATTTAATACTTTTAGTTGTTTTAACAGCAAAGAACTTATAAGCCAGATGTTTCTTTTGGAAATTTTTCTTAAGATCATATTCTTCTCACAGACCCTGACAAGGCTACATTAACTGGCTTTCAAAGTGAACTGAGCCACAAAAACCAGAACAGAGACTTCAAGGATCTTGCCTTCCAATAAAAGTTTGCTGCTAAACAGCCATAACTTTGGACCTTTTCTCTAACCCCTGAAGAGAGGTCTTTCGAGTCCGTACACACAGGCAGCTGATTACCCTACCTAACAGAGAGTGTGGGAGAGGCACCACTATTACTTATGTGACAAAATTCAAACCTACTTTAATGTGTTTGGTTTGGGCTCCTTCTACAGATTGGAGGGAGTCGCTCAACTATTGGTTTTAAAAGGCACGGGCCCAGAATACCGGATGCACAGGAGGGTGTCCACAAACGACTCAACCCTCTCAGCTTGTGTCCACAAAGACACAAAAGCAAACGTTCTAAAGAGTGGAGCACTGTCCATGATAAACAACATGGCGACTATAACTCAGGAAAAATGCCACTAATCCAAATGTTTAAAATGGCTAATAAGTGGCTACATAATTTAAGAGCAGTACCTTTGATATTTGTTTACATCTTCAGAACATTCTTGGCTTAATGATGAGAAAAATCTGACTGTAAGTTAACTGTGACCAAAACTATTACCAAAGCCAACCATTATTTCATTATAGTATTTCTAAAAACTGCATCCAAAGCAACACAAACCTAACAATAAGCACTATAATAAACAATATGTCAAACCATGGGCCTTCCTTTAGCAACAAACAGCAATTTCTAACCTCCTGGATAACAATTAGACATACCCTTGTTGGCATGAAGCTAAAATGACCCAGTTAGCAACTGCAGGGAGTTGCTGAAGGGTTGGCCCAAAAAAATGAAAGTGAGACCAACTTTAAAGGCATACTTACCATTAAACTAATGAAAGACTGTTCTGAGAACCTAAATCAGGAAGAGGCAAGCCCCGCCTTCATTAACACAAGTCTCACAACCTGAGAATCTCCCTACAAAAAGGCAAAGAACCATGTAACAGCGAGCCAATAAACAGTCCCATCTGTCAAAGAGTCTGAAGATATTTTATGGAGAAACTGAGAGTGCCTTTTATGGGGGAGAAATGACCTTTTGGACTAACACACGTAAATGTTTTTAATCAAAGGCCGTTCCGGTGGAAATACACAGTAAGTGCAACCCGAAGAGAGAGTCCTCAGTGGTCATTAGTGGCCGCAGTCACAGAAACAGCACGTGCCCCAGTGATTACAGCCCCACGGGAAGACCGTTATTAAATTATCTGGTAGGTCTCCCATTTAAAGCCCGGGCTCCGCGCCGGCCCAGGCTAGGGGCACGAGTGCCTGCGAGAAATGCAAACTCATCAGCGCTTTGACCTTAACACAGGGGGCAGCCCCGGGGACAGTGCCCTGAGAGCGCGGTGCATCGCGAAGTCACTCGCAAACAGGTCCGACCACGCCCTCCCGGAGGGGGACCTCAAAAGTTTTGCTCGGAAGGGAAACTGAGGCACGGATGATTTACACGGGCTGACATCAAGAACCGCAGACAAGCCCCGGTCTGCCGGCGCCCGGGAGCCCCGAAGCCGCGGCCGGGCCGGGGGCCCCCGAGCGGCAGGAGGCGGCCCGGGAAGCGGGTCCAGACCGTCCCGCACGACCTCCCCTCCCCCTCCCTTCGCCCGCCCCGCCGGGGCCGCCGCCCGGTACCTCTCGATGACTGAGGCCACCAGCTGCGGCAACTCTTTCATCTCGAAGGCGGAATAGGACGCGGACAGCAGGGGCCGCACAGCCACCTCCCAGCCCGGGGTCGTGTCCAACCCCGTTGCCGGGTCCCCGGGCGCCGGCGCTGCTGCCGCCGCCTCGTCGCCGCCGCTCGTCGCCATCTTCCGTCGTACTCCTGCGACTCCCTCCCGGGGATTGCCACCGGCCCAGCACCGCCTCCCGGGAGGGGGCGGAAGTGACGCAATCGGTTGCGTCAGCCTGAGCGACGCAGTCGCGGACCAAAATACGCGAGGCGGCTGAGGAAGGCCCCGCTCCGCTCCCGCGCGGGGAGCGCGGCGCGCCCGGGACTGGGCTGGGGCGCTGCGCCTGCGCAGGCCGCGGCGCGGCGGGTGAGGGCGGGGCGCCTGGGTCTCCGCGCCTGCGCGCTGGGCGTTGCTCGGGAAGGCGGGAGCTCTGAGGCTTCGGGATCCCCGCGAAAGGTGAGTCGGCCGCTTTGTTTCAGGTGGCAAAAATCGGGGCTGCGGAGCAGACTCTGCCTCGAGAGGGTGGCGGCGCCGCCCCTAGCGGCCGAGGCGAAGAGGAGCGAGCCTCCCTCACCCGCTGGTGCCTTCCCCGCCTCCCCCCGGGGCTCCCTGTAACTGTAAGGCGACGGCCTCCTTCCGAGTACAGAGCTTTCTCCTGCCCACGGCGCCTCCCGCTACTGTTGTAACCACTGGTCCTTTCTTCGCGCCCACGTCCCTTTACGTTTTGATTACCCTTGTTAGTAATGTTACCAGCACGTATCGCATCGTTCTTTCCAGTTTGCCACGTTAGGTTCCCTTTCTCCCATTTTTCTACTAGCCAAGAAAGAATGTAACCTTTTATTCACAGGGCATAATGTCTAGATTTTATCGAGGAAAAAAACGATTTGGGTACCAGAGGGAAAAGCGTTTGACTCAAGGGAAGGTATCCGTGCATTGAGAACCTTCTTGGGCTTCGTGGACCACTGTCCGCCTCAATAAATCTTCCCAAGAACCGTGGAGACGGTTTGAAAATCCTGAAGCCATGAAATTTCCCAAGTTTTGGAAGAGCCTTTGTTACCGGTGTAACGCTATGAATAAATTGGTACCTGGTGATCAATCTGCACTTTTAGTAAGGAAAAACATTTCTTTTTTTTTTTATTTTATTTTTAATTTTAGAAAGAGGGAAAGGAAGGGAGAAACAGAAGGGCAGAAACATCCATCGGTTGGACCAAACCCGCAACACACAGGCCTGCTTGGGAAACGATCCAGCAGTGGAACTGGCAAGCTTTTGGGTTTGCAGGACGAAGCCCAGCCAGCTGAGCCACACCTGCTGGGGCGAAAAGACCTATTTCATATTAGAAATAAATTCAGTCAAGGCCAGTCTTGGAGGAAACCATGTGTTCAGTGATAACATAGGGATTTTCCTTTAGTGTTTTAAGAATCTTAAAAATATGAAAAATGAAATGCAGGGTAAAAACTTTTCATAATACAGTATATATTGCATTCTTTCAAGATACCAAACCAAAGCCCTAAGGAGAAGTTTGGATACCAAGCATTTTATAGTGGTTCTTGGAATATCAATTTTTTTTTTTTACCCAAAGGACAAAATTAATCTGCCCAGATTCTCTGGGAGGGGTTTCAGGAAATAATAAAAGATCAAGTGTTCGTGCCTCCATCCTTCCCCCACCATCAGCTACAGCTGGAAGAGAGAATAAAATAAAAAGGCAAATACAAAGTATCACAAGGAGATTCCCACCTGTGTGTTAACTCATATATTTATTACACACTTTTAGTATTTCTGGCTCACAGATTGGAGAAAGCACTCTTAGGTAAAGATCTTTCCTTACAACTACCACATTAATTTCAGTATTGGAACTGTGTTCTTGTCACAGAGATTTGGAATGACATCTATGGTCCAAATTTGGATGACAAAAGAAAGGAACCAGATAAATAAGGCACTAAAAAAAAGACTTCTAGAAGCAGCACACACCTCTAATACACATACTTTGGTCCAGAAAATAAGGTAGAAACTAAAGGATAGTAATTTTTGTGAATTAACTGAAGGATTTAAAATACTAGTTCCCTTCTAATCCCAAGTGGCTAGGAAAAGAACTAAAACTGTATCATGTTGTAGGAAATGCAGTAGAAAAAAAAATCAGCAGCCATAGCCGAATGATACGCCTTAATGTGGGAGTACAGACTTGGAGGGAGCTGGAAAAATTCTGTGTCTTGACACAGATCATGTGTATTTACATGTAAATACACAGAACACAGGGTGGGCGAAAGAAGGTTTACATTTGTTCAGACGAAAAATAGTACAGTTAAATAATAAAAGAACAAACTCTGGCATACTCACAACTGTAAACCCACTCCTGTGCACCCCTGTATTCAGTGAGCTATCTACTTGATGCGTACACTTTAGTAGTTAACGATTTATACCTCAATTCAGAAACAACAGTAAGATCAATGTCACTGCAGGAACCTCAAAAGCAAGAGACATTGGCATTCCCCCCCCAAAGTATTCCACCTGATACAAAGTTATTTGAAGTAAACCATAATAGATACTGTGTGTTTAGAAACAATTAGATGAATAAACAGTAGCTACTGTTAGCTTCCAGGAGCCAATAGAGGTCAGTCTGTTCTGGAGATTTTATGAAGTTACAGGAACCAAAAGTCAGTGCATATTTGTGGGAACTCCTAAAGCAGCACTGAATGTATTGGGTTGGCAAGAAAATGTTACATTTTTCCCTACAATGACTCTAGCAGTGCTTAGTTATTTTTAACTTCATTTGAAACAATTTCTTAGATTGTGACAGCTGTTATATCAGTGTCCATTTTTTAAAAACATCAAAATTGGTGAATTTTTGTGTAGCCATTTTAATATTGAAGATGGAAGAAAATATGCAACAATTTTGATGTATTGTGCTTTATTATTTCAAGTAGGGTAAAAATGCAACTGAAATACACGCAAAAAGATTTATGCAATGTATAGAGAAGGTGCTGTGACTGACTGAACATGTCAAAAGTGATTTATGAGCCCTGGCCGGCCTGGCTCAGTGGATTGAGCACTGGCCTTCGAACCAAAGGGTCACTGGTTCAATCCTAGTCAGGCACATACCTGGGTTGCAGGCCAGGTCCCTGGTTGGGGGCGTGTGAGACTCAACAGACTGATGTTTCTCTCTCTTTCTTTCTCCCTCCCTTCCCCTCTCTCTGAAAATAAACAAAATATTTTTAAAAAATAAAATAAAATACCAAGAATATAAGGAAATACATCGGAAACCTGGTTCAATTTAGTAATATGAAATTCACTTGTAATCCACAAGGATTGATTGTTTTCCCCAAAATAGTGGGTTTTATATGGTAAAAATTTAAAACAAAGAAGAAAATATGCTTTGCAGTCTTCTTCCTTTAAGAGAGACAAATACTTTTGGCCACACTGCAGGACTAGAATAAAACATCAGTCTTACAGAACAGCAGGAAGCACGACTTACAGGAAACCAAGGAAGGATCACAATTGAAATGATTAAAATTATAAGGTAAATATCTACATTTTTATGGTGTTAATTCAGCCAATGTGAATTAACATGGTTAACTGACAAACTACACAATGAAGCTTAGATATACTAACTCAGCTTAAAGGAAATAACACAAAATTGATAATATATTGGAAGGGTTTTGTTCCGTGAAATGATTTTTATCTTCCTCAGTTCTGTGATTGCCATCTTTTAGGATTTACACTCAGCAGAACTTTGGACCATCAGATCGAGAGAGGAGAGAAAGACAGGAGGGAGGTGGATAGAACAAATACGGTAAAATGTTAACATTTGGGGAATTCGAGTGAAAGGTATCTGAGTATTCTTTGTACTATTCTTGTAACTTTTCTGTATGTCTGAAATTGTATCAGAATAAAAAGTTAAAAGAAAAAAACTTTGTAAATACTTTGCTTCAGAGTTCAAAAACATGATTAAAGTATAAAGACATGGCAGGCATTTAACAAAGAAAAGTAGTATTGTAGTCTGGGAAAAGTGGAGTCAAATGATTACAATGTATCCTTCGGGGGTGAGGAAGGGCTGCTCTGGTCAGCTCAAGTGAGTATTCAGGTCTCTCTTACCCGTATAGGCCTATAGTAAAAACCATATATATGATAATAGGGATAACACACCCTCTATTCAACTATAACCAAGCAAACTCATAATAGCAATTTAAGCTGTGGCTGGTGTGGCTCAGTGGACTGAGCACCAGCCTGCCAAACAAAAGGTTTTTGGTTCAGGTCCCAGTCAGGGCATGTGCCTGGGTTATGGGCCAGGCCCCCAGCTGATGTGTGCAAGAGGCAGCTGATCAATGTTTCTTTCCCCCTCTTCCTCCCCCCCTTTCTCTTTCTCTAAAAATAAATGAAATAAAAAGAATAGCATTATTCAGACTTCTTCATGGGAAAGAATATATATTCCAACTAGTGGGCAAGTATTCTAGTCCTCTTTACAATTCCATTCTTCATTGTCATCAATAAACCGGCATTCTGGTTATCAGTTTCTAGACTAGCTTATTTTATCACATAGCACACGGGGTATAACTCATCACCAAAACCATCCAAAGTACAGTGGAGCCCTGGCTGGTATAGCTCAGTGGATTGAGCACGAGCCTGTGAAGCAAAGGCTTGTGGTTCGATTCCCAGTCAGGGCATGTGTCTGGGTAGCAGGCCAGATCCCCAGTAGGGAACACATGAGAGGCAGCCACACATTAATGTTTCTCTCCCACTCTTTCTCCTTCCCTTCCCCTCTCTCTAAAAATAAATAAATAAAATATATTTTTAAAAAGTACAGTGGAGCATAGATGTGGAAGTATGCCTTTTAAATGTATTGCTGTTGTTTAACTTTCATTCTTTCAGATAGCATGTTAGGCGATAGTAGACAAGAGTGCGTCAATATAAATCTCTTGCTATTTTATAGATACCTTTCAAAATAGCCTGCCTCTATACTGAAAAAGGCATTATCTCAGCACCCTGTATTAGAAATCTGTATGGCCCTCGTGCTGGTGGAAATGAGGGTTCCGGATTGGAGGTCAGTCCCAACCAACATCACAAACTCCTCAAAAAATGAGGAGGTGGGATGTGCACCTCTTTTGCATTATAGATCCTAACCGGAAAGACGATCTAAGTAAGACAGGCTTCCCTGAGAGTAGTTAGTTGATCTTGTCACAATCTCTAATGGAATAACTCTAAAAAATTCCGAACTTGTGACCTTCAAAGGGGGCATGGGAGACCCATATTGTTGATCGAGTTGTAAAACCCAATTTGGTTTGGAGAGAGACACAGCAGACTTGTTCAGTGGTTACTCTGGGACACAGGGTTGGGGAGGTTTTGAAGGGAGACTCAACCGAAGTTGTTGGGAATTATAGTCTTTTAAAATAACTCAGTAATGAAATATTGTATGAAGCAGTTCCTTCATATGAAATACCAGCGTCTCCATTATTGAAGGGTAGATAGGCCCTGCCAGTGTGGCTCAGCTGGTTAGAGTGTCATCTGGTAAACCGCAAGGTCACAGGTTTGACTCCCAGTCCGGGCACGTGCCTGGGCTGTGGCGGGTTCAGTTCACAGTCGGGCCACATACGGGAGACAACCCATCAATGTACCTCTCTCTCTGAAATTAATAAATATATCCCCAGGTGAGGATTAGAAAAAGAAAGGGAGATGGTACCTCTGTTTACATTTTATAAAAAAAATAAATGTGACAAAGTATTGTCCACCTGGTTTTGATTATGGAATGCTAATTGTCAAATTTTGAAAATTTAAAGAATGGTGTTTGCCAAAGCCTATTTGGACTTTGAATCTAAGTTCTATTTATTTTGTTTATATAAGCACATATAAATATAATACCAAAAAGATACCATTCCTTTTTAAAATAGAAATTATGGTACCCAAAGCTCATTTCCAATATTGATCTTGTATTTGTTTTATGCAGCAAGATAGGGTTTGTCAGAGTACAGCACAAAAGGGGAGTAGGGCTATCTCTTGGCATGTCAATGTCAGAACTCCACACTTGTCACCAAGACACTAAGGACAGATGTCCTAAGGCTTCCATGAACAAGGCATCAGCATTTGGGGAACTACTGGTCAATCAGCAGCTTCATGCTTCAGATACTGGGGAACTCAGAGAACAGTTTATCCCTCCCTGGGACACACACCATGACACGAGCACTAAAACACTGAAATGCACCACTCGGGAAATTCTGTGGTCAGCAGTCAGGAAACTGGGAGGTTCTGGGGAGCCAAAATCAACAGGGCAGGCTTTGTGGAGGATGTTAGATTTGAGACAAGCCAGATTTTGAGAAGGGGGAAAAAAGCATTCCAAGTAAAGAACGGAGATACAATAGATACATTACTTAAAAACAAAATTTTAAATGAGCAGACATCAGTAAATAAGTCTCAGGGTGAATGCAATCATTGCAGCTTATGTAATAAGCTGGCCCGATTGGTACAGGCAGTCAAATTACATATCTCAAATTTCTATCACACTTTGTTCCAGAAAGGATTTAGGGCCTCTTTTATGAAAAACATGTTTAAGATTCATTATTTGAAAAAAAAATAGCATGATCTCATTACGAGTTCACACACAAGAACACCAAACTGGCTATTGATGCCCGTATGAGTGATTAACCTTAGTACTAGTCCACGGTAATTTTTACATTAAAAATTTTTCTACAACATGCACGTTCTATTTAAAGTCAAGGAAGTTTTGTGTGGGGGGGTCGGGGCAGGCCTTTCCCTCCCCTCTTCCTATATATTCAAAAACTTTCATAAGTGAGCTAAGAAAGACACAACTATTGTGGTACTGAGCCCAGAGGGAAATTCCTCCTTGTTCCTCTACATAAGATAAACAGTGTCCTTCAGATCCCTGGAAAAAATCCAGTGGCAGGTCCTAAAATCCACTTCTGCGGGTAGGCCATGAGAAAACCCCGCACACACCCCCCATTCGATCTACATGCATGGCTCATTCTCCGCTGGCCTGGGATTAATGTTGGAGTAGCTTGAAGAAAAGGCGGAGTATATACATACACGGGTGTCCACCACCGCTGTGTCTGAGTCAGTCTCCTTTTGTGCTTTCATTCTCCTCTTGCTGTGTCTTCACCTCTAATCTTCGTTTTATGTTATTGTGTATCATTTGTGGTTATATAAGCTGTCCCAAGTGTGTTTTTTAAAACTTTTTTATTTTTATTTTTCAATTACAGCTTCCTTTCAGTATTATTTTCTGTTGGTTTCAGGTGTACAGCACAGCGGTTAGACAGTCATATCCTTTACATAGTGTTCCCTCCCTCAACATTTCCAGTACCGACTGGGGACCAGGCAGTTACTACAGTATTAGACTGTGTTCCCTATGCTGTACTTCGCACCCCCGTGGCTGTTCTGTAACTGCCAATTTGTACTTCTTCACTTGATCTTAGCCAAAAGGCCGAGAAGCGATCGATCTGTACTTCCGAATCGCCTCACCATCTTCACCCAGTGCCCCGACACCCCTCCCCTTTGACAACCAGCAGTCTGCTCTGTGTCTGTGAGGCTGTTTTCAACCAAGTGCTTGTTGTAAGGAGGTGAGTTACTGCCCGAGGAGATCTGTTACATTAACCCTCCTGGGGCCTATCTTCTGTCCTACTCTAGAAGCACGGAGCGACACAGTCCAACAATCCTTAAAGCAGGGGAGCGGAGCAACATCCTCCCCTTAAAGTGAGAGCCTGACAAGGGCTGGCGGCTAATCAGAGGGCAGAGGGGATGCATTCAAGAAGTCTCACCTCTGCCCCTTGCAGACAAAAGGCTAGTCAAGGCCCAGAGTTCTCCTTCCGAGAGACAGGCAGACTGAGTCGACATGCAACTTAGATCGCAGATGCTAAGCAAAATAAATATTGAGGGGATGCTAACAAAGGTTGGGGTTTCAGAAAAGTTTATAACTTGCTTGGAATGATCAGTCTGAGGGTCAGCAATGAAACTGCGGTATCCACACATGAGCCTGCTCACCTTCTACTGTTGGGGGGCGAGGGGAGCGGGGTCCACCTTTTCCAAAAACAGTATGAAATCAATACGCGAGTTTTAAGAAGAAGGTGGGGCAAAACACACTAGTATATAACTCCTCCACCCAATTTAAAACTGTCGTGCAGTTCTGTATTAATTCATGCACATTCCCCAGTAGCTGGTGACTACTGTCCAGAGTCAAAGGCTAAGGGAAAACTAACAAAAGCCATAGACCATTTCATTTATTCCCCACATGGACTGAAAATCACTAAATACTATTTTTAATTATAAAGTTTTATGCCAAGAGATCTCATATGTTGACCAAACTAATAATAATAATAATAACAAAAGACATCCAAAGTACTGAGGAATCGCCTTTTAAGTGAAACATTCACTGCAGGGGGCTCCCAAGTTAACTTAATTAATGAAGACAGGGGGCAGAGGCCTTACGGGACATGCAGAGAACAGGAGGAAGATAAGAAAACCCACCAGAGTCAAAGCCATGGGCAGAGGCTGACCAGGGCCGGTCAGAACTGAGTGCTGCTTTAAGGTTAAGGAAGGTTGGGAAGGCAGCTTAGATTTACTGGACCCTGCCACCTGAGTTATCTGTCAGTCAAAATGTAGTAATTAAAGTGGAATATAGGGAATTTTATGAAAGGTCAGACAACTCTCCCATTAGCTGCTTCTTTCAGATTCTGGCCCCTACACAGGTAAACGGAAACTGGAATCTTAACAGATCCGTAGGGCTGGGCGAACATGGCTGGCGGGCAGGCGAGGGCCACGAGGCAGCCTGCAGGTGTTCACTGGGACAGTCAGAGTCCCAGCCCGGCTTCCTCAAAACTAGAGCCGAACTCACACCTCCTCCCTTCTCCCAGCTCACATCAAGCACAGTATGTCTTGAGTCAGGATGAAGAGATGCCTGTTTTTTTCCTGGAGATACTCAAATGTTCATTCATTAAAGTCAATTTCACATTTTTTAAAAAGGGTAATACTTTTATTCCTTTTCTGCCATAGTCTACCCATCAGTCTATGACCACAGAAAAATAAAAAATATTTTTGAAAAACAATTTCTAAATTGTGTCCCTGTCATGCACAAGTGGCCTTTGTCATGCACTTTGTGTCCCTGTCATGCACAAGTGGCCTCAAGAGTGTTCCTAAACCACAAAAAAGGTCTTCAACAGCGTCGCTGGTCACTTGCTTTATTCAGACATTGAGTGTGCCTCCCCCCCACAAGGCCAGAGGCCTGCTCCGCACCTTTCACTCTTCACAGTAAAGGAAAACCCCATCGTGCCCCACGTCCACCAAGGAAGAACCCTCAGGACGTCTTTCATTTGCAGCAGACACGGCTGCTCGGCCAATCGGCAATGCCTCATCCACAAAATGCCAATTTCCTACCTCTACCCTTTTTCTCCATTTCTTAAGGATCCACAAGACTTAAAGTCAGCTCATTTTAAGAGCAATCTAGTGACCCACACATTAATTCATATCTAAAACTAGAAATAAATAGTGAGGCTCTTACACGAGGATGACTCTTGCCACTTAACTCGGCTGTCCGATGGCCGGCCCAGGCCGTGGGTGTGGTGAAGATTATGAGGTGCTGTGGAACAGCCAGGTCCTCCCTCCCCCTCCCCAGAATCTCTTCAAGGCTCAGACAATTCAGTAGTACAGAAAGGCCTCAGCTTGGACACGCCTTAGGCGAAGAGCATAGGCAGTGATCAACAATCCAAGATGCTGGTTACTACTCGGCTTTCGGAAAACGGAGACAGAGCCTGGGTGGCTCAACCGGAATGGGAGCACGCACCTGGAGGCTTAATTAAAATAACTCGGACACCACATGTGGACTCCTCACCAGGAGCTACTTTGGAGAGAAGCTGTGAGAGGCTGGACCGGCCCTGAAACTGCGGCTAAGGCGGGGTCTTTGCCCTCCTGAATGTAAAAGTGCAGACGCGCCTACAAGGCGGAGTTGTCGGTCACAGCTCCCTTCCAACTCAAGCAAGAAGCAGGGAAACAGAAAGATTTCTAGGTTAACGTGGGGAACAGAAGACAACCCAAAGTCAATTTAAACAGGCCTCACGAAAGAGAAAACTCTGTTGGGAGGTCTCGTCCGAAAAAGGACAAGACGGGCAAGAGAGGAACAGGGCAGTGGTCTTTGGATTCAGGAGGTCCATCGAGATGCTCTGAGACTCTCGGCTGAGTGAGTCCGGCCTCCACCCACCACCAGCTGCGCCAGGCACGCCCCACAGCAGTGTCCACAAGCCCACTTTCCTCCTTACAACTCTTAACTAAGGTGAGCACCCGACACACACCCTCTACCACCCTGTCGAGCTGAGTGGGAGCTTCACTGACGCCCGCCCCATCCGCTCTCGGCTCTCAGGTCTCTGGCGGCGGGGCCTGGGTCTTTACCGCCAGGCACGATTCAGGAGTTTCACCTGTGCCAGCCTCTTAGTGATCATGGTGGCAAAGACCAGGCCAAAGAGGACACTGCTGATTAACACGTAGTCATAGTCATCCTTCAGGACATCGAACTGTTTGGACGGGTAGACTCGAGTTTGGTATATGTCCAGGCCGTAGGCCACAACCTGGAAGGCAGAGGGAATGAGAACCGGGTAAGAAAGGCAGTCAGTGATCCGCACAACCCCAGACTCGGGCAGGACAGGAAATGGAATCCTCAGCTGTTTCCCCAAGGGTGAAACCGAGAGCGGCTGTCCCACAGGGCGGCTTTGGAGACGGCGCCCAGGGTGGCTGTGGGCTCTACTCACCAAACAAGTGGACTCCAGGCCTGAGGGAGCAGTGTAGATGCCTCGCATTCGAGAAACGGTCTGGTTGTAGTTGATGAACCGCTCTGCGTGTATCTGTACATCTGGAGAATACGGGATTAGGTTCTCCTCCCTGCAAAACATCAGCCGGGACCGGCGTCACGCTGCTGTAAGGGGATCCCTTGGCTGCCCTTTCGGAGGCCTGGGAGCTCTCCGGGCCTCATATCTAGCCTCAGATCTTCCTTCAAAGCACTAGGCAGTTAAAAATTTAGCAACTAAATATTAGGAAGGCTGCAAGAAAGCAAGCTGCGTGTAGACTTAGACTGTGATCTGGATTCCTACCTGGTTCTGAATCTAAAAACAAGTAGCATAGAAACAACCACTAATTTACATCAGGGAAGGAAAGTCAGGGCCATTTTAAAAGCAAAATGCTGAGGCACTTGGTCAGTTCCTGGTCTTTCCTCCCCGGTACTTCTGCCTCCATCCTCCTGAAAACCCCACTATCACCCGTGTCTTTTCCCCAACTTTGTCCCCACCCCCCATCACTTTCGCTCTCATCCTCTCCCCACCCCCAAACCACCCTCCTCTCCCCTCTCCTCAGGTGCAAAGACGGATCTAATGTTGCATGCCCCAAGGGAAGAGAATTCGGGGTGGAGACAAGCAAATATGCAGAAATGATGGCTGGAATTACTGAAATTAACACCGAAAGTGACAGAAAGTGACAAGCGACTGCCCTCCCTAGTGACCCAGCCCCATTACCGTCTTGACCTCATTCCCCCGTCCCTACCACCAGCAGCCCCAGCCCATCAGCCTCCCAGCCTCCCTCTAACTCAGCAGGCATGACCTCAGGGCACTGGCCCCGGCTCTTCCCTCTGCCCGACACGCTACCCTCCTGGGGTCTCCACACGGCCAGCGCCCTCGCCCTCCCCCTCCAGGGTGCGGATCAGCAGTCACTGTTCCACAGGGGTTCTCCCAGGCCAGCCCCTCAACGTTTAACACCCCCCCACCCCTTCACAGTCCCCGTCCTCCGTTTGCTCTTCTCCCTCCTCAGCACTTATGAGTAGCCGACAGGTCATCTCACTTATTGTCCATCTCTCCAACCAGAACGTAAACCCCACAAGGGCAGCCGCACTTGTCAGGCTTGGTCACGGCTACCTCCCAGCCCCCCGCACGGCGGGACAGGGCGCACCAGACTGAGGACTGCACTTGGTCAGTAGGTGAAGTTCCTGAAGGTCAGAGCCTGTACACAGCCCACAGGCGGCTCACCTGCTCTGTTCCGTGGGGATCTCAGGACGGCGGGGGTCCAGCAAGGCCTTAGGCAGGGAAAGGATCGCTCCAGAAGGCAGTCCAACTGCGCAGGAAGGAGTAAATGTTCGTACTGGCCAGCCCCGGGCCACTCAGAAATATGTCCTTCTCACGGAACTTTAGAGTTTGAGTTTGAAATGACAACTAAAGGACCGAGGCCCCTGAAATGGCCAGAAGGACAACGTAACAATGTACGCGGTCTGAGTGAGGCCCCAGACCCTGCAGAAAGGCGGGCCCTAGACCCTGCCGGCTGCTGCCGTCGCACAGGCCACCGGCTGGAATGGGGTCAGGGCACCACCTTCGGAGGGAGGTGACACTGCAGAACTGAAGTAGTTCATCAGAAATGAGAATCCAAAGGTGTCACCTCGATGGTGGCAAAGCCAGATTAAGGACCTTCTCTGCTGAACTAAAGCCCTCCTCTCCCTCCTTGCGAAGCTTCCCTCGAGGCGGTCACTCAGCTCTGCCCTGCAGTGCGGCTGCCTGGGGCCCAGTCACCCCAGAGACCCTCCCCGGCCACTCACTGAGCAGGTGTCGGCTGGTGATGCCCCGCTCGGTGATGGTGGCCTCCATGGCGCTGATGGCGGAGGGGAAGATGTAGGACTGCTGCAGGACCTGGGGCAGCTGGGGCCGGTCCAGGGAGCTGAAGGCCGTGGCGTTGTACTGCTCGGTGCCCTCGTAGAGCTCCAGCACGGTGAACTCGTTGCGCCGGGCCTTGGTGTTCCAGTACTGGTACTGCGAGGGGAGAGGGGCCGGTGTGGGCTCGGCTGGGCCCGTGCACAGGGGACTCCCAGAAGGCACCTTTCCAATGAGCTACACGCCCAGAAAGGAAGGAAACTACCCAGCACCCCAGTTTCCTCCTTGCTAACAAGTTAATGAGTGTTCGGAGCAGTCTTCTCCAGGCTACCCAAAGAGCCCATCAGAAACAAAGATTCTTGGAGGTCGGAATAAGTACAGCTGACGTTTGGGTGCTCACTATGTGCCAGGCACTGGTGTAAGCTTGACTGGAGGTGACTGTTACTATCCCTATTTCACAAAGGAAGCAGCACAGAAGAGCATAAACAACTAGTTCGAGTCATGGTTTCATGGTCAGAAAATGGAAGAGCTGGGATCAAACCCAGGCAGTCTGCCTCCTGGGCCTCGCCCTTAACCCGCACTCCATGCTTCCATGGGTGGTTGGGATCCTATGAAAACACAGAGTAGCGACTGGCTTCCAGAACAAGGGGCGATGTGAGGGTTTAGACACGGGGAGACCAGCCCGAGTTCATCTGCGAGGCCTTACCACCACCCAGTTCTCGGAGTGCACCGTGTGCACGGGGCCCTTGGCCTTCCTCTGCACGGAGGAGTGGGTGATGCGCCCAGTGACTCCGTCCACCAGGAAGATGCCGATGAAGGTGCGCTCGTGGTGTCCATCTGTGCTCTCGGTCACCACGGCCAGCAGGTTGGGGTTCAGGCTCTGGGGAGGAGGAGACAAAAGCTCCCTCAGAGCCACAGAGGCACACCAGGGGCTCCACTGCACTGTGAGCCCCGGGCAGTGAGGCGGACGTGGAGCTCCCTGGCCTGGCAGAGGAATCAGGTTTTCTGGTTGGAAGAGCCCTCTGTTCAGAGCTGGTTCGGTGGCGTCTGCTGGGGGCTGGGGGCCATGCCATGTGCTTTGCCTGCCTCAGTTCACTGGATCCGTAAACAATCTTGCAAAGCAGCTGCTGTTTACCTTTCATAGGTGAAATGTCTGCAAGTAGTTAAGCATCTTGCTCAAGTCACAGGCAGAGCAAATGGTAACTCAACAGATACAATCCAGGCCTGCCCACCCGCTGCCCTAGGGACGCTGCTCCAGCACCGCTGCTGCTCCAGCAGCGTCTCCCTATCACCGAATCAATGGCGAGTCTCAGTTCTCACCTTACCTGACCTACCAGTACCATGTGACACGGGATCGCTCCTATCTCGGAACACTCTCTCCACCTGGCGTCCGGGACATCCGCTCCCTGGTTTTCTTTCTGCCTCACTGGCCACCCCTTCCCAGTCTCCTCTGCGGTTCCTCCTCGTCTCTCGGATGTCTGGGACGGTTCCATCTGTACTCGCTCATGGTGACCTCAGCCAATCTCACGGCTTTCGTACCATCCGTGGGTGCTGGCAATGCCCAACTCGGAGCCACACCTCTCCCTGAACGCCAGACCTGACTGACAGAGTGCCAGCTCAGTATCTCTGCTTGGATGTCTCGTCTCGAACCTGGCATGCCCCCAACTGAACCCCTGTGCTACCCCTGCTAGCACCCGCTCCCCGCCTCAGGGTTCCCCGTGCGTGTCTTGGGCCCGGAACCTCCGAGCCATCCGACCCCTTTCCCTCTCACACACATCCTGCCCATCGGCATGAGCTGCTGGCTCCGGCTCAGAAGCATCCAGAATCAGATCCTTTGTCACCACCCCGACCAACCCAGGTTAAGCCACCACCATCTTGACTGGATTGTTACAACAGCCCGACTGTCTGCCTGCTCCCCCGCTGGCCGTGGCAGGCGAGTCAACACAGCCGGCCAAGTGGGCCCGTTCAGCCTGTCATCTCGGTCCCTCCTCAGCTCGCAGCCTCCCAGGGGCTCTTCGTCTCGCTCAGAAGGCCAGAGGGATGGCCTGTGGTCTGGTCCTGTCACCTCCTGGCCTGGGCGACCTGGACGTTCCTCCTCAAAGACCCCGCTCTAGCCATATTAGCCTCCTTGCTGTTTCTAGAATGTTCCAGCCATGCTGTGGCTTTCCTGCCCAGAAGGCACCTCCCAGGTTTCCTGACTCACCACCTCACTCCGAGTCTCACTCAGGGGTCACTTCCTTGAGGAGACCCTCCCTAACCCCAGTTTAAATGCATCCCCTCCCACCCCATCCCCTCTTCTCAGGCTCATGTTTTTCTATAGAACTGCTCACCCTCTAAATACTATCTGATTCACCTACTTTTTGTCTTTATTAGCCTCTTCTAAATACAGTGCAAGCCTCATGAGGACAGGAAATGTTGTCTATTGTTCCCTGACTATCCCGGTGTCTAAAGCATACCTGGCACCCACCTGGCAGTCAAAACACAAAACAACAACAACAAAAACCCTTTGCCTTTGTGGTGTCCCTTCCAAAGGCCCATAACCACGGCGCAGACAAAGCAAAACCCCTGACCAGTACTCTTCAAAACCATCAAGGCCGTGAAAAACACAGTAAGACCGAAAACCTGTCAAAGACCAGAGCAAGCCAAACAGGCCTGACAACCGGGTGCAGCGTGGGGCCCTGGACTGGATGCTGGGGCAGAGAAGGACATTAATGGAAATGCTGGCGAACCCCAACACCGGAGGTCAGTTAACAGTGTTTCACCGATGTCAGTGTCTCATCCGGACGGAGGCACGTGGCCCTCGGGAAAACCAGAGAAGGGCCACGTGGGGTTCTATGTACTATCTTTGCGGCTTTTCTGTAAATCTAAAATTAAGCCAAAAATAAAAAAGTTAATGTAAAAGAAGACTAACCTAAAAATTTGCAAAATGAATATGAACCCAAAGAGCCCTACCTCTGTTAGGCTCATATATAAAAACACAAGTATTCCAGCATACTTTACCTTGTACAAATGAAACTACATAGTAAGTTTTCTTCTAGTTCAAATAAATTGTACTTTAGAACAGGTACTATGTTGGCAACCCGAAGGAGTGAAACTGGCCGTGGCCACATGGAAGGCACCCAGCAACAAAGATTCCAAGCTGACAGCACTAACAATAATGCTCACTGTGTGGGAGACACTGTCCTGCTCACGTTCCACGTGACCTGTGACCGCTGATCGTCAAAGTCACCCCATCACACAGACACTGCCGCCACCATTTACCAGTGAACACACACGTTCGGGAAGCCTGAGCAAAGCACCCACGATGAACAGTCAGTCTGTGGCAGAGCCGCGTCTGGTCCTGGACAGTCCGACCGGAGGCCTGCGCACCACTGCGCACCCGGCAAAGCGACTCCCAGTGGGTTTCCTGGGTCTCTCACATCCTCTCCTCAACTCGGCCTTTGCTGCGTTACTCGGAGGGTCTGATCAGTGTCCATTACTGCAATGACTACGTTCTCTCATGGGGCGGTTTGCAGCCCACAGGTCACCTCTCCGCCTCCTGCCCTTTCCTACTGACTCGAGGGCTGGGTCAGAGATGGTGTTTCTGATGGGGCGACTACGGGGTAAGCACAGAAAGTTCTATCAGTAGTAGCACTAATAATAACAACAGCTAACATCTGCTGGGTAGTGGCCACATGCCAGGCACCCCAGCTACACACGAGTCTCTCACGTGATCTCACAACCACCCCAGCAGAAGGGCACAGAGGGCCCATTTCACAGACGTTAAGTTAGGCTGAAAGGGACTGATGGACTCACTCAAGGTCGTGCACCTGCCGAATTCTAGAGCCAGATTTCCAGCCCTTGCCCTTCGCTCCATGCCGACAGCCTCGCCGTACCTTGTAGAGCACGCTGCGGTCCCCCATCACACGGCCCTGGGAATGAACATGCTCGCTGCTGCGCTTCCCCTTCACCTTGACAATACGCTGCACTTCTGGGGGAATGGTCAGCTCCCAGCTCAGTTCAGTGGTGAGATCCTAGAACAAAGGCAAACAGCCGGCGTCCGTGACCAGGAAGAGGCCGCGGCCAGATGCACCTGCCAGTCATTATGTGCAGCCTTGATGCCAGAAGGACCCAGTTTGTGGAGAGGTTTTAGAACTGTTTGATTTAATACGATATGAAAGCCACTAAGAAAAGGATTATTCAACAGCATCCCACTGTTTATCTGAGTAAAAAATACCTACAGAAAATTGACCACTTCTTACTAAAATCGAAGAATTCATATACTGGGCCAGCAGCCAGGGACCTCAAAACATTATGGGGAATGTTCCGTGTAGTCACAGGAAACCAATGAGCAAAGTTTTACGGTTAAATGTTATTCTAGCAGCAGGGGAAGAGGAGCCAGGGTCTCCCGGGCGCCAGTGCCATTCTGCTTCCTGATCTGGTGGCTATGCACACAAGTGCTCCTTTTTTGAACATTTCTGGACTTTTCCTTAATATCATGCACTGATAAACTTGGGTTTAACAAAACAACGAGGTAGAAAGAAGTCGAATTCCCTATTAATAAAAACAGTCCAGTCTGCCTCACTAAGAGCAGATGCCCGCACCACACAGACGTGCGTCGCGCAGCTGCTCCGGCGGTGCAGGGAGCACACAGGGGCACAGAGGGGACCTGCCCGGCCACCTCCCAGAAGGCGTTCCCTCTGGGGGAGCAGCCGGGAACTGTGCTGAAAAAGGGGCTGTTCACACTTTGCTTGTGGCTTCCGCATCAGTTTAACCTCTTACAATGAAAAGCACCACCAGAAGGTAAGACCGCCAGTCAACTCCCTCAGAGGTCGGAGAGGGCAGACGCCGTCGGCCAATCCCCACTCCGCCTCCTTTGTCTGCCCTTGGCCAGCGCTTACTCCGATCGCATCCTCAGGACCCCAGCATCCTCAGGACCCCACCGATGTGTGCCCCCCACACTGCAGTCTGTTCTCCCGTACCCACAAAGAACTGTCGCTTTCAGAGTCTCCTTTCTATCAACTTGGAAGGGCAAGTTTCTTTCACCCACAGAAGTAAAGAATGTTATTTCCTGGGTAGACCATTCCTGGTTGTTTATGTGAACGGCTGGCTGTTACGAAACTTCAGAGCATCACTTTACATGATTTACACGCATCCCCTCCCTGACTCCTCCCAGCCCTGTGAGGTAGGTGCTGTTACCACCTGACTTCACAGACAAGAAAACGGGGCTAGAGAGGTCGTATGCCCAAGGTGACACAGTGAGTGAGGTTTCCTGCACAGGCATCTGGGTGCAAGCTCACAGCACCCCCCAAAGGCCCCAAGGGGCAGGACGCAGGGCCATCCTGCGAGTACACGCCAGCCACTCCTCGGTGTGGCCCTGCTAGCGAGCCTGGGGGCAGGCCCTCAGTGCACCACAGGCTGAACTTCACAGCAGGCTGCCTCGCTGTGGGCGAGGGCTGGACGCAAATGCCAAGGCCAGAGCAAATCAATCCCATTTCTGGAAATAAAATTCAAAGTGCACATCCTGTAAAGCGTGAGTTTATAACATCTCTTCATATAGAAAGTACTTTCATTCAACTCCTACTCCCACCTGGCCACCTTCCCCCAAACGGAGGACAAAGCCCCTTCTTTTTGCCATGGAAAGGAATGCAGAACGAAAACTCCACGCAGCAGAGGCTCTGTCTGTCGTTCCCTGCTCCTTCCACAACGCCGAGAACCATGCCTGCCACGAAGCAGCTGCTCGATAAACTGTAAGCCCCGGCCAGGGAGCTCAGCTGGGGAGAGCACTGGCCGGTGCACCAAGGCTGTGGTTCCACCCACGGTCAGGGCACAGACAAGACCAACCAGTGAACATGTGAGTGGAAGGACAAATCGATGTTTTCCTCTCTTAAAAAAATCACTAAAAAGGGCCCTGGCTGGTATAGCTCAGTGGATTGAGTGAGGGCCTGTGAACCAAAGGATCGCAGTTTGACTCCCAGTCAGGGCACACGCCTGGGTTGCGGGCTAGTTCCCAGCAGGGGACGCAAGAGAGGCCACCATACATTGATATTTCTCTCCCTCTCTCCTTCCCTTCCCCTCTAAAGATAAATAAATAAAATCTTTTTAAAAATATCACTAAAAAGAATTGAACTATGATAAAATAATTTTAAAGAATAAAATGAAAAATAAAATCACTAAGAAGAAAGTGACTTTGATCAGACACCGGACTCTGCTGACCTGAATTTACAGCAGAGTTCGGGAGCACCTCCCTCCTGCAGCGGTGCCGGCAGGACGCCCGCTCCCTACCTTCCGAAGTCGGTATCCGCACAGCCGTCCCTGCTCTGCGTCCACCAAGTAAAAGAAGATGGAAGGGGCCAGCTCGTGGAGCTGTCGCAAGACGTTCCGAGTGGCTGGGAAAGCTGTGACCTTGAACGCCCCAGAGAGCCCAAGAAAAGTTAAAGAAAAAGGTCAGGAGTCTCCAAGCAGTTTCTCTATACTCATTACTATTTCCCCTCAACTTCAGCTGTAATCAAATGGGAAATCTTAAAAAGATGGAGCCCGCTGATTACGCTCAGATTAGGGCTTCCGTTTAGTCCCATTAAGACCCTGCGTTCTCACAAGCGCAGCAAGAGCCATCAGGCCGCTTACAGACGCCCTCCAGCCCAATCGTGCGCCGACTGCCGGCAGCTCCCATCTCTGGCCCCCTGGCTGCTGTCTGACCAGCCCTCCCCACGCGCGGTTCTGCCGGACCGTCCCCCAGCCCCACTGAAGGCGCCGCACCTTGTACTCGTCATCTATCAACAGCAGCACCTTGGCGTAGTCTTGATCCATGATGGGGAGAAGCAGCGACTGCAGGACGGGGCGCTTCAGCACTGGGGGGGCCACCTGACTCCACTTCCCAAAAATGGGATTGAAAACGTAGAGGGAACTCATTCCTGTCTCCTGAAACGGACAAACCATCAGATTCCACCAACACGAAAAGAATGCACGTGGGAGGCGTAAATCTGGAAAGCTGGGGCTTCAGCTCGAATGTGCTAGATTGGTTCGTCTTCATCCTTGTTGTCAAAAACAGTCCTGGCCGCCCTGGCTGGTGTGGCTCAGTGGACTGAGTGCTGGCCTGTGAGCCGAAAGGTCACGCTGCATCGATGGCCCGTCAGGACACAGGCCTGGTTTGCGGGCCAGGTCCCTGGCTGGGGGCATTCGAGAGGCAACCAACTGATGTTTCTCTCTCACATCTATGTTTCTGTCCCTCTCTTTCTCCCTCCCTTTCCATCTCTCTGAAAATGAATAAAGTCTTAAAAATAAACAAACTATTCTTAACTGAAGGTGAAGGTCTCCTAGGCTAATGTGTAAAAAGAAAATAAAATTCCCTTTGACTCCAAAGCTAACCAAGAACCGGACTGGCTAAGGGGCAAATAAAATGGTCAAGAACCAGTTCGGCAACCCCAGGACAGCCACTCCAGCACAATGCTTCCCAACCCCCTTCCACCAGTACCAGAACAAACCCACAGAAGTCCGTCTAATTCCGGGAGGCAGACACAAAAATAGCTTCATGTCCTGCTCTCTCTCATCCAGAGATGAGCAACAGCCCCTCAGCTGCCCACAGCTGCCTGTTTGGGACGAAGGCGAGCTGGCTACCACAGACCCGGTCACAGCCACTTTCCAGTCCATTCCACGTCAGTCCGCAAGGCCCCCCACTCTGCAAGGACTGGAAGAGACAGAGCCCTGGACCCTGAACACAGATCTGTAACTGTCACACAGCTCGAAAGGCCCAGGAAGACTGTAAGTCACAAACGCCAAAGCGCCACCATACATACCACTTAGGTTCAAACCAGAGGCGGCCTCACCTTATCCTTTACCAGGAGGGTGCACTGCGGGGGGTGGGGGAAGTGGGCAGTGGTTCTCTGCACCATCAGTTTAAAGGAGGAGTCTGGCTTGACACTGGGGAGGTACTGTTTCCACAGTATGGTGCCGGAGCTGCTTTCAATGCCAAAAAGCTGAAAGATAAACAAATACCCAGTTAACTACCAGAAAGACAAAAGGAACAGCTAATTCTCCCCATGAAAATTAGAGCCCATGCTCTCTCCCCTGCCCACCCCTCCCCGAGCCTCAGAGTGTGGTGTGCGTGGCCCGGCCCCTCTCACCTTGCCCGAGGCCGTCACCATCACCATCATCTTCTGGAGGTTGAACTCATCTCTGGCCAGGGTGTCAATGTTGATCTCATTCTTTATCTGACTCCGGGGCTTCCGAGCATCGTAAAACATTTTCCAGAGGTGGGAAGTCCATGCCTGCAGCAGGATAAGCTGGGACGAGAGTCGCTTCAGGAACATCCCCAGTAAGCCATCTGGTGTCAAGGAAAAGGTAACCGGCTGAGGCTCCTTCCCCACCAGACCCAGCGTTTGCAGCGAGGGGACACTTGCTTCTCCTGACAAGGAGTCCCCTTCTCCCCTGTGGCTGCCTGCCCCAGGCTGCACGCCCCAGGGGCAGCCCTGTGTTGGATGCTAACGGTCTCAGATGCAGGTACAGCCAGGCGGGAACTTCCAAACCTACTTACCTGGCCCACAATGCTTCCCCTGCCTGCAATCTCCTAATAGGAGACTAAGAGCTCAGGGGTCAGCCATGCAGGATGCAGTCATGCTGTGAGTATCTCCACCAAAGCCCCGCATCCAGCCTGGCCAGGGGAGGGCTCTGGGTGCCACGAACCCAGAAGGGGGAGGGACGTGGGATGCAGGGGTGCATATGTGTGCACAACCTTGAATGTGTGCTTCCCTTTCCCACCGCCTCACTCCTACTCTGTCAACTGTTGAACCTGCACCAACAGACCTACCTGCACCCAAGGCCCAGGGCTCTCATTCCCCCTGCCCCTGACTCCGTATGTGGCACCACAGCCTCTAACCTCCTTCACAGGGCGGACTGGGTTGTAAAGGGCGTGGCCTCTGGAGTCTGCCAGACCCGGATTAAAACCCCAACTCCACTGCTTACTAAGTCGGTGACCTTGGGGAATATACTTGACCTTCTGGCCTCTGGTTCCTCATCTGGGAAAAGGCATGGAACCCACTGACCAGGCTGCTGCCACTGACCCCGCATGGGGCACACGCAGGGGCCCCAGGGCGCCTGCTCAGTGCACACTGAAGGGGGTGCCCTTTCCCGTGTAACTGTCCTTCAGTTCAAGGAGGAGACGTGAGAGGCAACAGCACAGGTCACGGCCACAGCAGTCCACACACACACGTCTACACTTTGTTGATGCAAGTCAGGGAAAACAACGAATTAACCAAAGCGAGTCATGTGTGCAGGCAACGAGCAACGGGCAGCAGGAAGCAGATTTTACCTTGAATCGCTGGATCCAGGCAGCAAAAATAAACAGTAAAGCTGAATTAATCCTCGGCTTAAGAAAGTCGGCAATGCCTGCCCGGGTGCCTGGCCCAGAGCAGGCCCCTGGTGAGCAGCGCTGGCCGGGGCGATGAAGGGATGGGGAGGCGGGGGTGAGTCACAGCAGGGCACTCGGTCCACCCTGGGGCCGGCCACAGTAACGGGGGGCAACCCAGTCGTGTCCCTCTAGAAGGGCGGGGCTGTCGCTTTGCGGACAACAGGTGTGTGGTGCCTGGCAAATTTAGGCGGTCCAACAGTGGTCACTATTTCTGGAGTACATTAAGTTTCTTTTCCTTGGGGCCCTTCTCTAAAGGGAGTCACGGGTGACACCTTTCAGACATAAACCTAACGGCCGTGGGGCACTGCAGGTGGCCTCGGACCTGGTTCAGAACAGACAGGCGGACGGGCTCACGGCCCCACCCCGCCAGCCAGGGAGCCATGAGACAGCATCACCTGCGGTCCCCCTGACAGACCTGTCCCCACAGCACCCCTCCCGCAGCTCTGCAGTCCCAAGCTCCAGGGCTCATACCTGCCTTCTTGCCAAATTCTCCTTCCAGCTCAGCCTGCGCCCCCGTCAGGGGGAGGTCCACCATCTCCAGGCACACCACCTCTGCTAGAGACTCCTCCCGGGTCCACAATACCACCTTCCCTGCTGGAGGAACCACAGTCACCAAGCTGCCCGCCCCCACCCCCAGAGACCCTTCCTGGGGACTCAGGGACTTCTTGCAGCTCTTGTGTGAAAAATGAGAAATGACAGAGCAAGGTGCTAGACTCGACAGGTCAGGTGGGAAAGGTTCCATGTCCTGACCGAGAATGGTAGGGAGGAACTCAGAACGAGGAGATACATGCTCCGAAAAAAACATCAGGGTCCATGCCGCGGGAATCTTCTCCAGAAGTCTGCGCGCCACCCCAGGAGTCTCACCGGAACCCCCGCACAGGCCCAAAACGAGTGGGTTAAGTGAGTCCGCTCACCCAGCTGCTGCAGGAAGAGGAGCAGGTGGTCCTCTGTCTGCACCAAGGCCCGGTAGCCCACGGAGTCATCCTTCTTCAAGAACACCTGGATGTACAGCTGTGAGGCAAAGGGTCAAGTCCACTGCCGTCAGCAAGAATCCAAGTGCCTCTTAGAGTACCGGACCCCGAGACTCAAAGCCTCGGGAGGGGTCGGTGGGCCAGGCACGCAAGCTTCGACGTCTAAACGATACAGCGATTACACAGACTCCAACAGGACAACACGCACTCCTGGGAGACAGCGCACTGGTGCTGGGCTTGGGCTCAGACCTTCCCGGGAGGAAGCCTGAGTACTTCTCGGGCACCGCGTCCTGTACCATGTACCAATCACACCCCAGGCAGCGAGCAGGAGGCCAAGTTTCTAAGTTCCCACGTTAGAATCAAAAGAGCCGCAGCAGAGATGGGCTGGGGACACAACTAAACGTGCTCAAAGGCAGCGCCAGGCAGTCATGGGGACCGCCCACGGCAGGGCTGGAGACCCTTCTCACTAGCTCGGTGACCCAGGGTGGGGTCTGGAATCTCTGTCACAATTCCCTCGTTTGCAATAACCGCCTCATGAGACACTTGGGAGGTTAAATCAGTCAGTGCACACACGAAAAGCTTGGCACAGTGCCTGGCACAGTGATGACTTGGGAAGAATGGCACCTGCTTTTACCGTTATTCAGAGGGACTGATGACAGCCCAGTGGCTCAGGAAGAACCGGAACCCACGTCCAGATCTAATCCAGCCCCGTGGCTGTGCCCCAGCCCGGAGGAGAGGCAGCCGCCTGCTGAGACCCCCACAGGCCGCGGCCCGGAAGCAAAGGCTCCCCCTCACCCGCTCGGGCCGAGTGCCGTTCTGCTCCAGGCTGAAGGTGATGGTGGTGTCAAGCAGCCGCCGACCTGTCTCCACCAAGTAGAGGTTGATGGTGTAGGTCTGGTTGAAGCAAGCCAGCGAGTCCTAGGGGAGCAGGCAGCACAGGTCAACTACAGGGATCCCCCAAAGCAGAGTCCCCAGAGGAAGTCCAAGAAAAGGGGGAGGAAGTCCCAGAGAAGGACCCAGGCCAGGAAGAAGAAATACACACAAAAGAAAATCCAAGAGAAGAGAAAGCTAAGTCCTAAGGCAGAAATAAGATACAGGAGTAAACAAACAGAATCACAACCGCTGTACTTGTCCAGAGGAAGCCAGTCCAGGGTAGCAGGGACTTTGCAAAGAGGCAGACCGTAAGCAGAGAAATGAGAACCCCTTCGGGAAAGCTCCGGGGAAGGGCCGCAGCAGGAGCCCACGCTCCAGCCAGGGCCCGCGCTGCGCTCCAGTGCAGAGGCACAGGCTGGAACTCAACTCCACCAGTCGGGACCCCAAGAGAAACGGGGAAATTAGGCCCAGAGGAGAAAGTTGTTAAGAACAGATTTTAGAGATTCTACTTCCTAATTTTCCAACTAAAAAACAGCAAGAGAAATGTCATTTACACAACTCGGGAAACCCCATTTGAGTCAGGATATGCCAGGGGACCTGCTCGTGCCCGGGGTGCACCCCCCACTTCACCGGGTGACCGCCTGTGCCCCCAGGTCTGGCACACGCCCGACGCCACACCCTACCTGTGCACTAGACCTCTCCGAAAAGCTCCGCGCAGGCCCGTCGTCAGAAGTGCCAGGTTTCTGATGGGAAAAGAGAAGGACGGAAGGAGAAAACGGAGCCCAAGGGTCACTTCCTTGTCCCCGAGATGAAGCTTCCACCTCTGCCTCCTCAGCACTCGGGGAAGGCAAATCTCCGCTCCTCACTCCTGCCCACGAGGCCCACATAACCCTTAATCGACCCTGATGAGAGCAGCGCTGTCACAGTAGGGCCCCACTCCTGGGGACCAAGGGGGCGCACGGAAGGCTCTGTGGACGAAGTGAGAACTCAGTCCTGAACAGCCCCTTGCCCCCTGGGTTCAGAGTGGCCAGGAGAGAGAATGCCCCCCGACTTTGGCTCCCTGGGCTCCTGGCGAGGATGAGGAAGGAGCCCCGGTACTGACTGACGCTCTCAACACTCACCACGTCGTTGCGACAGGTCATGACTGCAGCCACGGTCTTCTCCCCCGTGGTGGCGAAGCTCACAAGGGCAGTCTGGGGGAAGCAGGGCATCAGTTCCTAAATGGGGCCTTTACCAGCCAGCAGCCTTCCCGAGGGTCACCTCTACAGGGACGCCCCTCGGCCCTGAGGTGGAAGTACTCCCAACTTTGGAACAACATGGCCAGGGCACGGTAGAGCAGAGGAAGGGCCCAGGTGCACCCACAGCTGACCACAGGCCTGTCCCCTGCCTCCCACAGAGGCACAGGTCAACCCTCAACCCCACGCTGCTCTTGGTGTCTGTGGGAGGCTCTACTGAACACCCCCACTGTCCTGTGGGCTCAGAAGAGAGTGCCAGTTTCACTCTAAAAACCCTTCATATCTCTTAGAAGGAAAAGTCTCCCATTTCTGCTCTAAGGCCAACCCGTCTCAAGCCACCAATGGAAAGACGTCTTCTCTCTTGAGCAAACGCGTCCAGCCTCAAAGGCAGGGACTCCTAGCATCTACATCTTGGCCCTGTCCTCCTGAATCCTAGCAGACCACGCAGCCTGCGGGTACCTGTGGGAAGTTCTTGAGGAGGCTCAGGACCCCGTGGTGGTAGTGCAGCAGGGCATAGTGGCTTGGGGACAACTGCAGGAAGAACTGGGCCCGAGAAGGATCCACTGGGTTGGGCTGCGTGGGCAGGACCCGGGGTTGAAAGCCACTTGCAAATTCTAAGTCGAGAGACTGGGAGGCAAGAGGAGGAGGGTCAGGCCTACAGCCAAGGAGTCAGTGTTCCACCCCAGGTGTGCATGCTCTGCCCCACTTTGCTGACGAGAGGAACTGGGCCATGGCAAGCAGCACCAGAAGCTCCCGTTCTGATTCTCCAAAGAGAAGAGTGGCCCACTTCGCCTTTCATCAGTTCGGCCAGAGGCCTGGCCTTCTCTCAACAGCTGCTGACTCTCGGAAAGGAAGCAGTGACGCTGGGAGAAAGACCTTTCTAAGCAGCGAAGGCCATGCCTCGGGCCAGGGCAAGCAGCGCTGCTCACTCACCTGCAGTGGGACCTGCCTCAACTCCCACTCTGTCTCCAGAGCCAAGGTTTGGAGGGAGCGTGAGCTTGGGTCAGGGCACACCAGGACAGCCTCATCCACCACACCACAGGCTCCGGTGAGACTCTGTAGCCAGGGAGTTGAAACCCTGACCTACGGGAAAGACGGCAGAACAGGAGGATTTTTATGCTTCCCTTTCAGCTCATCCGCAACGTCACCCAGATCCACTAGGGGGCCTAAGCTTCAGGGTTGGTTCCAAAGGAGTTCTGTCCCCCACCCAGCCTCCCAAACGCTCCAAAGCCAAAGAAAAATCACAATTTTCTTTCTGGTTACCAGAAAAACATACCACATTATTTTTAACACCTGACATTTCGGATAAACATTTATCTACTGTACGTGTCCTATGTGCTTTCTCTATCATTACTTTACAACGTTATCCTGCGAGATACCTACACATGCGACTTTTTTTCGCCAGCCCGGGAGAGCGCTACGTGTGAGTGCAAGGGCTTCGAATGAACACTTGGGGAGCACCTGGGATCTCTCTTCCTCACATGTCATCAACTTGGCTCAAATACACTCATAAAAAGCCAAGTAAATAAATAAATACTCGATGAGAAGGCAGCCTCCAAGCGACCAGAGTCAGGGACCTTAACGGGCTTTTGCGCCGACCCAGCCAAGTTCCCTGGCCCTCGTGCAGGGAAGGGCTCTGCCTGTCCCCTCCTCGATCCCCGGCTCCTCGAGACGACACACGACCCTACCTGCTGCACAATCTCTCCATCTTCCACGTTGAACTTAACGACGTTCACGTGGCTGAAGGGAAGGATGCCGAGGGCCCACACCGCCCCGGAGCCGTAGGAATACACCATCTGGTAGTGGATGCTGTCACTGAGGCAGGGAGGAGACAGCAGGGGCACGGGCTTGAACCCGAGGACGGGTCCTCGGCCAGATGTCACGAACTATCAGTCCCCAGCGAGTTTCGTTGGGCTCACAGTTACTCCTTTTTATTATTTCAATTAGTTGTCCACAATTGAAACAGACATTTTACATGTAAAGACCAGATTCCTCACTTTTTTAAAAAGATATTCTGCCCCAGCTAGTGTGGGTGGGCCAGTTGGTTGGACGTCATCCTGGAAACCAAAAGGTCACCAGTTCGATTCCCAGTCAGGGCATGTGCCTGGGTTACAAGTTTGGTCCCTTGGGGCCCACACAAAAAAACAACCAGTGTTTCTCTCTCACATCGGTGTCTCTCACCCTTTCTTTCTCCCTTCTCCTCTCTCTAAAATAAAAAACAAAAAATAAAGTGTTCAAAAAGTGAGCTGTTGCAACACCAGGTAACACTGCACCCTCCAGGGCAGTGTTTTCATCTGGCTGCCACAAGACCTCCTACAGTAACTGACTACTTAGTCAGGGGCACTGACCTCTTTTCCTTTAGACTGTCAAATTAAAAAACGATAACAGCCGATACAACAACAGCCATCCGACGTGAATGGATCAAAATCATACCTATTTTTGTTTGTCAAACCGACAAAAAATATGTTTTACAGTTTGCTGCAGAGTATGTGTGCCATGAGATGAAAGAGTTGAAAATCACTGCTATAAGGTACTTTTCAACTGGGTAAGGCTGCCCCCTTGAGGTAGGCCAGGCACACTACAGCTCTCAAGAATCCCCACTGAGCCTGCTTTGCTCCTAGTGGCTGGCTACCTATGCACTTGGGCCTGTAGGAATTTGACTTTTGGGTCCCTGCCTTAGGTGGTCTAAGTAGATCCTTTCTTTTCATCCCTCCCTCCTGTTCCTTCTCAGCTTTAATTCTTTCCACTACCAGAACCTCTGGAAACCATCTGAAATCCCCCTAAGCTCCTACCCTGGGCCTTGAGTTGTTACGATTCTTCACATGAAAGGCTGTCTGACTTGACCTGGAAGTCGAAGAGCCAGAAGCAGTATGACCATGAGCGAGAGAGCCACTCCCCTGGCTTGACTGGCTCTGGTGTCCAGCTTGAGAGCTTTCTCCTCACTGCACTGGAAAGGCAGGGGCCACGCGCCTTTGAGCCCAGGCCCAGACCAGCGAGCCCAGCACAGCATTCGCGAGCGACACCCACACAAGGTAGGGCTGGGCCGGAGCAGGGGCTCCAACCCTGAAGGAGGAAGAGGGACCTGCAAAGAGCAAGACCGGGTAGCCGTCCCCTGGTGGGAAGGTGGCCTTACCTTTCGGGAAGATGTTCCACCCACTTCAGATGCCCGCTGGAGAGGTGATGCAAGGCGAGCGTCGTCCTCTTCAGCACCGCAACGAACCTCGTGGACTCCTGCAGGCCCGCCAGCCCCAGCGCCTGGAAACTGAGCACAGGCACAGGGGGACAATGCTCTCACCTCCAGAGCCTCGCACTGGAGCAGACAGGCCAGAACGCTAGCCCTGTAGCTGGTTCGGCGAGAGAACGGGCTGGGGGGTCCAACACGGCTGCCTCCAGTGAGCGGACCCGGAGACAGCACTTGCACCACCGCCGTCTGCTTCCCTCACGCCCCCTGAACCTCCTGACGATCACGCCCTCCTTCCGCTGGGCCTCACAGCAACCAGGCCAGCCCTCCACCACGGCACCCATCGGGCAGAGCTGTCGTTATTGGGCCGCAGGCCTGCCCCCCTCAACTGACTAGGAGTTCCTTGGTAACAAAATGTCCCACGTTCACAGGCGGGTCCCCACTGCCTGAGGGCTCCCCAAGTGTTTACGGAATAAGTGACTATTGGGTGTAGAAGCTAATGCAAATGACCATTTAAACAACCTTAGCAAAGATGTAAAGCACTGAAAGTGTTATACTATGTTGTATCTGAAACACTGCAAAGTTCTCAAGTCAAGGTGAGATGAGGAAAGACAGTCAAGTGCAACAAGCACTATGCCCAGTTCAGAGCTCTGCATCTGACAGGTGCTCAGTGAGTGCCGGCTGAGTAAGCATGTGTTCCAACACCTCAAAAACACCAAACTGGACTGCCAAGATGGAGGCGTAGGTGGGAACACTGTACCTTCTTGCACAACCAAGTCTAAAAACCACAAAGTTTTAGCAACAATAAACGCAGCCAAGCCACAAAAAATTGAACAATACAGAGTCTAACAACAACTAACCATTCAGCTAGACCAGTAAGAGGGGCGGAGCCAGCAGTGGAGCAGGTCAGGCAAAAAAGATCCCCCGATCCAGGCGCACAGGCAGCCAAGGGCAAATCCCAGGTGTGGGGTAGCGAAAGGCGGACCCAGTGAAGGCACAAGGTACAGGCTGACCACGGTCACACATGTGCGCGCAGATAAACCAGCTAAGGGGCAAGCAATGAGTCAGACCGGGCAGGCCCCAGTGGCGGGAAGGAGCAGAGGGGACCACCTATTGCTCCCTCTTTGACCCCGCCCCCACATACAGCATCACAAACCAGCAACCCAGGGGGCCCCGCCCTGGTGAACAACTAAGGCTCCGCCCCTCATACGTAACAGGTGCAAACAGATCAAAACATAGCTCAAGAAGAACTCAGAGCCCCAGAGCCAATAAATCTAAGTGAACAAGAAATTGCCAACCTATCAGAGGCACAGTTCAAAACACTGGTGATCAGGATGCTTACAGAACTAGTTGATTTTCGTCACAAAATGGAGGAACAAATAAAGGCTAAACTAACTGAAATGAAGGGAAATGCACAGGAAACCAATAGTGATGGAAAGGAAACGGACTCAAATCAAGGGAGTGGACCAGAAGGAAGGAAAAAATGACCAAACAGAAAAGTATGAAGAAACAAGAATTCAAAAAAATGAGGAGAGGCTTAGGAACCTCCAGGACATCTTTAAATGCTCCAACATCTGAATTATAGGGGTACCAGAAGGGGGAAAGGAACAGCCACCAGTGGAAAACTTATTTGAACAAATAATAAAGGAGAATTTCCCCAATCTGGCAAAGGAAACAGACTTCCAGGAAATCCAGGAAGCTCAGAGAGTCCCAAAGAAGTTGGACCCAAGAAGGAACATACCAAGGCACATCATCATTACATTAGCCAAGATTAAAATGAAGAGAGACTCATAGAAGCAGCAAGAGATAAGGGGACAGTCACCTACAAAGGAGTTCCCATCAGACTGTCAGCTGATTTCTCAAAAGAGACCTTAGAGGCAAGAAGGGGCTGGAAAGAAGTATTCCAAGTCATGAAATCCAAAGACCTACAACCAAGATTGCTCTATCCAGCAAAACTTTCATTTAGAATGGAAGGACAGATAAAGTGCTTCTCAGATAAGATCAAATTCAAGGAGTTCATCATCACCAAGCCATTATTTTATGAAATGTTAAAGGGACTTATCTAAGAAAAAGAAGATAAAAAAAGATGAACAGTGAAAGGACAACAAACTCACAGTTATTAACAACCACACCTAAAACAAAAGCAAACTAAGAGGACAGCCAGATCAGGATCGAACCATAGAAATGAAGATCACATGGAGGGTTAGCAACGGGGGAGTGGGAGAAGGAGAAGGGGGGAGAAGGTACAGAAAATAAGTACCATAGACCATAGATAGAAAATAGGGGGGAGGGTAAGAATAGTAGGGGAAATATGGAATCTAAAGAACTTGAGACACATGGTCATAAACTAAAGTGGGGGGGTGTGCAGGGTGGAGGGGAATGAAGGGAGGGGAATAGAACAATTGTAATGGCATAATCAATAAAATATATTTTTTAAAAAACCACCAAACTGCGTGTTTAACGCTCTCTGGCTCTGTAGTGGTCCCTGGAAAAAAGCCAAAAGGCCCGAGTTGCTGTCCACGCAGATCTGTGTGCAGCAAAGCTCTGAACCAAGCCCATGCAGCTGCTCCCCCCCTACCTGCCACTGTCCAAGGTAATCTCCCAGTTCAGGCCCCCGATGTTAGTCTCCCAGGAACGCATGATCCGGCCTCCGTTGGACACAGTGATTGCATCTGGAAGGGAAAAGACCATGGTGACATCACCTCCCAAAGTGGAGCTCTGTAGCCTCCTAGGCCTGTTAGCGGTGGCCTCACCTCCAACATGTGAGTACAAATAAGAGCCCTTCGTATGCCTGCTCTTTCCTGTTGGGAATACCCCTTCTCCTCTCCCTGCCAGACCCTGGGCAAAGAAGAAGCCAAGGAATGGAGGGAGGGAGCTGAAGCCATGATCGAAATAAAGCTGGACTCTGCTCACCCTGTCCATATAGTAGCATGGCGTCCACTGTCCCCTCCGCCGTACCCTTGTCAACATGGCGCCACACTGCGAGGCAAGAGAGTCAGATGTGAACAGAGGCATCCAAGAAGACGGGTAGGAGAGAGCAAAAGAGGTCTTTGCTTGCATAGCCAAGTCTCATTTTCTTTGGAGGGCAGGAAGGACCACAGATAATTGGCAACGAGCCACTCCCACTCAGTGGGGAACGAGGGGAGGAGGGGTTGAGAGGAGCTGCCGCTGCCCCAGCCTAAGAGCTCTGTACTTCCCGTCCCCACTACCACCCCATCAAGCACAGGAATGAACCATGACACAGTTAACAAAATCCATACAATTCACAAGAAAAAGAGTGATTATAAGTTACATATCCATGATTTTAGTGCTGAAAAACATCCATAAAACCAGTACAGGTAAGTGGGGAGGGGGCAACCCAAACCTTTAGTGTAAAATAGAGTAACATGTTTTTGTGGCAATATCTAATTTAAGAATACTGAGGACTTGAGCTGAGGGAATACACCACAAAGGCCAGTTATAGGAATATATTAAGTGATAAGACTGAAAAGAAAATTGTCCGAATCTAGTAAGAGATGCAATTTTTTGGCCAACTGGCCCCTAACTTGGGAACCAGCCTGGCAGACTTCGCAAGCTGCAGACCATGCTGGATTCCCTACGGTCAGCCGTGCCATCCCAAGCTAGCGGATCCACGCAATCCACTCACGGATATCCCCGGTCCGAGAATTTAATGCTGCGATCACATTCTTCTCCGTGGCCACGACCAACTTCTTGGATCCAGAGGAAAATTCCAAGGAGGCAAATTTGAGCTTCCCAACATATTGCTGCCTCCTACAGAAAAGAGAAATGTAAAGAAAAGGGCCAAAACCATCACCGCGCAGAGCACTTTGGAAAAAGACGTGATCACAGCTTATTGCCATCATACGGATATAGGAGAAATGTTTGTTAATGAGGAGATCCGACACAAAGCAAGATTTCTACACAATGTAGTCAGAAGCAAAGGCAACAAGAATGAGAAACAGATGAGAAATACAAGCCTTCCTTCTAAATGTAAGCACATATTTATCTCAAGATAAGTGACACTCAAAGGAGCACCTGGCCTGAGGCCCCTAGAACAAACATTACAGCTGTCTCTGCATTATTAAGAGTGGGTCTAGGCACCCCTACTACAGGCTAGGGAGAAGAGCCTATTGTCCATGAACATACAATCCAACCTTCCTTCTATCTTCACTGACCTCTGAACAAGAAATTAAGCAAATTTTCCAACACAACTCCATACACTGGGTCAGGCTTTGTTCTCCACAGCCTTTTCTAACCCTTGCTGTGTTCAAGATCCATTTGACCCATTGCTTATACTTTTTGGGGACTATTATCTCGACACTTTCAACACTCTGACCTAAGCATGAAGAGGACATAATCAGCTTTGTGCGGCAGACTATCAAGTACACAGGAGGCACCTGCACATTGCTGCTAATGAGTAAGTACTGAATTCTCTAGCAAGTTAATCGCACAGGATGCTGACACTGAATTCCTCGCCATGGTGTTGTTCAGTCACTTTTTTTTTTCAAAGAAGAAACTAAACTGGTAGTGGGAGACAGGCTTGTATTACATTTTACAGTTTCTACCAGTGCTTCCGCATACTTCAGTCTCGCGGTATTCGGGGAGCACTCTGACGTTTGTAGGGCAGTTATCACTCTCATTTTACAGATAATAAACCAAAGTCCACTGAAGTTAATGAATCACTGTCAGAGCTAGAATGTAACACTAAGACCTGACTCTAGATTTCATGCTCATTGTGGACATGTGAAATATACATAAAAGTATAAACAAGAAAATAAAAATGCCCCATATAACACCACCATAAACTTATTAATGTTTTTGGAGTATTCCCTTCTGTTTACTTTTCAACTTATAAAATGCATATACCTAGTATTCCGCTAAATTGGAACCATACTGTAATATGCCACATATGTGTGATACATATTATATCATGAGCACTTGCCTGACTCATTAAAAATGTGACTTAGGTTGAATTTGTCACACCTTCTTATATCAGACACTTACACAGCAGGTCGCTGTCTCATTGTAACAATTCCCAGTGGGGACTGAACTCTAGTTTCTATCAATTAGCCTACGGTAAAAATGCTTTTGATGTACGTCATTCTGTTTAAAATTGCTGAACCTATCGAGGAAGTTACGTGAGGACTTACTGCATATCTGCCTCATGGGCTCCTCCACCTCTCTGTTTCCATGGCATGGAGAACCACTGGCCCACTACAGCCACTCAACAAATGTGTGCGCTAATTTGCCTGATACAGATACAGATTTCACTGAGTTGGGCTCTGAAGGTTAAAATGTTCCCTGAATAGTAAAAATAATCAGTAACATTTACTGATTGCACTCAATGAGCCAGGCATTGTGCTAATTTACCGGAATTATCTCATCCATACTTACAACTACTATAGGAGGTAATGGAACAGTATTAGTAAACAATATTATAAATAAGGAAAACAGGGTACAGAGTGGTTAAGTCACTTTGCCAAGATCACACAACCCTTAAATGGCAAAACTGAGATTCAAACAAAAGCAGGCGGACACCAGGGCCTTAAAAAAGGAGGTGGGGGAAGGGAGATGAGTGAGTGAATGGCACCCGTTCTGAGACCAGAGCTGGGATGCCCTGGGAGGGAAGGGGAAGAGGGCTCAATTTAGGGCTTCTAATAACCCCCAAGGTCCTGTTCCCATGCCCAAGAGATGCCAATTAGAGGACCAATGAGAATTCATGAGGGCTGAAGGCCTCCGGCACGCAGATCAGAAACCTGACGTCGCAGAAATGCGACCTGACGAGGGAGAGACCAATGCTCTCTGACCAGAAGCCCAGGCATGCTTCAATGTCAGGCTGGCTTCAAGGGCTTGCTACCTGTGCGGTCACGTGGGAAGGGTAAAAGCGCCCCAACGTTTGGTTTAACGCTCTGCTGTCACCACCGTAAAGACATCGCAAATCCACCGTAAAACTTTACTTTAGGGCAAGGGTCCCGTATTTTCCTTTTGCACTGGGCCCTGCAAGTTATGTAGCCTATCGGACCTGCTGCACGGTAATCCTTCGCCCTTTAGTAGGCAGAAAACAGGTACTGGGAAAATAGCCACATATTTCCCGAAAGGGCCCCACTCGTACGCACCAATCAAACTTGCCCACTTGGTCTTCATAAACCGCACCCGCAGGGATAAGCAAGGCAGCCAAGAGACAGAATCGGAAAGCTACCGCAGCCGCCATGATGGGAGCCCGGGCCCCGCCCACCGCCGACCCGGCATGCACCGCGCCGCAGGCGCCATCTCCACAGAACCATAGAGTTGGGACCACACGCAAAGCCCTCGATGGGGTGCCCAGGATTCGGAGGTCCTCCGACATGCGAAAAGTAGCCCTGGAGACGTGGGGAATAGCGCTGGTGGATGCCGGGCCGAGAGAGGAGGGCCGCACAGCTGATTGGGTCAGGCACGTGCGAGGACAGCTCCCGAGGGCCGTCCCAGAGTCCTCCGCGCCGCTGGGGTCCTAGGAGACAACCCGGTCTTCCGCCGCATGTGGATACAGAGCGATGCCCAAATCCAAGCGCGACAAGAAAGGTGGGCGAAAAGGACATTGGGACGCAGGGGGTACCTCCGCCTTGTAGGTGCTGGCTGTGATGGGGCCGATGGGGCTTTGGGGACGTAAAATGGGACACCTAGACTTCCGCGGGGAGCTCTGCGTACTCGCTGCTAACAGGCAACGGGATGTTTAGTGCAGGAGGACCATCCCAGGGTACTGGAACCTCGATGGGGCAAGGGAGCGGAGACTGGTTGTCCAGCCTTTGAGTGTTCTTCCAAGGCCTGCTGGGCCGGGAAACAGCCTCTGAGTCCGCAGACCGCGCCTGATCTCGCCCTGGTCCACCTTTTCAGTCTCAGCCCAACTCCTTCAGCATTCCGTGCTGTCGCCATCCTGGCCGCAGCTCCTTTCCTCCAGCACAGGCTTACTCTCGTGTCTGGCCCTTTGCATTTGCAGTTCCTGTTGCTTGGCATGCTTACGATCCGATCTTCATATGGCTGGTTCTTTCACAGTTGGTTCATATTGGCGTCTCCTAAGAGAGCATTCCTGACTATGGTGGTGTCTATCTCACCTGGTCTGTTAAGTACTTCCTCTCAACTGACCTAAGAGAGGAGGATACAGCATTTACAACAACACAGGCGTGGAGCCTTCACTGAGCTGAACATTTTAGTTATGGGAAGTATATGGACCCCCTAATACCAAAACCTGAATAACTGGAGTCACATAGTGAAGAGTCCCACGGAGTAAAAATGAGAAAGAGAGGTGATGTTATTTTGTATAGTATGATCAGAGAAGATCTCTGTGATGAGGTGGCAAATGAGCAGAAAGGGGAAGGAAGTGAGCAACCCACGGAATTACCTGGATAACGGTGTTGTAGGGCAGGGGCCTGGGACAAGAGGCCAGTGTGGGTGGAGCAGGTGGGGGAGGGAGAGCCAGATTGGGCAGACTGGGCAGGAGTTTTAAGACCTTTGCAAGGAATTGCCTTTCACATCCTGGCGAAATGTGTAGTCACCTGAGAGCTTGAGCAGAGGAATTACATGGTTTAACTATTTAACAGACAACCCTAGTTGTCTCGTTGAGAATGGGCTGGGTAGGGTGGAGGCCAGGGTGGAAGCAGCAAGACCAGCAGTAATCCAGGAGGCGATGATGCTGGCTTGGTTCACGGTTGTAGCAGTGGAAGTGATGGAAAATGGGCCCTTGTGTTGTTTGTCCTCCAGTGCTTCCTTTGCCCCTGAACCTTGGGATTACCTCTCTGTATGTTTACCATGTGAAGAGGCACTAGGTTCCAGGCAGGATAAATAAGAGGTGGCCTCTTCCCGGGGCACCCTGGCCTTTGCACCTGATGTCCTGTTAAGTGTGTATGTGTTCTGCAGAGGGAGTCATGATGAGATCTGGCAGGCAGGTGTCAGACCCTTCTGGGTAAGGGGCCAGCTGTTTCACAGCATGGGTGCTTATCCCTCTCCAAAGTGGCACTGCTGTATCCACGAGTCCAGACAGCAAAAGATGTAGCAGAGGAGGGAAACGATGAGCCCCCAGACTCATTCATTTCATAGCAGAGGCCAACCATAGATGGTCTCTGTACACCATGGCCAAGGGCAGAAAGCGGCTTGCCGCAGCCAGCAGGCTAGGTCTGCCTGAAAGCACACAAAGAGCAGGAACAAACTCCACCCACACACCTCAGGACAGAATTCTAGATTGAACTGAGAGGAACAAGGGGATGTCTAGTTTGTCTGCATAACAGGAAACATGGCAAAGAATCTCCAGGGTTGGGAACGCTAGAGAGTAGGCACTGAGGACCCTGGGAATCACCACGCTGTCTCTCCTCTTACTGGCTCGATCCAGCTGAGCTCCCGAGGACAAGAAGAAAATGGGTCTCCAGGATATCTAGACTCTCATCATGTCTCCTTTTTCTCTTTCACGTTAGTTTCCTTAACCAAAACTGCTAAGAAAGGCTTGGAACTGAAACAGAACCTGATAGAAGAGGTAAGAGCTGCTTTTTTTCTCTTTTTTCAGATCTTGTGTTTGGTTTATAAAGGTAGGTAGAGGACTGTACATTATGGAAATAGACTGTTTAAAGGAAGGAGAAAGGAAAAGGATGCTGGTCCAGCCCTTCTTCCTCCAGGGACAGCACCGATGAAAACACCCATGGTGACAACTCGTGCCCTGTACGGGGCACGCTGCATGTGTATCATTCACTGTGTCCTTCATAGGAGGGGACATTATCACTGTTCTGCAATTGGGTAACTGAAGCTTCCGGAGATCTGTTAGTCTGCCTGATGTCAGAAAGCTGGGACTTAGGAGACGCGGGTAAAAGCACCAGCTCACCATTCACCCTGCTTCAGGCTGCGGGCTGGGCGAGGCAGGTGTCTCCTCCTGCACAAAGGTTCTGTTTCCCTGAGACCACCTCATCATGGCTGCAGCCATCAACGTGCGTAGGGCAGGGTTGCTGAGCCACCGCTCCTTAAGAGTTATAATGAGGCTTCATATGTTTCATTTAGTAGATGCCTTCCTGGCCTAGCTAAGTATTTCTAGTTTGTCAACAGCTAACAAATAAAGAGCAGTGGCCACAGGTAAGTCAGAAACCATGGCTCAGGTTCTCCTGTACTTTGAGGTCACACCTGCTTTGCTCCAGGGAAATCCCTGTACGAAGTGATCCCGGCGTAGAGGCCTCCGGCTCTAAACTTAAAGTTTTCAGCGACCTGGAGCATATTCTTTTCCCATCTGAGGCCAGGGTGTTGCCCAGCCTGGTGCCCCTTGAACTTCAGAGCCCTGTGAATTGTTCCACAGCTACGGAAATGTGTGGACACGTACAAGTACCTTTTCATCTTCTCTGTGGCCAACATGAGGAACAGCAAGTTGAAGGACATCCGGAACGCCTGGAAGCACAGCCGGTGAGCAGGCGGCGGGGAGGGGGCAGGCGGCGGGGAGGGCTACCCTGCTGTCAGTCAGACAGTTATCTGCCCCCCAGGTACCTGAGGAGCAGCTATTGACCCTCAGGTACCTGGGTCACACAGATGGCACCTTAACAAGGACAGAGTGCTGTGCCCCCACTGAAGGACACTTTTGAACTGGAATAGCTGGTCTTGTACTGAGCTCCTTGCTGGTTGCTCAGGGAATGTTTTGGCATCAATCCCTCCTGGAGACGGGGCTCCCTTACCTCTGGGTCTAGTGTTTTTAGGAACACCCCTGTCAGTTTTAGGAAGTCAGGATGTACTTCCAGACAGGGCTCTGGGATGCACCAGTGTCCTGACAGCAACGTGGCAAGTACCTGTTCTGGGGCTGGAATTGTGACAGTGCAGATGACCATTCTGGTCATCCACGGCTGCACTGGTGCTGGTTCAGACCATTGAGCAGCCCCTTCCATACATTCCGGTGGGGAAGGCGGATTATCACTCAACACCCACTGTGGGCTGGTAGACAAAATATTCTAGCTCAGGTCCATAGGCAGGAAAATAGCAAAGGGGACCCTGGGCCGGAGACAGTGGGCAGGGCTCCCTGGAAGAAGTAGGAGCCTCTGACCACACCTTCAGCCCCAAAGCCGGACTAGAGCTGGTTTGCACTTAACCGAAGGGAGGGCTGGGCAGGCCGTGGCCTTCACAGACCCCTCTGCTCTCTGCAGGATGTTCTTCGGCAAAAACAAAGTAATGATGGTGGCCTTGGGTCGAAGCCCATCAGATGAGTACAAAGACAACCTGCACCAGGTGAGTCTCTGGCCCTCACTGGGAGGGGCCAAGGCGACTGCTCTTCTGCTATAGTTATAAGACACACACACACTCTGGCCGGATGGCCTGGGGGTGGGAGCAAGGTCTGGCTTAGAGCTCTGGTTCTCCTGTAACCTCCAGACCCAGCGAGTAAACACACATCCCCCAGCTGTGACCCTAAAACTGCCTCCAGATGTTGCCAAATGGGGGCAGGGGGCTAAACATTGTGCCCAGTTGAAAACCACTGCTCTAATGGGACCAGACCAACCCACTTTTGATCTTCAGGTCAGCAAGAAGTTGAGGGGTGAGGTTGGTCTCCTTTTCACCAATCGCACTAAGGAGGAAGTGAACGAGTGAGTGTTTTCGGGAGCGGTGGGGAGGGGGGTTGGTGAAAACTCTGGGGGAGGAACAACCTGGAGACTTTGTACAGTGGAGACGTTAGGTAAGAACTAGTCCTCGGAACCCCTGACTGAGCCTTTATTCCCAGCATGGTGTTCCAAGCTGGCTGCCAGCAACAGCTGAGATGAACAGGGCGGTGGGGGAGGCAGGACCCGGGGGGCCTGGCTTCAGGTGGGCCAGTCAGGAACCTCCCCTTCAACCACTGCTGGTCCCCCAAGGTGGTTCACGAAGTACACGGAGATGGACTACGCCCGCGCTGGAAACAAAGCAACTTTCACTGTGAACCTCGACCCAGGGCCCCTGGAGCAGTTCCCCCACTCCATGGAGCCGCAGCTGAGGCAGCTGGGGCTGCCCACTGCCCTCAAGAGAGGTATGGCGAGGTCGCATTGTAGTGGCCAAGGGCACAGGCTCCCAAACCCGACAGGCCGCCCTCTCTCCCCTTTCTGACAAAGCAGGGGATTTCTGCTGGCTTCCGTTTTCTCGTGAGAAGGTGGAGCTGAGAGTGTCCCCCTCATGGGTGGGGTGAAGGCAGACAGTAACTTACAGCCAGGACACAGCACTAAGGGACAAGGTGGGGGGCTGCTGAGCACCGCTGATTAGCCCGTGCCCCAGTGAGTGCTGGAGTTGGGCCCACCAGGCTCCTCCCAGCTCTGGGCAGTGGGCACAAAGTCTACCAGAAGTGACTGTTTGCTTTCCCGCCTTCTCTGCAGGTGTGGTGACCCTGCTGTCTGACTACGAGGTGTGTAAGGAGGGTGACCTGCTGACCCCGGAGCAGGCCCGCATCCTGGTGAGTCACCAGGCCCCTCCCAGCAGTCTGCAGGCTGTGGCCAAAGGGGCCACAGAAGGATCACGCAGGCTCCTCCTGACCCTGAGTCCCTTTGTCTCTTGCAGAAGCTTTTCGGGTATGAGATGGCTGAGTTCAAGGTGACCGTCAAGTATATGTGGGATGCCCACTCTGGAAGGTTCCACCAGATGGGAGATGACCTTCCGGAGAGCGCACCAGCGTCAGAAGAATCAGAGGAGGACGACGATGATGACTCCTGAGGGACGGGCCCGGGACTGAGGGCTCCCAGCTGGCCTGGCACCATCCCGACCGAGAGGGCCTGCCCCGAGCTCCTCGGCAGCAGGGGTTTCGCTGGGGATGGAGACAAGGAAGGACACTGGGGACAGACGGTCTTCCTACAACAATAAAACTTCGTCTGCAGGCTGTCTCCCTGCAGATGGCCAAAGGGACTTTTCTCAGAAAAAAAGGCTTTTGGGTTTCACTTTTGTTTGGATTCCAAGGGTTCTTTGTTCACCTCATGAGTCAGCTTCCAAGCACTGGTTCCTGTGACCCCTGGGGACAGGGGGTCAGCCACCAGGGCTCCTCCTCACCCCCTCAGTGCCCTGGCATGTCCTGGGGACTTGCTGCAAAAAATCAGCGCCTGGCTGCCCTCCTTGCTCGACACACACCCCTCCCACAAACCAGAACTGAGTGTCGTGGGCGACCAGACCACCAGAGGTTTTAGCCAAGTGGAGAGGAAAGCCCTGCTGAAGCTGAGAGTTAGCAATGTGCCACAGGATTCTGGGAGTTCTTGCTCTTCCCAGGGTGACTAATGACAGGATTTTGCCCGAATTGTTCTATTTGTAAATATTTCAGCGAAGGCATTCCCAACTGAGAAAAGCAGCTTCGGGTTGTGTGTGTGGAAGGGCCACCCCCGCCCCGTCCCTCTCCCCACTCTGGAGAGGTCAGGCTGGGCTCAGGGCAGGCGCCTGAGGAGAGCCCCCCACTGCCCCCACCCTTCGAAGGGGAAGCCGTGCTCCAGCGCCCTTCTCAGCACCTTGGGTGGGGGGGAGGACAGGACAAGCTGCTGGCAGCAGAAGAAACAAGCCCACCAGGTTGGCTTCGGGCCTGGGCAACACCAGGTCAAGGGCCTGCTTTATTCCAACAAAGTCTAGCCTTCACACACGTGGAGTAGTACAAGAATATAGGAAACCGTCTGTGAACCGAGACGATGAGGAAAGAACAGGCTAATAGAGCAGCTTAAGGCCAGGGTGAGAAGTGAAGGTGACAGACGGGGGCACCCCCTGCCACTTCAAGTTGGGTCCAGGCCTAACGGAAGTAGTTGGGGCACTCGTGGGCGACCAGGTCCCAGCCCTGATCGAAGGCCTGCACGACAGCGGGCTCCAGGGGCCCCTCCTCCGTCGCCGACAGGTTCTGTTCCAGCTGCTCCAGGCTGGACATGCCCAGGATGACCGCGTCCCCGTGGGCACCCTGGAAGGGGAGACAGTGGCCACATGTCAATGCGCCCGTGCAGTCTCCAGCCCTGCCCCTGCTACGACCAGGGCTCAGGGGTCTGTTCCCACCCTGCGGTATGACAGAAAGAACTTCACCTGGCCTTCAGACAGCTCTGAAGCCCTGCCTCCCATCTCAGCAGCAGACAGACCCAAGTTCAGAGCCACCCAGCAGCCGGGTAAACCTGGGTGGGTTACATGACCTCTCTGGGCTTCAGACTTCCTATACTTTGCAAGGTGATTGTGAGCCATACAATTAAAAGTTTGTGAAGTGTCTGCTCCAGGCCTGGCCCTTAATAGGTGCTCAATAACAGGGACAGCAGGGGGAGGGCAACCCCACTGTGGACAGCCAGCCGCCAAGGATGGACAATGTTAACGGTTAAAGGTGCAGGTCTCGAGTGTCCGTGCCCCGTCACATGTAGCAGTGGGACTCTGGTCAAGTGAAGTGGCCTCCGAGTGGGTCTCCTCGTATAATATTGCGGATCCCACCGCACACAGCCAACGGTGTTTGTGGCAGGCCACTTAAGGGACTTCAGAGCAACAGGATATGCCCTGGCTGGTGTGGCTGAGTAGAGTGAGCAACGGCCTGCGGACCAAAATTTAGATTCCCAGTTGGCACAGGGTGGGTAGTGGGCCGGGTCCCCAGTTGGGGGCCTGCAAAAGGCTACTGATCAATGTTTCTCTCGTACATTGATGTTTCTCGTCTCTCTGTCCTTCCTTTCCCCTCTCTAAAAATAAATAAAACCTAAAAAAAAAAAAGATAACCACGCAAAAGAGCTGGGCCACGGAGAAATTTCAGAGGAAGGAGTAATCTCAGAAGTCACCAAATAACTATGTAGCCCTGTCCCTTCCTCCACGCCCCCTGCTACCCCACCAAAAAAAAGGGAAAACAGAAGCAGAGCCTCCCGGACGGGGCAGCCGGGTTACCTGGAGCTGCGAGTGGTGGTACATCCACCTTAGGGCGGCCGAGGCCGTGCTGGGGGCACTGGTGCCATAAGCAGCCTGCAGGGCCTTCTCCACCAGGGCAATGGCCTTGAAGTGGTGCTCCTTCCAGAAGCTGGGCAGGTGGGGGATGGGGGAGGGGGCACAGAAGTCAGCAGCATGGGGTGAGTCACGCTGGGGGCCACAGGCACAGAGCCAAGCAAGGCAGCTGCGCCCACCCCAAGCCCAGCCAAACAGCACGGAGGGGCCAGTGCCTGCTCCAGCAGTGGGTCTCTTGCTTTGTTAGGCAGCAGAACCACTCGGGATGCGGCTCCCTCACCAGACACCTCCGCGACGTCTTTGTTCCTAGAAGCCTGCCCTCTTTACCAATGGAACACAGGTAGCTAGCACAGGGGCAGGCTCCAGGCCTCCTGGACCTCAATCCAGGCCTCTTCCCTCCCAGCAGGTGATAAGCATGTCTCGGGGAACAGGTGTGACTTGGAAGACCTGGCATACGATTCAGGGATCCTTGTTTCTTCCCAGAGGTCCCAAGAAAACAAGAGAACCCACAGAGGGTTTGGCAATTCCTGCAGGAATCCAGAGACATGGGTCCAGCCTGCAAGGGAAGGCCTGGAGCCTCCAGGAGAGCAGCCTAGAACCTCTCCTTTCAGGTAACAGCCCCCGCCCCCTTCAGCCACCTACTGCAGACATCTCCAGCTCACCGATTCCGGTAGGTCTCAGCCCAGCTATTTCCAAAGAAGCGGCCCACAGGCTGTTTCCTGTCCTTGTCTTCATACTTGTACTTGCCGGTCAGCAGGCCCCCTGCGGGAAGGCTGCCCTCAGATCCCCTACACACACTGTTCCCAGAGGCTGTTCCGGACCAGGAGGATGGAGGACACTGCCCAGCCTCTTGTCAAACCCCTCCCTGCTTCCCAGGGCCGGGAGCGCCCACCCACCCCACGGGGGGGGGGGGGGCAGGGAGCTGTCCCTACAGCAGCCATACCAGCCAAAGGGTTGTAGGCGTAGAACCTCAGTCCAAAGTGCCTGAGGCAGGGGAGGAGCTCCGTCTCCACCTGCCGGGTGGTGGCGTTGTACATGCCCTGCAGGCAGAGGGCCAGCTGAGAGGGTGCACGTGCCAAGCGAAGGAACCCCAGCTGCCATCTTTTAAGCCTTTCAGTCAAAACCTGCCCAGGACTTCAGCGATAACCTCCCAGCTCACTAGAGGTGACGGGATGGGGAGACAGGGCTGGACCCCAGGAAGGGAAATTGGACTAGAGAGATCGCACAAATATCCGTAGGCGCCAGGCTGGACACTGGGTTTCCAAACACGAGTGAATCCAGCAAGGTCTCTGTCCCCAAGAGATGTCAGAGCTGAGTTAAAAACAGAGAAGAGACAGGTGACCACAATAAAGGCGGATTCCCTGACTAGAGCGGGTGCTCCCAAACACTGATGGTTGAAGACTAGGTCTGGAGATTAGGGGCCCCGCTGGGCTGCCAGGAAGGGCTTTCCAGAGCCACCTGAGTGAAACCTGAGCACCTCTACCAGGGAGAAGGGGAAGCAGAAGGGATGGGACCAAGGTGTTCACGCAGGCAGGGAGGGGAGCCAAGGCCAAGCGAGCAGGCACCTAGTGGCCAGGCTGAAGAGCACCCTGAGGGCACCCTGCAGGCTCTGAGCAGGAGAGTGGCTGCTGAGGAGGGGGCACAGGGCGGTCAGAGGGACCCCGCCCGCACCTGGTACACAGTGGGAAGGATCCAGCCGTTGCTCTTGCAGAGGGTACAGATCTCAGCCACCTCCCAGGCAGCATAGTTGGAGAGGCCGAGCTCCACGAACTTGCCCTGCGGGGGAGAGGCGGTGGTCAGAACCAACACAGTCCAGGAGACCGGGAAGGGGAGACCACAGTGAAGACCCTGAGAGTGGGGACTGTCCTCAGCTCTGCTCTCGGATAGGCCTGAAGCCTCCACTCTCCTGGGTAATGACAGGTCAACAAAAGGAACAGCAGTCCTCCTCCCGGAGCCCGGGGCAACACGCTCACCTCCTGGTGCAGCTGGTGGCAGGCACGCAGCGTTTCTTCCACGGGGGTGCCATGGTCAGGCGCGTGCAGGTAGAAGAGGTCCACCTGGGGGCACCGCAGGCGTTTCAGTGATGTCTCTAGCTGGGACCGGAGACTGTCAGGCTTCAGTGACTTCCCATCCCAGGGATTGGCCTTGGTGGCAATTTTCACTGTGGAGGGAGAATGCAGTGGTGAACAGATGTATTATAACCACTTATTAGCCATGTGACCCTGGCTAAAGTATTTAAGGTCTCCGAGCCTCAGTTCTATAATCTGTAAAATGGGGGTGGTGATAATGGCACTGTCCTCATTGGGAGATGATGAGGGTGAAGTACATGACATGACAACTAAGTCCTAGTGTTCACTGTCCCTGTAACTATTAGTGGTCATCAAACTGCTGGCTGTGCCGGGCCTGGCGCTAGAGGTGAGTACACAAAGACAAACCGAACATGCTCAATCTCTGCCCTCAAAGAGCTTGGAGTCTAGAAGGTGATGTTACAACATGGTAAAGGCAGCACAGACAAGCGCCAGTGCTAAAGAAGCCCAAAGAGGAGGGACTGTCAGGGAAGGCTTCCTGCAGGGTAACCCCCAGCTGAGACTCCAAGAATGAGTCACAGGGAACCAAAGGGTTGCCAGTTCGATTCCCAGTCAGGGCACATGCCCAGGCTGTGGGCCAGGCCCCCAAGAGGGGGCGCTGAGGAGGCAACCACACATTAATGTTTCTCTCTCTTTCTCCCTCCCTGCCTTCCCTTCTCTAAAAATAAATAAAATCTTAAAAAAAAAAAAAGAATGAGTCGTGGTCCACAAGGAGGTATGGGAAGCACATTCCAGAGGGCGGGGACGCAGGCAAAATCAAAGGGAAGGCAATACAGTATGTGAAGGGCCGTGCTGGGCAATTCTGAGTTATAAGAGCATAAACTCCAGGCGTGGCGCAACGGGACAAGAGAGAAGAGAAAGGGCACAGTCCTGATCCCGAAGGGTTTCCTCAGATGCCACCATTCAAATGTTTCAAGTGTGTTCTGCACCCCGGCTGCAGTTTCAAGGGAAAGACTCAAGGGGGCAGGCCTGGGAATACAAAGACGGGTCAAGAGTCGGGAAAGAGTCTGGTGTGAGAATCCAGGGGAGAGACGCATCTGCCTGAGCGTGAGTGCCGGTGGCAGAGGTCGGTGTGGGAGACGGGCAGGCTACTACATGAGTACAAGGCAATTACAGCGTCCCTTGCCCTTCCAGACTCACAGAAGCGTGCTCACCACACACCCACTGTAGAGCCACGATCCGCATGAGAACAAGACAGTGTTCTGACGTGCCGGCAGCGGGGAAACGCTCTACAGGACGCTGGCTGTCTGGATTGGTGGGTGAACGGAGTCTGCACTTTCTGTACTTGGCAAAGGCAAGTCAGCAGTTTAGAGGGAAGTCATCAGACCACTTCACATGAGGGAACAAGTCCCACGGCTTTTCGACCAGATGTTCCCCAGCATGCTTAGTGTGAACTCTGCCTGGAGCCTAACCTTTGGACTTTGGCCCAGTGAGTGCTAGGCCTCTAAGAAGGAAACAAGGCAGGGCTGGAGTAGAAAAAACAGTTCAGAAACAAAACCTTCACTATCAACACCATTTTTAGTTTCAGGTCATAGTTATTATGCTTAGTAATCAATGCATGTAAAAACTGTTTGTTGTTCCAGGGACTGAAGGCATGACCTACCCTGACTCCAGGAGACCATAAACGGTTCCACTCTTGGGCCCCAGGAGGACTGCGAGCAGTCAAGGCAGCATCTGAGCCACTGTGCTCCAGGGGGGAGACACCCACCGCCCAGGACAGGAATGAAAGACCACCGTCCAGGACTCAGATGAAAGAATGCTGCAGCTTTTATCTGATTAACTTTTTCCTTGAATTCCAAACCCCTTACCTACACTTTTCTTCTCCTTATATAAAGGATTGGTTGAACATGGAATTTAAGGCAGTCTGTTAGAGTACAAATCCGCCTCTTCTCTGATCACCAGACATCTGAATAGAGCGCCCATAAAGATTCAATCCCTGTCTCTGCTTATTGGGTCTGATAGATGACAGGGAGCCCGAACGCCGGCTTTTCTCGGTTCATTCCCATTCTGTTCCTCCAGGTCCACCGAGCTATGACCCAAAGGGGAAGCCCCACAAGGGCTGGGAAAGAAGAGCCTGGGGGTCGGGTGGAGTGGGGTGGGGGTGGCTCAGAAGAGAAGGCAAAGTATGGCAATAACAACAGTAGCTAAAGTTCACTGGTCCCCACTCTGTGCCAGACACTCTCCTAGGTACTTCTACTTCTAATGGCATCAGGCTAACAAGGGACAGTCCCTCCACACTCACACATCTACTGTTCAAGCCACACCTGCCTACTGGCCACCCTTCCACACATCAAGGAACTTAGCATTTCCAAGCCCAGTCTTTGCACAGCTGTGCCCCCAGCTCTAAAGTCCCCTTCTGTCATTCTCTGCCCAGCACACCACTACAGATCCTTTAAGGCCCAGCTCCAGCCTACTCTGAGCCTTCCCTAGTGTGTCTCCCTGTTCTGGTCGTCCTGCCCCCTCCCCTCCTTCCCCCAGAATGCTGCACCTTCTGGGTTCCCCAGTACTCATTGGCTCCAATCTTCCCCACTACTCTGAGCTCCCTGGGGGTGGGTTAGGGTTACTTTCCCTCTTATGACCCCACCACAAAGCCTGGCTTGGAGCTACCTTACCCCTGCTCTCACACCTCCATCTCTGCTCCCCAGCCCAGCCCGGCCTACTGCAGAGCTACAGCTTCCCCTGAGTACAAAGTCTGTTCAGTGGGCAGTCACGAAGAAAGAACAGGATGAGTAAAGGGTGCTGAGGGGGCGCATGGGCGGTGAGGGCAATGGGAGATGGCACAGGCAGAGAACCTGGGGCCTGGTTGTGGGCACCCTGCAGGACTGGAGGCGGGGTCGGCACAGCTCTGGAGATGAGTGCCACAGAGAACACCAAGAAAGCAACAAGAGTAGAAAGCTGAGGGCTAGACCAAGCTCGGGGTAAGACTTGGGAGTTCCCGAGTTGCAACCCCTAGGAAAGAGGTGAAGGTGACCAGGACAGCACTGTCCGTCTGTCGGGGCAAGATGTGCACCTGGCCTAAGGAGCTGGGGATTCAATTCACAGAGTTGCAAGTCGGCTAGTGGAGGAGACGAAGCAGCTGGTCCCCACCGCACGGCTGGGGTCCGTGCGGGTCAGAGTCCTGTCACGGCTGGGGTCGGGTCAGAGTCCTGCACGGTACCGGGGAAAGTCAGGGGCCCAAGGCGCGGGGGCTAGGCGTTACCTCTGCAGTCGCCGCCACCCAGCCCGAGCCCCAGGCCACCCAGGATGCTCTCGGACTGGCCGTCGCTGTACATGAAGGCCGTGTCCAGCTCGGTGTGGCCGCGCTCCAGAAAGGCGCGCACAGCCGCGGCACTGGCTGGCGAGTCCATCCGGCGCCCCATCTCCATGGTGCCCAGCACGGTGGCAGGCCGGGCCGAGGAGCCCGAGGCGGACGGCGGCGGCCGGGACATGGCGGCGGCGCTGGCTGAGCGAGCCTGCGGCGGCCCGAGGTTACGCACACAGCGAACCGCGGCGCCGGCTACTGCTAGAGATGCACCGCGAAGCATGAGGTCCGCGCCTGCGCGCTGGGGCGCCTGGGACCCCGCCCACCGCTGCGGGGTGGGGTGCGTGCACAGCGAGCTTGGCGTCCCTTCACTTACGCTTTACTGGCCTTTGTCTCCCCAGCAACCCTATGACGAGAAGCGACGCGAGAGGCGGAGCCACCAGTTTCAGGGGCGGGGCGGGGGCTCGGGTCAGCTGACCCAGCCAGTGGAGACAACCCAGAAACCCCGCCGGGCGGCGGATCTGGACGTGGTGAGTAGGTTTGAGGCTTGGAGCAAATACGAGGCTGCGGGTCGGAGCTTGGGGGCTTCCCTGCCACGTCTTCACAGCGCCCTCCCCAGCCCCTGGACCCTCCTGGGACTTGTTCTCTCCTTTGGAGCGCGAGATCCCAGGTGAGGATCTGATTGGGATTGGGCAGCCTTCGGGGGTCTCCTGTCCCCCTCTTCAGGGGCGACCAGGGTGGCCTCTCCGACTGGCCTGGCCAGGGTTTGGGGTCTGGGTCCCGGATTCTGACGACTTTGTTTTCGCCAGGGGAAGGGTCCTCGGGGCGACTGAGCGCTGACCCAGCGGGCTGCCCTGTCATTATCCCCGCCAAACAGGCGGCCAGCGCTGGGCTGAGTCACGAGTCTGCCCAGAACCTGGAGTCCTGGAGGGGGTGGTGCCCACAAGCCGGGACACGCCTCCCCTCCACGTAGTTCCCAGGTCTGCAAGGAGCCCAGATTGCATTCTCCCCAACTCATACCTAGGCTGGGTTTGAGAGTGCGAGGGTTGGCGCCAGTCTTGTCCATTCAACACCTACTGAAGGCTGCCGTGTGCCAGGGACCCTTGGTGGGGGGTGGGGGGTGGCTTGGGGGAGTGCTACAGCAGAATCAAAATAATGGTCATCCGTGGCTATTCCTACTGGGTGTTTAACCTGTGCCAGGCACCCTGCCAATGGTTTGGCCTAGATTATCTCTTTTATCTCTGAGGTCAGCCAAGGAGGAGACTTGCATTTCCCCCTGCTGTACAGATTGGACCTCTGAGGCTCCATCGCTTGCCCAAGAGTTCTGTACTTGCAGGCATCAGGCAGGTCAGCTCTGGAGTGCTTCCTCCTCAGCCTTAAGCCATCCGAGCTGGAGCTCCTAACTGGCTCTTTTTTTGTCTTTCTCCCTTCCCCCATTCCTCTCAACATTTTTACTGGGCAGCTGGTGTGTCTAAGCGCTCAGTTTACAATTAGGTTGAGGGGGAGGAGTGGGCTTAAAGAGCAGTGATCGCTGAGGATAAGCATTCTTCAGGTTTGTGCATGAGGGGGGAAGGGGAAGAGGTGACAGGTGTTGCCTGGCCAGGCTTTGTGAATCCTCTTCGAGAGGGCAATTTAGAACTTGGTCTTAGTATTTCTACCAGCCCCACCCTCCTTCCGAGAGAAGGACACTCCTGGGCTGGGGGAAGAGACGGCAAGTGCAGAAAGAGCCCAGAGGTGTGAGAATGACTATTGAAGACCTGGGCAAGGGACAGGAGATGAGGGGGGCGGTCAGTTATTGAAGTACCTTGGGGCTTTGCCTCAAGGAATGTGGACTTGACCTGATGGATGAAGGTCACTTGGCCAGCTTCAGAGGAAAGCATGTCCTTGACTCAGTTTATCACCTGGGAGGGGAGCGTGGGTGTGGCAGGAGATGCCTTTTCCAGCTTCTCCACCGCAGCCTTTCTCAAAGCACATGCATCAGAATCAGCTGGGGGAGCCTGGGATCCCCAGACCAGACATGCTGATCCTGAATTTTGAACGCGTGCCCTCCTTGATTCTAAGGCACCCCAGCTGTAGTCCCTGTCAAACCTACAAACACAAACTTCTGTTACAACTCTGGACATCCATTCACTCCGTGCTGTTTGACCAGATGGGCCCATTTCCGGAAGCCAGGCTTGGGGCCCAGGCTGGCTCCCCACCTGAGTCAGAATCTGGAGGTGACAGGCCATAGGCACAGCGGCGCTCGGAGGAAGACCCTTTCTGTTCAAGGGCTCAGGCGTGTCTCAGAGCACCCGGAGCTGCACAACAGCCTTGGGTGGAGGACCACCACCCTTCCTCACCGGGCACGTGCCCTCCTCATTTCTTCCCAACCTGGTGGAAAGGGGGAGTGAGGGAGTGGCCTCAGGGTTGCTGAGACATTGGGCTTGTTTCCACAAAATCGTCGGTGCCGTGCGTTGCCAGGCACTGGGCTAGAACTCTGTGTGCATTTCATCAGCACAGCCACCCCAGGAGTGAGGCTCATCTCATTTTATAAACAGGCTCAGACAGGTCACTCACTGGTCCTGAGCCGCTCAACCTTATCTGTAAAGTGGGGACAGTATTCCCTACTTCCCAGGGAAGTGACAAGGATGACCATGTACATTTGGGATCTATAAGAGGAAGGTGGGTGAGGCAGTCCAGTTCGGGGATGGCCGGGGAACAAGTGTAACTTGGCGTTGTGACGATGCGGTGACCCGAACTGTGTGTTAGCGTGGGGTGGCCTTTCAGGTGCCGCTGACAGGACAGCTGGTGTTTAGACGGTTGCAGTGTCAGCTGTGCTAAAGGCCACCAAGTTGGGTCACCAGGAGGCAGGAAGAGGCTTTCGGCCGTGCTTGCTGGGCCCTGGAGATGCTGCAGTGAACCAGGCAGACAGTGACCTGTGCGTGGCACCTCCCTCCCAGCTCGGGGCCCTCTGCCTGCTGGAGTCGCCTCAGGACTGAGAGCCCAGAGCTGCCTGGGAAAAGAAGCCGACTGGCTTCCTTTCCCTTCCTGACAGCCTCAGGCACTGTGACCTCAGTGCTAGTGTTCCCGTCAGGGTGACTGTGCATCAGGGTTGCTCTAACAACACCGCAGACTGAGCGGCTTATAAACACAGATATTTGGCGCCGGCAGATTCAGTGTCTGGTGAGGTCCACTGCCTAGTCATAGATGGCTGTCTTCTCACTGCGGCCTCGTAGGGCAAAGAAAGAAAAAGAGATGGAGAGGGAGAAAAAGCAAAAGTGAAAGCTCCCCCGGGTCTCCTAAGGGCCCTAACCCCACTCATGAGGGCTGCACCCTCCTGGCCGAGCACTTCCCGAAGGCCTCACTCTTAACACCATCACACGGGGGAGGAGGTTTCAAAAGAAGAATTTGGGGAAGACATCAGTGTTCAGTCTGCAGCTCTGGGCATTGCTTTAGGAAGATCCTGGGCCTCCCAACAGGACTAGGAACTGAAGGTAGCAGGAGGAGCCTCGTGTAGGCGTGGGATGGGGGTGGGGGGACCCCTCTGAGCAGCGAGAAAAGGGGAAGCGTGCCGGCTGGCTGCGCAAGAAGGTACACAGCCGTGCCAGACCACAGGAGGGTCTTGCTGTGCCCAGGGACAGGACTGAGGCGGGGCTGGTGGCTCTGAGCAGGGGTTTGCATCCTGGTCCTGGCTCTGACTCAGGGCTCTGCCACTTCCTGGCTGGATGGCCCTGGCAAGTCGCTTCCCTGGCTCCTCTACTTTATAGAGTTGATACGAGGACAAAATGCATAAGCGCACATGAGGCACTTAGCATGGAGCCTGCAGAGAGCTCAGTAACCGGGCTGTGAGGATCCTCGCCTGGCAGAGATGGCGTCACCTGGCTCCCCTTTCACTTCCGTTGCTAGGGTTGTCACACAGGCAGAGACTGTCCTAGTCACTGTGCGGGGTGCCAGGGTCCCGGGAGGGGCCTTCCCTGCCCGCCCCGTAGCCAGCCAGCCAGCCGTCTTCTGGCTTTGGCAGTGGTGAGAATGGGGCACTGGCTCCGGACGCCTTGCCAGCGGGCACCCCGCACAGGTGAACTTTGGGAAGAATATGGCTTGAATCCCAGCCACCTGTGCAGCCTCAGGATTCCCCTGGTCCTGGCTGCCACCTGCCTCATCTAACCTATTGCTGGAAAAAATGTCCAGGTTATCAGAGGTTTTTTTTTTTTTTGAGTCAAACTGATAACGTACGCCAGAGAGCAAGATCCCAAATGCTGCAGGGAATAGCAGTTTTGCAGCTGCTTTTATGCATTCAAGATTCAGGAGGGAACATAAGGAAGATTATGAGAGTGTGGGAGAGAGCCAAGTGGGGATCAGATTACAGACTTGCATGCTTGCTTGCTTTTTATTTTAAGATTTTATTTATTTAAGAGATAGGGGAAGGGAGGGAGAAGGAGAGGGAGAGAAACATTGACATGTGAGGGAAACATCAGTTGGTTGCTTTTCACACACCCCCAACTAGGAACCTTGCCCGCAACCCAAAGATGTGCACTGACTGGGAATCGAACCGGCAACTTTTTGGTTCACCGGCCGGCCCTCCATCCACTGAACCACACCAGCCAGGGCCTTATGTGCTTTCTTAAGGGTGGTTACATCTGGAGGGGTATTACTTCCAGCGTTTCAGTGGTGTTTGTACCCAGGTGGATAGCACTGGCTAAAAAACTTCCCTAAAGCAGTTATATGCCTGGGGCGTGACTACCCACCATGACCTGCCCAGTTAGGAATTTATGATCAGACCCTGGAAGGTTACTTTCCATAGGACCCCTTTTTCTTTTCTTTTTAAAAAGATTTTATTTATTTTCAGAGAAAGGGGAAGGGATGAAGAAAGAGAGGAGAGAAACATTGATGTGTGAGAGAAATGTCTGTTGGTTGCCTCTTGCACCCCCTCCACCCCGACTGGGGACCTGGCCTGCAACCCAGAGATGTGCCCCTACTGGGAATTGAACTGGCCACTTTTTGGTTCACAGGCATATGCTCAGCCCACTGAGCCACACCAGCCTGGGCAGAGCCCCTTTTTCATCCACAGCCCAATGTCAGGTGACAAGCCACTGCATGGGCCTGCTCTCAACAGACCCTCACAGTGTAATTTACAACAACAAAAGATGGGAAACGACCCGAACATGCGGTTATGACAAAAACGTGGCGTGTCTGCGGGCCCAGCTCTCCGCACGGTGTCTCTGAACTCATTGGGCCCGCACAGCTGTGTGAGGGAGGCAACGTCATTGCCCGGTTCCCAGAGGAGGAACCGAGGCACAGAGTCACGGCATCGGTGAGAGCTAAGGTGGGGTGTGGAGGCTCGTGTCCCTGACCACACAACCGAGCTCCCTGCACCTGTAGTCAGCGCGCATTTGCTCTGATCGCTTCACTCGAGGCTGACTGTGCCCTTTGGTCCGGGGGCGCGCTCACTGCCAGCTGATGAGGCCGGGGTTGGGCTTCGGTTGGGGGCACCGTGACTGGGACCCAGACCTCCCGAGGCTGAAGCCCCTCTCTTTTTGCTCCACAGAGCCCTCCCTCCCGCCCTCTGCAGCCATGGTCTGGAAGAAACTGGGCTCTGGCAATTTCTCCAGCTGCCCCAATGGCTCGCACCAGTGGATATGGGACGTGTTTGGTGAATGTGCCCAGGACGGCTGGGACGAGGCCAGCGTGGGCCTGGGCTTGATCTCCATTCTCTGCTTTGCAGCGTCCACCTTCCCGTAAGTATTGCCAGGGTGGCAGGACCAGGAAAGGTTTGCAGGGCTGGGGCAGGGGCCCCAGGGACCATAGGACAAGGGGCTGCCGTCTGGCCATGGGTCTCACCAGATTCAAGGCCAAGTGTGCTCCCTCCCCCACCCCTACTCACGGTCTTCCCACTTGCCCAGGAGGGCCCTGCCCTGAGCTCACCCTAGGCCCGGCCTTGTGCTGGGCCTGGCTGACCCCCAGATAATAATAATAACACTTGCTCCTGTTTTTTGAGTGCCCTGCTACGTACTCAGCTTAGGTCTAAGCACTTAACCTGTTTTTAGCTCATTTAATCTTCATAACAATCCAGCGAAACAGATACAGTTACTATCCCTATTTTACAAGGACACAAATCTGAAGCGGTTAAGTACATCGCTCCAGGTTGCACAGTGAGAGAGGCAACCGAGGGTGGGACGGCTGGGATGCGTCACACAGGGCCTCTGCGCCGTGGCAGTCTGGTGGTGGCCAAGCAGTGATCAGGAGACAGTGTGGCCGCTGCTGTCGTCAGGGACCAGAGACACGCTGCATGAAAGCCCATGGTCGGGGCCTGGGCTGCGGATGTGGACAGCGGTGAACTCTATCTGCCCTCAGCTGTGACCCAGGGAAGTCACTTTGCCACTCTGCACCTCGGTTTCTTCATCTGTAAAACAGGAACATTGGCCCCTAGCTTACAGGGTTACTCCAAGGGTGGCAGGAGGGAGTGTGTGTAACGCCTGTTCACCCTATTCACGTGAACGTGCCCGGCCCCGTAACTGGACAGAGTACGTGAGGGTCATCAGGGCCTTGAAGTAGAGAATTCTTCACTGCTGGGGCACCTGCTCTTCATCCTGAGGGTCAAAGATGAGGCGTTCATTGGGGGCTTGACCTTCTTTAAAAAACAGCTTTATTGAAACATAATTCATATCCCCTACGATTAGCGCATTTAATTGGGTAACTCACAGGGTTGTGTAACCATCACCACAATTAGTTTTGGAACGTTTTCCTCACTGTTAAAAGAAACTCGGAGAGGAGCGACTCACTCCTCCTTCCCCTGCACCTCCGGCCCCGCCCCCTCTCCCGCTGTGAATCTGCTCTGCCAGCTCACGAAGGCGGAGCCGTGCAGCAGGGGCCTCACGTGGCCAGCTTCCTTCATTTGACGTGATGTCTTAACAGTCCCTTCGTGTTTGAGCCTGGATCAGTACTTCTGTCCTTTTCATGTCCAACTACTATCCCATGGTGTGTGCTGGTGTTTGTCACCCGCCGGTGGACATACGGGTCCTTTCTACTTTGGGGCTGTTATGGGTCAAGGCCACTGTGTGCATTCACCAAGTTTCTGTTGGGACATACGTTTTCCTGCTCTCGGGAGGCACCTAAGGACTGGAGTTGCTGGCTCACTCGGTAACTCCACAACCGATCTCTTGAGGAGCTGCAGTTGTTGGTGAGAACCAGCCCCTCTGCAGCCTCGGGTTCACAGACAGACTGGAAACATGGCTGGCAGCCCCCAGAGGGCTGCGGAGGAAAAGGAAGCGCTGAGGGTTCTTCGAGTGCAAAGCACCTTCTCGAGGAGAATCAGTCCCGAGTTCTTAGCTTCTGGGTTGGTCCGCGATCGTAATCCCACAGGTGGCCAGCGGTCTGGCTGCATGGACACTTTTTCCAGGCCTTCAGGAGCTGACCCGAGGGCTGCTGCAGGGTGGACGTCGAGTCAGGCATTGCCGCAGGGCTGGGGAGCTGAAAAGTGTACGTTCCCAGGCTGCCGCCTCCACCTACGTGGTGTCAGTAATTCGTCAGTGTCAGTAATTCGTCAGCTTGACCACAGTGACTCCGTTTTGTCTCTTCACGCCGTTCCTCGACGTTTGTACTGAACTGCCTTGTTTCGGTGCCGTACTGGGCGTGACACAAGGAAGTGAAACAGACCCCGCCCGACCTTTGCAGGCCTTCCGTTCCAGCACCCTTTAGAGAGGCGACCTGGGAGTCATTAGGGAAGGCAGACTGGAGAGAGATAGGCCATGCAACAGGTGGTGATGTCAGAAGCCATTGCGGGGTCCCTTAGGAGGCAGACCAGACAGATCTGGGTGACTGACGGTGGCCGAGGGACCGAGACTCCCTGTCCTGGGGGAGAGCTTCTCCGGAGCCATCTGAGGAGCTGGCTGAGGCTTCCCTTTCCTGCTGTGGCACCGCGCCGGCCCTGCCTGGGTCTGGCTGAGCAATCGGGGCGGCATCACAGGCCCGGGAGACAGCCCCAAGTGACTGCAGGAAGGGCAGCTACCCACCTGCTCCTGCTGAACACTCGGCTTTTCCTGAGTGTGACAGAATCATTTCACCTGCAGTTTATGGGGAAATGGCAAGTCACAGTACCCTGAAGGAGCTTTGTGGGACACAGGCTAAACCTTCATTAAGGGCCTTCTCAGTGCCAGGCCTGTGCAAGGTGCAGTCCGGTCCCTGCCCCCAGGAAGCCTGGGTCCTGGAGGGCCCAGGGTATTCCGGAGGACGAAGAAGGTGCCGTAAGCTTCCGGCAAGAGGGTCCTGAGGAGGAGCTGATGTTTCCAGAGCAGTGACAGGTGAAGAGGGAGGCCGGCGGGCCACCTGCAAGCCGAAAGCTCAGAGGAAGGGAGGGCAATCTGCACGGAGCGGGACTGGAGCCTGGGGTCTGGGAGTGTGTCCTGGCTCCCACACTCCCCCGGCTGCATGAGCTGACCAGCTTGTCCCCGCCTGAGTGGAGGCCTCAACACAGACTTGAGCGCACAGTGGGGGCTTTGAGGACTGAGTGAGTTAATATACATGAAGGGCTCAGAGCTGTGCCTGAGACCCCACAGCCACCACCAGCACTGGGCCCACGCTGAGACCAAGGACCTTTGGGAAAACACCCAAGGTGTGAACGCCGCCAGCTTCTATACCGGGCGCTGCCGAACAACAGCCCTGCCCTTTGAGTTGCTTTCTGCAGATGCTGGGCTGTGGTTCGGCCTGGCATCTCACCATCGCCTGCTCCTGAAGAGAGGGCAGTGGTGGTGCCCCGGCCTTGGGCTCGCTGCCAGCAGCCCCCTGCTCTTGTCAAACTCCCTGCCCACTTTGTAGAAGAAAGAGTCGGGGGAGTGGTTCTCAGGGCCTGACCCTGAACCTCAGGACCCTGTAAATACCCCAGCTCCCCACTGGGTACCCCCAGGGTGCTGCAGAGGAGAACGTGAGTAATGCTTTGGATCTCTCTGGGAAGATGCACACCCCATCGACTTCCCGGGCTGGAGGAATTCTCCCTGGTGTGAACCCCCAAAGGGCAAAGAAAGGCTCACGAGGACTCTGCCTGCAGAGCTCCCGGTGACCTGTGCGGCTGCTGCCCCCCGGCCCACCGCCCTGTTGTGGTTGTCCCACTGGGGGGGGCCATTCCCTTGTTGACCCTCCAATGCGTGTCTCCCTCTCCACCGCAGACAGTACATCCAGGCCTGCAGGACGGGGAACATGGACCAGGCCTTGTCACTGTGGTTTCTCCTGGGCTGGATTGGCGGAGACTCCTGCAACCTCATTGGCTCTTTCCTTGCCGACCAGCTGCCCCTGCAGGTGGGCTGGCCCCGGGCAGGGTGGGCTGCCTCGGTTAGCAATGGCAGAGGCTTTGGGACCACCAGCAGGAGAAGCCGGGGCTCCAGAATCCTGACCTGTCGTTCCATCCTGTGAGGGCCCCACGCGCTGGAGAGGGCCCTGTGCCCTGCCAGGCAGTGTGACAGTGGACTGCTCACTGCCCTTCTCTGGGCCTCAGGTTCCCCATCTGCAAAATGACCACATCAAACCAGAGGATCACTGGAGTCTTTTCACCTCCAAGGTGCTACCATCCCCATGGAGCTTGATGGGGGTGGCAGCTAGAGGGCAATAGTTGTCCCTTGAGACAGCCAGGGTCGTCATTCTCCTGTGGGTGGGTGGAGCCGGGATTAAAACTCAGGAATCCACTGGCAGTGCCTCTGAGTCAGGCCGAGCAGAGTCCACACTTAACCTCTGGTCCCCGTCGTCCTGACGTGGAGCTAGGTACCATGTGCGCTGCCTGCCCAGGCCTGACGTGCTGCCTGCCTGTTCTCTGGTTCTGCTGGGTAGGAGCTGCGCTCCGCCTTCCAGATGAGCAGGCAGAAGCTCAGAGAGGCAAAGTGACTTGCCCAGGGTCCCCCGGCTGGGACGTTCCAGCGCTGCCCCAGTTGCGGGGCGTGGCCCCAGAGCCAGGGACTCAGCTGGTGCCCCTGCTTCTCTTGCAGACCTACACGGCAGTGTATTACGTCTTGGCAGACGTGGTGATGCTGTCCCTGTACTTTTATTACAAGTTTAAGAACCGCCCCTCTCTGTGTGAGTATGGAGGTCCCTCCGTGTCAGCTACACCGGGGGCAGCCGGGAGCAGGTGCCCCAAGGCTGGGTGATGAACCTTGGGAGGGCTTCCTCGGGCCTCATCTGAAAGCCCGAGCCCAGATCGGCCACGATGGAGGCCCAAGGGTGGTGCACACAGCTGGGCAGGACCACAGGGGCTCCCTGCACTTGAGTTCTTACTCAGCAAACACGGCTTCAGCTTCTGCCCTTGAGGGTTCAGAAGAGCCATGGCCAAGGTCTGGATAAGACCCAACTTCGAGGCACCTCTTTTTGTAACACCCTTAGGGCCCCACCGCTCTCATCACTTTACAGTCCCAGGAGAAGGGTGCTATTACCACACCCATTCCACAGATGAGCAATTAATGCTCAGAGAGGGTAGGTCACCTGCCCAAGGTCACAGAGCCACTGAAGGGCCAGTCAGTCCCAGCCTGTCTGCTGCTATTAGATACCTAACTTGGGCTTCCCTCCTGCTTGTGTCCAGTGTCCACCCCCATCAATACTCTGCTCTTGTTCACCTTGGGACTGGTGTGCACCGCCCCGCTGCTGAGCAGCGCTGGCTCTGTGGCTGCCCCGAGGGAGGTCTTCAGGGGGCGGAAGCTCTTGTCTGTGGAGCCGGGCAATAAGGTGAGGTGTAGGTAGGTAATGGTGGGGGGAGACTGGCATCAAGGGTCTTCCCCTGCATGGCCACAGGGTGTGGGGATTGCCCTCTGGGAGGGAGGTGGGAACCTCACCCTGCACCTCTAGCCCCCACCAGCCCTGAGCACTCCCTTCTGCCTGCCCAGCCCTTCACCCGGCAGGAAATCATTGGCTTTGTCATCGGCTCTGTCTCCAGCGTGCTGTACCTGTTCTCCAGGCTGCCTCAGATCCGCACCAACGTGAGCCGTGAGCGGGGGTGGGGCCGAGAGGGAGAGGAGAGCCGGCCTGGCAGCTCAGGCCTCCGGGTGCAGGAGTAGCGCGGTGCACAAGGTCTGGGTCCACGCTCACTGTGGACTTGGGCAACTTAACCCAGTTCTCCAGGCCTCAGTTTGTGCCTCTGGGAAACGGGCACGGTGCTGCCTGCCATGCAGGGACCCGTGTGACCTGTGTGAGGTCAGGTGACGGGGAGCTGAGCGCAGAAGCCCGAGTGCAGAGGAGAAGGTGGGGAATCAGGGATAGGGGTCTCAGGAGCAGAGCATCACGGAGCCAGTGGGCAGGGCACAGCCTGGGCGGGGGCTCCTGGGAGAGGGGGGGCTGCAGTGAAATGGGTTGGTTCGTGTGCTGGGCCCATGTCGGACACTGCGCACACCGGGAAAGGTCAGCTTAGGACTACACGCAGTGTGACGGTGTGGCAGGGCAGATGGACACGAGGACAGTCACAATCCAGAGTAACAGGAGCCCTGTTTGAGGTCTCTGTCCTCACACCCCTCACCTTCAGTTCCTGCGCAAGTCAACCCAGGGGATCTCCTACTCGCTGTTCGCGTTGGTGATGCTGGGGAACACACTGTATGGGCTGAGTGTGCTGCTCAAAAACCCAGAGGTGGGCCAGAGCGAGGGCAGCTACCTGCTGCACCACCTGCCCTGGCTTGTGGGCAGCCTGGGCGTGCTGCTGCTCGACACCGTCATATCCTTCGGGGTGTGCAGGACGGGCGGCGGGGTGGGGTGGGCATGGCAGCCTCCACACCCGTCCATCCAATGGCCGTCTATTATCCATCCATCTGTCCATCCATCCACCATTCATCCATCCACTCATCCACAATCCATCCGTCATCCATCCACCATTCATCCATCCACTCATCCACAATCCATCCATCCATACATCATCCATCCATCATTCATCCACCATTCATCCATCCACTCATCCACAGTCCATCCATCCATACATCATCCATCCATCCACCATCCATCTGTCCATCCATCCACCATTCATCCATCCACTCATCCACAATCCATCCGTCATCCATCCACCATTCATCCACAATCCATCCATCATCCATCCACTCATCCACAATCCATCCATCCATACATCATCCATCCATCCACCATCCATCCATCATTCATCCACCATTCATCTATCCACTCATCCACAATCCATCCGTCATCCATCCACCATTCATCCACAATCCATCCATCATTCATCCACCATTCATCTATCCACTCATCCACGATCCATCCGTCATCCATCCACCATTCATCCACAATCCATCCATCATTCATCCACCATTCATCTATCCACTCATCCACAATCCATCCATCCATACATCATCCATCCATCCACCGTCCATTCATCCACCCACCTATCTATCCACCATCCATCCATCCATCCATCCATCCACCACCATCCACCCATCCATCTGTCCATCCATCCACTGAGAGCCAAACCTGTCTGTCATGCGTTCTGTCGGGCACAGGGTCCAGTAGTGAACAAGAACAGGCTGGTCCTGCCTCCGGAAGCCCGCAGCGCAGTGGGAGGCAGACAGGATGCACAGTTACAAATAATTACTGTATTACAATGGCACCAAGTACCACAGAGAACGACTGGAAGTGTGCGTGACCAGGGGGCTGTCCTGGTCAAAAGGCTTAGCAGAGGCCTCCGTGGTGCCCTTTAAACTGTGCCCTTAAAGGAGAAATCAGTCAGGCAGAGGCATGGGAGGGACGTTCCCAGCTCAGGTGTTGCAAAGGCCCTGAGGAACAAGGGAAGAATCGGCCAGAGGAATGGAAGCTGGAACGTGGAGGCACACGAGTTAGTGCCGGAAAAACCGGGGTTCAAATTCTGACTCCACTCTTTCATAGCTGTGTGACATGGAACACACTGTTAACCTCTCTGTGCTTCCGTATCTTCATCTGCACCGGGGTTAACAGTCGCCACCTCACCTAGATAATGGGGTGATTACGTAAGACGAGGCATCTGGAAGCACTGCACACGGCCCAGCAGAGGGTGCACAGGTTCTGATTGGGTCTCACTGGGAGAAAGTAAACATGGCCATTGTTTAAACATCCACCTAGTTCTGCTGGGTGCAGGGAGAGAGGAGTTTAAGGTCGCCTGAGACTAATATAAAGTTGAATGTCCAGAAAAGTTCAAGTTCTAGGACATTCACATGGCCCTGCCCGCTTGGTTTACCTCCCAGGACGGCGTAGGGTAGGAGGAAGGCAAGATTGCGGGGTCACTGCCTGAGGGAGGAAGACCCCAGCGCTGACCTGGATGGTGAGGTTGGGCCAGGGGCCGAGGAGTTCAAGGGCTTTCAGAGTGGAAGGTGTGGGCAGAGCAGAGAGGCTGGATCGTCATGGCTGGCCCTTCCCACCTGCCAGAGTGGGGCTCGGGCAGAGAGCTCTGGATGGAGCCCCAGGGGCAGGTCCACCCAGTCCCTGCTTGGCCTTAACATTGGTCCCTCCAGATCTCTGTGCAGTTCCTAGTCTACAGGAACACTTCCACCTCAGAGCGCCAGCCCCTTCTCCCAGGCTGACCTGGACCCAGGCCACGCCCAGGTGACCAGGATCTCCAGATGCCACACCAGGAGAGAGGTGTGGGCAGTCACAGTGCTGTGTGGATTCTGGACTAGCCTGTGGGGGAAGCCCTGGTCAGGGGCCTGGTACTCCTGACCCAGCCGCCTACCCCCAGGCTTCCAAAACCTCAAGGGCTGACTCCTCCAAAGCCTGACTGACTTGACCTCCAGGAGCAAGACGGCCTCTGCCCTGTCCCTGCTAGAGACTCACCCCTCTCCCCCCAGGGTCTGAGGCAGCTGTCCCTGGGGCCTTGAGGGCGGGGCTGCAGCTGGGACCACACCCCTGAGAAAACCTCCGCTCACCTACCTCATTCTGCCCCTCACCCCCTGGGGCAGCACCCAGGGCTGTCCTGTGGACCGGCAGCCAGCCTAGTAAACGGTCCTTCCCAGCCAGGCCTGTTCTGTGACTCCTTCCCAAGGTGCTGGGACCTGGGCTGCTCTGGGAACCGCGGTGGAGGGGGGCCTGGGCTCCAGCTTCCAGGGCCCAGGTGGGGGTCGAGAGGGTCAGGCTGTGGGACAGCCCAGCAGGAGGGGACCACAGCTGCCGGCTGGCCTCCCGGTGGCCTTGTTTCTTCAACCTGCTTGCTCCTCTGCGACAGGCTGCACACCTGGTGGTGGAGACACAGCAGTGAGAATGACACTCCAGCAGGGCACCTGCACCTTGGAGCTCAGGAGGAGGCAGAGTGGTTAAGGTGCAGAGCTTGGTTCTGTATTTGACCCGTTCTGTGCCTCAGTTACTCTATCTGTGAAATGGGGTGACAACATTACCGCTTTATACCTGCTTACGAGATGGTGTGATTAGGGGGTTAACCCCAAAGGCTGGCACGGAATAAGAACTCAAGTTTAGCTGCGATAATTCTTAGTTGGAGGAAAGGGACAACCAGATCTCCCTGGAGGGAGGCCTTCCTGGAGGAGGCAGTATGGCCAAAGGACGAGCAGGGCATGGCAGGGGCAGAGGAGTGTTGCCGGGGAAGAGAAGGGACAAGAGCAGATGGGGAGGGAGGAGAGGAAGGCAGGGCCCAGGCCTGAGCGGAAACTGAGTTTTTCTTGCAGACTCCATTCTGGTCCCCTGTCCCTGTTGGTGGTGACCTTGTGGGTGCCCGAGGCAGAGGGGCCACTCTGCCCCGAGCTACCCTGCTCTCGCCCCCACACCCTTCTTCAGGTCCCCAGTGGCGGGAGCTATCGATTGGCTGGGGGAGAAGCTGACCCTTGGCCTTTTGACCCCAGCCCAGGAGAAAGCAAGGAGCCTCCGCAGCTCGGGGCCGGCGATGTGGCGAGGGGTGCTGTGGCTTAGTTTGGGGCTACAAATACTCATGGAGCACAGTCCTCCACACTCTGTGCTGGAAGCCTGGGGTGCAGGAGCCTCCCCTCATCCCTGCCCTTAAGAAAGGCAGGACTTGCCAGGCCCTGGTGAGAAGGGGTGTGACGAGAAGGTACAATGTGCCATAGAAATGTGGAGACAACCAGGGAAGGCTTCACGGAGGAGGAGCCCTAGAGCTGAATCTTGAAGGCAGAGGGAAAGGCGTGTGCAAAAGGCCCTGGAGTGGGAGCCTGGGCTGCTGTCAGGTGGGGTCGTGGGGGTGGGGCCCGAGTAGAGGCTCACAGCAGGTGTCCGGGTTTGGGGAGGGAAGAGGGGGGAGTTGGGATGGGAAGGCCAGGGACCGGGCACCTCTGAGGTTCAGGTGGGCAGTGAGGGTGAAGGGGGCCAGTGTCGCCCTGCCCTGCGGTGTGCCTGTGAAGCCCCGTGTGCGGGCTGGCAGCAGCTCACACGTGTACTGAGCACTCACCGTGTGCATGGCCAGGCTGTGGCCTCATTCGCTCCTCGAAAGCCTGGGGTGGGTGTGTGCAGATGGCCATGTAACAGATGGAAAGATGGGCTTTGTGGGTTGAGCAACTGGCCCAAGGTCGTCCAGCTGGGCCTGGCCGCTGTTTGAACCACATCAGGTCTCAGCTACAGGAGTCATCCCACACTTGGTGGGAGTTGGGGGCCTCCTACCCTGGCTAAGGGCCCAGCCTCAGCCTCAGCCTCAGCCTGGGGTTGGGGGCGGCCCAACCCTGGTGGGCTCAGGCTCCCTTTGACACCACCCCGAGCAGTGACCCCCACCCCCTGGCCTCTGGTCTGTTCCATGCCCCAGGCCCCAGTTGGCTCTGGTGCAGGTCCCCTTTGCCAGCCAGCTCTCTGGCCCCTCCAAGGGCTGTGACCTGGCCTAGTCACCTGGGGCCAGGTGGCGCCCTCATAGCCTAAAGACCTGGGATCTGGTGTGGCGACACAGCCCCCTGAACTAGACCTGGGTGAGAAAAAAAAAATGAAATAGCACAGCCCCCTGCACACCCCACCCTGGGAAACCCTTCTCTGATGGGGGCACACCACCCCTTCCTCCACGGGAAGCCCCAGCCTGATGAGGAGACATGGTCCCTGCCTTGTGGGACCACCCTGTCCAGTGGTGAACAGGGTGGTGCCAGGCCCTGGCACATGGCAGGTGTCTGGTAAATAAGTGGTGGCCACTTCCGCTTATCCAATACCTGGCACCTCCCTGGGTCGCTCCCAGAGGCAAAGCGCCAGGCTGGGGGGTTCCCTTGTGCTGACTGTGCCGTGCTTGCTGGGGGTGGGATCCGTGGGTCAGGGGTCCCCGATGGGTTTCCTTTCTCCCCCTGCTCACACACCTCCAGCTCCGCACTGCAGGCAGTGGGCAGGAATCTGCGCATCTCCAGGTGTGGGGAGGTGCGGGGCCAGCTGCTTGGCAGGCAGATGGCATTCTGCAAAAGGCAGGACCGCCCTGCAGCCCCGTCCTCAGCACCCGGTCCTGGGCCCTCCCAGACTGGGGTGCCCCTTGATTGTTTAGCAAACCTGGGGTTCTCTGAAGCCTCAGCTCGGACGACGCAGCCTTCCGTGCCTCGAAATGAGAAAGGGGGGGAAGCCCACAATTCAGTCCTCTTCACCCCTTTTCCTGTTGGACTTGGCTCTCACCGGAGCTGGGTGGTGGGACCCTAGAGTCCCTGGGAACAGCCAGGTGCTGCTGAGTCCTGACCACCCAGATGTCCCAGCACCAACCCGACCAGGTCAGTGTCAGCCCCGTGGCGGGGAACAGGGATGGCCTTTTGCTTCCAATTAACTCAACTAATAAGTAATGGTCAGTCCCCCAGCCCCGTGGCAGACCTGATGGTGACAAGTCTGCCCACCCACACTAGATAGTATAGGCAGAGACTTCTGTCCTGGCCACCATCGTGCCCCCAGCACACAGTAGGTGCTCAGTAAATGCCTGGTGAGTGGATGAGTGGAGTGGGTGCCTGAAACACTGTCCCTTAGGGAGGGAGGGAGGGAGCTGGGCATGCAACTGAGCACAAGTGAATTGGTCCTCCCCCCCCCGCCCCCGTTCCTGAATGTATACACTTTAAATGGGTAAACTGTCTGCCTGTGAATTATGGCTCAATAAAGTGACTGGAAAGAAGATAGAATTGGCTGTTATTACGGTTTGACTGGGAAGTTGTGGGTAGTGACTGTATCACTCACTGCCTTGTAACATTCAACGGACGTCGTCATTGCCTGGTGACCTGAAACGCACACACGAGGCGGTGGTCACCCAGGTGAGGGAAATGAAGTGTTTCCTTCACAAGGCCAGCGACGGTCCACCTTTCTCACGGCACAAACTAATTGCTACAATTCTGCGGCACACCACAAAATGCATTTTTTGGCTCATCCAACAAATAAAAAGTACATATAATTTTGATTCATTCACATTGGCTATAGAGGCTGACAAGCACTTGCCAGGAAGATGGTCCCTCGGCCCCCTGCTTACCGCGGGGTAGAGGACACGCATCTGCCTCCGTGGCTTCTGGGGAAGGTTCAAGGCCAACGCTGACGCCCAGGCCCGGTGACCAGCCCGAGGAGGTACTCAACGCAGGTTCCCTCTCCTGCAGCCCCTGAATTCAGGGCCCACTGGCCACTGGGGGAAGGGCACCCGGTGAGCTATTGTCATTTTTTTAATTTGATAATCTAAGGGAAAAGAGGTCAGTCCGAGTTCCTGATTGAATAGTCAGGTGTTGCCTGTTTAAAAAAATTCCCAAGGTACGCGGTGAAGATCGCCGCACTGGACCAGAGAGGTTGATACCGGAATGTTTCCGATGTTTCTGTTTATTCCCCGGCGCCTTGACCGAGCTCGTGACGAGTTGCAGTTTCACAAAGTAGAAACAGAGATGAGGACGTGTGTCGGTGAGGTAATATCTTCAAAGAAAATAACTAAAAACAGAAAATAAAAACTTAATAATGTACCACATTTCAGTCTTTCAGGAACTTCATTTCTTTACATTGGGAGTTTATATAGAATGCCTGTATCCTCAATTGTTTTTAAAAACCTATGAACAATCCGAGCAGTGATATAAATCATAATGAAACTTTTCATAAAACAAGGAAACAGCACCACCACCTAGTCCATTAAAAAAGCATCTGTTTGGTAGCTCAGCTGCTCCCTGAAGAGCGGAAAAGGGAACAGCAGAATCAGTAACAAAGCTCTGAATCTGTAGGAAGCAGACGTTCTGATGGAAGTCACAACTGGACGAGGCGTGACGACTCGGTCCAGTTTTCCTACGGAGGGCTTTACAAATTTTCAGTTATATTGAGCAAATAATTATGAGACTTCTGACTTACATGTAAATTGTAGAATGGATACTTTATAGCATTTATTACAGTGCTTGGAATGAGACATACTTTCTTATATTAAGTTTGAAAAGACTTGGCTATAGAGGCTGACACGCACTTGCGAGGAAGATGGTCCCTCGGCCCCCTGCTTACCGCGGGGTAGAGGACACGCATCTGCCTCCGTGGCTTTTGGGGAGGGTTCAAGGCCAACGCTGACGCCCAGGCCCAGTGACCAGCCCGAGGAGGTGCTCAACGCAGGTTCCTGCCACATCCACTGCCGCATCCACTGTTGGATCCCTCTCTCCATGACAAGGTCCTGAGAGGGGGCGTAAGACTTCAAGGAAGCATTTTCCAACCTGGTGGACGTGGCATGGAAGGCCTTGCAATACCTATTGTGATTGTGCTTGCTTTGGGGATCATGACCCTTTTTGCTTTAATCATTATGAATACCCTTGCAGTGATTCAGATAGTGCGCTTAGACCTTTCCCTGCTCAATGAACAGAATAATGATACCATACTAGAAACGTCAGGGAATATAGGTACAAAGAAACAACCAGAACATTCTGAGAATTCAAGCTTAATCAGTAACAGATCATTGGAAAAACACCCAAGATAAGTTAGAAAACTGGGAAATCAGGAGATGATCTCACTGCTTTCTTAGCGGGAATCAAAGTATAAAACATGTCTATAAAAGAACTCCTAGAGAAACTTGAAAGAAGTACCCTTGAAAGCCCCCTGCAACGTAGGAATAGCCCTATGGGACAAAAGCCCCTCCAAAACCCAAAAATAGACCCAGGAATATTCCACCAACTGTAAAAACTCCATGGGGACCAGCATATCTCCTTAAGGGAAGGCCGTGGTACCCACCTAAGGGAGCTAAGGGCCTTCAAGTAGTCCCTACACCCCCCAGACCCACACTTCCGTACTATGGGGTCTGGGATAAAAATAGGGTAAAGTAGGTTTCAAAAAATAGGAAAAATATAACAGTAAAAAGCCTACCCTGTGCAGAAAGACTAGCAAGATCAGACAACACCCCAGAAAAATGTATGACTGCTCAAAGGAAAATAGAAGAAAAGTCTCTTAAGATACTACTCTAGAATATGGCCAACTAGATATAAAAAGATTTTAGAAGAATTCAAAGAATTACAGTCCTTAGCAGAAGAAGAAATAAGAAAAGGCATAGACAAGTATACAGGTCAACCTGGAGGGCGTAATCACCCACCAACCCATTTCTAATATTAACCCAGACACAGAACAAAGAATAGGATACCTGCGTCAACAGGCTTAGATCAGACAGCCAAGTTCCTGTTTCAGGAACTTTGAGAAACCACAAAACCCATGAAACCAGAACTGCTAGCCAAGTAGAAAAATATAAAAACCCTGCTTGATTCTCAATAAACGTCTTCAGAGCATCACCTGCCTTGAGCTGTGTAGTTGCCTGATTTCCGCGCCACTCCTACCTTCACCTCGAGGGGACCCTTTGACCCGCTGCGGCCGGACCGCGGCAGGTTCCCTCTCCTGCAGCCCCTGAATTCAGGGCCCATCGGCCACCGGGAGAAGGGTACCTGGTGAGCATCAGGCAGGCTGCAGCTTGGGGACCCAGAGGGCCAGTCCAAGGCTCCTTGCACTGTTTCCTCAGTGTCCCCTCGGCCTCGGGAACGCTCCAGGGGCCCCGCGGGGCACCGTGCTTGCCTTGGTGCAGGGAAAGGAGTAGCTGTGAGGGGGCCCTTTTGCCACTTGCTTCCAACTGCCCCTCACCTGAGAACCTGCTGTCTGAGCTTACTGCTCCCAACTGCAGCCGCCCGGCAGCGCCAGAACACGAGCAGCAATGCACCCGTGGAGGATTCTAGAAGGCGGAGTAAGGTCGGGCCCGGCACACGTCCCAGTCACAATTTCTGGGTTTCTGGTGGTGTTTTTGGTCCCGTGACAGAACACCTAACTAGGAAGAATGGTTTACTCAGCACCTTCTGTGTGCCCGGCCCTCTGCTCACACAGCTCCACAAAGCTGTCACCCCTGTTGACCACGTAAGGAAATGCCTTGGGGCCCGCTCCCCTCCCAGGGTGGCACAGAGTCATACCTGGCCAGGGCCTGCCTTCTCTCCAGCCCACCAGGCACTGAAAGGGAACTCAGTGCAGTGGTTTCTATCTCAACAAAGACATGCCCCATCTGGAACTTTGTCAGACCAGGTGGAGAGAAGCTGGCACCAAGGAGTTGGGTCAGAGATGTCGAGGATCCAGGCACGTGGAACCAGAGGGGCCAGTCAGGCTGCGGGCCCGAGCGAGGCCGCAGGTGCACTCGGAATCTTCCTCCCGCCCCTGGGCGCCATCCCTGGGCGCCGTGGTGACAAGAGGCCCCAGGTGTGCGGGCCTGGCCAGCAGGTGTTCACTACACGGAGGGGAAGCAGGGAGCAGAGCTGGCAGGAGCAGAGATGAGGTGCCGGGACCTGCCACTCATGGCTGGTGTGACTCAAAGTGGCCCCAGTGCTCGGGGCGGGGGCGCTGGGGTCTCCACAGCGGGGCTGGGAGCAGCAGCCCTGGGGCTCTGCGAAGACGCTCGTCCTTCCCACCCCACGACCAGCCCCTCCCTCCGCCCGCCACCCTGCCGAGGCTGCCACACGCCTGCCGCCGGTCGCACGACCAAGGCCATCGGCACCTGGAGATGGAGGTGGGTGAGAAAGACTACAAGGCCAGTGCTAACTGTGTCCCAGGTTCTTTTTATTTATTTTTTTGTTTTTTTCTTTTTTTTTTAAGTATGGAAGCTCAAGTATAAGATGTAGATTTTTTTTAAGCTTTACAAAAAAACAAAATAAAACAAAAAACTCCTTTTGCATTCCATAAAAATTGACAGAAAAGCACCAGGCCAGAAGAGCAGAACGGTCAGCAGGCCCCGCCCCCGCCCCCCACGGCATGGCCTCCGCGGGGCAGGGGCCGGGCTGTGCGGGACAGCGCCGAGGGCCACCTCTCCTGTCTCCCAGAGCTGCCCCTGCCCCCCACCCCAACCCCAAGCAACTCCCAAACACACGTGGAATCAGATTTCCAGTTTTTCTTCTATCTTTCACACACCACAGTTATTTCATAAAATTTTTTTGTTTTACATTTTTTACACCAATGTAACAAAAAGGCAGGAGGAAGGGGAGGCAGACAGTGTATCTGATGCCTATAAACAGGGGCGGGGCAAACAGAACGCACACGGTCTCTATGAAACATCGAGTCTGAGAGCAGAACGTGGTGGGAAGCAGGCCTTGGAGACGGAGGAGGGTGTTAGCGGCTTTATTCTCAGGGTGTGATGCGCTGTGCAGGTCGGTGACGCAGGTTGTGGTGTGACCTGTCGGGGAGGGAAGGGACGGGGCAGGGAGCAGAAAATGAGTTTTCTAAGAAAGGAACCTATCGAGTGCATGGCGGGTCCGGCAGCGTGAAGCACAGGTTTAACACTGCTGCTTCCTCTTCAACGCCTCCACCAGGTCGTTCTTAAGAGCTTCTTGTTTGGATTTGTCTGCAAAAGTCTGCACAGACCTGCAGGGAGGAAAAGAACTGTCGTGAGCAGGCTTCTCGGGAGAGGTGTGGTGGCGAGGGGCCAGGTCACCGCGCTGGGGCTGGGGCCCAGCTGCCACACTCGGCCACCAGAGTGTGACCTCCTGGGGCGGGGGCTGGCAGCAGCGTCCTCAGTGCTCCCCCGTGCGAGCAGTGCTGGAGGGGGCGGGAGGAGCAGTGCAGTGGGCACCGCAGCAGGGGGCACAGCCCACCCAGAGAAACGCTCGGCTCTGCCCCAGGCGGGGGTGACCCGGCCACAGCCCCAGAATCCCAGCCCACTCCTCTGAGCACAGGTCCCAGGACAGCTTCAGCCCAGCTACCGGCTCAGGGCAGGGGCTGATAGGCAGACCCGGGCCGTGAGGACCCCGCAACAGAGCCTCCCCCCCCACGTGGCCCTGCCCAGCACAGGGTGCCCAGGGCACAACACGAAGGACAGGTGCTTTTAGGCTTTTGCCATGAGGCTCGTTAGCTTGGCCGAGAAACTCCCTCAGCCTGGGTTCCAAGAGCCAGCACGGAACGGTGGTAAGTGGCCCTGGACCCCAGCTCTCAAGTCCTGGATCTGAGGGGGGTTAATGTCAGCACAGTTACGCCCAGCGCTCAGGCCACTCGGCAGGGCTAACGAGTAACCTCTGCAGAGGCCGCACAACTTACACAGTGCTTTCCACACTCAGCTCTCATGCAACGCTCACAAGCATCCGGGGGGGGGGGGGTCTCGATATTACTGTTCCCAATGTATAGACAAGGAAGCTGGGCCAGTGGCCCGATCGATCACTTCATCAAATTTATCCAACACGTTGCTTAACCAAGAACTTACTAACAGTTTCATTTAGAAACTTCAACAGTTTTGAAGCAGACAGGGTAGAAGCTGTGTCTCAGGAATGCTGTGGACGGCGTGTTCCATGGGAACCTCAAGTTTTATGTCCACTGACCATAGAGAAGAATGGGAAGGAGGGAATCAAAAAAAATCCCAAGGGCTGCCCTGGCTGCTGTAGCTCAGTGGACTGAGTGCCGGCCTGTGAACCAAAGGGCCGCTGGTTCAATTCCCAGTTGGGGCAAATGCCTGGGTGTGGGCCAGGTCCCCACAATAAGCAACCACACATTGATGTTTTTCTCTCCTCTTTCTCCCTCCCTTCCTCTAACAATAAACACTAAATTTTTTGGAACTGTAAGATGCACTGGACCATAAGACATACCTAGGTTTTAGAGGAGGAAAATAGAAAAAAATTTTTAAAGCAAAAAATGTGGTAAAATATTTAATATAAATAACATAAGCCGCCCCCCCCCTCCCAGCGAGCCAGGTAAGCTACATTCAGACTATAAGATTCACCCCCCCCTTCCTACCAAATTTGGGGGCAAAAGGTGTGTCTTATAGTCCAAAAATATAGTAAATAAAATCTTTAAAAACAAACACCCAAGTGCTAAACGAGGGTGAAGTGAGACGGAGCAGGACTCAGGAGAGACAGCAGCCGCCCCAGGTGGACGCTGGGTACGGGACCCTGGAACCACCAGCACAGCAGCCTCCACGTGGCAAGAAAGGGGACGGGCGAGATGCTGAAAGAACCTGCGTACTGCTGGACAGGCGCCCACGAGCCACCGCCGTCTGGGGCTGGCCACTCGCCCTGGACTGCCCCGGCCCGTGCCGACAAAGGAGGGTCGGGCTGCAGGCTCGGCTGGACCCCCACGGGCTGTTCACAGGACCGGCGGGAGGGTGCGGCAGCCGAACCCCCAGCCTGCAGCGTGGCCAGCTCTCCTGGGACGGAGGAGCTGAGCAGGCCAGGCCCCCACCACTCTCAAAGGAGAAAGTTCTCGAGTTAGAACCAGCGTTAGAATCAGGTAAGAGACAGGTCAGGCTTGGGTGGCTGCAGGTACGAGGAGCAGGGCACTCATTCGGGGGACAGAGCTTGGGAAGGTCACTGCTGAGCACCTCGACGACGCCTGGCGGGAGCACCAGCTCAGTGTGGGCAGGAGGGCCCGCCCCGCCGGGACAGGCTGGGTGCCAGGCTGCCCGGGCCTTCCGTGCTGGGAAGCCTGCAGGGGGCGGTCAAAGACCCGAGCACTCCACTACGGGGCACCTGAAGAAGGGGCTCTCCCAATGCTGCCGGACCACCACGGCCCCAGCACGAGGCTGGGGGCTGACGGCTGCCTTGGTCCTGGAGCTGGTGTGTACATGGCCCGGACCGACGTGCTCACGTCCCTCGGACACGGACACAGGGGAGCGGCTCCGCCTGGTCACATAAGGGCCCTCACTGTGCCCCACCCCATAAATCCCACCGAGCCTCTTCTGGACCCTCAGTGTCTGGCCCCAGCCCGGGGGCTGAGCCCCTGCGGCCTTTCCAGCTGGGTTTCAAAGCCCAGTGAAAACCAGCCCCCCCTCCTCTCCAGGGCATCCCCATCTGTAACAAGCTCAAGCCTGGCTGCCATCACCAATGAGCAAGGCTGCTTTCCTCCCACCCTCGCAGGGCGTCAAGCACAGCCGCAGTGCACTGCATTAAGGGGGGGCACCAGGCCAGCCGGGGGGGGGGGCTGCAGCCCCGACTGTGCTCCTTGGACTCAGAGTAACACATCCCTTTCAAATCAGCTAGCCCGGACAGCCGTGTCCCTCTGCAAGGGGCTCATTTGGCTTCCAGGACCCTTGGTGGGAAAACTGGGGAGCGCCTGGCTGCCCACAGAGCAGATTCGGGGAGGCCGTCTCGAAGCGTCTGGGTGAGCAGGAGGCAGGAGGACATGGACCGGGCGCCGTGGCCATCGCAGCAGTGCACGTGGGAGGCGCCGGCTCCGAGCAGGGCTGGATCTCTGGATCTCAGAGCCTGAGCCGGAGCCCGAGCCACCCCTCCACCACCCCAACCCCTACCCATACAGCAACACAAACACACCGCACACGTAACACGGATCCGAGTTCCATGGGGGCTGAGTCTACACGTTAATGTCGCTGCTCGCAGCCGTGAGTGAACAAGGGGTTAGTGGTGGTTTAAGTGGCCACGTGGCAGCAGCCGACCCGGCGGGGGCTCGGCAGGTTGGTGAGTCCTGTTTAGTGGGGAGGGTGTGCGCCCTCGCACGCAGAGTACCTGGATCGGCCTAATTATCAGGCTGGATGTGGATCTGCCGCTGGGTCAACACCTGGGAAAGCTCCCTCTGCAACTGCTGAAACTTGGGGTTGTCAGGGATTACGTCAACAGATCTACAGAGAGTACGTACGCACAGGTGAGTGCGGCGGGAGGGGGGCGACACGGAGACAGGAGCAGGCGGGCCAGACAGCTGAGAGGAGGCACGGGGGACACACGGGGCAGAAGGAAGGGGTGTCTTCAAGGCCCCGCTGCTCTGGGCCAGCGGGGTCATGCTCCTCCGGGCGCGCCCCCACCAACCCGCAGGCGCTCTGCCCCAGTCGGCCGGCCGTCACCGCTGCCCGGGTTACCTGGTGTGGATGGGGCAGTGGCCCTCAGGCTCCACAGCCAAAGGAAAGCAGTGCTGCCGGAGGCGGCGGGGAGGCAGGGAGGCAAGAGACCCGCTACAGACCAGACCATGGTCCCCAGAGACAGGGTGGGACACAGGGGAAGATGAGGGTCCAGAGGGGAATCCCCGCTACTTCACAACTGAGTATCAGCAGGAGACGCCAAATCTGTCTCCTGGACAAAGTCACAAGCCAAGGCCGCCACCAGAGCTGCTTCCCACCTGCCCCTCTGGCCCCAAAGGAGAGACTGGCACCTGCAGCAGGGACCTCAGGCTGGAAGCAGGGAGGAGCGGGAGCCCTTGCACTCACAGGGCCGCAGGTGCTGGGCCGCAGGCTGCAGACTCTGCCTCATCCGGTCCCTTCAGCAGCCCCGCCCCCCTGACTGGACGGGGCCCCAACAGGAGCGGCTCGTCCCAGGTCACGCAGCTCAGGGCGACAGGGTAGGTGTGAGCTCCCGGCCTCATGACTCCAAGGCCTCTCCTGCCCTGAGCAGGGCCATGGCCGCTTGCTCTGCCACCACGGACCGCAGAGAGCCCGCCAGCTCGCTCGGCAGACACTGGACACTGCAGAACCCAGGGCCCAGGACGGGCCGCTCAGAACCCTGGCCACAGCCAGCAGAGCCCTGGCAGAGGACGTCAGAGGGGCAGGGCCCTCTCCAGGAAGGAGCGGGTGAAGCGGCTGTTTGTGTGAGAGACGCCCTGCAGCCCAAAGGCCAGCCAACCAGAGGCGGCCGGGCCACCCACGGTCTGCACTCTCTCGCGTGTCCGAAGGCCTGGTCTGGAGGCCCTCAGACCTCAGAGACAAAGGGCTGGGCAGGTTCTTTAGATGAGACTGAACCCTGGGGACTGGCCCCAGGGGCAAAGGCATCGAAGGTGGTTAAGGGGACGTCCCCCATTCGACCAAAGTGGAGGCAGGAGCCAGCGTCCCAGAGTGCAAGCGGCTTCACCGAAGTCTGCACGGCAGTCCCGTCAGGCGGGGACTGTAGCCCCAGCTGACAAACGAGGTGGACTGCGGGGAAGGCCCTACAGCTGGTAAGCAGTAGACCGAGGATTCAACTCCGTATCGTTTTGATTTCCAAAGCTTGTACTGTGGGGTACATTACCTCAGTCCATTGACGATGTCCTTTGTTTTCCCAAAGTAGATCTCATTCAGTGTACTTCTGATTTTGTTTTCCATGTCCTGGGGATGGAGAGGTAGGGGTCACGCGTGATAGCAAACAGCAAGGAGTCCTGAGGTCCACACTCTCCGCCAGCTCATCCCTGCAGTTCCCGCAGTGACCACAGGGGGGCGGCACACAACTGCATGAGAGCAGGGTGCCTGAGCCCCCAAGGGCTGGCTTTCAGGTCCACAAGCACAAAGCGGGCTGGGGCCCGAGCACTGGTGGGCACTGGCTGGTCCTGGGAGCTGGCCAACACCACATCACCACCCCCAGCCCTCCACCCATTTTGAGAACAGCCCTGGGAAACCAGAGAGCAGCCCCCCTTCATCGGAGCGGCATGGAGACGGGAAAGTGGGGGAGACAGGGCTTCGGGTTTCCGGAGCAGAGCCTTCTGGGAGCATGTGCTTGGGGATGATGGAGGGGACGTCCCAGAGCTGTGCCCTGCTTGCACCCAGATCAGAAGGCTCGGAAAACCACGAGCCAGGACAAAACAACATGAGAGCTGCACCCCTGGCTGCTAGGGAACTGGAAGAAAGAAGCAAGGGAGGTGGGCAGCACACCGGGACACAGGCTCTGGGGCACAGCGTCAACGCAGCAGAACTACCCATGGCCGGGGGGTGACCCAGTGCCCGGGGCGGGGGGAGGCTCTCACCTCTACCAGGCGCCCGATGTTGGCTATGTGCGGCGAGCTGTCACTCACGGTTTCGTCTTTCTCCATCTGCAACACACAAAGACATCCCTCTGAGTTAGAGCTGGGCCCTCCCTGCGAACGGTGGCCACGTTGGCCAACGGCAAAGAGCCTGTCACTGCCGCTGGCAGCTCCAGAGCCAGCTGCAGGTGGTGCAAGGCCACCTGCCCAGTGGGGGGGGGGGGCAAGCACAACAGGACCCCAGTTTCAGGTCACGAAGAGCCCAGCCAGAAGCCCAGGGTCCCCCAATCCCAGGGACGGTCCCGTGCTGCCCTGGGTAGAACAGACACCCATCGAGCCCATGGCGGGTGGGCAAAGGTAACACCTCATCAGGCACTGGGTCCAAGGAGACCGCTCAGCCCACCTTCATCCCACTGCTCGCAGGCAGGCGCAGGCTTTCTGTGCCCAGACTTGTAACGGCAGGACCAGCTACGGAGAAAGGGACCAGCAGCCCTGGGCGACACAGCAGAGTCCTGGGCTCGTAGGCCAGGTGGCCTGCCCAATGCCCGGGGGCAGTCAGGGCAGAGATTGGGTCCAGCCCGCTCTCACTTCAGAGCCTGCGTTCTTCCTGTCCCGTGAGGCTGCGTGATGTGGGGGACTGCAGCAAGGGAACCTCGACCCAGATTCCGAGGGTGTATCCTGGGGACACCATGGAGGCGGGTGTGGGGGAGGTGGGACCCCACAATTCGAGTCTCAGGCAGGGTCCGTTCCAGCCCAGCCATCAAACTGGGAGTGGAACGGGCAGGAGGCAGGCAGGGAGGGAAGAAGCGAGGGTCCTGCTGTGAGCTCGCACCGTGAACTGTGGGCTTTCTCCTGCTCTCTTCCCACGGTCCAGGCTCACTTCCCTCCCAGGCTACACACTCCTTAAGGAGAAATTTACTGGTTTCGAGCCTCACATGTCAAGCTCACTGTTACTCAACTGACAATAAGAAGACGTAGCTACCACCACCCCTGTAGCTGAAATAAAAGGCGGAAGCTGAAATGGGTCGGCAGGAAGCAGAAGGAAACACAAGGACAGCACCAGGAAGGCTAGAGCTCAGAACGAGTTCAGACCGGCAAAAAAGCAAAGAAAGAGGCGGGGCGGCTAACCATCCTCGGAACCAGAAGCAGCGGGCAGATGTGTGTGCGTGCGTGGTGTGTGTGGAGTGGCGTGTGTGCCCAGACGGCGGAGGCCTCTGCTGCTTCTCATCCGTGTTGCCTTTTCTTCAGGGTCAAAGCCGATTTGGGGACACAGCTGCCAGAGCACTTCACAGGGGCTGGAACACTGGAGAGGGCAGAGGCCAAGCCCACTTTCGTAACCGAAGGAAGATGGCTAGTTCGACACTGACCCAGACACATTTTGATGGGACCCCTGAAAACCACCTGTTGGCACACTTTAGAGCAGACACTCCAGGAGCCAGCACGGGCTCGCTGCGAACAAGCTCCGTCCCAGAGCCTCCGATTTCCCACTCTGAGGGGGATGCTGGGCTGGAAAACCGCAGCGCTCTGCCAGGTCCCATTGACAGGCTGCAGCAGTGGCCAGGTGCTGGGCTATACAATGACCACTCAGATGAGTCCCTGCTCCCAGGGTGGCCTCTGTGGCATCCTGCAAGACTCTCCACCTGGCCCAGGCCAACCGGTGTGTCTGGGATTTGAAGAAAGGCACGCTGAGAGAGCCCGTCGACATCTTGCCAATGGCATCAGGGGTGGCAATGATCGGGTTACTCCAGAACCCAGAAACAGGGACCGCTCCCACACAGCAGCAGCTGCCACGCATGGGGGGGCTTCCCCGGTGGCAGCCACCTTATTCCACCCAGTTCTCAGGAAAACCTGTTCTAAACCCAAGGATATTGAGGCTCAAAGACACCAAGATACGCCCAGATCCAACAGCGTCCGACTCCAAGGACCTCGCTCTCTCTGCCTCAGTGTGCCGCTCACATGTACCTGGGCAAATTCGGACCAGACGCTTGGTTAATCTCACAGACTACAAAATGAGGGGTATGCCCCGTGAAAAGACTCATGATTTTAGGCCCTGGCTGGTGTAGCTCAGTGGATTGAGCACAGGCCTGCAAACCAGAGGATCGCAGTTCAATTCCCAGTCAGGGCACATGTCTGGGTTGCAGGCCAGTTCCCAGCAGGGGATGTATGAAAGGTAACCATACACTGATGTTTCTCTTCCTCTCTCCTTCCCCTTTGAAAAAAGATAGATAAATAAATAATTTTTTAAAAAAAGGCTCGTAAAAGGCTCGTGGTTTTAAGCCTATTTCAAGCTTGACGAGACTCTGCTGCGGCTGCTCCGACAGCCTCCTGTGCCTATAGGTGCGTCAAGGACTGTTCTGGTGCCCAGGTCAGAAGCTGCAGCCGTGAGGCTCCCAACTCGCTCAGGAAGCCACGGTCCCTTCTGCTCTGTCCTGGCCCGGTGACTTCTGCAGGGCTGCATTCTGGAGCCCACCTGCTTAAAAGGTCTGAACACCCCGACCCTGAGAAATGAGAAAGAACCGGGCACACTTCACGATGGGTGGGGACTCAGGAGATGCTAGGGGTCGGCGGGGTGCAGCTCCAACCCACGTCACCGCCGAGGGCCACAAGGACAGTCACGCACAGGATGACGGAGCCGCCCGTGACAGGTACCTGTCCCCACAGCAGTGCGGCCCAGCTCATGGGAAGCACCAGAGGAAAGCAGGGCGCCACCTGCCACACACACTACAGGAAGGGCAGAGGGACGGTCTAGAACCTGTGCCCCCACAAGGCTCTTCTGCAGCTATGAGCCTCCCCTGTGCCGGACAGCGAGGTCTGGCTCCGGCGACGCCGCCTCGGTGAGGGGTGGTCAGGTGGACTACAGGGCGGAAATGCCAGGCCGGCCGCCCCTCTGCCCCAGCACTGGGCCCTGGGCTGCCCAGGTGCTTCTGGAGAATGTGAGTGTTCAGAGACGCCAAGGGTCCCCACAAGACAGAAGTGAGAATGCTCATAAACTTCAAAGTGGCAGCTTCAGGTCTAACAGACACCCCAGCCTGGGCAGAGCCTCGTGTTTGCCGGAACATTCTCTGTCCTTAGCAAAATGCTGTGCCAAGACAACTGGTGTGTATACATGCTGAGCGGGACAGGAGCACGCTCGGAGGAGGAAGAATGGAGCCCTGTCTACCCACTTTTAAAATGGATTTTTGGACGCTGACGTCCTGGGCCCGTGTGTCTCCTCCCTCGCAGAGAACTGGTTCCCAACCAGACTGAGGGCTGCTCAGGGAGCGGCTCTTCTGGGCAAGGAGGAGCCTGGGGGTGGCGATCCAAATGAACCCCGTCCTACTGCAAATCAGTGTCTCGCCCCCTCCCCAGCTCCAGGCAAAGGGCCCGGTCCTGGCAACCCCGGGAAACGATGGCGCTGGGAGTTCCCTGAGAGCCCCGTTTCACACCAGCGCCAAGGGTGCAGTGAGACCAGGGCTGCCGGCAAAGGGCTCTGGGCCATCGGGTAAGTCACTCACACGACCAACCCAACCTCTTGGAGAGGAAAGGCTGAAGCCACGGGACACTCAAAGGTGAAACACGTGGGGGAGGGGGGGTGAGGTGAAGTGCCGGGGAAAGGCCCACAGGAACTGTGGGTGGAAGGAAGGTGGGCTGGCGGGTGGGGCAGAGGCCTTGGCACGCAGACAGGCTTCCACAGCCCCGCCGACTCCCCGACACCTGGTCGGGGTCAGCGTTCTGGCAACGCTGACCCACCAAAAATAGAGCTGTTTTTGTAATGCTTGTATTATTACATCCTCATGAATGTGGCTGCCAGAAGAAAACATTTCTATGTGCTGTGGCCACACAGATGTTCAACAAGGTGATTCCCCCCGAGTCTGAAGTCAGGTGCCACCCTGGGGGTGGGAAAGACAGGGCAAGTATCTGGACATCAGGGTTTTGCGGGGGCGGGGGGCCTCTGGCACCTCCCACCCACGTGCAGCACTCTTCGGGAGTGCAACCTGCAGGGCAGGGCCCTGAAGGCAGCCAGCCCCGCTCCAAGGCTCCTCGCCTGGAGGCCCCAGGGTGAAGGCCTGTCCCAGCCCCCATCTCCCTGCCTCCGCCGGGCGCTAAACGAGCTAGTACATACACAAGGCCCAGAATGGTGCCTGGCAGAAGGGTGGTCTCATTCCCAGGACTTTCTGGTCCTGACTCTTGGACAGAAGCCAGATGTGCCTTCCTGGTCACGGAGCTGTGCCCGGGTAGGAGCCGGGCCGCAGGCCCAGACTGGACACTCCATCAAGCCCAAGGACAGAGGTCAGACAGCCTCTCAAGGAAGGTTCAGTCTGCCTAGTTTCGGGCAGTTTTCACTGAGCCTAAAACTGTGTGGAGGCTAAAAGAGGAAAAGTCTCTGAACTGCGGCAGCAGCAGGAGTAGCTGTTACTTATTAGCCACGAGCCACATGTGACAACGGTTCTGTTTCTGTTCTTTACCAATCTTCCCAAACGGGCGGTACTGGCTCCACGGGGAAAGTGCCGGATTTCGGAGAAGGGGCGGGGCCTGTCCAGGTCACACGGCTGGATCTGCCCCAAGGTCTGGATGACTCTGAAAACTTTTCTGCCATGCGACTGTTCTGCTTGTTTAACTGTGTTCTTGACCAGAAAAACCAAAGACAGGCCACAACCCAGGACTCGGAAATTCCAAGCAGCGTCGATCTTTGTCTCATCACCTTCCCCGTCCCCCACCGCCCAGGGATCTCCGGTCCCTTCCTCTCCTGTCGACCGTCACTCTGGGACCACTGCAGGGAGGCAGTCTCAGGCCAGCTTTCCTTCTCGACCAGGGGCCAGGTCGCTCCGTCCCAGGCCGTCCAACCCTGGAAGCCATGCTGCTGCAGCATCCACACCCTGAACCCGTCTCCCTCCCAGAACACGAGAGCTCGGCCGCGACTGAGGCCAGGCCACCCACCCACCCCCCTGCCGTGAGGAAGCACCCCCCCAGCCCCCACCCCGTCCCCTCACCTCCACCTCCAGCCTCCCCCTAGTAAAACACAGTGCCTTGCCAAAGTGCCAAGTGCGAGTCAGAGAGGATTTCCCTGTGTGACGTGGGGGCAGGTGCCT